TCACAATCAGCCAGCAGCACCATTTCGTTTTGCTATATTTATAAGTGCCATTTCTTCAGCATGCACATGTCTCCAATCTCTATCCACCAACGGAGATCTAGATTCCATCAATCAGAGAGTGTGTGTGTGATGTAACATATTGATAGTGGAGGAGAAGAAGTGGATCGAGATTCCCCACTGATTACATCAACTGCGTGATCCTATACATTTTGGTCCTATGCATGCACTTATTTGCCCAATAATGAAAGAGTCCAAATGGGCAAATACATTTACTGGTCAATTAAATATTCTTGCATATTATTTTCTGCTCCTTCTTCATTCACAAAAGCGAGGACTTTTAGGTACACCAACAGCTCTTGAATTTTGGTCAGTTGGTGAGCGGAAACTGTGCAGCTTATTAACGGGCAACCTGCAATTATTCGATGGTGATTGATCGATTGATGGTTTTTGAAAATGATGTAAAGTGGCGAAATTGGTTCAATTGGTTGGAAAAATGTGCTGTCTGCGCCCTCATTGCTCCTAATCAACTACTCAACAAGTGGTAATATGTACATATTTTCTGTTTTGGGCAAAATTTCACTACGCATGCCGACCAAAGATACATCATACTTCATAAATGGTTACATACCGTTTCAGACTCAACGATCGGCGTTACTTTTGTTGCGGCATGTTGTTGCCCATTCTGTTGGATCGATGTTATCTGTTGCGAAAGAGATAATTTGTGTTGACAGATGACATAAGGCTTCCGATCCAAATCAATGCAACTCACACCTTTTCCATTGTTTTGCTTGTCGAATAACTAACTCTGATTTTTTTTCAAACCTTGTCTGTCTTCATTTTTTCCTGAATACGAACGACACTACTTTTTGCGAGGGGAATATGAACACTTAATTTGTGGCCAGTTTTTCGCATAATTTTTTTAACGACTGATCTACATTATCGATCAATAATATACTTGATCCGCCCGGCATGCAGTCCTCTTTGTCTTTCAAAGGTGTAAATTACTGACTTGACGCGAACAATTAGAGAATTAGATTTGCATAAAGAATTGACCATCAATCTGTTCCACACAATTTTATCAGGCAAAATTATTATAAGGCGGCAGCTAAATACGTGCACAGAAAATATTATGTATGCAGATTCTCCAACCATCACGACCATATTCGACGTTCTGTAAATCCCTCGACGAGTGGATATATCACGTAGCGAGAATTTTAATAATTTTCCAATTACAAATTGCTCATTGTTTGTCAAGAGGCCTCTTAAATTAAGAAAGAAGTGGGAAAAAATGGTAGCACATTGGCAATTTGGCAAATTGGATGCAAAATAATGACGTTGTGAGAAATTTGCTTTATTTATGCACGAAATAAAATGGTACTCGATACATATTTATGAATACATATCATCGTACTTAATTCTCTGCATATTATTGTAAAAGTGGAGTAATTGGGCGCATTATTATTGACTATCGACTATTGGATATTGGTGGGACAGACAGCTGGCCATGCTGGCTGAGCAATACGTACGAATATGAGCAATACCTACATATGCACCTATCGAGAGACCCTTAGAAGGAGGTGGGTGCCCTGGGGACATGTCGGGTGCAGAGAAATGAGATAATTACAGGTGGATTACGACCACTACCTCCTGCGAATTATGAATATTACTTCTTTCGGCATCGCCTGATTACTCGCGAGTGCAGCAGAAACTCTATATGGTGTTGGGGCCAAGCATTCCGCCTAGCAGGAAAATTTGCTCCCACCTCTTCAACTCCTCTCCTGAAGGGTTTCGAACCACCAATTCTGTGAACATTCCCTGCTCTGGTTCCCTTCGATGAATGATTTATGTCTTTCTGATGATCATCTATTCATTCATCCTCCTCCTCTGATTATTGCATGCAGAATGCAATACTTCGTGTACTTGTCTTATGTACATCTGACGTTGCATGCATGTTCACGCGTGATGCATCCAATGGTCACGCTCAAACTGCATTTTGAGTGCTTTCAGTTGAATCAAGATGCAATTTGAATTTTAATCACGCCAGTCGACTGATCGAAATTGGCATGACACATAATATGGGGCGTTGGTCTGGCTGGTGGTGGTGGTGTGAAAAAGCGAGTCAACTGTGTGGCAGCAGCGTCCACCAAACCATTCGGGAGTCGTAAAGCTTGAAGATAGAGTGAATTTTCAAGTATTTGTATTTCTCCATTTATTTTACATAACGACGCAACAATGCAGATGAGTGAATGGGTTGGGTTTTTGTGGCTCATGGAAATATTTTAAGCTGTTCAATAGGATTTTATTTGCCACACACACACACGCTTGAACAGAGGCCCATGCACATTGGAAATCGAATTGAGAGATTATCTGCGATGTTGTAGCTGATGATGGAGGAAATCTGCCGTGCGCCCCACCCAATCACCCTCCTTGGCTGGGTTGGAATGAGAGAAAATTGCAACTCATCCACCATTCGTCACTTTGCTATTTTCAGATTCGACTCGTCATCTCCTCTTCTCTGCAACTCAACAGCAGCAGATTGGATCAATGCACCAATTCAATCATAGAAATTGGTGAAAATTCCCTCATCCACACATCACCAATCTCGCGCCCCGTACTTCGACATTAGCAGAGAAAGGTCTGAATAAGTCGCATACAAAAACTTATCCAACTGATCACCATGCACGATGAATAATACGATGAAATGGAAATGGCAGCCCAGATAGAATTTAATTTTATCAATATATTCACAGATTTGATCCGCCAGCCATCGAGTCTGAATGTTTCTTCATTTATATTTGTGTTTGACAATGTTTTTCAGACGGTCGGTGGTGGTGGATATTTTATTGACGGGTGTATAATTGACAAAGGACGACGAGGATGAATTCGAGTGTGTATTTGTAGCATAAAAGAAGAGAGTATATCAGTGGATGCATTATGTGCATAATGATTTGCAGGATGAATGGATCGTACTATTCTCGTTTTCTAATAACAGCTCCAATGTTTTATTTGCAAACTCTGAGTTGAAGAAGATTGTTTATCAGGATCGGACTTCAATCAAACCATCAAAATCAATCAGTTAGCGTGAAGGAACTAAATTTGTCGTCACTTTCCTTTCGAAGCAATCGACACATTTTCAGTGCAACGAAATTATTTTCAAGTCTGAGAGAGTATTTCATATTCTTCCTGCATTTTCAATGAATAGTAATTACTAATGATGATGTCTTTAATTGGGTTCAATGAGGCTCCAGTTTTCACTCGAGTCTGACTATATGCACACATGTAAATACGGCATTTCTTAATTATTGTAATTTCTTTTTCACTATTTGCTATCCCCAGCAGAAAAGTCATTACGTAGCCGTGGGTGGGTGAGCATAGAAATCTGGGGGGAGTGGTCACGGATTTAATTTCACCAACCTCTTTGTCTCCGGGGTGTCGTTCCTTGAACATCACCAGAGCTATGTACTTCTTAATTCATTTACGTGCTGCGTGATTTTGTCACCTTGAAAAGAAAAGTAAACTGCACGAGGGATGCTGCTACGTGTGACATTGATGAAGACATTGTGGTCACTTTGTTTCATTTGCATTATTTTCAAAGACATCGAACTGCTCATCACAAAAGAGAATCCTAAATCAGTCCACCAGCCAACACAAGACGAAGACTGCTCCCCCCGTGTTTCTGACCAGAGATAAACATTCGTTATTTGTTCAGCACGCCAGGAAAAATGTAAATGGGTCACAAACGCACCAGTTTTTGCACAATATCTGTAACTCATGTCTTACCATCGTCGCTGGCATGAAGGTCATCTCAAAGCACAATGTTGGCGAAGCGTTTTGTTTCCTAAAAAAACATCCCTGCCAGAAAGTGAACGACATTGTCACCAATAAAGCAGTGAACCACGGATTTTCCCACAGAATGGGCCTGCTACAGATAAATACGTGTCAATTGTGGGATACGGTTTACCCTCGCGCAATGCCACTGACACCATTAACCACCGCTGCGAGAGATTTAAATCAGATTTAAGGTAAAGCCAAGTAGTTGTCAAAGCCAAAGTTGTTGATCAGATTGTGATTAATCCCTCAAACCAGAGTTCTTGACGTCGACGTCATAAAATGCATGAAGCCAATAAGTAGTCATTGTATAATTATGCTCGATATGATCTGGACTGCAGAGAGACGCTGACGAGCCTTGGAGTGGACAGCGGCTCTCTGCTGCTGCTCCTAAAAGGGCAGACAAGTCATTAAACGTAGCGTTCCTTAGCTGGGCGACCATTCTGCTGGTGCACTTGTGGAAAATATGACGAGACTTTTAGACGACGGCACTTGGCTAGTTCTTGTCCCTCCAGTTTTTATTGATTTGCAAAACCATTCAAGTATTATGCACGCCGTGGGACGCCATTCCCAACCAACAACCATCACCACCAGTTTATATAAGGGTTCAAGAAAAGCCAACTCTCGGAGGAGGTCGATTGTCTCGATTATGCCACTCATTATGACGACGACGACGACGACGCTTGGGCTGCAGTTTCACTGGGGAAACGGTCTCAACTGCACTTTGCACTGCATATTTACAACGCTATGCAGATTGCAGACAGAGGGAGGTTGGATTAGCTGACATGCAATATATTCACCCCCAACGAGTAATTACTGGGGTTTTTGTTGCATTAGAATTATCAAGTAGGGCTTGGAGATTAGTCGACAAAGGGGAATTTGTTTCACTGTTGTAGCAAAATGAAATGAAAGCGGTCGTAAATTTGGAGGTAAAAACTAGAGTCATCCTTTTTCTCTATTTCAGCCCCTGGGGGTGTCGACATACAGAAAAATGTAATAATAACTCTGTTGCGCATTGTGAGAGTAGTATTGTAGTCTAAACACACTGGGAATGCGAGTACTGGTCAAAAGTGAACAACGAAGCTTGACGAATTATGAGTCGTGAACCGAAGGAAGCCATTTAGGAATTAAATAATGATAATGAGGTCCCAATTTGTAATTTGTAAAAGTAATTTACCTCTCCATTCTTGCCCCTCTCATATTTATTATGCATCAAGTGCGACAAATCCACCGCATATACAAATTTATTTATCAACTTGTAAATTGCTTCGGAGGAGTCATTATACTTGGTTCCAGCGAGGGTCACGTCGTGTCAATTTGCAATAATTTGCCCCCACATTGCTGGGCCTCATAAATAAATAATTTTACCATTTTGTATTCAAAAAATAACTCCCAACTGAATCGTCACTTAAATTAATAAAAATAAGAGATGTAGTTAACAATGAACTGATGCATTAAATATTGTCTGTCACACTGCAAAGTATATGCAAGGCTTTCCTAACGAGCTCCAAATGAATGAGCGGACAATACCACTGTGAGAAAGCTATTATTAAATTATGCAGTGTTCTACTGCATCCAACGGCAAAGTCAGAGTTCAAACATATCGTTTTCTAATTGTTAATTAATTGGTGTCGATTTTCGGCCAGTTTGACATGAATGTGGCACAGTTCAAAATACGTCTGAAGATTTGTCCTTGCATTGTTTATGACCGGAGGCCACAAATAAACAGGAGGGTTGACGACGATATGAAACACAATGACATTCAAGATCCATCAATCATCTTCATGTTCGCTTGTTTAATAGATCGTAATAGCAGTGTTTGACTACATTCGTTGGTACTTTGATATTTACTTGAGGCACTTTTTTCCCTGCTTCTAGATTTTACTTTTCATTTCAGTAAAAACAAATTCCCAATGTTGTTGTGAGTAGGAAGGAAGGATGTCGATGTTGCAATTGCAATATTTTTTGTCCCAACTCTCAGAATTTCTCCAACCACTTGGTCTGATGGTTAGTTGTGGTCCTCTCCCATTCTAAAATTATAGCAGCTCACATTTATTACTTGTAGAACATAGAATGCATTTAGGAGAAATTATTTTCATTCCACTCTTATTAGCAATAAATCCAAGTAGCAGATTATATGAAAAAGTTAGCGTCGATAGTAACACACCAAGTTGACGAATGGCCACGCCCTGCGCTGAGTTAAGTGAGTACATACACGTAAAGACTGGTTGTATGTACATAATTCTTGTAATTAATCCATTACCAATTCCTGAAGTGCAACTTTTTTGTATTTTGTCAAACTTTCCTGCTGACTTGTTCCGTGCTGAACGACGGACGAACAATATTTATCTGTCAATTATAGTATACAACTTGCAACTCAAGTTCATTCGTACTATTATTTAACTTCGATTGACTGATAAATAAGTCGCCTTGAAATTAAATGTTCTTCTGGGTTTGTGTATGAAATGTTGTCCTTAACTCTGCATGGACCAGATATTCATTCTGACGATTCGTCGGTTGCTTTACATACGCTGAAAACTAAAGAGTTTTAATTTGTTTAATGATTTAGAACTGAGGCAAATGTTTCGGCTCCTTAAGAAGAACAAGCGAAGTGGGTGTCATAAATCATCTTTATTTAATTAAAATGCAAATTAGTGAGTAGTGCGGCCTGATCTTCATGTGAGCCTTGTGGAATTATGCATGTAGAGGAACTATATCTACCAACAACTATTTAGTTGTAAGACATTGTTGCTCTTATGAATCTTTGAATGAATATTACCATGTTTTTTTGTGTCTCTGCACTTATAACACAGTTTCTCGTCCATTAATAAGGCTTACATTGATAAGTATCAACTAGGTAATTCCATGAATTTGCTGAAAATAGTCGCTAAAAATGTACAGAAGCGATATGTGACAAGTCTGAACTTGATGAGTGGCACTAATTGCTTCAAATTGTTTATGTTCGTGTCGTAAAATCCATCCAAACATGGACATTTATGGTTTGGTCTTAAAAATGATGAGAATGCTTGTAAAAAGCGATCTGCGCCAGTAAATAATTGCGTCAGTAGTTGACGAATGGGGGGCTGTTAAATAGTTGCAGCAAAGTAAATGTCAAGTGTATCTACTTCACAAATCATATTTTTATGAACGAGACAACTACAAATACATTTAGCCGGCAGCCGTGTGCGACTCATCTCATTTTATTGCCAAATTACAGTTGGCAATTGCAGCTGAAAAAGTCGAAAAACAAATAGTGAAGATGTGCCAACGATGCCGAGTTCACAGTCAACAGTGATGGTCAAGCAAGGCATTTATGTAGTTTACTGACGCTCCTGGCACCCGTTCAAAATTGACAATGACACACAAATTGGTCCTTTTATTGTATGAGTTGTGCATAATATTTGATCCACAAAAACTACAACGTCGTTCGAAAAAAGACAGAGTAGAACTTGTCGTTTCGTTGATTATAATTAATTACGTTGTTATACGCATATGTTAATTAGTACAGTTTTCTTACGCAGGATTAAGCAAAAAATTGATGCCTAGATTCTCAAGTAATACATGCATACGTTACGTATGCATACATGTATTTTAATTGATATGCATTTACAATTAATATTCAAATGGCAGTGGAACAATCAACTAAAGTGTCAACCAACAAAAGTTCAATTGTTTTTGCTAACGATACTTATGTACGTTATTAATATGCAAATTAATCAAGTGTATTGAATAATTTTGCATGTATTTTTTCACCTTTTTGATATCAGCAATAACCTTTCGAATCATTGAATGTTTTTATCTAGCATTTTGCTCCAATTTATAAAAGTTTCTGTTAATTGGCGTGATATCGATCGTCAGTCAAAAAGCGAATTGTTTCCCAATCGTTCTCCTCCCGAGATTTATGAGCTTTGTAAACGTGAGTGATTGTTGTTGTCGCTCCAATTTAAATTCCTCTCCCTCTGCCCTCCATCAATTGACGACGGCAGAAAGAAAAATTCGACTCACTTGTATCCTCTGCTGATTTACGAGCAAGTTTTTTTACCTTGTTGACATCTCCTACAGATAAATATTACAGCGTAGTTGCTCTATTTATGTAAATATGCATGCATCGTGATCGCGAGATTTGCGACTTCCAGAACAAAATGTAGTACGTGAGATCCACCCCAAACGCATTTTGTGAATTGTTGGTAGCTATTTTTGGCCGAAGGTTGATGTGTGTGTGACCATTGGTCATCTCACCTCCACCACTCCCTTCGCACGTATATTTTTATTGGTACTTATTTATTGGTTGTGTTGTAGCTTGAGGTCAAGTTTTCCAGAAAAATGTGCTGAGCCGTCCTTTAACCTTTGTTAGTCAATCATGTCGTGTCACCTTGTTTCTCGTCTCTCTTTCTTGTTGTTAATTGGGCAGGGCAATTAAATGCCCATGGATGAGCAGAATGTGATCAAACCCACACAGGTAAACCAGTTGATCAAGTGTCTCTGCTTGATCAATTGCGGCTCACTTATCGCTCATAATGTATGCGTTGCAGAAGCATTTTTATCAATTAATTGTTGCACATCAAGATTTCGCGATTGCACTTTCTATTCCCAGATCACCAAATAAACACATGCACACACACGTTGAGCCGGACGGATGCAAACGATCGACAAAGTGAAAACAATTCAGAAATCGAAATGGGAGAATTTTATTCGAGTGTCAATGTCAGGAGTTTAAACCAATTGGTGGTGGTGGAATATAATTATGTGCGTGGTTAAGTGCACACTTTAGCGAGGAAGGAGATAACAGGCATACGATATTATTGCCAGTTGATTGATTTGGATAAGGCCAACAGGTATTTGTACTGGTTGGTTAAAAGAGTTGAGAAAAGTGCATGGTCAACTTTGGAAAATTGAAATGCGTCCAAAACATTGATCCACATTTTGTTTTTTGCTCATTCATGAATGAAAAGCATTGATGAGAGAGATGTGATTTCTTGTGTTTTGTACGTGGGGCTATTCTGCATGGCGTGGTCACTCCTTGTTTGTTGTGGACCGTATCTCGTGAGATAACAGAAATGACATTGCTATTTACAATTTACTTGGTCAGCCAATACCATGCACTCACATATTACGTGTCTTAATTATGTCTCTGCAAAAAGAAATCATTGCACTGTGCATTATGACATTTGGCTGTATTTACTTCCTCTTCGTATGCACATATTCTGATGCGCTTAAAATTCTGACTTGATAGTAAAATTGTTCCACATAGTCGCAACGACTCGAGTTTATTTAGATGACACTGACAAAGGTGATCAGGGCGAGGAGGATTTTATCTCTGATGAATTTTCGGATGAGATTTTAAGGCGACCTTATAAACGGCTCAGCATGTTGGTCAGTCCCACTGCTTCAATGATGAGATAACAATTAATATAAATCTACAGATTATAATGAAAAATCCATTCAAATCAATAATAATTTTTGACGCCCACACATCGTAACATGATTTTCAATCTTATCCTTTCGCAACCTGGTCGTCGTGTTTGTGTGTGGGGATCAGTAATTGTATTTGAAGACATAAATCACAAATATGCACATTTTAACTACCAATTTAGTCAAAGAGGAGCTTCATGTTGTTAAACAAGACAAAGTGGCGGCTTACTTACAAAATTGATTCTTTGACTCGTAATCGCTGTTGCTGATTGTCTTCGATCGGATGATTTTGTGAGAGACGCTTCCTCATGTAAATTTTTAAGGTTTGTTTGCATATACCTACAGAAGAGATATGCAGATTGAGAGAGGGGAGGCGACAGGGAGTGGGCCGTTACAAATTGTAGACAAAAATGAAATAAAATCATAATGTAATTTGATCTTCGTCATCATACATAATTTGTATGTAGTGGAAATAGTGGAATGGTCGTTCAGCCAGAAGTGGTCGTTAATTTACACGAACATAAAATAATAGTTAATAAGTAAATAATTCTCCTCGTGTACGTACATAATCATAATCATAATAAAATTATTACTTATTTTTGCACGTTAATTTTGCTTTACCTTTTTTGGACAGTTTTTAAAGGATTTTATTTTACAGAGATTTTATTTTACCTCTCTCGTTGTCAAATGCTGCTTTTGAAATAATTGCAATGTGGTAAGAAGTGCATCCGTGGACAAGACCGTCGGTTGGTCGGATGGCAATAATGACGATTATGATGATGATATAATAATTTGCATTGACGTTATGTCTTCCTTATGACGAGCAGCATTTCATAATAATCCAATCGAAGCACACACAGTGTCAATAGCGAGCGGTGTCTTGTCAACCAACGTGTAATTATCCCATCCATCCCCACGCCATTCATTCACCTAATTCAATTGAATATGGACAACTTTTCTTTCAATCGTCCAGGTCAGAATATAATGACGATTGCCAATTCCTCCAACTCTGCCTTTGCATCCACAAAATGATGATTGAGCTGCAAAGTCGAATTGATTTCTTTTTTGGGATATCGTCATTAAGACATTATGATATTTTTTGCTTGCTCCTTTATTACTTTTTAGCACTGCTGATGCTATATGTATGTAAAGTATAAAGTAAGGGGAAAGAGTAATCAACTTTTTTCCATCTCTACCAGTTGTTACAAACTTACAAAAAGTATGTATGCATTGGCAAATCGCTAATAAAAATAAATTTAATTAGTTGTCAGCTTTTATTTGGTGATAAAAATGTCATATGTCAACACCTGCCTTGTTACAGGGCATATAAAAGACACACAGCTTTTCAATCTGTGGCGAAACGCAATTTAAATCTTGTCACGATTTTAAAAGCATTTATTATTACTGCTTTTCTCTCTCAATGATATCGTTAGTGGATGTCAAAACCTTAGCGGAACAAATGAAGGATGGAAATAATACAATCGCCTCCAAATTATGATATGACTTTGTTTTTCTTGTAAATTTCCGGTTCTCAACAAATTTACTATTTAAAAGATGAGCATGAATCAATAAACGCTTAACCATCAATTTTTTTTCTTGTTTTGCAGACCTCTCCTCTCGTCGCTGGTAAACAAACTTGAGACGCTGGTGTCGAAAATTGAGCAGATGAACCAAGTCCAATCTCAAATTCAAAAGTCGTTTGACAATTTGGAAACTCGCTTCACTCTGTCGCAACAGATGGACGACGTTCCGCAGTGTGGGCGACGAGTTGACCGTGTGTTGCGGACGCTGACCCCGCTCGTGTCGAGGGTGGAAGGATTGTGGTCCGTCGTTTCTGGATTCTCCTCACCCCCCGTCAACTCCTTCAACGTCAAACCAGGCACGAGCAGCGTCCCTCCCTCGCAATTCTTGGGGGACGCGCTTCTCTCGGAGTCAAGGAGGCAGGAACGGGCCATCACTGCCATCCGAACCGATCTCAACGTCAGAGTGAGTCACCCCATAATTAGCCAACCAGGCATACAATGTGTAAAATACGATAGCCTTGATATGGCCTGCAAAACGAAGTAGCCTGAAAGGACCTAATAGCTTTAGAGTAGCTGCGTGTATGCATATATTTATAGATCTTGTGTATGCACATACATAAGTAGGAAGTGGCGCAGTTCGTCAGTTTGACTATGCAATTTAGAGCCATCAAGCATTTGTAGACAGGAGGAGGATGTAGATTTCGATTGTTTGAACCAAGTCAAAATTTAGCACAGATATCGATCGATGTTACGCAACTCAACAATGACTCGGGAGGATGTTTGATTTGTTCTCTGACAGTTAATTTAAATTGAGATAAACTACTTGCATACCGACAGCAGAGAGGTGAAAGTCTATTTCCGACGAGTTTTGCCAAGTTCCTATGAATAATGCGTATGTACCTGCGTGTTTATGACTTAACTTATGTCCTTCTTCCTCCAGACTCAACAAATCATGTCAGAGTTGGGAACGGTGGAACAGGTAATTAACACTTTCTTTACTATTCGAGCATTCCCAACAGATTTTTATATCATGCGAAATTTCAATGAATGGAGCAGCAGTTGGACGTTTTGCAACAAAAGAAGGGTCCTCTCCCACCCGGCAGTGGAATCTCGATTGACCAAGCTGACCAATTGGCCACGGACATTCAGACCACCAACGACGTCACCTTCGACGAACGGTTTACCGTTCCTGGCAACTCCAGTTTGAGGGCCCCACCTTCCAGCGGCGTCCCTGCTGTCGTCTTCCCCTCCGTCAAGAACAAACCGAGTGCTGAGGCCGGAGCGTTGGACGGAGCGGACGCTCTCCTCACTGGGGTAACCATAAATCATCATATTTACTGGCATGCAGGAGTCCATGCGTCATTTCCATCGCGTTTCTCGAGAACGAAATATGTGCATTGGATAAAAATGAACAAAGTCATTCATTTAACTCTTTTAGTCTGGACAGGCGAAGGGGTCTTGTGCGGAACTTATGGCGCAAGGAGCGCGTCGATCTGGCCTCTACCACATCGTAAGTTGACCATTTATTCAGTTTTCTAGCCAAGTAGATTAATCCAACTCTTTCCTTTGTCGCAGAAACTTCCAGGGGCCCGATCTTCATTCTGGCAATTGCTGACTTACTGTGATCAGGACATTTCTGGGGGTGGATGGATGGTAATGTTTTGAATGCCAGTGAAAATTGGGGACACTAGAAATTGCCCGTACATATAAATTGCGAGATGATATGTTTTTAGATTCGTCAGTGAAAACCTTTTATTACATGGTGAATGGTTATAGTGTACCTAAAAACAGATTAGATTTATCATGCAGGATTGCTACTCTCTATTTGACCTTTGTCACAGCTACCACCTTTTATGGCCTCGTGAAAGATAAATCGTGATCACAAAGTTAGCAGGATCTGCCAAAAGAAACTGAATCACTCAATTCACTCAATACCTTCAAAACAAACAAAACCGCAGATTTGTCAGATTTCCATCCTTCTAATGTGATGACCAAGATTTTTTTTTTGTAGCAGAATTATCAGATAATAGGCGATAAAATGAAATTAGAAAAATAATTTCGACTTTTTCATTCGTAATAATTTTTTCGCATTGTTATTATTGTCAATTGCCACTGAATCGACGACTAAAAAAAGTGACGCCAATTATGCAATTATTTATTCCAAAATGAGACTGGTTGTTGGTCATGACGATGAATCGGGAAGGTCGACCACAAGACATAAGTAAACAGTGGACCACGCCCGATTATTCCACACTTGAGTTGTAACTAATATATTGCCATGATTCGATATCGATACCAACACTGGTGGAATGTGCACAGGTGATTCAACGGAGGGCGGACTATGGGGAGCCGAGGGAGAGCTTTCACCGGAACTGGGTAGAATATCGGTCTGGATTCGGTGACCCCATGCGCGAATTGTGGATGGGAAATCTGAACCTCCATCTCCTCACCTCCTCCGAGGACCAAGTGCTCAGGATCGAACTGGAGGATTTCGATGGGGAAAAACGATACGCAGAGTACTCCACCTTCAGAGTAAGAACCACTCGTTGTGCACATGAGGCAGGGTTTCCTGCTGAGAATTAGTACCAATTCACATAACGAATCGCAACAACTTTTTCACGCAGGTTGCATCTGAGACAGACGGATTCCGCCTGGAAGTAGGTGGCTACAGTGGAGATGCAGGCGACGCCTTGAGTGACCCCTGGTAAATACGGTTTGGTTGCATATGATGTCATACTGACCTTCCCCTAACATTTGTAATCAACGGACACCCATCTTTTCCTGTCAGGTACGGGGCGCATGGGTCCGCGTTCTCTACACACGATCGGGACAACGACAGGTCCTCGCTCAATTGCGCGAGCATGTTGAAGGGCGGCTGGTGGTGGAAGTCCTGTGGGAGAGGTCTCAACGGACTCTACTTCGACACCCAACAGCCCGACTCTGCCCTCGCCCGACAGGGTATCGTTTGGTTCAGATGGAAGGTACAGAAAGTCAACCAATTATCATGGTGAACATGTGAAGGTGGTCAATAAATCTTCCTTCGTTGTTTTGTGTAGGGATGGGATTACACGTTGAAGAAGGCGACCATGATGATCAGGCCGAAGAGCTTCCGACCAAACAACTCCTCCTCCACACCCTTCACGTCACAATCATTCGTCTGATCGATAATTAGAATTCTACTAAAAAAGAAGTCGGCCTTTCCAAATTGCTCCAGAATTGCCGTTACTGCCGACCGAATTAGATTGTGCTACGTTTATTATAACCTAAGATATTTTGCATGTATACTTACTTAGTTAATGCGTAAGTGGTGCATGTAGATACCCCACCAGTACTTTTTAAGGTTTTTTTAGGCTAAATAGCTATATTTTCGTAAAGATGGCATGTTTCCGTTTCGATAATACCTGCTTCCAAGTTTGGCTTTTCTCTTCTTCCTATGCTACGTGCTACCTTACTAAAACTATTTTGGTGTGCTCCGAAGCTTTATTGTATGTGTGTGAAACTATTGATGGGGACGTGTTAAAAAATCGTGGTGGTCCTCATCGCTATTGTTATGGGAGGATAGAAGATTTAGGTTCTTTTCATTGTAGTGCCAATGAAAATCTGAAAACAGAGGCTGTTATACATTTTGTATGTAAAAATGTTACACACACACACACACGATATTTTACTTAAGTTTTAGACTATGATTACTTAGGATAAGAAATGTATTGAGAGTTGTCAACCGTAATGACCATTTATAGTGCACGTCACATTATTCGCTGTCTATCTATCCACTATACAAGAAATTATTTCACAGACGTCAAAATGAAACACCACAATGATGAAGCATTAATCCAGTATTAAAACCATGCAAGTACCTCATTTTATATTTCATCGGAGGGACTTTGTTGACAAGTTTTGCAGATTTTTGAAATGAAATGAATAAAGAAACAATGTGTAACGAATATCCAGATGTTTTTGTCATTTGCTACTTCAAAAAGTACTCTTATTTGTCGTACATAATCAACTTCAATCACCTTTGGGTGGAAAATATGCAAACAACATTGCAGATTGAGAAAAATTAGCATATCAAAGTTAGGAGTATGTAGTGTATGTGACCCCAAAGGGTCGAGATTTAGAGATTGGCAAAGTGTTACATATATGTATTTATAGAGATGGTAAAATCATATCATATTTGTGCTTATGTAGGATTAGTCGGGTTGTCATCTTAAGTCCATGTTATCCGGACATGGACTTATGGGTGAGATGCGAGAGCAGGAAAATATACTGTACGTCTTCCTGTTCAAGGTGTTCCTATAGACACCCAACCCGCTGGTGTCAATTTATGCTTGTAATTTAGCGCCTTTGATTAGTGAAGCAAAATTATGTGATTAGCGGATAATTCCAAGTAATACAAATTCTAGTAATTATTTTAAATTAGTTTGGCCCCCACCTAACATTTTGATCAGTCAATATCATGCGTCACCCAGTCCATTACCTAAACCCGAAGCAAGTCGTTGAGGACTCTATCCTCGTTGGACGACGCAGGGTTATCCTCTCCTCCTCGGTCGACCTCCGAGCCCATCGACCGTCTCGATCCAACCTCCCACTCATGAAAATCCTCCCACCACCCAGGACGAAGCACAATGAGTTCAAAGAGGAGCATGACCACCACCAGACTTCCAGCCACTACCCACGCCAAGGCACACATTCCTCCCTCATCCAAAATAATCCCCTCGCCTGGGATGGCGAAGATGCGAATCATGAGCAAGTAGAAACAATAAATATCAATAAAATGCTATTTACGATTAATTGAATTTGTGCAAATTCAGTTACCGGACGAGAAGGCTTCCGAGCTTGATGATGAAGATGATCAGATTGAAAAAGAGGTTTTCATTCTGAAGCGTGACTTCTCCTTGCGGGCGCTGAGCGTCACGGACCGGGTGGATGGGAAGGACCACTCGCAGGTAATCTTTCCACGCGCCGCTATCCCTTCTGCAAGTCGACAACAACCTGCTTCTGGAACCTCCCTCGTTCTCCTTTGGGCCAGAAAACCTTCTCTTCTACCGCCCATGAGTGTTTCTGAGGAGCAGATCGTGCCTACCACTCAACCACGCCCGTATTGCTCAAGCGAAGAGTGGATGTTTTTGTCAACGGGGAACAGGTAATAAATAATGAATTACCACAACGAGGTGAAGAGGAAGTAGTGACGACTGGAATTCACTTCCCATATTTTCACCTTGTAATATCACGATCCTCGTCAATTATTAGGCGGCAACGCACCTGTCCTCAAACGCTCGCCCTGGATCCTGACACCTCTGCTGACCCTGTCACTGTGGAGCTAATCCTCCCTCGGGGAGAAAGTCAATCAGCCTGGAATAAATACCCCTGCCAGCATTTCGAGCCGAGAAGTAGCTGGAATAAGGGAGTAAACCCACTGGACTTGGCCATGAATCTCCTCCCCAGAGGCCATTCGGATGGGAAAGTACACCGTCTGTCCTCGCCGTTTGAAAACTTCCAAGTCGACCCTGACTACCCATACGGACTTCACTTTTCTCCAGGAGTTCACTCCAGGTTTCCATTTGCAAGCCACATCTTATTATTATTCCCACTCAGAACTTGATATGTGTATATTGTTGGGCGCAGGTGTGAATTACTTTTTGAATCTCCGGACCCCGAGTACGCAGAGAATTATGAGGGGGCCGCCCTGCCAGGACCATCCCACCGACCGCCCACACCCCCATTTAAGCGCCACTTCCTCTACCGCTACAACCGGGCGAGCATCCTCCCAGTACCGACCCACTACGAGGAGGGGATCATTCGCAAGGTGAACTGGACCAGGTTGAACCCTGTGGACGAAGCCAAGTTCATACACCAAGAGCTGGAGGAGAGGGCGATCGACGTTCTCAAGGCGAAGGAGATTTACGAAGCCTTCCGTTCCCAGTCCATCGCACTCGGGAATCAGTACTATTTTGAGTGGGAGAGTCGCCAACTCGAGGCTCAGCGGAACGTTTGGGACAAGTACAAGTACAACTTGGAAGCGATGCACTACTTTTCCCAAGCCTCTCGATTCGACCGCGGCCTCGAGTTAAACCGACCAAAGCCCATTCTCATCCTCAACGAGAGCGTGACCAAGCTGCTCCGCAACCATGAAGAAACGCCACCCCAATACTACGATACTGATGTTTGGGACGACGTGACAGTCTGGCCATTCCCACCAACCCAACCCAGACCGTTCTTCTATCAGGGGAATCGGGCCTGGTTGTGGCGCCTGCGGATGGAAAATGGCCCCTCCTTCGTACCTGGAGGATACTTCTACCATTTGTGGGATGTTCGGGAGACTGGGGAGATTTACAACGTACAGGAAATGGAATTCGCACGTCTTCGAGATTTCCCACCTCCTGGAATTGATAGCCCAGAAGGAACACCGGTGCAGAAGGGTGTCATGAGTGGAATTTTCAACCAGAACATCACACCCCCTCCAGAGTGGGAGAACTTTGAAGAGAAGGAAGAGGCAGAGTGCATATTTACATACAACTAATCGCATTAGATATTTAGTACCATAACCATCTGTCAATACCCTGAAGAATGAATTGATTACACAGCATTTGCTGGCCGGAAGAAGACAATATGGCTGATTTTATTACCGGGACTCTCTGCTGGGGTCGACCTTGGACAGAATACTTTCTTCGTGGTAACTCGTCATCCCCAGAGTCGTCGGAGACTTGTCCCTTGTGTCCCTTGCCTCTTGGGTGTCAGGCCTACGCGACCCTGTTTCGCTCCCGTTGGACAGAACCATTTGGGTTCAACGACGCCTATGCCTACGACCCAAGGGAGAGAGAAGCCGAGCTCCCTCGAAAAGTCAACCCCTACAATAACCTGTTCAACCGAAGGGACTGGTACTACTGGTTCGTGAGGAGGAAGAAGATCGTTAAGTGGTTGTACATCATCCGGCAGAAAATGGCATGGAACGAGGGCAACTTTGATGCAATCAATGTCACCTTTTATGATGTCATGGCGGACTGGGTGAGATGCGCTTGTTCGTAGATATGCAAAATGCCTATTGTATGGATGGTAAATCCAATTGACGCACTATAGTTGCTTTGCGAGCATGTTTTTCATGAACGAAATGAACAAAGAAAAGTCTCAAATTTTATCGTCCCACTTTCCCCAACAGCACTGACTACACCTGCGGCAACAGTGCAGCACATTGTTCGATCATATTATTGTCATTCAGCTGTCAGTGCATAATTAGCAGTTATCCGATAGCAGAGGAAATTTAAATAGGACAGACTAGTATTAGTAGTAAATAAGATTTCCACGAGATGGTTGAAACCCATGCAGGACAAGGAGATGGCGATGGCGAGCCTGTGGTGGTAACTATAATTCAGTTCTAGTCTATTTACTTGTCGAGATAGAGACAGATACCGGCTGGGGAGGACATTATATTGCATTAATGTTGGGAATATCGAGGCGGACGATAATGTCCTTTCTCCTCTCATCACCACGGTCCACACGGCCGCTCGTTCAGAAAACGGGCTCTTGTTGTGCTGGACGTGATGGTGGGGAGGGGGGAGGACAAAAAATCGCAAGTGTTTCACATCTTGATAATGTGAAGGTGGGTTGGTACAAAACAACATGATCTGATCTGGCAAAGTAGTCGTCATTATTTCGAAGACATTACATTCTATAGTCGTTGATAAATAATCTATATGGTGGGCTACTAATTTCCTCTGGAATGATGAATAACGCCTTTGTTTTCTTATTTGCAGTACAAATGGACATCTCCACCAGCAAAGCTACTCCTACCAAACAAAACCAAGATTGCTGTAGCCCAGATGAACTGTACGGAAGATAAGGAGGAGAATTTGGAGGTCGCAATCAACTTTATTAAAACGGCGGCGACCAAACATGCCTCCGTAAGTAAAACACAATTTTCCAAATATTACGTGACAAGACCTGATTGTTGTTGTTATCTTGGCATCGCAGATGATATTCTTTCCAGAATGTTTCGATTTTGTTGGAGAGAATAAGGCGCAAACATTGCAGCTCGCGGAACCTTTGGATGGCTTCCTGATCACACGCTACTCTGAATTGGCGAAACAGTTTGGGATTTGGATTTCTCTGGGTGGATTTCATGAACATGAGAAGGATGAAGGCGAGAGAGTCGTGGTACAGCCCAATTTATCCAAATTAACATGAGCATGGTTTCCAGTTTTACTTATTTGGTTATTAAAACTAAAATCTTTTTGGCACAAGTAGCCTACAACTGGAGGGAAGGCTGACGACGAGGGGGGACCTTGCCTTAGAAATGCCCACCTTCTTCTCAATCCTGAGGGCGAGTTAGTCTCCGTCTACAGGAAGATGCACCTTTTTAACGTTGACATTCCAGAGAAGAACATTTCACTCCATGAATCGTCCTATGTTCGCCCAGGAGATGAATTAGTCTTGTCAGAAGTGACACCAATTGGGCGGATTGGCCTGGGAGTGGTAAGATAAGGAATAAATAACTCTATTACGATGTCATGGACAATGAATAATTCCGTTCAACTTCTCGACAGTGCTATGACCTCAGATTCCCTGAATTTGGAATGGCATATCGAGCCCAAGGCGCTCACGTCCTTACGTATCCTTCTGCTTTCACCGTACACACGGGACAGGCTCACTGGGAACCATTATGCAGGGCTAGAGCCATTGAGAATCAATGCTTTGTCATTGCTGCAGCCCAGTGTGGCGAACACAATGCCAAAAGAGCAAGCTATGGAAATTCAGTGGTAATTTTTTTCTATTTTCTTAAAACTAGTAATAATTGAGATTCGTCAAAAAAGTGTTTACTGTAATTTTGAAGATTGTGGACCCTTGGGGAACCATTCTTGCTCAAGCAGAAGGATCGAATCCTGGTCTCATCTTCGCCGAAATTGACCTAGCGCATTTGGAGAAAGTTCGGCAAGAAATGCCTGTCATTTCACACAAGGCCCCTGGACTGCTTAGCGTTCTTGGCAAAGACAGTGGATTGCGGGAGGACGAGTATACCGCTCAAAATGCATTAGTCACGAATATTCTTACGGCAGCAGCTCCAGAGACAAAATCTGAACTTGGCCTTTGCACCATTCCTACCACTGATAATAGTAGAGCAGCAACATTCCTGTTCGGCCCAATTGTAGCCAAGTATGAAATTGTGTTTCTCGAAAATAAAAATGCTCGAGCATTTGTGAATAGAAAGTGTATCGTTCCCGGACGTAAGTGATTGCATGAGTCCCTGGTTAAGCTGTAGATGTTGTGCCACTTACATTTGCGCGATTTTTTTCTGCAGATGTGCTGATCTCCACGAAACGGGTGGCCAAGCGATTGAGTGACCTTTATCCGGAAGAAGTAGCAGACCTATTCCTTTTAGCACAGAAGGTGGAGCAAATCATGGAGTCGGTGCATAATGTGACCTCTTCCACTGTTACCTTGCAAGATGGAAAGGATGCCGGACAAACAGTGCCTGTACGTGTATATATTTAATCATATACCTAAATACTAAACGAATTACTCAAGAGCATCGCTCTTTTTTTAACTACTACTAGCATGTTCATATCCACGTTGTGCCAAGAAAGGTGAACGATTTTGAAGACAATGATTCAATCTACAAGGAGCTAGCAACCCATGATAAAGGGGCGGACATAGCTTGGCGAAAGCCAGAAGAAATGAAGGATGAATGTGATAGACTGAGAGCATATATTAGGACCAATTTTCCTCAATTTCTTGCTCCGTAGAAATAAGACAAAAAAATACTGTTGAGATTTTCCGAAATATTTACTAAATAAATATATCCCATATTTGGACTTGTCATATGATTATTATCGTTTTTTGCTACGAAATAACTAATCCTAAGAATAATATAATAATGTAATAAGATTAGCGTGCTATTATTCGTTTCCTTCCTGCTGAAACTACTACGTTTGTGGGGGTGGACTAGAATTGGAGGATGAAGAGCTAGTTGTATTATCAGTAGAACTCTTATCTGAGGATGGTTTCTCTGCTATCTCCTTGTCCAACCGTTCCTTCGCCCGATAAAACTTTGATTGTAAATAGAACGACCCCCCTTTGGCTTTATCGTTGATATTGAATAGAAACTCGTAATTTTTAGTGACTTCTTCCAGATTAGAATTATCGGAAACATTTAAAATTTGTCTAGCTTCTTCTAGGGTCATTCCCAGTCGTAAGTTTTCTGCAACAGTCTTGCTACTTGAACGTGAAGAATCACCACTTTGTCGGCCACCGTAACGGGCTTGTGCGGCTGCTTGTGAGGCCTACAAATTACACAAATTTAGGTTTCGTATCAAGCGTATGCCAACCACAAATGTCACCTGCCGTCAGGTCAAAGACGGACGGACAGACCGATATGATTTCATAAATGTTGTCTCCTCGGGATAAAAATTTTATATAACAAATTGATATTCGTCACAAATTGTGACTCACAATTACCTGATATTCTTGCCTGACCGCCCTTGCAAATGCTTTCCCTACAGCCTGGGTTCCCAGCACAATGATCTGAATGAGGTATTTGGCCATGATGGTGTGACGGGCGTCGGAATTTCGTCACTCCGACCAAAAAGAACGAACTAATTGGAGTATTTTAGAAAGACAACGCGTGGTATCAAAATTTGAGTCAGGATTGAATCAGCACGAGCTGACATAGAGATAAACTTCCCGCGTGCAAGATTCTTCATTCCCAAAATAATTATTTTGATGTTGACCGACCGAGTACGAATTTTGGCAGTCGGTGCACATAAAAAGTTACAAAGTCTCAAATTATTCAAAGTTGGATATCAATCCGAAAGTTGGTCGGCACTTCTGTAAAAAAAAACAGCGCTCCAGATTAGTCTGTGCAAAAACAGTGTTTGTTCGGTTTCGGTAGGTACTAATCTGAAGGAAGGATAAGTGCCGGGTGGGTTGGATTTGCATGTCGTTTTCCTTGATGTACGATTTGATTTGTGACTTTGTAAGATTATATTACTATCCAAAAAACCTTCAATAAATTTTATTTGCTCACTTCACACTATAACTTCTCGCCACACAGTCTGGTATTGTGGTGGGCGCAAAAAAGTGGAGCAAGTGTCGAGTTTTGCAATAAATATCGTTGTCACCTGCTATTATATACTTTCGACTTGGGGATAAGTAAAAGCTAGGAACTAGGCCACCCGTTAAATTCAATATATTGGAACTGTTTTTAAATCGTAGTATATCTTATTTTGATTTACTAGCCGTACTTGTTTGGCTGGTCGAAGTTTGTCAAACGGGACGACGAATGGAACGAATCCCCTATTTTTTCTTCGCAGTTAAGTTTTGTTGCATAAGTACAATATGCTAGATTGGGTTAGATAATCTAACTTAGATTAGAACGAAACAACACTGAATAAGTGCAAATGTGCAATAAAATATTTCCTGTAGACGAAAAACTTGACGATTTTCGTGCGTCCCGTTTGATAAACTCCATCTAACTGTTTCATTTAGCGTCTACTGTTTCATTGTTGGTGGTTGGATATCGAGGCATCAAAACAAAATGTTGATATTGAAATTGAACCTAACAGAGTCGTGTTTTTATTAGCTGACAATTGACACACCATTGTAGTCGTACGTAGTCTCAACACAAAAAGAGTAACGCAACTTATTTTGTATTTGTATTCAATTTACTAGTGACCAGTAGGGAATATGTCATTTCCTTCAAAAACTGAACGGGAGAAATGTTGGACTTCCCGTGACGAGTTGTGGAAATGTCTTGACCAAAATAAAGCTGACCCCCAAAGTGCGTGTGCTCAGCTTAGAACAATTTATGAAAGCTCTTGTCCGTCTCAATGGGTATGAAAATTCTCTAACCAGGGTAGTTGTTAAGCCTAGAATGAAATTATAACATACATTTCTTTGTAGGTGAAACACTTTGATAGGAAACGAGAGTACCTCAAATTTAAGGACAGAATTCAAAATGATGGTTTCGAACCCTTGGACCGGATTCCTAAGTCAGTTTGACAGTTAGACTTAAATACGATTGCAGTCAATAATCCATAAATAATCAAAAATGAACGAAATTGTGTGATCATTAAACATAACGAAAAATTGATTACGCAGCTATGATAAATGTAATGAACTAACTAATAATAATGATATGAGTAGTGAGACACGTTTTTTTTATAAAATGCTTTCATAGCATTTATGTATGTGGCCGTGTAAGGCAAAAATTTCGGGTAGGCAATACTTTACCGAGAATAAATATTCACAAATCCCTTCTTAATCCAATATAATATATAATATCCTTTTGCCAATTTGTAAATTACTAGATAGAAGGCTTTTCAGATTTGTAAAATAATAGGAACACATTAAATGAGATATTTTGAATTAATATAACAATGTCAGCAGTAGAAAACTCAATCAAAAGAAATAAAACAAGTGGAACTAGTCACAAACCGAATTGAGGTGGTAATTTGTTATTTATTTACGATTTTTATTGCGAATAACAGTATAATTACAATATCTCATACAAGTTTACCTACTTAATAATTGGTATTAGCACTTGATTATCTATTCGATACACCTTCATTCCGTGTATGTTCTGTGTCTTGAGGTGATTCTGGTGCTGCTGCGGATGTGGGTTCTTCAATGGTAATGGTATTTGCCTCCAACTCTTCGGCAGCTTTTAATAATTTGCGTTCAATTTCCTCTCCTTCAGTTCTAAGCTGTTGCATTTTTTTGTCATAGTCAACCCCAATGACGACAAGTTCTGGGAGTTGATCCTCCAACATGGCAGTCACCATTTCCAAATGTTTGGCATGCGGCAAGTTTTCCACCACAAGCGTTTTTAAATTTCTAAAAATAATTCACAACAATGTAAGTATTTCCACACAAAATTCTTCATAGTATAATGTAGTCATCATACTTACTTGCACTTTATCAACGCTCCAATTCCTCTCTCTGATACTCTGGTACATCCGCTCAAATCAATGTATTCCAGGTTTTCGTAAAACAATCTTGCTATCCTGTCCAAGCACCAATCGTCAATGAATGGGGTGCTTTTAAAGCTGAGCCATTTTACATAATTAAGATTTTCTGCAATGATTAGATGATCGTTGTCTCAATGAAGCATTCATTTCCTTAGATTATTACTTGTTAACTATGCAGTTTGGGGTATTATTTTTAGCCCGAGTCAGGGCTTATGGAACCGTCATGTCCGTCCGTCCGTCCGTCTGTCCGGCACGATAGAGCCAAAACGGCTGAACCGAATGACTTGAAATTTTTACCATATGCATATTGGACAAAGTTAGGAAACGAGTTCGAAGATGGGCGAAATCGGTCAAGTGGTTGACCAGTGGGGGTCATCTAGGTGGGTGGGGTATTATGCATCAAGATTTCAAAATTGTCGTAGAAGGCTGAAATTGGGTAAAGAGGTTGCTAATGGCTCCTAATAGATAAAAATGACTTCAAGTTGGAAAAATTTTGATCTTGAGGGACCCTATGGGGTGACCCATACCGATTTTTCAAAATCGTCATAACAAGCTGAAATTTGGTAGAGAGGTTGCTAATGGGTCTTAATAGAAGAATATGACATGAAATTGGTAAAATTCTTATCTGGAGCGACCCTATGGGGTGACCCATACCGATTTTTAGAAATTGTTTTAAAAAGATGAACTCCGGCACGGTGATAGTTAAAGGCTTCGTATTAAATAATATGAAGTTAAAAGTGAGTAAATTGCAACCAGAGTAACCCTGGAGGCTGACCCATACCGTTTTTAAAACTTGCTATTTCCATCAGAAATTTGGTATGGAGGCCAAAAACCACTTCTGGATTTAGAAAATTAGTTCCTAACTGAAAATTTAGAAGCGGAGTCTGACTTATCGAGTCAGGGACTCTGTCCCTGACTCGGGCTATATAGAGTCTGCACTGTAGGTTTTTTATAAGAGGTCTTACGAAAATTGCCGAGCCCTTCGTACATTAGCGGAAGGCCGGTGCAGTCGATGGCTTCAACCCTGTACCTCGGGTCGTAATGCGTAGGAAGGGAACAAAGTGCATGGGATATGACTGGGAGGTCCAGCTCATCCACACCCGGTTTGGCATCAATTCGGTACTCCGTAACCCAGTCGGTGTGACCTCGAAAGCGAATCTTTCCTTTACGAGCCACCACAAAGTGAGCAACTGACAAGTCGTAGCCCAAAACCTTTTGGCGAGCTGGATTTATCCTGTACCAATGATCAATAAGAATCAGAAATGAGTGCATATGTATTTATTTAGCATATTACATAATACTCATCAGGCCATCAACTGGGAACCATTATCTAACTCACTCTTGTTGTTTGAGTTCCATTTCCGTGTCCAGTGAAGCCCACCATCTTTTAAGCACGTGCGGTCTGAGATCCCAATCGCCATGAAAGAATGCAAAGTAGTCCGGGTAGCTTCTACTGGCCTCGTCTCCCAACTTAAGAAGGGGGTACGTGGTTGCCTCGCCACGACGTTCGATAAGAGGTAATTTCTTCTCGAGCAGGGCGTAACCTTTTAGCTCGGACTCTTCCATTCGCAAAATCTCTTTTCGCTTCAACCTGGGTTGTCGCTTAATCAAGGCTGTTGAAGATGTGGCCGCCACTGGTGTTTTGTTTTTCTGCTGCTGTTGTTGTTGGGAGACGAGGTTGAGTCCGTGGGAGGGGGGGAACTCTTGGTAGGTGTGGGGAAAGGGTGCGCCTTGAGTGACCGAGGTTGGGCGAGCGGCTACTCCCAGGCTTGACTTGATGGGGGTTTTAGAACTAAAGGAGGTGACGTGAGTGTGATGAAGAGGAAGGCGGTGGGAGGTCTGCTGGAGCAAGTGACGAAGACCCACGGTGGACTGCATAGTCGTCGCAAATCTATAAAACTAGTCGACACTTGAATCTTTTTTTTGCAATGTAATGATGCTATCTATTTTATACTTAATTACAGTTCTACTTTGATTTGATAAATTGAAAACACCGAGTTTTGTTTTAGAAAGAAAACAGAACGAGTAGAACCAAATTCCAAGTGCCGCCTATAAAACTCGATTCATCCAGCCCCACAGTTTACAACCAACGAAAAATAACTTTCATGAAAGAAAAGGTGTGTCAAATAATTAATTACGATCAATGCGATTTTATTAAGTCATCCGCCGTATTTATAAATGTAGTAAACACCATACAGACTAATTATCATCCGACTATGTATAATATGGTTATCATGTTTTATTATTTATAGTGGAGGACGCGAGTAAGGCTTTTATTTATTTGTTCCATCCCCGAAAAAAGGAAGTAACAGAGGAGAGCAGTCCAGTTCCAGCTAAACTGTTTGCACTGGATGACCGATAAAAACTGTCAGTTGTGAAGGATAAGGTTGGACTCGCACATTCTGCTGCCTTCATTTCTTGAAGGCTAAACTCTTCGCAGACAGCGGCACGATTTATCGTTTCCCAGTCGGATGGAAATGTTGAGTCGTTCCACTCGGTGTCAGAGTCACAAGATCCTTCCTCGTATATCACTAAATCCTTTTCAATTGAATCCTCCATCGATTTTGCGAGTTGTGAAGCGACTTCAAATGGACCCCTACTGCAAAATACAATACAGTATGAGAATTAAGAAACAAACTTTATACTATTTCTTAGAGTTTGCTCACCGTCCTAAATCTGCCTGCTCCGGATCAAATAGCAAAAGTAAATTCGAAATGGTTTTTCTTGGTTGCAGTGAAGTTGCATGAATCCCTTTAGAATCAAAGAATAGCTTGCAAAATGAATAGATAAATAATAATAATAATAAATGAATACCTTGAGAAGAACACAGATGAATGACGTTTGCGTTTAACTTGGCAACTTTCTTGTTAAATTTTCCGTTCACGAGATCACCATTTCTAAATTCACTGTTTGCAGAATACATACATATCTGATTTATTTTCAAGTTCTCATTATTGCAAACTAAAATCTTCAGTCTTGTACCTGTATGAGAGGCGGTGTGGTAACCGAAGGTCGAGGTAGTAAGCAATGAGATTGACAAATTGTGTGCTGTAAGTTAAAGCCGCAGAAATGCAATGGGCAGGATTTCGGTGGGTTGAGCCCCCGGAAGTTACCCCGCTCGGAGTTTGGTTTCGTTCAGCTGTAAATTATTTATCAACTGTTTAATAACGTTCAGAGTTGTACATGTAACACAAATCACTTATAAAAAGTGGAGATTTAGATTTGTGTGGTGTACATTGTACATACCCCACATGTTGTAAGCAGAGTAGTCCCCAGAAGCAGGTAATGTGGGTCCATGTGGTCCGGTGATTGAGTAACAGGCACCAAAAGAGCTAACAAGTTCATCGGGTCGGCTCCAGTAATTACTCTTGGCAGCCATTAACGATCGAACAGTGTCATCTTCTTCGTCACTCCATGAATCCGTATTTCCAGATCCAAAACTGAATGTTATATTATTTAAATTAGTATTTCGTTAGAACCAAAAGTACAACAAAAAATTGATTGTTTTTTAACGGTTACCCTTTGGATCCACTTCGATTGCCCTGATTTACTTCTTCGACTGGGAAAACGTGATGTCTTAATTGAATAATTCTGGATTTTGTTCCTCGTTTCAAGTTTTCTTGACGTCTTTGTACTTCTTCGTGAAACCGTTTCAATTTTGTGCAACTGTGAACATATTGGGTTTTCATGTTATCTAATCTCTTGCGGAAAACTGGCCATATAGCTAACTTCTCTTCCGTTTTCCCTTTCAACATGGCGCTCTCTTTCTTTGCTAAACAAAGAAAATAATTGAACAGAATGAACATGTAATACATTTTTAAATCCCTTTGTACGTATAAAGGTAGTACCATTTTGAATTTTTGCATGTAAAGAAACTCGTAACTGATTCTGCAGAGCTATTGTAGCCTGGCATTTGTCGATTTCGTCAGCCTGTAACAACACAAAATCGTCGATAGATGCATATTATGTAATTTGGCCAGTGTATATCTGCATAAAGTGCTTACGATTTTTGAAATTCTGCCTTTCTTGTCCGTGTAGAGGGAGCACTGTTTTTTCAAACCTTGCAAAGTACGTTGGGTGATTAGAAATTTTGACATCAGTTCCGAGTATCTGAAATTATCATGAAATATTTAGCATTAGCAAATCATAAAATTACAAAGTGCACGCAGTTTCATATTAGTGCTTTTCTAGTAAATATTAATGATTAGATTCAGTCTTTTTCCCAAAAACTGGTTCCAAAGGAAACTAGTTTAATCATTTCTATTGATTCATCATCACTTTTTGGACAAAGACTCAAAGTAATGACTGACTTAAATTCTCATGAAAACACGTCACGATTAAATCTCAGAATTAGACGACAAACAACCACCGCAACCTAACCCCGTGTTGTAGAACTTGCACATGCAGAGAGGTTATCATTCGTGATCCTCTGCATATAACCACAACCAGTCGTCACGCAATTTATGACATCTGCAAAGCACAGCATAAATGATTCGGCCAAGGTTTGGATGACCAGAGAGAAGAAAACAAGTAGTTGATTTGATATGCATAATACCCAGCAACAATAATGATTATTGCCCCAAAATACTGACTGGGTGGTCAGTATACCCATACTCGAAGACGACTTATAAAAGCCTTCAGTAGAAAAATAATATGGTCAAGCTAATCACATTACAAGAGGTGTATATAAATATCGTATATCTGTGGCAAAATTCCATTTGCGTGTCTTGGTCCGTGGATAAAGAGCAGATTAGAGACATATTTACTGCCAGGTTTTTCATATACGTAGGAACAAACATGTTGCTCAAAGACATATTCGCCGTTTTCATGATACCGTCCATCGTTTCTCCCGAAAATAACTCCAGCCTGGTTAAGAACTCGGATAGCGTGGAGTTTGAAGACATTTGGACAAATTTCCCCAACATATTCAACAACTCGGGAGGAAGAAAGCTCTTTGGAGGGAGTAGTGCGAACGGGGACGTCGACCAATTATTGGTCCAAGTGAACGATGACATTCAAAAACTGCACCTCGACTACCCGGATGACTACTTTGACCACTTGGAGGACAAGAGTGAGGAAGTCCGAGAGCTGATTCGAAGGAGAAAGCAAAGTGTTCAAACAACGAAGTCGGTGGACGTCGACGTCGTGACATCAGCAGAATCTCTAGCACCAGATGCGCCCAGTAGGTCAACCCCACTGTCAGACGAGGAAGAAGGAGGCCAAACAGAATTCCCAATTTTAATTTTACCTTCTCCAATTGACGCCACGACTACTGCCGCTACTACCACGACCACCAAAAAGCCATCCATCATCAGCGAAGTGAAGAACGAAGCGAGCTCGTTTTTTGGGAAAATTGTTAGCCCAATTTCTGTAAGTTCTGTAAATATTTACGCCACGTGATACACTCGCGCAACGAAGAAGTGGAGATGAATTCGAGCTATTACTTGTCTTGCAGAATGCTGGAAGGAGTCTCTTTGGGAAGAAAACCACGACTACAACCACGACCACGACCACGACTACTACCACGCCAGCTCCGACAAAGCAAGTGGAGGTGACCAAACCGTGTCCCTTAACATACCAGATATTCTTTCAGGGGGAGTGCCGTAACCTGTTACAAAATCAGTACTGCCAACCCACCCAATGGCTCATAGAAGACCCCGACACACTGGGTGCCAAATGTGTGGAAAACCCGTGTCACGCCAAGACCAACACGGCCTCCTTTGGAGAGAAGAAATGCATCACTGTGGGTCACGAGAGCGAGTGTCACACTGGAATGAAGACGTACATTTATAGGTCGGGTGTGGTGGAATGTGACTGCAAAGAGGGACATTTGTTCAACAAAGAGGACGGGACTTGCTACCAAGCCTACACACGAGGCCCCTGTTCAAACGGACAGCACTTTAAATTGTCCAAAGGGACGGAGGGAACCCCTGTCTGTATGTCCAACCCCTGCGTTCATGAAGACTATTTCTGCAATGCGCCCCGATGCCCAAAGCAGGTATGGATATAATTAAATATAATATAAGTACTCAATTTAGAACCCCAATCTTCATGATGCATGACCACTTGCAGTAGTACAATACAACATTTGGTTTTATGTATAACAGAGAAATTGTGAACGAATGGGGTCCCCTTGTGGAGCGAACGGCGCGGCCAAGTATGTCCTCGACCCGGTCACATTCTCCCCTTATTGCAACGAAGGCGAACTCGCGCTGCCACCTAAAATTATTGGTAATGTCCCTATCCTGACATGTGCACCCGGATCACGCAGGTATATCCACTGCTGTTCAACTATTAGATTAATTAACTTGTCTCCCATACAAATCTTAAAAACAAGTATGGTTCTTCTAACAGGGACATTCTCGGGAACTGTAGGACGCCTACAACGATAGATTTTAGTTAGATCATAATCAAATAAGCATGCAAACCCCCAAGTCGAGCTTCTTTAAAACATGTGCCGTGCTTTGTAGTATCGTATTGTAGATAATTTTAACTTCGGATACACCCTCATCATAGTAGAAAATTTGTTAAAAACCAAATGATCAGTCGGGTTGACGCACTTTGCTTTCCTAGCAAAATCCCCAGTCACTTCGCTAGAACAGAGGGAGCAGGGTACATGATCTAAGCAAAATAATAAATACCAGGAATTGAGGGAAATATTACTGACGACCAGTGTGCCTTAACTTACCGATTGAACAATTTGGTTCTTGGGTCTGTGGATGAATCATATAATGCATTTCTAACATCACAAATAACGCTACCTGAAACCGTTTGATCATAAATTAGTCCAAAAAAACAGCTCATTGGATTTTACATGTGTGAATCTGGCCCATCCGCCGCATATGCAGGTATCGCAATCTGAGATTTTGCTAGTGAGAGTTGGGAGTTTGCAAAAGCCATTAGCACCTTTATTTTTTATCGTCATTACTCGAAGGTAAGTATGTACAAGCCATGGATGTATAAGAATCTCAGCTTCATTCATTTCGATCGGACTCGTAATTTAACTACAGTGTTCCTTAGCTTTGGTACAAGCGTTGCCATTCAGCAGCAGGCTAAACTGATTGCTCTTTTTGCATTGACCAACATAATGAATACGTCACTACATCCACCTTGACCATGATGAATGTAAATGGCCAAATTGGATATTACGTCAAGTGATGTCATTCATAATCAATTCATAAAACACCTTTTAAGATCGATGCATTTCTTTGGCATGTACATAAATAAAAGTTTCTGAGGCACGAGGACTAATCATCAAATCACATTTGTGAGAGCACCAGCATTAAAATCGAGTAGTAGACTATACAGTATTAATCAATAGAGGCTAAAATTAAAAATTAGTGCTAAAAAATGGAAAGAATTTTAATTCTACTTTGTGCTCTATCAGCCTTCCCAATTTCTACGAGCAAAGCTAGCCCAATTTTAACAATTTTTGCTCAGGCACGACACACGATGGCAATCTCTTCTAGCACGGAAGGCAGCAAAACTAATAGTAATATTTTGCACTATCAAAACCCGGTTTTTGCTGAAGTTACCAATGACGAACAGCAAATTCTCGGCGCTACCTCCACTATGAACCCTGCAAGTACAACTCTGCCCCCACAGCAGCAGCAAATATTGAAGGATTCTACAATGACGACGCATCAAATGCAACAAAACTACTCTTCTAGTTTAAATTTCACGTGCAGCAACCCTTCACAAACTGAGTACAAAGGGAAGTGCTTGCAAGTGTTGCAACGACTCCCTTGTCCTCCTGGGGAATGGTTGGTAGAAGATGCGGCGTCCGGGAAGGGGACTTGCGTGGAAAATAAGTGCCCCAACAATGCCAACACTGGATTCTATAAAGGTCGATGTGTCAAACTATCATCTGAGAACTGCCCCAGAGGGATGAGAACTTATATTTACAAGTATGTAGGCATCAATTTTCAGTCTGATCAACTAATGAATAATACTCACGCAATTTTGCCATTTCGTAGGACTGGTGTGGTGGACTGTGACTGTAAGGACGGTCACATCTACAACTCGCAAGATGGATTCTGCTATGAGGCCTACCGTCAAGGTCCATGCAAATCAGGAATGGTCTTTATCTCGACAACAGATCATGTTGGACGGACAACAACAATGTGTAAAAGAAATCCATGCAAAACAGATGGGTACTATTGCAGTGGGGGAGACTTTAAGTGCGAACAACGAAAGGTAATTAATTTCTGCAAATATGTAGTTTAGTGAAAAAGACAACCTTCATTCACTTCAATATTAACAGATTTCTACATACTGGGTTTTCCCAAACTATGGGCTATTCAAATTTCCAAAGACACAGCAACCTCTCGTCTCGTGCATCAAATTTGGTTCACCATGCACATCGAACGGACAAGGAGTATTGGTTATTCATCCCGAAACAAACCAACCTTATTGTCAGCAGGATTTGCATGACATAAGCTTGGGTACTTCTAATACGAGAATTATTGGAAATGTCCCTATTTTTAAATGCGCAGCTGGATCGAGGAGGTTCGTACATATAAATTATTAAATATTTGCATAGAGTAGTTAATTGACTTATTAAAATTATAGGGACATTCTTGGCAACTGCAGAACTCCGACGGTGATTGATTTTAGCTAGCTATTTATTACTACTGAATACTCAGCTTAACTTATACGCAATGAAATTAAAATAAATTATTGAAATTTAAGTAATGCGCACTATATGTTTTGCCTTACCGTTCTTTAGACTGTGGTGCATTTCTGTAGTTGTTATTTTGAACACAAAAATCTCCTTTCCGAAGGCACTCTTTGCATGTGAGGCGTTGTCTTTTCCTTTTGCATAGTGGACAGGGCACTTTTTCAACGAAGGCAGCCGTGGAGACTGCAGGACTCGTGAGAAGCAGTTGGTCAAAATTTTCATCATCCTCTGAATCTGAGGAGGGCACCTGTCAAAGAAATGGATACATAAATTAAATTATTATAATCCTAACCTATAAAACTTATTGTGGTGGAACTGTTCGTCGTCTCTTTTTACCTGAAAATCTACTGGGGCTGCATCCTCAGTATAAATGGCTAACACTGTTCCACAATTATCAACAGTAGATTTTGCCAACGTGCTGGTCGACGAGGTGGTCATCTGATCTTCATGGCTCCCTTTGTCTTGGTCATCGTCGTCATCATCCTTAATTACGTCATGTTCTAGTGGTGGGCATGATTCTTCATCCATTCTCACCGATTCCGGTTGTTGATTCGTCCTCACTCCCGGATGAATAATTCAGCAGGCTGCCTAGAAATGAGAAGAAATCATAAATGAAATCCAATTATTCAACTTCTCAGCTGATCGAGACCAACTACCACAACAGAATGGTGAATGGTCCTGTTGTTAATATTCAACTAACCTCAGCAAAACGACTATGTGATTCGTCATTGACCATGTCCCTCAATCAATGGTCAAAATTATTGTTCTTATGCCAAACACCACTTTCTCTCCCCAAGTGGTAAAAGTAGTTTGTGGCCTCCTTCCTTTATACCTATTTCTTTGTGTTTTGTGTACAGCAAAAAGTGAAAATTTGCAATGTTATTCTTTATTGTTGCGAGTGAACATAGTTTGTGTTGAGAACTCGCGCTGGGCTGCCTCATCTCAGATGATTGGCTCGGATGACGTCACTCCCACTGATTTTTGCGAGCACGGCATCCACCCAGAGTGTGAGGGTCGGGATTTCCGTGGGTGTGGTTCAGGGTGGCGTCACATGTCGAAATTGGCGATGGGACGAGGGGGACGTGGTGGGTGGAGACGATGGCTTGATGAACTTGATGGAAGGTGCTGCTGCTGCGGTCTGTTGCTGGCAATTTTGCTGAAGCACGAAAGAAATCAAGTTGCTTGTTCCAGGCCAAGTTCTTGTGCTGCTTCTCTCATTCCATTCATTCATCCCTGCACACGACTCTATAACACGAATAAGATCATTGCTTGGCTTTTTACTTGCACCGTTTTCTGCCCAACTTTATACAAAGTTTCCTTCTTCTGTCATCGTCGACGTCGTCGTTATCCCTCTCCTCCTCCTCACAATTAATTCGTTGGTTAATAATAGCTGGAATAATAATAAGCGACAAGGAAGGTCATCATCAACACAGCGGCGGCCTTGTCTTCTTCCTTATCAATTGAACAAGCGATTCAATTTTAGTTGGGTAAGTAGTGCGAAGAAGATGCATAATACGGTTAATAATATCAAGATGAGCGGAAAAAACAACCGTGAAGGTGGAAGGCTTGGTTGTGAATTAATCAAATTTGTCATTAGAATGCAAAAAGTTTTGAAAAAATAACGAGTACTAAATAGTAGCAATAATAAGCGGATGCGTATTTGGTGTTTTATTGTTGGAAGGCTTTGTAATTTTAAAATCCACCAACAGTTTCAAGCTTTATTAGTACTTGTTTTTTAGTTGAAGAATGAAGAAAGTTGCTAATTCTTTTGGGCGTGGTTCTTATTTCAATTCAAATCATAAGAATTTGGTGCGATTTTCGCAACTTGTGACCTTATGACAGTGTAGAAAGAAAAGCTAAAAATAGGTATCATAAAAATAATTATTGACAACGTTAACTTGTTTATTAGCTTCCTTCTCTACATCAAGATGTCAGGGTCACTTTATTGATTATGCATTTAAGTACTTATTTACTAGAATTATCATCGAGTTAAAGCCAATCATCAAAATCACCAGAATGCTATTTTGCATGGTTATATGCGAAATATGATAGAACTGACAAGATTAATTATTATCCGTTTTTCGTTACAGGTGTCTTTGTCGGAAATTTTAGAGGAAGCAGTAAGAAGAAACTATTTTTGAATCTACTCTGGTCAAGAAAGGGCGTGCAACGCTCACACGCAGTCATCACGCTGACGTCGGGGAGGAAATTTATTTTTTTATTTTGAATCGTTCTGTTATGGTGAGTTGACTCTCTGCAAAATTTTATAGATCTATGATCCCCAATTACCTTTCGCGTTTAGTTTAATGAACCAGAATCGACCTCGAACATCTCTATTATCGTGATCTTTTTGTTACAATTTTCGTAATAGAGCGATCCACAGCATTTAATAAGCTGACGGATGAACTCTGTTGAAACAAAAGGGTTTGTTGGTTGATAAACTGAATGTGTTGTCAATTACAGCACATCAATTTGACGCCAATTTACTAAAGTTTGCTCTTTATAAAAAACGATAAAACCATGTAATGTGTAATACTTACTCGGCTGGGTCGGCTGACGTGACATGACGTAATTTTGATTTTTTCCGAATTTGATATCAGTTTGCGTGATGTGATTACACATATATTGTAATCATAAGCCAGCGAATGGCGATATTATTAGCATGCTGCCAGTTCAATTATGCTAGCGCAGCCTGTGGCATAATACTTCTTTGTTAGTGCATCGTTGTTGTAGATTGAACCAGGTGAGACATTGTTGTACCAAATCGTACTCCTTCTTTGACACACGGGCCAGTCTTAGAGACAAAGTAGCCGGCAAAACTCTGACCCCGTAGTGTGAATAATAATGCCGAAGGATTGTAATAATTCAGAGCGTCGGGTCGGGTGGTCATGTCATATATTTGCTCCCTAACCTCTGTTGTGTACATTAAGCCGAGTTAGAAGTTATTTGTGGAGTATGTAGTGTAAGTACGAGCAATTTGTCTAGCCATTTTAGTGGTAACTACATGCATTCATTCCAGGAGTACGTAGTAAAACACAGATTTGGCAGAGTGAAAGCAGATTTACTACAACGTCATGTACAGGCACAAAAAACGAAGAGTGAAAGGCGAGTAGTGGCAAAACAATAAGTGCTTTCTTAGTTAAGAGTTGACAATATTTTATGTTATTCTAATCCTCATAAATCACATAGTGGCGAAACTGACGAACTCGGTGGGGTATAAAGTTCACAAGTTTCGGTGGGAATTTTGAATTTTTTTGCAAAAAACTGCAAATATCATCTGGCATTGTTTATGTTTTTAGTGGTTTCCAGTGGGAAGAGTATGTGTGGTGGTGGCTTCCCACCACGCATACTCAAATTACGCATATGACAAATTGAGACGAATCAGGAAAAAATGCAATTTTTTGAGCTTCTCAATCTTATACCGAGATTAAATGTGCACTCAAAAATGTGAAATTTGTTGAATTACAACTATTGATAGTTGGGCAACAAGGGAGCATGCCCTTTAAGGAATTGATATGCTACTTTTATTTATATTAAATGACCAATATCAATTTCCATCAAAATTTTGTTTTCCTCGAGATTAATTGATTAATATAAATAAAAGTAGCATATCAATTCCTTAAAGGGCATGCTCCCTTGTTGCGCAACTATCAATAGTTGTAATACATCAAGTCTCACATTTTTGAGTGCACATTTAATCTCGGTTTTCGAATTACAAGATCAAAAACCTGTGCAAAAAATAATGCATGGGGTAACATACGGGAGAAATATTGAGCGAGAGACTGTATTGGCTGATAGAGCGGCCAGAGCAAACTATTACGCCCCGTTAACCGACCAACTCTCTTCTCACACTCGGAGTAGTCGGGATTGGAAAACTTTGCAAGAAAAGAAAGAATCCCTGATTCAAATCTACATGTATTTATGTTGGTAGGAATACCAGGATCGAATATTTTGCCCACTTTCTCCACTTTTTTTTCATCCTCTTTACATCAGCAGCATGCACTTAATTGTACGTGTGTAATGTATTGTTTGAATTAAACAGGTCAGAGTACTAGACTCAAAGTTTGCAGCATTGTTGGCTTAATTGCTCTTTTGTGTAATTCATGGTCTCCTTCTTTCTCTGGTCTTGATGGTGAAAGGCAGGAATCACTCTATCCAGTCAGTCGCCTATAAATACACCGGCCTTGCCTTATTTTCTCAAAACGTACTTGTTGCCTTCACGGCGCACAGTTGCCTTCTTGCAGTTTATCAGGCATGTACGTTTTGGGTTTATCTTTGTGCATATGCTCGAAATGTTTTTTGTATTGGTGGATATTTACATATGTGGTGCTATTATTTTTTCTGCTTTCCATCCATGAGGAATTCTACTCCTAAGTATGTCTGCCACAGCTTAACAACGTAGTAGAGAAATGAGGTTTTGTTTTCTCTTCTGATCTCTTGGGTTCATTCAATCGCTGAGTCAGAGGAAGGAGTTGGCGAAATGATTACAATACACATGGCATTGGAATTATTTTTGCATATTATTATTGCTCCGTTGTTTCTGTCTCATTTCATTCCCTTGAGAGAGATAGCGAAGACGAATGGTGGCAGTGGGCCCATGGAACATGCAATGCCTGTCTTGTGGTGGGTAGGATTGCATTTAGGGTTACCTTGACCCACCTACATATTTCGAAATCTCTCTCAAACTGATATATTCCCGACATTTGAAAATGTGAATGCAATTTCTTACCAGAATAGTCTCATGTCTTTCGACACGGAGAAAATAAATAGACTGATATTACAACAGCAGACAGATGCGGTAAAATATGTCACAATGAGAAAGGGCCAAGGTCTCACTCACCTTTAACTCTATTTATTGTCCTTTCTCTGAACAACTCTTACTTTGATTTGATTTCTTTTGCTCACAATTCATTTTAAACATTTTTCCCCTTTTTCCCTCTCACTCTCGCTTTCTCTTTTTTTCTATAAAAGACATTCAGTGTTATCATCACCGTTAGCTGCGAGTACATGTAAGGGAATCAATCACTCGTCCTACAACCATTTCATCACAATCCAACCAGCGTAGGTTGGTAGTAGATTGTTTTCTCTATAAGCTTTGTTTGAAACTCTCCTTGGGTGCTTTTGGACTGGAATCTCGGCATCCAGGCGGAAAGAGTACACATACGATTTTGTGCAAAGTGCGATGCATTCTAGCAAATCCTTTACATCATGCAACCCTTTTCCTCCACCATGTTGGAAGAGTAAAGGATTTTGCGAATGGCTTCCCTAATTCACATTCCACCAAAAAGTAGATTGGATTGGAAACACGACTCCTGTTGGACTTTGGTGTATTTGAAGAAGGCCAAGACGAAGCTGAAAGGAGGGCAAATACTGGGCATGTAGTTTAGCTGGCTGTTATCCTTTGCCTGAGTTTGCTCTCTCTTTCACTCACTCTCTCTCTCTCTCTCTCGGGTTGGTGTGTTAAGCAGGAAAACTTTTGGAGAAAGTTGGTGGATCCGAGTCGAGCTGCTTTAGTTCCAAGGCTGCTTTGGGCTCGGTAAGACCACATTTGAACTACTCACTGACTGAGAAAGTCGAGTCCATCCATATAACAATACCTACATATATCCATACAAACTAGTAGTCTCTCAAGGACAGAATTAGAATTTGCACAGATTTTACTTCTTGAAAAATACGGGGGAGTTTACACAATTGTGCCAGTCGGAAAATTATCCTGTTTTCATTTTTACGGGGGCTCTAAGGCTTTCCCAAAGACGGGCGGTGTAAGTGTGTGCACTTTCACTCACACTCAATTATTGTGCGCCTCTGTTTTCGGGGATTATAGACCGAGTGTTGTTGTTAGGAATTGGGTGACTTGCCGGTTTTTTTTGTCTCGAGAGATAGAAAACTACTTTCTAGTATTGTCCCATTGAAACATTGGATTGATTCAACATTCGACGGAGAGTTTTGGCCGGACCAAACCGAATAGAAAGAAGTTCGAGGTGACCATAATAATGAGGAAGCGTCATGTTCTACTAAAGTGGCAGATTGGTGCTGCCCTGGTTGTCATCAGGCGTCGAGTGTGCGTCACTATATTTAAATATATTAATTATTATTCATACATATCTAATTTCCATAAATTATTATTATTATTATGTTTTACAAGTAGTATATTTATATAGTTTTGTTTTGACCATTTTATTCTATCCTATGTATTTTACATTGTATTCATTTTGCTAACTGATTCTAGCGATTCTATATTGATAACAGCAGATCATTAGTTTCTTGTCATGTTTCGCGTCGCATCGGAAGTTTCGATATTTCACCTTTCATCACAATGCAAACAAACCGTAATGGAAAGTAAAGCCAATAAGTTTTTGAGCATATCCTTCATTCACTTTCTGATCTGTGGTGCTGCTGGTTGGACCAAGTTATTACGAGAGGAGATGACAAATTATTTGGCGACGGTAGCTTAGGATTAGTCGTACGTAGTCATACTGCTGCTGAATTGTTGGTGGTGAGATGAGATGGTAGTGAGCAGAAAGGGAGACCAATTTTATTTTTGTCCGCAATAATACTTTCACCATCAGCCCAGCTCGCGACAGCTTTCACCGCCCTACAAACTCATCAGTCACTTCTTATTCCTCACCATGAGACCTTTATGGGCTTGGGCAACAACCGTCTCTCTGCTTAGGCTTCGCTATTGCCACATTTCATCATCTCACACGCCCATGAATGAGCATGAAATTTCTTCATTTTTTTGCGCAACAATAATGACAAGCCAAGGATGTAACCTAGCCAGCAGGAGAGAGGAGAAAGAAGGTGATTGGTAAAAGGTTCTATGGCTGGCAATGGGGTCCGGTAAAGCTCCCACTAGAACAATGTCTCCATGATGAGAGGCGAATCATAAAATATTCATTCTCAGCTCAGTAATGTATGCAAAATCACGTACTTTGTGGAAAGTGATGCGGGGAGAAATGTCTTTCCATCCAGCGAGCCAGAGCAGGGGCACGGTTATGGTTGTCTTCCCTTTCACATATCCGCCGAGGATGAGGACGACCTGACCTCCAGCAGAGCGAGAGGAGAGAACCCATGGCACGAAGAAGGCTGCTTTCTGCTTGGGTGGTGTGGCTTGTGAGATGAGATGTGGATACGATATCTCAAGGGATACAGCAGAGCTTGAATCTTGGTCTTCCTTTCATCATTCCATTTTTTCATTTATTTTCGATGGAGGAGCAAATATTATGTGTGTGGGCCTAGCCAAGTTTTCACCTGTCTGACTTTCTCTCATTTCTGAGGAGACCTCCAGGCTGCAAACTGCACCAGTATCTCTCTGCTTGGTTGGTTGGTTGCATGTGCCTTGCTCTTAAGATTAGGAGTATGCAGTAGTATATATTTTTATGAAAAGTCTGGCTTGCATGGTTTGACTTGGCACAATTTCGACGTTTCTCATGATTTGTGATGATGCTAGTGACGTGCTTTCTTATCAGATTATTTCATACTATTACTCTTCATTTGGTCACTTTGTCAGTGAAGACTGTGCGCATGTCATCACCTCTCCTCCTCTCTGTTAATCCACTAACTTCTTGGTGACTTTCTTCCTGTTGGCACAATAAGCGACTCCCCGTATCTCATCTGACTAATAGGTAGTTATGTATGTTCTATTTATCCTGGTGTAGTAACGTGGCTATTGTCATGATAAAATAAGCAAGGACGGCCTGAATTGAATACCCTGTACGTACGGAGTAGCAGACGTTCGTTAGAAGATGTATGCATTTACGGTATCTCGCTGCTGCCCACCCAGTTCTGAACATTTCTCAAGAAGACGTGAAACTGTCAGGGAAAGTTTCACGTCTTTGCCTTCCTCCTCTCTTTCTGGTATAATTTCTCTCCATTCCACGCGATAATAATATAATAAATGGTTCTGGGAGTTGGTTCCTTGCCTAGTGGAGCAGAGTCGAGTCGAGTGGTGTAGATATGCTCTGCTCCATTTCCGTTGCATGAAAGGACGCCGTTCGCAGTTTGTGACACGTACATGAATGCAATGGGAATATGAGTGGAAGAAAATAAGTGCGAGGGAAAGTTAAGAGATTTCTCCTCTTTTTCACCACCCGGCAGAGAACCCACTTATTTTACATCCATAATGTTGACTCGTTCGAACTTCACTGGAATATGGAAAGTCACTCCAGAATTGGAAGCATAATGAATTGGACGTTCCCACTTTTCCTAGAGCAGACAATGGACATATTCAAATCACGATTAGTAGGAGACTAAAGGACTTTGCAGACCGATGGCACAATTCAAATGTGCCATGTATATTATTATAAAAGATCCATCCCCGCTATCTCCACGTATACACTAAGTGTAGTATTCATAACATATTGCTATTTAGCAATATATGTTTTAAAACATACGAAGATGGGAAGATTAGATGGTATCATAAAAGTGCATAGTGCATAGTCCATTATATCATCAATCAATGTTGCCTATAACGTTAAGTGGCATATGATCATGAGGATTGCCGAAAGATAACCACCGACAGCACCACTAAATATGTACGACTGTTTCATGGAATGATTAATGCAGTTTTTGTGAACGTCACCCACGCGTGCTAAATCAGACATATGCATGGCTCGGCTCTCCTTCTTTGTAAAATTCATGTTTGATGTCTGTACATGGCGATATTACCAGTGAATGGTGGTAGCAATCGAGAGTGAATTGTTGCTGGAGAATTAATTTCCCTTCCCGTCCTCTCGCTCTCTCTCTCTCAATACTCCCAATAAGTTTAGTACGTGCTTTCTCCTGGAGAAAGTTGACAATAATAGCTCGAGGAGAGGAGGATTCGGGAAAACAATTCTGTCTCTCTCTGGGAAATCCAAGCTACCACGACGAGCAGTAAAAAGTTTGTCCATCGCTCTCGTTTTTTTTTCACTCATTATTTTTACGTATAGAGAAAAGTTGGATGTTGAGTTGACTTGCTAACTTTACGTGCTTCGCCTACTTCTTTCCGTTTGTCAATTATTATCTGATTTCTTGTTGTTCTTTTCTTTTGTTCAAGTTGTTCCGTTGAGTTTAGTTTTATATTCCTTTATACGTATTTGTTTATATGGATGGTAGGATGAAATACATAGTCGTGTGATATATGATGTGAACCACTTGTGCAATCAATTTGTTGTTGTTAGTCCCCACATATTTAGTAATCCTCCAACTGGTGAGGAGGAGGAGGTGTAGATTTATGGACCTCGAACTAGTTCGTCGAAAGCTTTTCCGCTTTCACTTCATTGCCATAAACTCAAATGGGAGAGGGTGAGACCTTTATTACATAAATCCAAAATACTCGCTCAATAACATCCATATTGTGCTGCCGATTATTCCCAACTTGGCTGCATTTATTATTTCGCCACATTTTTGTACGAGCGACGTTTCCTAAAAATATGATGCCCAAAGATGATAATCATATGTATGTACTTAATACTTATGTACCACTACTTGACAATAGTGGTTTACAGGTTTATAATTTGTGCTTATATATTGGCTTTGGCCTACGTCATTAGATTTTTGTGCATATAAACTATTCACCTCGCACAAAGAAAGATGTTCAGAGGTTCGATTCTATGGTTTAACGCTTGTGTAGAGTATCCAATAAGCGAGACGACATAATGCTGGAACGATAAACATTGGTTGTATAATGTGCTTCCTTTGAATGCAGAAACAATGAGATGGGGGCACTGCTTGATAAGCCCAAGACCGACAAGTACAACGAGCAGGGGGAGTGGAACGGGCTTCGCTATGGGTTGTCCAGTATGCAGGGGTGGCGAATTGAGATGGAGGATGCCCACTGTGCAGGTTAGTAACTTGTATCAGAACAGTAAGTTGTATGAGGCAGTATTGCAAATGGAACATGAACTGTAAAGTTAATTAATTAAGGATAGCCCGATCCTTATCAACATGATTGAAGTGGGAGTTGACCTATTTTTGTGCTAAAATCGGGGGGTTTAATGATTTATTAATTAATTTATTTCAGTCATGGGGCTTCCCGGAAATCTGAAGGACTGGGCTTTCTTTGCTGTTTTCGATGGTCATGCTGGAGAACGGGTCTCATCCCACTGTGCGGATAACTTGCTAGAAACCATCATTCAAACGGAACAAATTGCAAAGTGTGTCAATGAGGAGGATGTTTCCATCGACGAAATTAAAAAGGGAATTCGGGATGGTGAGTTGCCCGATTTTGCTCTGGCTGTCAGCCATAAATATGCATATTCATAAACGTGTTTTTGTTTGTGCGTGTAGGATTTTTGTTGCTGGATGACAAGATGAGAACGATCCCAGAAATGGCCAGTGGTGAGTAAAATATATTATAGATGATGCGATTGTTGTATTGTTCCATTTCTCGTTGCACATTATGATTTAATGTGGTCAAACTTTAGGAGAAGACAAAAGTGGTTCGACAGCAGTTTGTGTACTGATCTCCCCAACTCAACTTTATATTGCCAATTGGTAAGTAATACAAAAGTTGCACACTACAACATTTAACTTTATCTGTTGTTAATTAATTGTTTGGTTAACTTTTATTGTCACAGTGGAGACTCGCGTTCTGTCCTTTGTCGAGATGGACGAGTGTGTTTTGCAACTCAGGATCACAAACCTATCAATCCTTCAGAAAAAGAGCGTATACAAAATGCTGGAGGTAGTGTAATGATACAAAGGTACAAACCCACCACTTGTTGAGTAGTGAATCTTTTCCCATACATTTAGTATTTGGTCTATTGCAAATGACATGTTACTTTTCTTGTGTTTATAGAGTAAATGGGTCCCTAGCCGTGTCCAGGGCTTTGGGTGATTACGAATACAAAAATGTGGAAGGAAAGGGCCAATGTGAGCAATTGGTGTCACCCGAACCTGAAATTTCAGGTGAGTCTAATTTTAATTTAATTTAAGAATATAGTGATGCCTATAACAAATTACGTATAAATTATACATAATTTATTATACAATGTAATACAGTAGAATACTGAAATTATTATCAAAACTTGTACAAGTTTAGTTTATTCAAGATAAAAATTTAACGACATATTAGCTCAGCTACATGTTTTGTGGTCGACTCATGTTTTCAAACCATTCAATGCATTTTACGAAATCAATTTGGTGGCAAACAAGGTTTCTAAAAAGCTATCTGAGCTCAAACTCGAGTGATAACCCGTCGATCCTACCAATTCAATTCTACGATCTTAGTCAATCAATTGAAATTAATCGAGTCAATTACATTAAATCTGAATCCTAATTTATTTCAGTGGAATCCCGTGACGAGGTCCGCGACGAGTTCATGGTGTTAGCTTGTGATGGTAATAATAATTGCTATGAACAATTAATATTGATCAAATACAACAAACTGTAACCAAATTTGTGCTTTTAATAACAACAAAATATTTTGTGCAATAGGAGTTTGGGATGTCATGTCAAACGAGGATTTGGTGGAGTTTATTAGGTTAGTTTTTCATTTTTAGCCTTTTTGTAGAAGGATGATGAATTAACTTAATTATTTACTAGGCTCAGCTCTGAAGAATAATGACTAAATATTTTTGTTTTGATTTATCAGATCAAGATTGCTAATTACCAATGACTTGGCTAGCATTTGTAATCAGGTCATCGATACTTGCCTCTATAAGGTAAAGTACAAGATATAACTTAACTATCAATTCGTTCATTACTTGTTATATTTGTATCTAGAAATGAGTCTCAAAAACCAAAATCAGTGTGTAGGGTTATCATTGCATTTTAATTCGTCAATCAAAAATATCGCATTTTCCTCCCGATTTACTTTACGTTCGTCTTTGTTTAGCTTACTATATATAATAGCTCGATACTTGTTTGTACAAGGTTTGTCTTTTTCTCCTTAATGTTTTTATCCGTAAGTCTCACGTAAAGTTCAATCCATAATAGACTTTGTGTCTTCCTGCTAGTTCCGTTGTGCAGTGCACCCTATAAGTTTGAAGATTTATATATTTTTATGATGCGATTGCAGGGTAGTCGTGATAATATGAGTATGGTTCTGGTAACTTTTCCGGCATGCCCCCCACCCGTGGACGAAGCGACAAAGAAAGAAGCTCAGCTTGAAGAGCTGTTGAAAAATCGTGTTACGGAACTTGTTAAAGAATCGGACGGTAATGTGGAGCTCCCTCATATTCTTCAGACTCTAGGTGAGTGGTCCACAAATATTTTAAACGGAATATTTGTACCCTTGTCACCCTTGCATTTGGGTTTTGCGAGGTTGTACATTTTTGACAAATAGTAACCCAAATAGTTGGTACATTAAGGATAAAACGCAGCTAAAGATTTAGATATTTTGATTGTAACCTGGATGTGTTTTGCAGGTGACGAGAATATCTCAGACTTGCCACCTGGGGGAGGACTAGCAGCCAAGTATAATTAACCACTTTTCTATTATTACTCAAGCATATGATATTAATTATTAACAACGTTATTGTTATCCCCCTTTTTAGACGAACCTTTATAGAATCGGTGTACAAAGTTTTATGTCCAAATAGTGCAGATTCTGTAAGTTCTCAGATTTTAAGCAGATTTGGAACAAATGTCGAATGCTGTTTGTAGTTTTGGTAATATTTTTTGTAGGCGGAATCTTAATGATGCCCATCAAATCTACTCCTACTCCACACATGTTCATCAAACATCACCATCGTCAATGTATATCCATCTGTTCAAGAGTTTCCAGTTATTCCAAGCCGAATGCAAAACTCGTCAACTTCATTCAAGACACTCCGCGCGTGTGTGCGGTGTGTAATCAGTAATGTGACATTCGAAACAAAAGAATGGCAATCACCTTCATGTATACCTACCAATTTATTATGATTTTACTATTATTCTACATACATACTTATAACAATAACAATTGTTCCTTTTTTAGCCAATTTTAACGTGTGGCTGAAACACATCACAGAATTTTACTTATTGTACACGCAATTTTATAATACGAAATTGTTAATATTTGTACATCGTCGTGTTTAATATTATCTAAAAGACTTGATTTTTTTGCGTCATTATTTGTGATTTAAATTGAACATCAACCAAACTTGGATTTACTATATGTGTAGTTTTACTGCTATGCTATATACTGGGTTTGAATTTTGTACCACGTTTTCAACGCATTCTTTTTTGTGGGTATCAGCCAATTACCTCACTACAAATATATAATTTGTCCAAATATTCAGAAAAAGCATACTAACATGCAAATCTTCTTACGCTTTCCCGTACTCTCTCTCTCTCTCTGATAATATTTTTGGTTTCATTCTTTCAAACGGGACTTGTCTAGGCGTTTCTAGATTATTAGTGTGTTTATTGGAGGATGATATATATAAAGTTGGTTCTATTGCATATGTATGTGCGTGGTCATGATCACATTTTTGTTTTCGTGGCTGTAGTGTAGGCGAAAGAAAAATAGGTGAAGTAGTAGTTCTTCAACCTTGCAGTATCTTCTAGTGTGATAATGACACAAGAGCCGCATAAATAATTCCGTTTATAAATTGACCAAGAATTAATTGCTTTAATTGATTGATTATGAATAATGGAGATGCCCTGTGGGTGTGTTGCTTTGTAGCTTAAGAAGAAGTTTCACTTTAATTACTTGGTTTTCCGAGGCGGAATTAGTTGCGGGGTATAGAGTTATGTATAATAATGATAATACTGATTGAATTGGTGTTACCGCGTATCCAAGAGTTTGGTGGTAATGAGTAGTAATGTGTACTGACACGAAAAATAAGAAGAAGGTCCGTCTGATGTATGACGACGACCGATTAATGAGAGGCACATACCGTATATTAACCCAGCACATGTACACCATACCCCATGCAGACGCTTTACCTTAATATAATATATATACCAACGCATTTCAGGAGAATAATGTTACATATATACGACTTGTACAACGGATGAGTTAACGTATTACTTGTTATATTCTACCAACAGTGATGTGATCGTAGGGATGAGAGAGAGAAATATAATATAGATAATATTATGATGATGATGATGGTGGGGTTGTGCCCTCCTTCAGAAAAGCAGCGAATGCCAAATACTTATCGTGCAAAAAATATATTCTAACTTTCAAGCGGAAATATTTCACGGGAGGGAAAAAAAGAAGATAAAATCATCATCATCATCTCAACCAAATCAAACAAACCCAAAACCAACTAACTATTCTTATTATTTTATTATTATTATGTACGTACCTCTATCAAAACCAACCCTTTTGTATAAGTCTGCAATCTACAACTGTACAACACTAAACTGATGTTTCTATATAAAAAATCGCCAGATATTTCTAGACGACTCTGTGACGTATAAAATGATTATTTGTCCTGTGAATCAGTCGATTTCAAAGCGAGGAGTATATTATTATTATGTAAAGTAGAAAATATATATATCTCTAATTAATTACAACTGCAAACAGTAATAAAATAATGATAATCTGTGTTAAGGGATAAAATATAACGACGGGGTTCGTGAAAACTTGATCACTTTTGTTTTAAATAAATTCACTCTTTTGTCGTGTCATATTCCTCTCTCTTTTTGAGCCCGTGTTATAAAAGTGTCTGAAATTCACTCTTTATTTACTATTTTCTATCTTTTCTTAGTCAACAAATCATATCAAATTTTGGAAGCGTGCACAAATCCAGAGGTGGCGAATTAGCAAAAATTTTTGTTGCAGAGGCAGTAGGGACTCTGAGAGAACTTTTCAGGGCAGCATGGATGTTGGTTTGACCGGGTCAACATACTCTTCTGGTCCCTTTCCAACCTCTTTTCTTGCTCCATCTGGTCGCGAATCTGCTGTTGTTGAGCGAGGTAGTCGGGGTCCAGATATGGTGACCCCTCACAATCCTCCGGAACGCACAGACGCTGCTCTTGAGCCAGACTTACCCATGCCTGCCTGGGAGAACTGTGTATTGCACATATGTACATATGACATTTGCAGCATTCAGCACTCATTTTGATTCATAAAAGTTGAATAAATATGGGTACGGACTTGATCACTCCTCGACAAGGGTAGGGAGCAAGACCATCGGGTCCACAGGATTTGAAGAATGGGTCGCACCGTCGCCTCCGCATCTCTTCGATTGGAACGTTGTCGTTGGGATTGAAAAATCCGGCAATTATATTTGTTCTACATGGTTGGTCCTTTAGACGCCACACATTCTCAGGAGACTCGTCCTCACTGTCCGGGGTTTCGTCACAATCAGACTGATTTGCTTCATACTTTGAGTATTTAATGACTTACGGCATTTCTACTGCCACGGGGTATTTGCATGGGTCCAGAATTTCAATCTCGCACTGTGGAGGGGGGCACGGGCAGTAGCGGTCCAAATATTTTTGACGTTGTTCCCAATATTCTTGGATCTTGGCCTCCGCCTGCTCCTGTCGGTAGCAGTTGATGTCACACTCGGGCTTTTCTCTTGGCAGTCGGAACTTCGGAGTCGGTCTGTGTACCAGAGAATTTCATAATTTCATAATTTAATAACCAATTTAGTAATTTATATTTTATGAACTTTTGTGTAATAAACTCATGTCTGTCATTCAATAATTATCGGTATGGAGAGGGTCGGTAGCAGTTGTCTTACTTGCAGCAGGGAGGGCATCGAGCGGGGCGGTCGCACGGGTTATCCGTCCTCCCCACGGCGTCGATTAAGGGATCTCTTCTGGGGAAAACGAGACGAGGGGGCGGAACCCACCCACACCGGGCGCCCACACAGCCAAAGCCACATCCCAAGGTCGGATTTCTCCCTTCCGCCATCCTTTACAAAAACGCACCTGTACAAAAAGGGGGACACAACTTGCAAAATAAGCTATAATATGCTGGTTCAAAATTATTTCAAAATTTTCATTCCTCGAAAAACATTCAATTTTTGTCACATTTATTCAACATGACAACTCATAACTAGATAAACTAGGCAATCGGTCCGAATACCGCTCATGACGTGACGATTCTCATTACCATCGTTGAATATTGAATATTACATTCGACCAATTTGAACGAGCAATAGCAGCACAAAGCCGGAGTTGAGTGAGATCGAAAAGGGTGGCTAGCAATTATTGCGTGCAATCATGGAAATGTTTCTCCTTCCTTCCTGTCGAATACCGGGCGGAGGGCCCACTCCACAAACCCATTCATGAAACATTGGCTTCCCATTATTAAATTTATTGCATGTCCCTTTCCATTCTCAACGTAACATGAGTTAGGGTTCACTCAGTCGACTCTCCCTTTCCAAGTGCCTACAATTGTAACCTGCAAGGTATGAGCCACGCTAAGGGCTTTCTTATACGTTCATTCTTCACGTCTCCACTATTTCCAGACTGTACGAGGTGTGTACTTACTACCATTACAAAATATCAAAAACTGCTGCTACGACTATTAATAGTAGAGTACATATGTAGGTAAGCATGTAAAGTTTCATCCACTTTGTTGACGCACCAAGCTTTTCTTACTCCAGGAGGAGCTCTCGCATTACATAACTTTTGATGGTTGGTTAAAAAAAGACCTTTTCAACTGTTACGGGTAGCAGAGCGAGTTGAGACGAAGCCACCAACTGACGGCGTCCCTCGCTCGCATGGGGACGATCCCCTGGGACTGCGTTGGTCATTCTGAGGAGTTGGCTGGCCCAGGTGAGCGATTGCCTGGCATATAAAAAACACGTTGGGCAGGTGAGCAAAGGGGTTTCCTTCCACATTTCATGCATGCATTTTCATTTTCAACTCTCTCGACGAGCTTTTCTCAACTAAGAAGCTCCACTGCTCGTCCCCAACCCATCATCACACACACAACGCCTCAACGCAAGGCATATACGACGACGACGATGAACGTACAATAATCTCATGAACCCACCAAAGCAGTAACAACGATAACACAACAAACAGAAAAACCATGAGTTCCAAATCCCACACTGTAAAAAATCAACTGCTGCAACCGATATAATGGCTTTTGCTCCCTTGTTGCAACTATATCCACAACCACTTCTCAGAACCACCAGTACTCCTCCTGTGGCACCGTGAAAGAGTGATTTCTGACTGTTGAGCTCAGATTGCATATTTTTCTTTTGCACGGCTACACTGCTGAATTGTTTATTATCTAAGTAGGTGATTGACTGGAGCAGTAATGTAGCAACGCACGTCTAAACAATGGACTCTCTTCTACTGCTTTCATATTTTTACAAGCTATTATAGTTCGTGTTACCAAGTATTGAAAAGTTGGGTGATGCAGCAACGTGCGAGAAACTAGGGTGCACTACCAAATACTTTAACGTGGCAGCGACATGCATTAGAAAATTTCGCTGTGCTCCTCGACTTATTACATACTCTTCTGTGAATTGGAATGTTGTGGTGGTGGCTGTGCAAAACAACAACGGTCGACTTTTCGCAAAAGGTGTAGCAAAACCTTATCAGTTCAACTGCAGCGTCGGCAAAGGAAGGAACGTACCAAGTTTTATAGGCCGCACTGCACACTATTTATCTGCCTAACCAACGAAGAACTCGCATTAGTACAAGTTAGAACAAAAGGGAGCCATACACAGTTTTAGCTTTGATGAGAATATTCTTCAGGGGAAAGTGACAGTTGCACGATTCTTGGTGTAAGCAGCCAAGGAACGAAAATGCTGCTGTCCTCCTCACTTCCATCGTTTCTGACGACGATGACGACGACGTGATGAGGGAGAAGCAGAGTGGTGGTGAAAGTGGTGGTGATTTGTGAGATTGAGGAAAATGAGACGGGTCGGAGATTGCTTCTGTCCTGCTCCGGGACTCCATGGACCAGGCCCGGGCGGAAGTGGCAGATCTGCATCTGCATCAACAAGTGGTTCATCCTCAGTCGGGGTGACGGTGAGGAGTGTGTTTGTGGTGGGTGTGCTGGTGGTGTGTGGCCTTGTGGGAGGAGGTGTGAGGGGGGAGATTGGTGGCCTGATAACCGTCCCCCTCGTGCTGGACAGAACCTCATCGCCCTACTTTATCAGGGAAGATGTTATCGTGGACCACTCGGGAGAGCTGGTCATTAGGCCAGGTGTTCAACTCTATTTCTCGCCGACGGTGGGCATCACCGTGTTTGGAAGACTTATTGCAGAGGTACATTCACACTTGATAACAATATGTACTTTGGGTTTTCATAAGAAAAAATTGCCAGACGCAAACGAAATAATTTTATCATGAATGCACCAGTTTATCCACCGATCAGGGATCATTTTATCCAGAATCTGGTCCAGTTTCAGTTTATTAAAGCGTCGCCTTTGCCGAAAAGTTTGTTAACTCTGGTCAAACTAGTCAACCTCGAAATTAAATTGCGCTAAAAAAGAACCAGAGTGAGTCAGGGAGACGTGAAGAACAGGTTCATTTGCATTTCATCCATCTGGGAAAATTTGCGTGCTCCTTCGTCCAATCTTCGATCAAATAGTGGTTAGTTAATGACGACGATATGTGATCTTTGGTGGGTTAGCAAAACTAAAAAAAAAACAGCAAATGGGGTTGGAACACCGAGTTGACTGTGCATGGTTTAGGTTCTCATTTTCCTCCGTTTTCCCTATACGCTTAATTTCTCATTGTTCTCGCAGACAATATATGCACTGGGTTTCCATTACGGTCACTTGCTACCACAATATAATTATTTCAACCATTTACGACATCTTTATTATTATACACGCCATTGTGTTTGTTTCAGAACGAACGCATTTAGAGAAAATCATTCAGAATTAAAAAGAAACAAGTATCTAAATGCAGTGTTAAGTGTGCAAGTCGTCTCATTTGTGCTCTTGATTGACATATGATTCATCCAAGAGTAATAAATTGTGACTCAATTTGCTGTCGACTCGACATCATGACGACGAGTAGCTCATAACGTACTGTGGATGAAGTTCTAACCCTGCAGACTTATTACACCGCTTTGTAGCATTAATTTCACGACGTCACCGGTCAAAAAAATTTTTTCCTCCAAACTGGTCCAAAATAAAAGTCTAGCATGGGAATAGTATAGAAAAATTATTTTTAGCGTTCTATGACCCCTGGGTCATGAATTAAGGGCCCCTGAAGGGTCAAATAGCGTTCCCTGATAACCCCATGCAAATGGGGTATCAAATTAATCCCCTGGACCAGGGGAACCAGAAAAATATTTTTATAAATTTTTATGACCCTTGAGTCGTGAACTAGGAGCCCTTGAAGGGTTAAATATCATTCCCTCACAACTAAAGGCAAGTGGGGTATCAAATTAATCCCCTGGACAAGGGGAACCCAAAAAATATTTTTCTGGATTTTTTTGACCCTCAGGTCAAGAGTTAAGGGCCCCCGAAGGGTCAAAATAGTAACCATGGTAACCCCATGCAAGTGGGGTATCAAATTAATCCCCTGGCAAAGGGCAAGCATAAAAATATTTTCCTGATTCCCCTGGTCCAGGGGATTAATTTGATACCCCATTCACCTTAGTTACCATGGTTACTATGTTGACCCTTCAGGGACCCTTAACTCTTGACCTGAGGGTCAAAAAAATCCAGAAAAATATTTTTTGGGTTCCCCTTGTCCAGGGGATTAATTTGATACCCCACTTGCCTTTAGTTGTGAGGGAATGATATTTAACCCTTCAAGGGCTCCTAGTTCACGACTCAAGGGTCATAAAAATTTATAAAAATATTTTTCTGGTTCCCCTGGTCCAGGGGATTAATTTGATACCCCATTTGCATGGGGTTATCAGGGAACGCTATTTGACCCTTCAGGGGCCCTTAATTCATGACCCAGGGGTCATAGAACGCTAAAAATAATTTTTCTATACTATTCCCATGCTAGACTTTTATTTTGGACCAGTTTGGAGGAAAAAATTTTTTTGACCGGTGACGTCGTGAAATTAATGCTACAAAGCGGTGTAATAAGTCTGCAGGGTTAGAACTTCATCCACAGTAACCCACGGGTCAATCAGTGTGTGCTTATACACTGTGCACTACTTTACGTACTGCGGAGCGTAAGCATTGGGCATTCACACACTTCCGTCTTTTTCAACATTTGATGACACATCCACTCACTTCCATCTACAAACAAAACCCCATTAAAGTACGGTTGCTTCGAGCGTGCGTACCTTTTTCCTGCAACACTTTGTAACTTGATTGTTACGTGAACTAACGACCAGTTTGACAGGCCTTAGAGACGCGCACTACAACACCTGCCCAAAAAACATTCGTCATTATTAAAGGGAATCACTCATCGTAATTTAATCCTCTTCTGCGGAGAGATGATGGAATCTTGTAATGATACTTCTCAAATGCCGCAACGATACTTGAGTCCCCTGCACTGTACTCCTGCTTAATTTTCATTCACCCTTTTTGCTGTAAACCATTGCACTGTGGGACAAAGCGGTCAAAATTTGTCATATGCCATTTGCTTATGAAGCCTAGAGATTTCTGAGTAGCGTGATTGTACAAAAATCTAGATTACAATGCAAAAAAATCCAGCTGCCCGAGAAATTAAATCAGCTTTAGTAATTTTCTTAGTTTACACACTTTAGCAAAAACGTAATTAATAATCCAACTTGCATCCACGCACGTCATGTTTTATAGCTTGTGGAAGTATTTAGGATGTGATGTATACAGCGAAGTTAGTAAATAATTAATTACGTCTATGCTAAAGTCTGTTGCCGCAACTGACAATGAGAAAATATCTAAAACTTTGGAATTTAATTTCTAGGGTAAAATCGGGTGGCTGGATTTTTGTGTATTATAATCTAGAGTTTTACTAGATTTTTGGGCTATCACAGTAGCCAGAAATCCGTAGCAGAAATTTTTATAAGACGTGGCCAAATTTTGACTGCTTGGTCCCATAGTGCGTTGGTTGCTTCTTCAAGCTTCAAGGTGGATTAATTAAGTGGAGCATTGAGATCAAGAAGAAGAAGAAGCAAAAAAACTGTGAAATTGTTATCCTGCCAAAGTTGGTATTATTGTACAAAGTTAAAATTACAAGCCGATGAATTATTCTATCTTCGTTCGTTCTTCATGCAACAGCATATGAATGAACTAACAGGTGTCGACTGTGGCACCTGTAAAAAAAATTGTCGTCTTCGTCCCTAAATAATCCGACCAGCATTGACTTTTCCGTCATGTCATCATGTCATTAATATGTCGCCTATTCATGTACACACAGAAATAGGATAGACAGGAATTATTATGTTCGCATATTTGCTAAAAGAGCCGCTTGAAGTAATTAATACATAAATCTGAACACGACTTTCTCATGACGCAGTCAAATTTTTCTTTTATTATTTTATAATTATTATTTTATAATGTCTGCCCTGCGGTTTCTGTAATTAGCTGGCATTGACTTTAGGTTTCTTTTAATCTCTCTCAGATCCACAATCCACCGTGAAAAATTGAACTCATAAATAGCAATGAATCAGACTGGCTGCACTTTAATAAAAAGGCCAGAACAATTTGCGAATTTACCGTTCCTTTCTTTCCTCAACTTAGGCTGTCACACAACAGCTTGCAGTTTACTTATAGCATGGCCTTTTTATTATGACGGACATATTTCAATCTGTTGACTGTTGTTATTACAAGTTCGTGTAAAAAATTATATCAACTCCGCTGCTGCTTACTGCTTATCTGTCGTCGTTCTTCACGTGAATAGGTGTTGATGAGAACTTTTTTTGCTGCAATTATTACGAGAAGTATGCCGCATTTTGCAGTAGTGCAAAAGGCGTCTAAATTGAAGCAGTTTGATACCAAGAACGGGGAGGCTTGCAAAATGCAATCTATTTCTTCCTTCCTCTAAAAAGTGAGAGAAACACGGAGTGGCAGGGCGTCAAAGCAAACCCTTTGTAAACGGGACTGCGTGAGGCGATCTCATCTTGTGCGAATGAGACTTTGATAAAACGTCTCACGACTTTTACAATGTTATTTATGAAATGGACCTACGCGTAAAATGGGCATTTAAATGTGTCGTCATCAATTTCTCGATTTAGACCAATTTCTACTAAATACCACGACACATCGACCCAGACAAGTATGCAAAACGTATAATATTTGCAGTATCTATGCTAAATTTTCCGACGAAGAGGGACGGATAATTGGATTTGTATCATGTGTCATGACGAATGCAGATTATTTAAAGAGAATCGGATATCATTCCAGTTATCAGTTCAACCATGAATGCATTGATTTTATCGTCGAAGGTTTGCTTATCTTTGCCAGTGTTGACTCAATTTGTCATGTTACGGATACACACACGTTCATTTGTGCTCTAAGTTATGTGCATATGTTGCTGAAATTGATTTTTGATGACAGGTTTGTGCGGTAACTCATTATTAGAACTAGATTGACTTTCAGTCGTTAAATTTCTTTGTGGGATGATTGCATAGAATTACAATTTCACTCCATTACTCCTTTTGAGTTGAACCACTACGTGCTGCGTATGGGCGACAACCCTCACGCTACTTTTTCATATTTGCGAATTAGTTTACATAATTTTTCTGCTTGAATGAAAACCATAACAAAAAAATCATGGGCTGCTCTCTTATGTCCAATTGAACAATATATGCATCTCATCTGCTCTGCTTCGTAATGAAAAATGAAAACACAATCCCGCAGCATTTCACGATTCCACTTTTACATAAGTACGTACGACAAGCACACATTAAACGGCATAATGATAAGTGTGAGTGAACGAGTAATCTGTTTCATGCACACACCAAGTAAACACATAACGTAATAAGTTTCATCATTTGAAAAAAGTTGAGCTGAGAAATTCATGTTCCGTGAAGAAATTGACGTGATGGCTTATTTGCATTAGAGATTAGACTCCACTTCAAATAGAGGAAGTAAAATAAGACGAGTCAGATTTGTGTACGACGACGTGTGGATTTTTTTCCGTTGTTGAATTTCCATTTTGCAGCATAAAATTCAAAGACAAATCTTATTTTGTTATGCCGAGTCGCGCAATGGAACCGTTGTTTGGTGAGTTTGGGTGTGAGGACTGAGGAGTTAAGTGAACTTCATGCTTCACAACTCGACCGAACTTCCTTTGCGATTACTTTTTCGTCGCCGTGTGCTCAACTTTTTACCCCTTTTACTCTCTTCTCGAGGAGGACTGTGCAGTTGTGAGGTTGGATCCTTTCGACACAATAATACAGATAATCAATGAGTTGGAGTTGACACTGACGACGAGGAATACGAAATACATACGTATCTCTATGTATTACATACACATCAAATCCGCCAAGTAAAATGGAATGACAAATGACGACTTTTTTGCATATGGCAAAATGTCTCAATCTCTTCAAATTCATTGCGAATTCCGTTCTCAACAGAATTATACAAGTCGAGTAATTTAAATTTAATTATACAGTCGAATGTAATAAAAGGAAGTTGGTTGACTCCTGAAATTAAGCTTTATGTTAGTTAGTCTTGTACATAGGTATTTGCCATGTTTTCAGAATGTGTTTATTCATGAATTGTGTTTGAAAAGAGTTTGCGCCGATTGTTGTTTTTCGCAACTTTGTCGTTTCCCATTGGCAGGCAATTCCATAAAACTCTAGGCAAGTAATAAGGGAAAGGGAGCGAATTGAAAAGCGATGTGCAGTACAAAGGCCACCGCATCCCATTCAATTCAGCCACACGCTTCTTCACATGCCAAACAAATTGTAGATTTTCTTTACCTCGGCGTCTCAATGAAGCCAACTTGTTGCTTTGCTCCAAACTTTCACCTTTTCATCCATCCAATTACTCTCACCTCACCAACGACAGACCCGAAATCCTTGAATATAATGAATCCATACATATCTGGTATTACCAGTGGCTGCTCATTCCATAGTATTTCACTCGTGTTTTTATGTTTCTTCCTCAGGGGACGAGCACTCAGCGGATCGTGATGACGAGTGCGACGCTCAAGATCCCAGCCTCCGCCCTCAACGAAAGACTGAACGACTCGAGCGTCCTTGGCGCCTTTGATGACAACACGTTGTACTCTTCCCCCCTCCTCGAGTACCGCACAAGTCCCCACCCCATCAACAAGAATAAGAGGGCCTTGGGAGACTACTTCCAGCGAGACCGAGGTGACCCTTCCATCCGCCTGATGGAAGGCCCGACCCCACTCATCGGCCGACTGCAGGTCTACCACCGCTCCCAGTGGCGATCCGTCTGCACAAACTCGAGAAAGTATGCACAAGACAACAATATTATTATTATGCTCGTATCCATCGCAGGTCATTTTACTCTGATGGCCTGTCAATAACCTGTTTTATTCCGCAGTTGGACCGTGTCGGATATGCAAACGGTGTGTCGAGAGCTTGGTTTTACTGGAGGCGAATTTTGGAGTGAGTAGATTTGTATTTATTGAACCCATTCGAAATTGTTTCAGAGATTTTAACCCAGTGATTGAGCGACTTTATTATCACCTCGTTTTTTAATTACGCTATGTTATTGAATAACTAGCTCTATTTCAACCTGAACTTATTTCTAAATAGTTGACTCTATGTTTTAGATTGGATGGACCATTTGAATGATACGAAGCAAATGTTGTGGGAACGACCAACCTGCCAAGGTTTGGAAGGCCATCTCAAAGACTGTTCAAATTGGCAAGCCCGACAATTGGGGGCGGGTGTTTGTGGTGAGTGTTTATGTTTACACATTTTTTATTGTGTGTTGGTTAGTGTGTACATCGTGTCTGATTCCCTGAGAAGTGGCTTAAATTTTACACAGGCAGCAATGAAAAGTAGTTATCGTGGACACTGTTCCTATTTTCATTTTATTTCATGCCACCAGGACACGACATACAAACTCCGTTACTTCACTGGGCTCGTTTACGTTCAAATTCTTGTTTGTGTTTCTGATAATATGCGACATTTTTGAGAAAGGGCGTACGTACGTAGGTGGATACTTATTAGTTTGAGTGATTAATTTAGACCACCACCCGAACTTGGGAATCCGCTGCGACCCATTTCACAGATTCCCATCCAAAGTGGATCAGCACTGGCGTGGCATCCGCTTTGAGAACGCCAAGTATCGAGAAACCTACATCAACGACAACACGCTCCGAGTGCGAGAATCCAACTCTTTTCTGAAGCATGTCGACCTTTTCTACGCGGGTGTGGGGACGACGTACAACGCGTCCTCCGCAGTGGAAGCCTACGGCGTGCCCCCCGTCATCTCGGACGTCCGCATCGAGTACTCGGCCTACAACGGGATCAACTTCACCAACCCGGGCGCAATTATCAACATTCGCAACTCGACCATTAGAAATAATGCTGGTAAGCGGGGTGGAAAGTTTACAATCATTTATGCAAATGATGCATAAGATATATTCGCAATGACTACGGCGGTTTCTACTAAAAATCACTACTCGTGATTGCAAAATGTGCGCACACACAAAAATTGAGATTGCAAAGCGAACCTTTTTCCACCCCACGGCATGAATCAGTGCGTCGCGTCCCTACATAGAACGAACGTTACTCACATTCTATTTAATTCGTGTCCGGAGTAATTTGTGTTTTCTACAATGAAGAGAAATAGCGGAGATCCGTTAGGCAAAGACGTTAGTTTTAGGCATATTTTAGATTTCTGGGCGGAGAGGAAATGATTTGGCAGTTGTGAAATGAAAACTGTGTGCGTCGTCGCTTCAAAGCACTGTGTCGCACTGTGTTGTTTAGTTGGTTGGTTGGTTGGGTGTCAGTAAATGGAGCAAGACGCGAGTCTCAAGTCAGTCAAGTCAAAATCTGTTGGTCGTGCAATTCTCTGAGCGAGTTAGTCACGGAGTTGCAGGGAATAAGTTGAGACTTTTTAACAAAGCAGAAAATATATTTTTTTAGCCTGCAAACAACAAGACTGTTGAAGTGCTACTTACTGTCCTAAAGTCTTGAATGAACATTAAGTAAAAGAAATATCTTTTCAACCGGAATGACCATCCTTGTTGACAATATTTTTGATCACTACTTGTGTAAAGTAAACATACATCACATGCACACGAATCTACCCAGTAATACGAACAATAGAGTCGAGTAGAGAATCTGCGGGGACAAAACGTCCATTCTCAGTGGCGACTGCTTTATATTTACTTTTTTTAGAACGAATTTTATAATCTCGTCATGATCCACCGTGTGATGATGTCCTCTCTCCTTCTTTCTCACCGTATTTACCAATTTCTTCACTTCAAGTGTCACTTTTCAGTGATAAATCCCATTTTTTGATGTCTTTGATCTGGATGATGATGTGAATCCACTACTTTTGCATTACATTTCCTCTTTCATCCTTTTTTCTGCCAGCATTACACTCAGCCACTCAGCCTCAGAGTAAGCGAAATTGAATTTGTCAGGTTTTTACTCGAACCCACTTAACCCAACCAACCAACTGAATCGAAGAGCTCAAACCGTGGGTCGAGTCAGCAATTCTTTTGTTCTGCACTTTTCCCTTTATTATGATTTCTAAAATGGGTTGAATTATTAGCAGTGCGAATTATTACTGGCTACCCGTCTTCATTCGACATAATGCTTCCAATATTTATCCTCATCTTCCCTGGACCCTGGATTATATATATATATTCACTTATGCATTGATTATGCGCAGGGTTCGGAGTGTACGTGAACAGCTCGTGGGGTGGTTGTCATTTGGACACGGTGACGCTGGAGTCGAACGGGAATGACGGGGTGAGGTTTCTTTTCCACGACGCTATTCCCGATCAGAAACTGGACGGGATCGAAGTTTTTGACCTCTGCACAGCCCCCGTGGCTGGCCAACTCTACCCCACTCGCTTCTATTTGGACCAGAGTGAGAATTCGCTCGTGAGGAAGGAATGTCGCAAGGTGAGCAAAGTCGTTTATTCAGAGCTGAAATGCCTGGACGAGTGAATCACGGCGTACGATCCCACCAACGCCAATCACAAATTAATCGATAAAAAATATAAATAAATTATGCAATACACATATGTATTAGTGATTAAATACCTGGATTTGCAGACGTTCCAAGTGAGACCCGGCTACGTGTTGACGATGCACTTTCCCTACTCGATGAGCAAGGTGGACTATGCGGCGGAGATAAGCGTGTATGATGGTCCCGACTCTCGGGGAAACCTGTTGACCACAATTCGTGTGAAGAACGAGACCTTTCCGCAGTCGGTCACGGGTATGAGGGACACGATCTACCTGGAATTCAAGGCCAAACCGGCTGTCAGGGTCCTCTTCTACGTCGAACTCTCTGCCGGGAAAGGTGAGATTCTCAATCCTCGTCAGCTTCCTCTTTTGCATAATAAATAAGCTTTAAAAATCGTCAGGCTTACCATTAGAAGAATGCAAATTAAAAGAGAAACCCAAGACAGCAAACATTTTGATTGCCTCTAAAGGTTTTATTGGTTGTTGGCAAAGCTTGGCTGGAATTTAATCCGATCACTAATTTCCCATGGGATTAGTCGAATCGTTTTGTATGTGCATACCTGCACAGTGCACGTATGTCCATGGATAATAAGTGGTTGAGCAAGGGAGTCAGGAGGGAGGGTTTGGAAGGATTGTGCAAATGTCGAGATTTTAATTAAACTTTCACCACACACGGCTTCCTTGCTCAATCAGTCACCGCTGGGACTCACTGTGCTTGCATTATCCAATTTCTTCCTTATTGCATCATTCGCTGGTCTCACTCCATAAATGTTTTCATTGTCCTTTCCCATCCACTCAACAGGTAAGGATTACGACCTCAAAGTCTCCAACTCCGTCCTCGCCATGAACAACGGACGCGGGCTGGCGGTAAGTTTCCACTACCAAGTATTTTTTAATAGCTGATTTATAGCAACATGGAACTAATGTTTGCAGGTGGAGAACATGCGAAGCCAAGTGATCGTCCACGCGTCCTCCATCAAGGAGAACAGCCACATCGCAGGGATTCACATTCTCGAGGGCGTCGGGTTCGTCAACATTTCTCGGACAGAAATCATGTCGAATATCGGCGACGGGCTGAACATCACATACGGCGGTGGGTCACGAAACATTTCTCGCAGTCTAATTGCGGCCAATACGAGGCGAGGAATTGGAGTTTGGTTCAACGAATCCTCCATCAAACTCCCATCTGAGCAGGAAACTGTGGTGGAATACACTGAAATCTCAAGGAATCTGGAGGCTGGGATTTTTGTGGGCAACTTTTGTGGGAATGCGGTGGTGAACATTAGTGGGAATGTGGTCAAGGATAGCAAGAAACCTGGGGTAGAAGTGTGGTCGTGCTGGTCCAAAGTTGGTTCATTCAACTACGGCCATCCCCTCAAACTGAAAATTGGGCATAATCGATTCATCAGCAATGATCACTTTGGCATCAAGTTGAACCCTCTCATCAACGCCATCGGGGTCATTGAGCACAACTACTTCAGCCTGCACAACAAAGGCTGCCTCGTCATCCAGGGTGTGGACTGGAAGGAGCTGGAAACTCTGCCCGTCAACCTAGAAGTGTCCAACAACGTATTTGAGAAGAACACGGGTCAGTTCGTGGCGTCGCTGGGGCTGAATCACCACGCTCCACGACAGAAGCTCACCTTCACTCAGAATTTTGTCCGCTGGAACACAATCACGGAACCATTTTCGAGCCAACTCAACCCGAGGAGCAGAGTGGCCGCTCCCGTCGTCATCTCCTCCGCCAACGTGGACGTGTTTCGAAACATTTTACAAAATCCAGACTCCAAATATGAGATTGGGAGTCACATGACGGACCAGAGTTTCTCTCTCAACTGCACCTACAACTGGCTTGGGAGCAAGGACGAGAAGGACATTTATTATCGCGTCTTTGATCGAAAAGATCGCTTCAATTTGGCCAAAATTAACTTTATTCCCTTCATTCTGTCACCAACGGATCCCAACACGGAGATTGCAATGACGATGACACTCTTCGTCCCCACCTTTGACTCTGCAGACCGAATGATTGGGGGGGAAATCACGGGGAGAGAGTCGCTTAATCATGGAGAGTACAAGTGAGTACTATCCCCGTACTTAGGCTTTGCACCTCATTTGCATAAATCTCAATAGCCCATTTTCGGCGATACGAGCTTTCCATGTTGAATAAACTCTATGGCTCTCGCGAATGCGTTAAAATATGCAAATGAGGTGCAAAGCCTAAGTACGGGGATAGTACATATATGTTACATTTACATATATATCGTAGCATAATCTTGGCTTATGAAAAAGTGGGGCAATGAGATACGATGATGGTTAAATTGTACAAATCTGCAGGGTCGTCCGAGACATAAGTGTCCGACCTGGTGGTCAACTTCAGGTCGCATTCGGTGTGACGTTGAAGTTTCTTCCGTCAGTGGGGATCATGGTGGGAGGTCAATTTCATGCCGAAGGATTTGCCCACGCCGAAGGTTCCAACGTTCGGTTCACACTCTTTGACACGGGCAGAATTAACTCCACGGACGCCCCCGTTCGCCTCGTGGGAGGAAGGACGCGAAAGGACGGCAGACTCCAGGTACGATATACAAAAAAGAAAACGAGCAATTCTGCTTAACATACATCGCACCCAAGTATTTTTTGCAACGTGGTGTCAAATTCTGGACAAAATAAAACATCTGAAAGAAGACCACCAAGCATCTCTCGTTTTATTATTATTTTTTTTATTCAGGTGCGAGTGGGGAACACTTGGGGCTCGGTGTGCAATTATGGGTTTGATGTTGACGACGCTGCCGTGGCATGTCGTCAAATGGGCTACGTTCTGAATGCGGATGATTGGATGTTGGAGAGGGTGGAAATACCACAGGCCACCCCGTCGGAAACCATTTTAATGAGGTAATCCTAGTCAGTTTTGTTTTATCTCGCTCGTTTCTCTCCTCTCTCCTGATTCCACCCGAGCCTTTTCTCGCTTTCTTCTACGCTGGAGAAAGTTCTCATGTTTCAGCGGAGGTGTGATCATCGCCAAGTATTTTTATCCTATACGTAATCCCGTCCTCTCGCATTTCAGCAATCTCCATTGCGACGAGTGGGACCACGATTTGACCCAGTGTGACGCAGAGATGAGCGAGGACATTGAAAACTCCTGCCTGCACGACAACGTTGTTGGGATCAAGTGTTATGACACGTCGTGGGCTGGAATCAGAATGGCCATTACGGCCGACAAGAGTGTCATCAAATACTCGGTTATAGAGAAAGCTGGACTGCTCGATCCGCACACCAACGAGCACAAACCAGGTAAGCAGCAAAATCGCTGCATGCAGGTCATTTATGTATGTGGACCAGAGTGATCATATTTCGTATGTAAAAGTGTAAAACTACCAATTTACTGTGCAGCCCTCCAGTTGGACTTTAGTCACCACGTCCTCTCCGACATTTCCGTCTCGGACAACACGGGGGACGGCCTTGGCATCATTTACTCGGATTTATACTTTCCCGACACGGTGAACGTGGTGGAGCGGTCCGAGTTCAAAAGGAATCTGGGCAACGGGGTGCTGCTTCGCCAGTTGGGCTTGGAGTTGAGAGACTGCGTGGTCGAGCACAACCGTGGGGCTGGGATCCTTCACGACCCGGTCATCACGAGGGCTCATCAACGGGAGATTGCAGGCTGGGTGACGGTGGGGAAAAAGGATCGGATTGAGACGATCCCACTCCAAGGTGAAGTCATAACTATATGCATAGCAGTTATTTGAGATGATTAAACTTGACCCAATTTCCTGACTAATAAGAAATCCACGTTTTTCACGAATGATGCATAAATCTCATCACACAATTAAAACCCGTAGGCAAGGACCTCTTCCTGGACGAGAACATTTACAAATATCTCATCACCAAGACGGACCCAAACATCAACGAGGTGTACAACGTGTTCGCCCAAGATCAAAACTTTGTCATCTCCATGCAGCTGCTCAACCCCATTCACAACGACAGCACGGAGGAGATGATCATCTATGACCGGCACGACATTCCGGCCAAGGAGGGAACCGAGTTTTTCCACGACCTCGAGTCCTGGTCCGTCACACGAGACCAGGTGTCCTTCCCCACGGTGAGCAGCTCCTATGGGATCACAATTTGGTACCGCAGCGGGTCCAGGCCTCGAGGAAACTTGATCCTCTTGGTGAGAGTGATCCGTGCTCCCATCAGCCGGTACGCGAGGTCACGACTTTTGGAGGGTCCACTCCCCAAACTCAAGCTCATTGACTCCAAAATCCGGTACAATGGGAGAGGAATTGCTGCAATCCATTACAATCGGTACGAGAATGAGGACGGTGACCTGTTTCTGAGAAAAGCCAATGAGTCGATGGAGCTTCTCCGCTGTGAGCTGTCCTTCAACCGGGGAGAAGCCTTCCATGTCTTCACACCATTCAGGGAAATTTACACGTCAAACATTTCCGAAATCACCTTCATGATTAACAACACGGTCATATCCGACAACACAAAAGGGCTGGTGCAGTACAGCAAGTGAGACCCGTTTCACCCATTGTCCTTGACTTAGTACTTACAAATAACTATATTAAATGTATTGGTGCGCAGGGATTTGCGAAGCTCGAACAACTTGTACCACTGGATTCTGAGGGATAACGTGATTGAGCGGAACAAGGAGGGCGGTTTCCAGGTGTCGCTTCCCTACGTGTGGCAGTACGACGAGAACCACACGCACTCGGTCCATTTCGAAAACATCACTTTCCGGAACAATATGGACTTCGAGACGCTGATTGCCGGACATTACAGCCAGCTGCACGTGATTGGCAGTCTCTTTGAGAACAACATGTGCAAGGGGGGACTCTTCAGTGTGACTGGGATGGAAAAACAAATGCTCATCTTTAACAATCAATTCATCAATAATCAAGGCTCGTTTGCCGTCCAATTCGACACAGATTCGCAGTCAGAAATCGTGGGGTCCGTGTTTGCGTATTTCGTCCGGAACCAAGTCAAGTACAACAGGATTAATCCCCGTCTACGAAACGATGTCAAGGCCATCAACAATGCGACGTATCAACCAATGAGCTACGCATTGGGACTTAAGGGCCATCAAAAGGTGAACGTGACCAAGAACCTGTTTGGCGATAACCAGCTCGACTATGAACTCTTGGCTGGGACGAAGACTGCCAAATTGGACAATTATGTCAACGTTATTCAAAACTGGTAATTCTCACTAAATAAATGTGTCATGTTTTCCCTTTGCCTAACAATTTCTGCTTCTTCCCTCGCCTTCCATTCAGGTGGGGCACCTCGGATCCCAAGAAAATTCGCGAGAGAATATTTGACTTTGACGACTGGAACAGTTACGCCATCGCCACGTACAGGCCGTATCTCCTCCGCGACGATTTCGACTCCCCGTTCTCCACAACCTTTGAGCCAGAGAATGAAATCACGATCGACACTCTGGGCGGACGACTTCTCCACCCGCTCACTCTGTACCGCCGATCTCGACCTTACGTCGTCAAGGCGGACTTGACCATCATGCCCAACGCCATGCTGACCATTGGGCCTGGTGTTGAGCTCGAGTTCTACCCCAGCGTGGGAATATTGGCACTGGGACCTTTGATTGCCCAAGGCCTGCCCGAAGCCCCCATCGTCATGAAACCCATCATGTTGAAAAGGATGGAGGAATTGGAGCTGATGGAGAGGGCGAGGTACTTGGACGACTCGATGCACAGGGAGAAGGGCGTCCGGCTGTGCGCGGAGGAAAAGTGTGAGCCGGGCATCAACGAGGGTTTCCTCGAGTACTTCAACAAGACGACGCTGCAGTGGGTGCCCATGTGCGACAATCGATTCACCGAGAGGAACGTCCAAGTGGTTTGCAAGCAGTTGGGCTTTGACGACATGAACGTCTACTTGGACTACGGCAAGCGGTGGGAGTACATGTACAACCACGTCCCCGTCTCTCGTGTCCGCATGTGGCCCGAACCATTTCAGTGTGTTGGTGAGTCAGTGATGCGCTCCATTGTTGGTTCTGCTCAATTAGTGTGATAAGGTAATAAGGAGCCAGTAATGTATGATTCGAATTATGATTGTGTGCAGGGAATGAGAAAACCTTGGACGAGTGCCCCATCCGGATGAACGGCCAACTTTACGGGTACGACTATCCGTGCCACTGGGAGAATGACTTTATCTTCATCCAGTGTGGGCAAAGGAATCTCAATAAAACGATGGAATATTGGGGTGGAATTCGGTAGGAAAATATTTCTGCATAATCCTCGACTTGTTTGAAAGCTTGTCTGAAACCACCCGCGTCGCTTTCTCTCTTTGTAGATTTTCCGTCCCGGATTTTGAGCAGCACCTCTTTGAAGGTATGTGTGGTAGATGATTTGGTTACCAATTCCTGGTTTCCCAATAGGTGGGTGGTTCGTAAGAATAGGTTTAATTTTTTGTTTTGTTTATCCTTTGAAGACCGAATGCACGACGCGGTCACTCACAACAGCTACACCAAGGAGGAGAGTGTGTTGGAATGGGTCGAAATCTACGGGGCAGGAGTTTTGCATGGTACGTGATACGTCAAATAAATGAAATTAATTTTTGTGGCTTTACTAACCACCAAAACACACAAAAACCGAAAACAAAATGCCAAATTCACACAGTCCAGCCTAATTAAAAATTGCATGCTGTGTTTTATAGGTGAGAAGAGTCCTGCAGTTTTGAGCATCATGCAGAGCCCACTTATTCGATATGTGAACATTACAAAATCGGCCTCTCACGCCATCTCACTCATCTCGGCCCCCAAAACGATGCGAATGTCAAAGAACTAGTACGCTCGTATTTCAATGATAAATCCACCCTCCTTCCTGGTCAGCTTGATATAATATTGTTGTTCTTGTAGCATTGTAGACAACATGGGGCTCGGATTCAGTGGCCTTTCTCTCCTGGGTGAGTCTCAACAGTCCGACTCGAGTTCCTTCTACCCTCTCAAAAAGATTGAAATTCCATACGGCATTTTCGGCATGGTGGACGTTTGTGACACCAACAAAGAGATCATTGTGGAGGAGAGGGTCGTGCTCTACTACAAATACGACAACTTTCCAGTCGACTGCGTCAAAATCTTCAAAAGCGTCTACAACGCTAAGAATCTAGGCTTCCGGTTAGCGTCCAATATACATTTTGACATTCTTCTCATGGTCATCATTTTTTCTCACTAATTAATTAAATTCCTTGATTACTTCAGGCTGTTGCAATTCAATTTGTTCAACTCAACCGGAAAACCTTGGCCGCCAGACTACATTAAACTCATTGACGGTGATATTTACAACATCACGACGGAGGAAATTGCCACGCTGACCATGAGTGACGAGTCCAACCCACTCAACAAGTTTTATTCCACCAGTTGGCCAAGTCTCAGTGTCAAAGTGCACGCCACAGGTGCTACGGAATACAACGGATTTGTCGCCGAGATCCTGACACTGCCAGTTTCCCCTCACGGAATTGGTAAAGTTTGCACCTCTCTTGTCATCTAAATAATTTCTCATCTAAATAATAACGCTTGTCACGTACTCGCAGAGCGCAACGTGCAGCACAACATTACGTACACAATATTCCAGAACAATAGCCGAGGTGCAGTGTACTATGGTTCTGCTGGGGAAATTAGCCCGACCGTCACACTCGAGAAGAACCGGATTGAAGACAATTGCATGAAATTTTATGGGAATTTCTCCAGTTGTGAAAGTGCGGTTCGATTCGATGTTCAAAACATGCAGCACATTTATTTTATGGTATTTACCTAAATAATTTACGCTGAATTATGTTCATTGATCACCTTTCATTGTTAAGAATTGTGTTCTTGTTCACGGCAGAACAATGTTGTTCGGAGGAACCAGGGTGGTTTGAGCATCACTGCCGACTCGAGCGGCTCTCCCACGGCGATGAAGGGCTACGTGTACAACAACCTCTTTGAGAACAACACGAACCGAGAAGTCCTTCACGTGGAAGGAAAACGGAGCAGTCCTTTTCAAGAAATTGTATTTTACAGAAACATTGTGACCAGGAATGATGCCAACTTTGCAAATGTCGTCACTCTGAGCCAAGTGGTGTCCAATCTGACGGAAAATTATTTCCATTACAATCGGGGAAATTATATCATGGAAGTCTCAGGATTTGAGAAAGTGCGACTCCCAATCTACCAGTCTTGCACCCACAACTCCTTCTTCATGTAAGCCCACGATTTACATAAATGCCAAATGCATTAACTTATTGCACAAATAATGATTGGTTGTGAAATGAAAATGTGTATGTAGTTGTCACTGTTTTACCAAGAGTTAATTTTGAGACATAATTTTGCAGGAATATTGCAATTGACGTGGAGGACAAAACTACCATCGTTGCTGCCAGTACGGGGCAGCAATACATTGACAATATATTTGTAAATCCGGAAAATTCCTACGAGTTGGTTACGGTCAACAAGTCACGGTAAGCAATCTGCTACGAAACACTTAATTGCGAAACCAATTGCTTTCTACAAAGTTTACAAAATGCATGTAAATTACTAACAAAAACTGTTTTTATTTACTCGTTGCATGTTTCTCTATACCATTGACGCTAATGTCCTGAAATATTATTGTTGCCTGAACTGATCTCTTGCTCGCATGAATCTCTGTTTCTTGTCTACATCAACAGACCCAGGGCTCTTCAAAGGTAGTAAATTTTCACCACTTTAAAAATGTATCTGTGCATTTCTACGATATTTGCATAAACTCGAGTTCACACTATTGATTGACTAGTGTACTTGTGAGTTGACGCTTTTGTCTAAATTTTCTTCAGCTACGACTGGACGAGCGCTGTGGATGCTCGTCACAATTGGTGGGGATATCCCGGCACGATCGCCGTCATGGGGCGAATCAAAGACGAAAACGACAACATTGACCTGCTCCGCGTCCTCTTTGACCCATTCCGCGTGGACAACAAGACGTTGTTGAGTGGAAAATGTCCTCCTGGGTAAATTTGGAATTTTACTAGCATACTTTATTCCCATTCTCTACAGGACATCTCAATAGTTGTAACGTATTTGCACTGTACTTATCATCTAAAACCCATCTCTCAGGTACACTCTGGTTGCCGAGACGTGCTACATGTACGTCGGAGGGCACATGACGTTTAGCGAGGCCAAGGACTTTTGCCGCAGTGAGAACGCGTCGATGCCCTACGTGGAGGCCAACTACTACTCCGTCATCCACTTTCTCCGCAACTGGCAGGAGGACTACGACTACTATGACCGGGTTTGGGTCCAAGACGTGGACCGGTTCGGCCAGTGCACAGTTTTTGTGGCCAACAGCGTCCAGGAAGAAGAGTGCTCCTACCGACTTCCATTCATTTGTGAAACGGGTGTGTGCTCAATTTTTTCTGCTTAATTTCCTTGACCTTATAACTTATCAATTTACATCAGACCCCAAGATCCGGATTGACCCGTTGGCATGGACGGCAGACTCTGTAATCGTGGGTGCTTTGGTCTCGGTGTTCATCGCTTTCATCCTCATCGTGTTCATCCTCGTCTTCTGGTACACGAAATCCAAGCAGCGTCAAGTGGAACGGTTGGAGAGGAGGAATTCTGTCCGAGCCTCGATCCGTTCCAGCAGGTCGCTCACGTCCATGGGAAGCCTGTCCGAAGTCGGCTACCGGCGAAGGATGGCAGAGATCGTGAGCTCAGTACGTTACGAACGAGACAAATTCCTACAACTACAAATATTTACTTGGGCTTTCTTTTATTGCAGCAAAAATCGCTGAACACGACGACAGCCTCGGCCGGGAACTTGAACAACTACAATAAAATGAACGGGAGTTTCGACTCGATCGAGAAGAATCCTTCAGCCTTCACGTCGTTGGACAACACGTCGTACGACTACTACGAGTCGCAAACCCCACGCACCGGGGTCTCCCAAGCCAGCTCACTCTTTGATGCCGAAGGAGTTTCACGACACCCGATGGGGCGACCCAGACCACGACCCGAGAACGGGATCCACGGACTCCCAATAATCCCACCTCAACCTCCTCGCACCCATCGATTCATGGTTCAGGCCGACGTTCTTCACAAGCCTTCCTTTGATTTGACCTATCACAATCAGAACTTTAGGGAGACTCCATCAATGCCTTCCATCCCACCCAATAACGAGTTTTGGGGTACTCCTCGACCCCAGCATCATGATCCCACCACCTCGTCCGCCATCGACTTCCCACGAACGACTTCGAACGCCACGACAACGATATTTCCTCTCCACAACAACACCAACAATACCTCGACGTCCACGGACCCCTTGACTGACACCGAGCCCAGCCCTCGCTCCGAGGGAGTCACGCCCATCTTCCTCCGCCACCCGCTAAGTGGTCATCCCAGTAACAGCGCCAGGGATCCACAACAATACCACAGTTTCGACCAGTTGGACGTGAACCGAAATAAAAACAACCCCAATGAAACTGGGCAACAATACGTCCCCAACATTTTCCCTGAACACGACCCCAATCACCATCATCGACAGTCAATGCCGCCCACTGCCTTCAATCTGAACAACGAAGTAACACCGTCACAAATGAGTCACAAGGATCTGGGGAGGAGGAGTCCGCCGACCAAACCGACACTGAAGCGTCCCCTCCCCACGGCCTCAGACTCATCCGCGGAAGACATGGAGTTTGACCACACGCCGTTCATCTCCGAGTCCCCGACGACAGGATCTGATGACCAGGATCACGACAAAAATCAGACTGGAAGTCGAAAGGCTCGAGTTATAGAGACGAGTTTGGACGACTTGGAGGTGGACTACGAGTTGGAGGAGACGATACGTCCCGTGAGCACATTTTTGGAGACGAATGTGGACGTGGACGAGCCAATTCTTCCTCCGATAAGGACAGCCAAGAGTCAATACATCCCCCACATGAGCTCCTCCCCCTCGCAAAGCAGTTCCAGTCGAGCTGCGAGCAAAAGAGCTGCTCCGTCCGAAGACTTTAAAGCCTTGAGTAGCCGGAGCAAAAGTATGCCTTTAGAAACTGAAATGTAACGACAAACTTGTGATATTTCCGCACTGTCCAGAAATGTATCTCTCAGATTTCCACAAATGCACAAAACGAGAAACTGTTCAGCCCGAGTGGTATTTAAATTATTGTGGTATTTTTACACTGGTTTCGTACCTCTTTGTACATTTACAAACTTTCAGAGCTTTCCGATCAATCAACTTGTATTTAATGTAATTGAGTAAAACTAAGTTAATTTGTATCATAAATAGAATCGTTACGTACATAGCTAGCTAAGTAGAATTATGTATTATTGAATAGTGACAATTGCATTGATCTGCTGCAATTAGCGAGAATGTTAACATATCACGTAGCAAGCACATTAGCACGGCACGCTATTAACAAAGCGGAGCGCTTTTTGCTGTTTTGCTCCTTGAACAGAAATTAACTGTAAAGTAAACGTAGCGTAATATAATTGATACATAGATTTCCACGTTCATCATGATCAAGTTCAGCTTTAGGTGTTATGTTTTATTGTAGAATTCTTATTCCGTCGTCACAGTCTTCTCATCTCACAAACTGCACCAGTTATTTCATAAATATTATCCTCCATGCAATCCACTTCTTTCAATGTGATTATATACTCCTTGCACAGCTTTAAATATATTATGCTTAAAAGAACGGGCGAACAAATTTTACCGATTCAGATTGTTAAAGAATTAAGATTAAGTAATGCTATGACCAACAAATTGTAAGGTATAATCTGCAAATAAAATGCGATCTCATTTATGGCGTTAAAAAATCATCTCTCGGCGTAATGGACTTATTTCAAGTAATGAATCAAATAATGATTTTTTGGCATAACTTGTGTGATTTGATTGTACATTTGTACCTTTGTTCATATGCAAATGCAAGTGACTACCCTGGGGCCGATATGGTTGACCTTGGATACTTTTACATGGATCATGATCCTGTTACACTTGACACTTTTACCATGGCCAATAGAATCCAAGGCGTGCATATCTACTTATAGAACCTGCTGGACAAGCTTTGTTTGCATATTAAGTAGTTGTCGTGCAATGTCACGTTGTTCCAGTGTAGAGAAAGTAGGCATACTTACTTGGCTACAAAACGTTGAGGCAGAGTGAATAATCTCTTGAAGAAACCAACAAGTAGAATTCCAAAGAGAATAATAAACTCAAATAATTCATCATCATGGAGTCGCGTCCATTGATTTTTTATGTCAATGGAAAGAAGGTTAGTAAGGTTTAACTTTAATTAAAAGTTCCATATCATGCACAAACCACAGCCGACAATAAATATTTTCGAGTCATACGTACACAGGTTGTGGAGAATACGCCGAATCCGGAATGGACGCTGTTGTACTACTTGAGACATCACCGTAAGACATTAATGTTTCACTTCTTATCTAACCCAGAACTACTCGAATAATTCGGCATGTTATGTCCCAAAGTTCGCTTGGTTGGGTCGAAGGAAGGATGTGGCGAGGGTGGGTGTGGAGCATGCACCGTGATGCAGTCTCGTTTTGACCCTGAGACACGAAAAATTCAGTAATTTGGCCATATCGCATTCATGTAATTCAATGTAGGATAATTAATAAAAAATGTGGTGGTGGTGGTGCAGTAATATGGCCATCAACGCTTGTTTGACACCGCTCTGCTCCGTCCACGGGTCTGCTGTCATAACGGTCGAAGGGATTGGCAGTGTGCGGCAAGGTCTTCATCCTGTCCAGGTTTCGTATTGGCTTTCTTAGATCACACCGAGTAAAAAATGGCTTCATTCATACCGAGTCTTTGTACTCTTATTATCACACAGGAAAGGATTGCCAAGTCGCATGGGACGCAATGTGGGCTTGCACGCCAGGTTTCGTCATGTCCATGTACGCCTTGCTTCGAAATAACCCCAAACCTACGGAACACGACATGGAAGAAGCATTCCAAGGTTGTTGTCTATCTCGCCATCAAAATAAGGTGTAATTTTGCTCTAAGGATATGTGCATTGTTCGCTCTCGGCAGGAAATCTGTGTCGCTGCACAGGGTACCGACCAATCCTGGATGGCTTCCGAACTTTGTGCTGTAAAGACCTTTTCCAGGGGAATGGCACGGCTGGAAAATGTTGCGAAGCTTACGACACAAATGAGAACGTGGAAGAGGTGGCTGACATCTTGTTTGACGAGTCAGAATTCCTCCCGTACGATCCGACTGCGGAAATAATTTTCCCCCCAGAGTTACAGGTCAATTTTTAATTTAAAGCTAGACCGACACAAGAGTTGGGCAACACTTTTTCATGATATAAAATTTCACTTTCTTATAAAAATGTCAGCTTTGAAAGTAAAAATGATCTCGCTGGAAGATATTTTTAGACTGATGGTGATTTTTATTAAACAACTTGGTTTTAAGGTTTTGACAGTACATAGGAGACATTCATACATATGTAATAATATGTGGTCAGAAGTGACCATACAAACTACGCAGAGTTATGCTCAAACGAAGTGTCCCTTCTAATGAGGCATAAAAACAAAAGGACCCTTTTAATCCCTTGTCCTGGGAAAAAGGTTGGAAAATGCTCAGCCCTCATAAAAGTCGACAAACTTAAAAATTGATAAATATGGAAAACTTTGTTAACATGCATATTTTAACATCCTCCCTCAATTTTTAAAGTTCAATATCGGCAGTTTCCACTGGATTTGCCCTAACCGAAATTACATTTGGCCGGCTTTTCAGAAAAAGGAAAACACAAAGAGTGGCTTGAGCAACTATTATTAGTATGCAAAGGGTTAAGATCCATTCCATTGTTGACCAGGCTGGTTCATTGCTTGTGTGGTAGTGGATTGACCCTCCTTCGTCAGTGGAACCATTGATCATCAGACTGGTCCAGTTGAAACTAGGCTGCAAGTGCCAGTTGGCTTTCATCGTGAATAGTGGGTCGACTACCTCTTGGTGAACAAGGCTGGATTCAGTTCCTGAAAATTCAATATCATTTATTTTAAAATTAGCATTCATTGGAAGGATGAACACGCTAGCAGGGCATTGTTGCAGCTTCCTCTCAATGGTAATATTGGACCCAGGGCAGTAGATATGATATTGTCCATGGTGTAGTTTGATTTGTACAAAATCCCATGGTTCAGCAAGGTTCTTGTCATAACAGTGGTCTATGTCAAAGTGATTGGAGTTCTTTGTTTTCGCTGTTGGCGTGCATCCTCGAGTGGGCGAAACAATTAGGTCGGGGGTTGTAGGCTCCTTAACATTGATGGAGTATACGCAGTCATCTTTCGTAGAAAGGATGGCATTATGGGGTCCCTTGTACTTTAGAACGCAGGTTTCATTCTTCCTTTCAACTTTGAGATCGAAGGAGTCTGCCTCGATGAGTTGCAAATCTTTGTTAATTTCAGTTGCTGTGAAGTCCACATACAGCTTGGTTCTGTCATCTGATATTTCGCACTTTTGAGATTGTGCGAAGCTGACTGGGCAAGCATCACCACAGGGTAACGTGAAATTAAAGAAATCCATTAGTGGTGCGTAAACTTTTCCTCGCCGCCACTGTCTTGTTGCTTCTCTAATTATTTCTCTACCTATCATGAGGCGACTGGTAAGGTAAGAAATTGCGAAATTGGTGTCAATGGATTTTCCCTTGAGTTCGTCGTGATCAAGCTGATGTAGCTGAAGCTGTTCTAGTGTAGCATTTAGGCTAACCTTAAGCTTCTCAATCTCTCTTTCCGATATTTCCACGCGACGTTCCAATTCATCCAGCATCTCTCTTTGTTCCGCTACTGTTCCTTGCAAAGCAGAGATTCTTCCAGTTTGAACAAACGAATTGATTGCTCCACCAACTGATAAGCCGGCTACAAGGACAGTCACACCAATTATTACTCCAACTGCAAGTAATGGGAGGACTCTCTTCACTCTTCGTCCAATCTCTCCGGTATGTCGCGAATTAATATGATCGGAGAATTTTCTTTTAGGGCACAATTTTTCTAGCTCATCCAGGAACATTTCGTCGTATATTTTGTTACATTTCTCGGTTGCATAGGCACTTAAATCCTTATGGAGTAGATCCTGTGTTGAAATTTCGCACGGGTTCATGAATTTGACGAGCAAGTGGACTTGGTTATATCCCGTTGTAACTGGGATTGGACTCTTTTTCCATAGTAAAGAGATCGCATTCTGATGTGTCACCCCACAAGCTTGCGTAATAAACATAAGAAGGATGGTGAGAAGGCTCATCAGTGAGAAGTTGGCTTGGAGGGGACCTCTCTTTACTTTAGTTGGGTTGTCCTTGCTCTCCTTTGTCTCATTTCTTTCCATACTGAGATCGTGTCTCATCTTGAAATGCTGGGTCTTCAGTAGTGGCTTAGTTAATCCATCTGCAATTTGTTCACTGGTATGTACATATTCAATTGCCAACTGTCCTGTACTAACTAGCTCTCTTGTGTAGTGGTACCGGACATCGATGTGCTTGGATCTTGAGTGCATCTCTGGATTTTTGACCAATTTTATTGCACTCTGGTTGTCAACATGAATTATTGTTGGGGACTCTTGTGGGAATCCTAATTCTTCTAGAAATCGTCGTAACCAAACGGCTTCACGCGCTCCAGAAGCGAGAGATATATATTCACTTTCCATTGATGACATTGAGACAATGGGTTGCTTTTGGCTTGACCATGAAATAACGCTGTCATTTAGCATGAAGACAAAACCTGTTGTAGATTTTCTATCCATCTTGTCGGAAGCATAATCTGCATCTGTATATCCCCTGAGAATCATATCCTCACACGGTTTGTATTTGATTCCGAGTTCCTCGGTGCCTTTTAAATAGCGGAGGACTTGCTTTGCAGCTTTCCAGTGAGTTTCGTCGTATGCGTGCATAAACTGAGACAGGCGGGACACTGCATATGAGATGTCAGGGCGGGTGCACTTGGCTAGGTAAATTAATGATCCAACGAGCTGTCGATACGGAAGGGTCTCGTTTATTGTTGCGGCTGGGACGAGTTCTCCTGCATGAGGTTGCATCGGCACATTCGTCGGGTTGCACTCCAGCATATTGTACTTTTCAAGCAGGTTACGGATGTAAAAAGGTTGTGACAAAAGTAAACCATCATTTCCATCTCTGATTATTTGCATCCCAACATAGGCTGTGGGCTCCATTATCGTTATTTCAAAGTAGGATTTGATTGCATTGATGATCTTCTGCACGGCATTTTTATCTTTTCCAATGACCAGTGAATCATCCACCCATAAGCTGAGATAAGTGATTATTGCATCAACATCTCCAACAAATATACAGGGATCGCAGTAACATGGGTGCAAGTCGAATTTCTCGAGAAATTCGGTGAATGTTTCATTCCAGGTTCTTCCAGCCTGTTTCAATCCATATAAAGCCTTGATCAGGAGGCACACGATGGAGTCATCTCCATTGTGGAAACCCTCAGGTTGTGACATGTATATGGTCTCCTTTAGAATCCCGTAGAGATAGGCTATCTGGACATCCAGCTGTGCGATATGCATTTTCTTTGCTGCAGCTATACTTAGTAGAAGTCTTATGGACTCGTACCGAGATACGGCGGAGAATGTCTCAAAATAGTCGACGCCTTCTTTCTGTCTATGCCCTCGTATGACAAGCCGGGCTTTAAATCGATCAATTGTTCCATCCATTTTACGTTTAAGCTTGTATACCCATTTACTGTCAAGCAATCTTGCATTGGCTGGCCTCTTCACGTATTTCCAAGTCCCATTTTTCTTATGACTTTCAATCTCATCTTGCATTGCCTTTGTCCATTCTTCCTTCTCTTTAGACTCAACGGCTTCTTTATAAGTTGAAGGTTCTTTGTCTGCATAAATGGCATGAGCTTGATATCTATCTGGTTTCTTAATTTTAGCTCTGTCTCTTAAATTGCGAGTGGTTCCTGATTTTTTACTTGTTTCAGGCAAGACAGCACGTGTCGTCCCTTGCGATGGAATGCGAGCCGTGTAGTCTCCTTTTTCAGTTTTAACTTGGACTTCTAATTCGTCACCCATTTTCTCGTTGTCAGGTTGTACTGGCTGTGGGTCAACTTGATCAGGCTGTGGGTCCTCGGGATCGTATTTCTCCTCGTCCGTCCATTCTGCATCATCTTGTGCATCATCTTGTGCATCATCTTTTTCAGATTTGGATTCATCAGGTTCATCTCTTTCTTCTTCGCCATGTATCATTACTGTCGGTTCAAAAGCTTCTTCGTGGAAAGATACATTTCTTGCCTCAACCACTTGTCCGGACTCAGGGTCGTAAAGACGATATTTCTTGCTCTCTGATGCGTACCCACACAGGATAAGTCGCTCTCCCTTTGCTCCCCAGACCGTCCTTTTCTGGGCTGGTATATGTGCAAATGCTACGCTACCAAAGACTCTCAAATGACGGAGTGAAGGTTTCTTGCCAAATATTGCTTCAAATGCGGTTATATTTGGACTTTGCTTGTCCAGTATTCGGTTGTGGACGTAGACGGTGGTGGCAACGGCTTCAGCCCATAAAGATTCGGGTAATTTAGCTGCCAGCAGAATAGTTCGAGCACAGTCTTTTAAAGTTCTTATTTCACGTTCGGACCTCCCATTCATTTCTGGATTGTAGCTGACGGTTGTTTCATGAATTATTCCCCGGTCTCTGAAGTATGATGCCAAAGTAGAATTACAGAATTCTCCACCATTGTCTGAACGGCATATCTTGACCTTTCTTCCTGTTTGATTTTCCATAAATTCAATGTAGCATTTGATACGATCCTTGGCTTCGTCTTTGCTCTTGAGAAAATATACAGTGCGGAAGCCAGTAGCATCGTCTTTCAAGAGTAAGAAATATTGAGCTCCTCCCAGGGATGCAACAGGCATTTTTCCGGCTAAGTCCATATGGACCATTTCCTGGTTTTATCGTTGCATTTCTTGTTGCGGCTGGAAATGGCTTTCGAGATTGCTTCCCAATCTCACAGTCTTCACACATAATTTTATGTGACACGGCCTCCAGGTCAATTCCACGAACTGCGTCTTTCTTGATGGAGTCCACCACATAGTTCATATTAATGTGTGTCAAGCGTTGATGCCATAGTTTAGCATTAGTCACGGGATGCATGTATGCAGCAATAATTTGTGAAGTGGGACGAAACTTCATGACATACATATCATTCTTGAACTCGGCAATTGGCCCCTTAAACCGTCCATCCTGATAAAATGTTGCTCCATTCTTGTCACGGACGATGGAGTACCCTTTCTTAGCCATTGATCCCTCAGAAAAAAGGTTGACAGCCCCTTGTATGTACAACACGTTATCTATGGTACATTCCTCCCATATGCCGTTGATGTAAGCGTCAAGTGTCACTGTCCCTTTTCCTAGTGCTTGTGTAGCCCTTTTGTCCGTTAGGAAGACTGACTTGGGAGTGTCAAACTCTTCATATCTTGTAAACCATGCCTTATCTCCACAGACATGCTGGTTAGCTCCAGAATCGCTTAGCCACACTTGTTCAGTCACGGGTGCTTGCATGGGGGTTTGTATTGCATTTAGCATGAACGCTTTCCCAGGGCTTCTATTGGCTTGTGCGGGATTATCTGAAGGTTTATTGCTCTGATTTTGTGGATTACTCCTGCATTCCCTTTTCCAGTGGCCCTTTTTCCCACACCCATGGCAGGTTGTTGCCTTTTTCAACTCTTCAATGCTCTGTTTCTTCTTGCCTTTCTTCTGGTCATGGGTCAAGAATGCCTTTGCTGCATCTTGATTGGTTGCTGCTGGTTTGGATTCCTTCCTCTCCAACTCCTCCTTCTTCAGACGGGCAAGTAGCATTATCATGCTCTGGTCCTTATCCGGAACGCTGTCCCATGCCTTTTTGAAGGCATTATACTCCTCGTCAGGGAGACTTGAGACAATCTTTGTGACAATGGATGCTTCAGTCATGACGACTCCCATTTCATTTAGTCTTCTGCCCAGCTCTTCCACCTCTGCAAATGCTTCAATCAATGACTGACTCTTGCCAATTTTGTAATTGAAGAATCTAGCCATGGTATGTTGCTTGTTAAGCGAGCTTGAATCTGAATTGATGCTTTTCAGCTTGTCAAACATTGCTTTTGATGTAGCGCAGTCATAAATATGATTTGTTTGAGTGGCACTGAGAGTGGGGACAATGATGGATTGTGCTTGTATATCCTTCTTATCCCATGCTGGCTGTTGTGCTTCATCTGCAGGTCGTTGGGTAGTGCCGTTGACCACTTCCCACAGGTCATGTGACTTGAGAAGTAAAGTTATCTGAAGTCTCCACCTCGCGTAATTGGTGTCGTCTAGCTTGACAATGTGCGTAACATCTATTCTTTTGATTATTGATGTCATCTTGTCGTTGTGGAGTAGGGAAAGCAGAAGCGAAAAACAGAAATAGACTTGTTACCTTCTCTTTGCCTAATAAAGAGCAGTAGAATCGAAAAAGGTCGAGATTTGGTAGACGGGAACTCAGGATTTGGGTAGAGTGGTCGTCCTCAATAAAACTCGTCCTCGGGCGGAAGGTTCAGCTTCGGGTAGAGTCAAAGGGTTGATGTCTCTTGTCCAAACAATGGTCCAATTCACGGCACACTTTTACAGGCTTACTCCGTCCAGACTGGCACTGGGCAGTGGAGACTTACTGCTATTCTTAACTGATGAATTGACCTTTTCACTTCACAACAATAACACTGATCTACTTCAGTTTATCAAGTGTTGAACAGGAAACAGTTCTTCTCGTTGTGAGACTTTAACAGACTCTGAGACTGGGGCACTTTTGAGACACTCAATGAGGCAGGTTGAGACCAACAATATGAATCATACAAACTAACGGCTTTGCTACCATGAAAGTAAAAATGATCTCGCTGGAAGATATTTTTAGACTGATGGTGATTTTTATTAAACAACTTGGTTTTAAGGTTTTGACAGTACATAGGAGACATTCATACATATGTAATAATATGTGGTCAGAAGTGACCATACAAACTACGCAGAGTTATGCTCAAACGAAGTGTCCCTTCTAATGAGGCATAAAAACAAAAGGACCCTTTTAATCCCTTGTCCTGGGAAAAAGGTTGGAAAATGCTCAGCCCTCATAAAAGTCGACAAACTTAAAAATTGATAAATATGGAAAACTTTGTTAACATGCATATTTTAACAAGCTTGATGGGGCCCATCTACGAAAGCAATCTCTAAAGTTTGTGGGACCAAGGTTGACCTGGTTGAAGCCGTCGACTTTGAAAGAACTACTCGAGCTCAGGGTCAAGTACCCAAATGCTAAACTTGTAGCAGGAAACACTGAAATAGGTGATCCACATGCACACATCAGTTAGCAATTTGAATAATTTGGACGTGTGTTATCCATAATAATGACCTCGATGAGATTATTCTCAGGCGTGGGTATGAAGTTTAAGAGAGTCCTGCATCCCACGTTAATCTACATTGGCGAACTGGAAGACTTGCAAACGATTTCGGCGGATGATAACACCATAACATCTGGAGCTGGAGTTACTCTCACTTCCTTGGAACAGTTTTGCATAATTCAGAAAAGTATATTATTGCGCGTTTGTAGAATAGTATGATAATATGAATTAGATAAAATTGCGGTATTTTAAACACAGGAAAAAGTAGTGCCAATGTTAAGGGTACAGTTTATACAGCCAGCGAAGAGATTTTGCGATGGTTTGGAGGACAACAAGTGAAAAATGCTGCCGTAATGCGAACAATTTCATTGAAATCTTTCGTTTTATGTTAATTGCAAACAATTAATTTGCTAATTATTGCCAGACAATCGGAGGGAACTTAATCACTGCAAGTCCAATAGCAGATCTCAATCCTCTCTGGTTGGCCGTGGGAGCACAGGCCACGGTTATTTCTGCAGGTTTGTGAGCAACTAATAATCTGCTTCTATTACGTATGTGGAGTTTTTAAATCAGTTTTTAAATTATAATTTCAATTGAACTTTTTAAAAACAAAAACACAGAGAACGGGACACGAAAAATCCCAATAGACTCAGCCTTCTTTCAAAACTATCGAAAAACACTGGTGGCCGCTGATGAGATTCTGCTGAGCATTCAAATTCCGTGTCCATCAAAAGTAGTGCATTAACCACACAGAAATGTGTACACTTTAAGTTACCCAATTTTCTAAAATTTCAGGACGAATATGTCTGGTCTTTCAAACAAAGTCGAAGGAAAGAGGACGACATTTCAATTGTGACGACGAGCATGTGGGTCAAGCTTGATTCCTCTACTTGCATCATCACCGACGCCAGGTTGGCATTTGGAGGGATGTCGGCAGTCACTGGGCTGGCCGAAAGTGCTACCTCATTCTTGAAGGGAAGGTAATTACTAACTGCTAATATCATATTGGTAGTAATGCCCTTTAGGTTAGGCCTACATCCTCACACAACCATTTACTTACTAAATTATATGACGGCAGAAAATGGAACAGAAGCATTGTCCAAGAAGTTGCGGCATTGTTGCCAAAAGATTTCTCACTGTCTGAAAATTCTCCCGGAGGAATGATTTCATATCGACAGTCCATCACTTCCAGGTTTGCATTAACCATCCGATACCATACAAGTCAAGATGAAGATAATGACCTAATTTATGAATTAAACGTTTGCACCCAGTCTGTTTTTCAAATTCTTCTTGACCGTCTCCAACTGGATTGTGGAACTGGGGCTGATGTCTGCGGCAGACCTCTACGACCAGAGGGACATATCCGCCGTGGAGAATGTGGGTCGTCGTGACCGCGGTGAGGCCAAAACTGCTCAGTTGTATCAAATCGTTTCAAAGTCACAGAACGCTCAAGACTTGGTTGGCCGACCCGATCGTGCATCTCTCGGGGCTGAAGCATGCCACCGGGGAGGCCGAGTACACCGACGACATGGTCCCCGTTCAGGGAGAACTGTTTGGCTCACTTGTCCTCAGCACCGTCGCACACGGCAAGATTCTCAGCATTGATACCACGGCTGCCCTCAAGCTCCCAGGCGTCGTTGATTTCTTTGATGCCAAATCCATTTCTCCGAAAAATCAAGAGATATTTGCGGCCAACGAGGTACATATTTATACCCAAACAGATTTACCATGTCAAATGAACCTCACTAGCAATGTACGTTTAATGTCTTGGGACGCAATGTTGCAGGTGACGTGTGAAGGTGACATTATAGGTTTTATCGTTGCCATTGACCCATTGATTGCGGAAGCGGGTGCCAAGCTGGTGTCCATCCAGTACGAAGTTCTTCCAGCCATCGTTTCCATTGAGCAGGCCATCCAACAGGAGTCCTTCTTCATAACGAGGACGTTGCGCAGTGGAAACAGTGACGTTGGCTCGGTCTTCTCCTCTTGCGACTGCTTGATTGAGGGGGAGATGCGACTCGGGGGACAGGAACATTTCTACCTGGAGACACAGTCATGCATCGTGAGACAACACTCAGATGGCGATATTGACGTCTACAGCGCCGCACAAGGGTTGGACCACGTGCAGTCTGGAGTGGCAGGCGCACTAGGTCTGAGCCACCACAAGGTCAAAGTTCATTGTCGTCGAATTGGTGGTGGATTTGGGGGCAAGGAAACACGCAACGTGATCGTTGCCATTGTCACTGCTGTGGCAGCTCAAAAGTTGAACAAGGCCGTGAGAACTGTGATGAATCGCCAGGTATGAGAATCAATTATAATTTAAATCAAAATCTCAACGTAAGCCAAGTATTAGTGATTTTTTTTAAAATCGACAGGACGACATGGTGGCGACAGGTGGGCGTCATCCCTTCCACTGCAAGTACAAGGTGGGGTTCGGAAGGGACGGACGAATTTCGGTGGTAAAAGCGACGCTCTATTCGAATGCGGGAAACTCTGTCAACGATGGCTCTCGCACGGTCATGGAACGCGCCTTGTTGTCCATGGACGCAGCCTACACCATTCCAAACTGGGAGCTGGTGGGCGTCGTCTGCAAAACGAACTTGGCATCTAACACTGCGTTTCGTGGCTACGGGGGACCTCAGTCCGCAATGTTTTGCGAGAATATTATGGACGCTGTGGCGGAAACTTTGGGCAAGCCAACAGTCGAGGTTTTTTTAAATGAACTATATTGAAATATTCAAATTAATACTAAATATGCAACTTGTAAGTACGAAGATAGCGAATGATGCTGTATATGTTTTTGTAGATTCGACGAATGCACCTGAAGGTGGAGGGAGATAGAACGCCGTGTGGATGGCAACTTGAGAATGTGACCCTCACAAAATGTTGGTCAGAGTGTTTCAAAAACTCAGAATACGAGGACCGGCTCAAAAAAGTGAACCAATTCAACGAGGAGAATCGTTGGAGGAAGCGTGGTCTTGCCATCATGCCAATCAAACACGACGTGGGATTTGGTGCGACCGTCTTGAACCAGGCTGGAGCTCTTGTCCTCGTTTACACGGACGGCTCGGTCTCTTTAAACTTTGGAGGAATTGAAATGGGCCAAGGGCTCGTCACCAAAATGGTGCAGATCGCAAGCAGGGTTCTGGAAGTCCCTGCGGACAAAATCTGGTTCTCGGAATGTTCCACAGACAAGGTTCCCAATGCAACGGCCACTTGTGGGAGCATGTCGTCCGACTTGAACGGAATGGCAGTGATTGTGAGTAGATATAATTACAATAAGTGCGTGGCGGTACATACATATGACGTAAATGTGAAATGCAGGATGCATGTGAAAAACTGCGGAAGCGGTTAAAGCCCTACAAAGACCTCAATCCGGGTGGGAGTTGGGAGGACTGGGTCTCGGCAGCATATTTAAACCGCGTCTGTTTATCTGCGACTGGATTCTACGAGTAAAACAAATACTATTTGAATTCTATCAAACATGTGTCAAGCTGAGAATTTGCCCCCTTCCTTTATGACCACCATGTAGGATGGGCCACTTGAACTACGACTTTGACAACGCTGCGGCCAACGTGGGGATGAGTCCCTCCAACTACCCCGTGTTTGGCGTGGCCTGTACGGAAGTAGAGCTTGACTGCCTCACCGGCTTTCACTCTCTTCTCCGCACGGACATTGTGATGGATGCTGGAGAGAGTTTGAACCCGGCCGTGGACATTGGTCAGATTGAGGGAGCCTTCATCCAGGGTTACGGCCTATTTTGCATGGAAGAGCTTCTCTACTCCCCCGAAGGTCTCATGCTCACCAAGGGCCCAGGGTCCTACAAAATCCCCACTGCGGGTGACATCCCGAAAGAATTCTACGTCTCCTTGCTACGCGGAAGTCCGAATCCGAAAGCTGTTTACTCTTCCAAGGGCTTGGGCGAACCTCCGCTCGTCCTCTCAGCCTCCGCCTACTTTGCCATCAAGGGAGCCATCAAGGCGTTCAGGATTGACCAGGGACACTCTTCCCTCTTCAGATTGGATTGTCCTGCGACGGTTGAACGAGTTCGGAACGCCTGTCCCAACTCCAGTCTGCTTCAAGAGAAGGATGACGAGAGTCGTTGTGCGAACAAGTGTGAGGTGGGCGGCGTGTGGGCAGTTCGGGCTTAGCACTTTATTACTGCAGATTGCAAAACTCTGGCCATTCACACATTGGTTTACCATGCATTTTTTAACATGTGAGAACACTTAATAAAATACTCTTTTATGTTTGGTTAGTATATTTTCGTCATATTTGGGACGGATTTTGCTTAATTGGTCAGCACAAACATATATTAATGGACGAGATTCATTGGAATTTTTTTGCCATTTTTTGTCCAAACACTGCGCAAACCACATTTACACTATTCTTTAACCACAGCTACACATGTACTAGCCGACAACATAACACAAATACGAATAAATAATGACATAATCTCGTTATACATGTATGTTTGCTGCATGCATACGTCACATTGTTGGAGTTTCCCATAAAAAAATTCGCTTATTCCTTCTCCTGACACCGTCTTGTCAGCAGGCGTTCTCAGAATCATGGATTCCTCCAGCAAGAAAGCTTTGGTCGTTCTGGTGGGTTTTCTGCTCGGCAAGGCCATTGGACAAACCGTCCCCGTCCCGGTAGGAAAATTGCGTACGACCCACACGTATTTAATTAAAATGCGTGGAATTTCAGTAATAAACCAAATTATTTTTTAGCCAGCTTTAACGTTTACGAGAAACGTGTAACTCTTTCGGGGTTTTCAAGGTAGGTACATAAAATGGTTCATGATAGTTCCCGAACCCCCACAGAAAGGAAAACCGGTGTTTTTTGTCAACAGTTTTTCACTTACAAAGTAACTGATCTAATTGTCAAATTTTTTTAAGTGGAGGAACGTTTGCTCAAATGTATCAAATTTCTCACTCTTCAACGATCCATGGAATTGCAGTATTCTCACATAGTACGCAGCCACATACGTACATTAACTTGCATTATTCATGGTCGAAATTAAACGGGGGATCTTGAAACAAGTTTTTTGATTTGACCATTTAGCGTACTATCGCTGCGGCCCTCCATCCGGAAAGATTGACGACTACGACAAGGTGTGCACAAAGCTGTTCAACCAGACGGGTGACAAGCTGTACAATCCCGAGTTGGTGCACAAGGATATCGAGACCTACTTGTACCGTGGTCTGATTGACGACCCGGTCAACCTCCGCCATCGATTCCTCTACGTCTACACTGGACTCAGAAACTTCCTCTTCACTGCAGGTGCGTACGTAGTGGTATTAACTGATCACACTGCCAAAGAATGTATGCATCAAATAATAAAAAGTCCTATGATTTCCAGATCAAAGTCTCAGTATTCTACAAGTTTATGAACGCTACATTAAAAATCCGCATCGAATCAAAACTAGGGTTCAAGATGCTGAGCTTCTTTTGGTGCGTGAGGAAGAAAAAGAGCTAATTAGTGGTTTGCCATTCATTATTTGTGTTTGTTGATAATATTTATATTTATGTAAATCCTCCAGCCCACAAATAACGAATTTGGAGTTCCTTGCACTGAAAGGCCTGATAATACGTCGTTCATCGGAAACTGCGGTTTCTCTGGGTAAGCGTAATCATAAATTATATAATTATCCGTGACATCAGAGTGTTGATAATCTAGGCCTTACGAAGCTCTGGTTTTCCTCCATGGTTCCGACCACCGCATGAGGGAAACTACAGGTTTTTATATCAATTAATCTCATTAAAGTCGCACGATTGAATAATATTATGTGAAAAACGCCCACAAATTAAATTAAACAACAAATAATACATATGATAGGAGCAAGTAAACAGTCTCTAATGCAGCAGCTTAAAATGTTTGACCAGCGTGAATTTGTCACGGGTCTCAAAAATCCACAGTTGGACATGGTGGGCTATTATTTCGTCCCAACGACGTGCGAAAGGAGGCGATGTTTGTTGCATATTTACTTTCACGGGTGCCTCACGGGCCGGTTAGCAATTACATGTTACTAATAATATGCCATTGCTAATGTGAGACTGACTTGCAAAATGTGGTGCAGACAATTCGAGGGGACGAAGCACATTGAGCAGAGTGGATTTCTTGAGATCGCCGAGGCGAGTGACATGATTCTCATATTTCCTCAGGCTGTGATGAGTGAACCTCAAAATGACATTGGATGCTGGGACACATTCGGGATTTCTGGTGAACTTTACGGTACATATTCTACACGAGGAGGATTATTTCGTAGCATTATTGTCGTTGTAACAATATTCTACACAATTATGCAGCCACGAAGCGAGGAGATCAGATTACGGCAGTGAAGCGAATGGTGGACCGGGCCTTAGGAAAGGGCACACTGTCCTCCTCCTCCTCGAGCAGCGGTCAGATTTGGTTCAACAACAAGCAGGACGCCACCAGTTTTGCCCAGGAGGGTCAGAAAGGGGGGTGGTCTCATCACAACCAGTACGGCGGTGGTGGGCGTGGGAAGCAAAAATATCGAGCAGGATATGGCCATTATTATGGATGACACGCACCCGACCTACTTACAAATGTCAAATTAGGAGCAGTGGTAGGTACATGGGTATTGTAATTGTATTAGTTTGCTAATTAACAATGAATTGTTACCTCGTTATGTTACAACATTTTTATTAAATATTTATACTTTTGGTTGGGACTTGACTATGTCGCCGCCTCCGGTGTTACGTTACATTCTCTACTCGTTGAAATATTTTTTGCTGAGCTGGTTATGTTATCTGACACTTTTCGGTACGGCATATGTTAACCTTTGCTGCTGTAAAGTGAGCTCCGCCGCGTACTCAAAACAATTAAAATCAATCACTCGTCAGTCGGTTATTCTACTAACTACTCGAAGCCGACAACTGCATAACTAGCGTGGTAGGTACCACTATGGGTCACAAGGACAATTCACTCGGTCACAGGATGCTAGAACTCTTGCTTGGCTTTTTCTAAAACGTGTATGATTTAATTAGCCAGACAGGCTCGTACTGAAATTGTAACAACCTGACCCGACCCACGTCCACTTATCAGTCAGACTTGTAATCCTGGATACAATCTGGGATACAATTAGCCCATGCAAGGTGATTAGATGACTGAAGAGATGATATGATACATACTGTGGGAAAAATGTCGCATGGGCATCACACATGGAAGTTATTTAATAATAATATGTATGCACCTTTGCCCTTTGTTCTAACCGGTTTGTGTCAACACAATCTAATCCAGACACACACCAGCACCACGCCATGCAAAACTTGTGTATGTGCAGTTAAAAATGGCGATATCGCACATTATCCGATTCCCAAAAGCACACAATCATTGATTGGCATTGGCTTAATTATTCATATTTAAGGTTGGCCTATGCTTGATAATTGAATTACTCATGAAACAATAGCGAGCGGAGCCATCAAGAGATAACAATGATACAATAACTCTGCATAATTATGAAGAGCTAATGACGAACTAACTGTGCTACATATTTACTTGTGTACATGTACTACATATGCAATATGTACAATTACAGAGTTGTGAGAATTATGAGACTACGGAGGAGTTCATTCATTCCTTATTCTGTTACCAACCACACCGAATTGCTGAGTGCATACTTTTGCACTGACATTGCTCCACATTTCGCACGACGGTTGTTCTTCTCGCATCATCTTCCTCTTCTCTCTTCTGGCAGATATTACATAACAATCTCCCCAAAATATCTTTGGAACCGAACTTGCCCGAACACAGTGTTGCAACTTGCAAGAGTATTGTCAGGAGGAGAGTATTGGACGTGTTTCTCAGCCCTGGTGAACTTTAATGACGGCCCGGCACCACAAGAAGCATCGTCAAGAACATAAAACACGCTGCAAGGTCGAATAATTCCAATTCCACCAACTTTTAACCCTTTCTTTCCTTTTCCTTTTGTGTGTGTAAAACTAATAATAATTTTTCAGTCTCGCCTCGTCTCCTGCTGCTTCTTCTACTCTTTTGCTGGAGTCTAGTCCATTTCCTTTCTAATCGTGAGGCCAAGATTATCAGTCAACAAGAAACGAATGTACATATGCATATTGAAGGTATTACAACGGTCAGTATTACTTTTACTCGCTCATTGCTCGTCAAGAATTCGCATATTGATTTTCGATCACCTCGTTGGATGTATGTTTTTCTACTGATCTTGTGTGAGACGTGAATTATTTATTTGTGCCAACAACTTCCGATGTGAGATAATAACCAAGTAACGAGAAATCTGTACAACGTACAAAATAATCGGAATTCATAGTGAGTCATTTTCATTCACATCAAATTGTGAGGACATTAGCAGAGCGAATCGTACGTATCGTGAAACCACCACGCGAGGGATTATTCTACTTGAGTGCATATCGTTTTACGTATAATGAGCAGTACTTTTGCCCTCATCGAATTTCTACGTTGTGGATTTATTTACCAGTCACAAAAGAAAAACGTAATCAATAGTCACAAGTATTAAGCACAAGTCGATTAACTCTAAGTCGAAGCTGTATTATTACTACTCCGTTCTTGTTGGATCGATTTGCTCCTCTTCCGCCACGAGAAGAAGATTGAAGCCATAATTAATTGATTGAGCCGAATAAAATAATGTCTCGCGAGAGGATGAATTCTTCCCCAGAATACGTAGGGCCCAACCAACCCGGCTTTCGACCTCGTTTCCGTCGACGAACCATGTCCATTGAGAACACGAGTCTCACCGAGGTCATCACCATTTATGAGAAACTCAAAAAATCCCGTGACCATGATCCGACCTCCACTTCGGATGTCTTTCGTCCCTCCACCACACATTTCGGGTTTGACATTGAGGAATCGGATTTTGAAGAATCAGTACCACTCGAACCATTCAACGCTCAGGGGAGTGGTCCGGGTGGGATGTGGTCAACCTTGTCTTCGGACCATCCTGTCCTCGGGGCACAAAAAGTACTAGATTTCAACAAGTTTAAGAACATGCAGAATCTGAAATATCTCTATTTTTCCTCACCCACTGGACTCATCCAATCCCCGACCATTGAAGACTTGAAGTTTTCCAGTTCGAACGAGAATTTTGAGACGGGAGGATCCACGGACATGAACTACGTCAAACTACTCAAGTCGAAGCAGTACTGGTTGAACATAACTGACCCCTCCGAAAAGGACTTGGCCCTCCTCAACTCGGCCTTCAACGTGCATGACCTCACTCTGCGGGACATACGTGATGGGTTCACGGAGGAAAAGATCGAGGTGTACAAACACTACATGTTCATCTCCTTGAGACTGCTGTCCGAAAATGACACGTCTAGTCACAGGACGCACTCCAAGAAAAAGCCGGGCCTAAATAATCATCATCTCAACAACATCAAGACTGGTGAATCCCCAGACAATAACGAGTCAGTATTTTTGAACGTGGGTGGAGACGACCTTGGAGACAACGTGTCGATCGGGTCGTCTTCAGCATCGTCCTCCGAGGAGAAGGACCCCATGCCTCCCATCGAGGACGTGGACTTTAACATTCTCCTCTTCTCAGACTTTATCATCACGGTTCACGACAAGAACTGGGGCAGTATTAAGGACGTTCTGGGTAAGATTATGTCTCACTTTATCAGTCTATAAGGTGACGACAAATGCCCGAGTTACAAAATGAATTTGCATTTTAAAATAATTGTCGTGGGTAATGTAGTTTAAAAATATTTTTGCTCGAGAATATTGTTTTTTTCGCCCATGAAAACCAATTTTCAAAATAATAATTTTTGTTACAACTCGACCATTTGTCGCAACCGAAGAAGCGTTAGCTAGATACTAAATGTCAAGTAATCGTGCATTCCAGGGTTCCTCAGTTTGCTATGCACATATGGTAATGGCCATTTTATTAATAATTTAATTTATTAAAATTAATTAATTAAATTAATTAATTAGTAATACTTAATTATAGGAAATTCAATTCTGTCACCGGATTGGGTCCTCTTCTCAATCTTTATAGGTAATCTTTATAGAATCTAATCTTCCGTGATTAATTCAGGCCATTGTCATCGACCTTGACCTTTGACCTTTGACCTTTTTCGTCGACAGAACTTGCCCAAGATGCAAAGTACAGTGTCAACTACATGGTAACTAATAAGTTAATAAATTCCCATTGTATTAATTATGCAAGCAATTATGCACCTGAGCACTTGAATATTTATAACCTTGTTAATGTAATATTCCGTGCACATGCAGGAGCCCAAGATCCTGAATGCAAAAATCGCCGAGACGGAGAGTGAGAACAGTTATGTTTCAGGGATCGAGCTATCTCGCGTTCTCCGAAAGAACTTCCAGTACGAGTTTGAAATTTACAAAATTTCTCGTTTTGTGAAGCCCAAGATGAATATTTTGAGACTACTTAAACTCAAATGCAACAAAAGACTTAGTGGAACTGTGATCAAACTGTTGTCAAATATTTGTACAGAATTTGAAGAGTTGCTGGACGACGTGAAGCACTTTAGTCACATACTCGAACGGTCACAAGACACATTTCTAACCATGGCAAGTGTTCAACAGAGCCAAGAAGCTAATGAGATGGGAAAAGTGGTAAGCATGTAATGCAAATAAATATTACTTTTTCATGAAGTTGAGATAAATGGTCATTGGTCATTCCACGTTTTAACTATTTCAGATGAAACGAATTTCAGAGGTAGCCCTTATCTTCCTTCCGATTCAGGCGATCGGTGGGTTTCTTGGGATGAATGTTAAAGTACCGTTTCAAGCAGACGTTGTTGACTCTACATTACCTTTCTGGCTCATAGGTACTTTATTATAAAGTATTTACCATAAGATACTTTATTGTACCGATGATGTGCTTTATTTTTAGTTTTGTCCTCCATTGTCCTCGCCATCGCCCTATTCTTCCTCAGAAAGTATATTCTAAGCCATCAGGGCTCCTACATCCCCAGCTGCTTTAGGAAATGCAGACGTCGATAGTCTAATAAATATGTGTAGTCTCCCCACCCCACCAATCCCAATTGATGTTACTACCACCCCTTATTTATCATGATTCTTACATTTATATTGAATTTCCTTTTTGTTGTTGAATCTAACGTGACCTATGTTGTGGTTGAAAAAGTTGATATATTATGAAACACCAATTGTGATGCAAATGTACATTATGTAGTTGACAAATGCAGATAAATTTTAATGATCTATATTATTAATTGTTCCGTTAACGCAATAAAGTTAAAAGAGAGTCGAGTACTGGACTGATCTGCACCTCCATAAAAAGATGTCTTTATGATTGCTTATCGCCTTTGTATTATCGAGACGCCAGAAGTGTCCGCCATGAGAAATAGCAGGTGACGAATAGCTGCATCGCCTTTGTGTGTCCAGTTGCGTGCGGTGATGATGTGATGCTGCTGGTGGTGGCTGCCGTGAGATTTGGTGACACAAGCTTTTGTCGTTCTGCTCGTCAGCCCTCGTACTCTCCTCTCATGCCTCTTCCGCTCATCTTCCTGGACACTTTCCACTTGCCAACTGATTCCCTCACTCTTGTCGATCTGGACGGACGTAAAATAATTTCGACCACGACCACGACGACAACCAAGTGAGTGATAATTATTGGTACGTCTTTTAATTAATTAAGACATTGACCTTACCATTCTCGTTCTCCTCATCAATTCATCATTCAGAGCAATTCAAGTTCAAGTTCTTTCTTGGCCTGCTAGCAGACTAAAAATTGAATCACGAATTAATTAATATTCTAGAACCTGCAAAGGTGAAAGGTAAACAAATAAATATAAAATATTATGTATTTGTTTATTCGTCCGTCAGTCAGCTGTCCAAAACAATGAATGCAATAGCATAAAATATGTTTACAGGTAAACAAATTGAAAGTGGCTCCGTTGACTCAAACAGTGAAATTAATTCACACAAAATGGGAACCTCTGCAAACTCGTCAACAGAGCAGTTCAACATCCGCTGGAAAAACTACACTTCTGTTCTCCAATCCGTTTTTCGTGACCTTCTCGAAGAGGAAAGACTTGTCGACGTCACTCTCGCTTGCGAAGGTGGTTTCATCAAATGTCACAGGTAAGTCTCACACTGACCACGGAACGACTCCAACAATAATCCCTAAATAATTTAATTACGAATATTTGTCTCTACCTACGGCATGTGTTAACCTTTAAATTTGATTTGACTTTTACAGAATAATTCTCTCCGCCTGCTCATCATATTTCGAAAATTTGCTAAACGAGCTTCAATCTGAGCCGCATTTGGTTATTTTCATGAAGGATTTAAAACTATGGGAGTTACAAGCACTAATTCATTTCATGTACAATGGGCAAGTCAGTGTTACACAAAACCGACTCGCACCGCTGGTTCGTGCAGCGGAAGCTCTTCACATTCGAGGTCTCAGCACCGAGTCTGACGAGAAACAGTCTCCCAGTAGTCATCTAGGGATAAGACGGAACAGTCTGGACCAAGACGAGTCGTTCGATTCAGCACCACCACAACCTCAAAAGAAAGTAATTCGAAGGACACCATTGGGGGTGGCTAATAAGCCAGAACAGAAACCAACAGTGGGTGGAGCGACAAGCAGCTCAGCGGCAGCTCCTATTACTCAATCCGTAAAGCGACCTTCCATGTCCTCCAATGGCGGTGGAAGTAGTGGTAGTTCATCAGGCCCCCCAAAACTTTTGAAAATGAGGAGAATTGAAACTCCAGAGGCATCTACATCATCGTGGTCACCATCGTCTAATTTAGCATTGCAGAACAAGTCGTCGTCAAGTAAGTTGGGAAGCCGAAGAAACACGACAGAGTTGGAGGAATCTCAGTCTCACCGATTGAATGGAGAATACGAGAAAGGGGATGAAGATATGAGCAAGGTAACTGAACAAAGTCACAACACTACTTACTTTATAGTAAGCTCGTTCATATCATCATTGATTATTAAATTACTTATTTTAGGAAGAAGAAGATTACAACATGGACAAGTTGTCAGAATCCGCTGAATGCGATGGTGACCCGTTGGGTGAAGGATACTCCGATGAAGTAATAATTTTTTTAAAACTATTACCTATTAAATGCGCTAAGTTAATATGGTATTCTTTGCTGTATCATATATATCAAATCTAATTAACTATTTTTCTCTCTCATTCTGCCCAGGTTGATAACACGTACGACGACGGCACATTATACTCAGAACAAGCAACCTCTGGACAAGGTAACCAAATAATCATTAGTCACCGAGTATAATATATGACTTTCTTTGTGTCTTATTTTAGCTTATCTACTTGATGCACGTCCAATTGCAGCAAGAATTGCCGACCCACCCATTAGCGGCCCCGTCGTAGATGCAGCAGGTTAGTTGTTAAAAATTTGAATATGTCGCTTCCGATGTTAATTTATATCTCAATTGCAGACAGAGCCAACAGACTGAAAAAAGCTACCGATCTCGCCCTATCTGGAATAACTGTTCGCCAAGCCGCCGCCCATTATGGCATTCCACGAACGACTCTTTGCGCATATATGAAACGACGAGGTTTATCCGGAAAAAGGTTAACAAATGCTACTGGCGGATCCACGTTCACGTATCAAAATCAGTATCAACAAGCTGACCCCACAGCCGCAGATGAGGAAGATGATGAAACAGAGTTCCCCTTCATGGGGGACTTGGCAAATCTTGTCAAAGGACAACATTATGAGATTCATCAGCAGGAGAATTCATGCTGAATCAACAAATTTCCTCCCCCAACTTTCCAAGAGAGAGGAAGCCAATTAGAATTTATTCTACTTATTGCTTCCTTTTAATCGTTCACTCACTCCCGTTAAATCTTGTAATAATAATAAGAATAAATAGGAATCTATCTAGTTTAACTTTATACATAATAGTTCTAGATCCTCAGTCCTCATCTTCGATCATCCCTAAAATGGATGTCTTGTGCAAAGTAACACGGACGTACTAATTCTCCTTGTTTTGTCATCTTTACTGTTTATAATGCGTAAAGTAAAATTCATTAAAAAAATTACATTACACTAAAAACGCTTGTTTATTTGACAAATAAATATGTACATCACTTTCATGAGCTTCATGTTAGTCGAATGGAAGACAAAGAGAGCGGATTTGTTTAATTCTCGACTTGGCACAAGCTGCCTGCTGACAGATCAATAGAGTTCGTGGGAGGAAGTGGAGAAATCTCACCTCCTTTTAATGTAAATTAATTAGTGGTTTACATTATTTAAATTTTAATGTGTCAAGCAAAGAACTGCTCAATATTAAAGTGAGGTGTGTCACACAAGATCTGCTGGTCAGACAGAACAGAAGACTGGACAGTAAGACGTACGTTACGCTTTATTTAACTGATTCATAATACTCCCTTCTCTTTTGGTAATTGTCATTCATAAACTAATTTTGCACCAATTCTTGAGAACATTTAGATTTTGTGCCAATCGTCAACTTTTGTCAGTCTTTTTGGTTTGACCAAATAGAGGTCTAGTACTTAAAATTGCAGGTAATAATAAAATATTATATTTACTAAATTCACAATAGAAAGCACAAAAATATTAAATTACGATTGCTTGGCAATACTTGGCATTTATATTGATATAAAATACACTTCTATGACAATATTTAAATCCTTGGGTATATCTTGTATATAATCTTTATAATACGCAGTTCTCCCTTCTGTCGTAAATTCCAGTAGCAGATTCCTCGTCAGACGACAGAAGGATCTGCTTTAAAACAAATATTTAAATTCGATCAAGCTGCCTAATTTTTTGTAATTCTGTCTCAGAATGAATCGAAGGCACAAGAAGAATGATGTGCCAAAGGAGGAAGACAACGTTACCGGAGGAGCAAGATCTTCGATTGGACCATCCTTCTTCTATGAAGACGAAATATTTCGAATAAATAAGGTTGGGGATGTTGAGTTTGGGATGGTCACCGAGAACTGGGATATGTACTCCTCTGATGATGATGAAGAGGAGGATGGGGGCAGGGCTGATAACGTTCCTCATGGATGTGTAGCTGTCACCTGGCTTCCAAAATCAAAGGACGAAATTGTCCAAGAAAAGAAGGTTTAACTGCTCGATATATTATACATATATCTAATATGAAAACAACACCACGTATATAAACTATTAATTTATGTACGTAGGTTCAACTGAGTGATCGAAGTCTTATGCCTGGCGATGTCGTTCGACGCCTCATCGCCGGTAAAGATACTCAGCGAGGTTACTGTCGAAGTGTTCGAGTCATGGCAGGTGACAAAAATTGATGTCTCTTTATTTTATATCACTTTAATCATTTATGATTTACGAGTTTCCCATTATCATAACCCAACTTGTCTTCACAAACCCACAACTCTCTTTTTACTCGCAGACGTGCAGGTGCTCGGGACAAAGAAGGTGATCGTAGGAGTCCCTGCCACTAATTTGGTGCCCGTGCAGGTACAATATTGTCTCCTTGTCCCAGTACGGCTTATCTAAAAATAAAATAAGGAAAATAACCAGCTGCTGCATAACATTTAATTCCTTTAAGCCTCCTCATTGATCCAATCTTAATTGGTTTTATTTGATGATAGCTTCTCCAACCTGACTTGGCTGTCTACTTGGATTCTTGGATTGGAATCATTCGTGATGCAAAATACAGGTTGAAATTAAAGTTTGCGGATGGAACCACCTGCTTCGTGGATGGGGACACTATACGAGATACCTTTGAGGAAATTCGGAGTAATTCCGAATTCCCCGCATCCGATGTATTTTTTCCTGGCCAAAAACTTCGTGGACGTATGAAACATTTAAAGGATGCAGAGTTTACCTATGCGGCTGATGATTTGAAACGAGCCAAGGATCGTAAGCTTGTGAATGTTGTGGTCCTTGATGTCCAACCAACGTTGATAGCTATCCAGTGGCAGTGGCAAACTCCTGGGAATTCTGATGGGACCGTGGAGCTTAAAACACCTCCAGAAGATCTCACTGGGGAAGATATTAAACGAATTAAATGTCTGAATCTCTTTGAATCTTGTACGGTGCAAATTTCGGACGTGAGCTATTACACGCCCTCGCAAAAGGACACTGTGATTGAGAAAGGGGAATGGAACAAGAAGGTATCTAACAAGCTGCGGAATGAGTGTAACAAGCAGCGTGGTAGTCCTGTCAAATTGGAGCATAGGAGTATACCAAAGAAAGTAGATGGTCAACAAAATGATGACGATGATGATTCGGATGCAAAGAACAATGGCGAAAACGATGGTGCTGTCACTGGTGAGGACGGAGTCAAAAACAACGAGGTAAACTAGCAGCAACGACCGATATTACCTGGTATCATTAATTTATTTATACATACACATATTTATGCTTAAATACTAATTGGTTTGCAGAAATCTCAGACTACCACAAAAAAATTATTGCCAAAAGTATGCACCAGAAGTCTCCGAAAGAAAAAGTTAAAGAAAGCCTTGCGCAAGCCCTCCATGCCAAAAATTGAGACTGAAACTTTATCCGTGGTGGAGACATTGCATACCCAATCAGTAAGTAGAAAATAACCTTCTTCATTATCAATCTTGATACAAATTAATTCAACATGCTAAAAATCTGTCAATCCTCTTTCCAGGTTGTGGATGTCGTCTGGCAGGTAGACAAAAAAAGTTTCTATAAGGAAAGAAAGGGGATAAAAAATAATATGTAGATGAGAAACCTTATTAATTAATGTCTCTCAGGATGGGACATACGAGGAGGGAATGCGTAGTATAGACTTGTACCCCATACATCATTTAGACGATCATGAATTTTTCCCTGGAGATTTCGTAGTTTTGTCAGAATCCAACGATTTTAAACGATATGGCGTCATCCAGCAAATGGATCATTGTGGTAGGCTATAAATACTAAGTAGTACTATAAATAAAAGATGATTTCCATGCTCCAAGTGGTTAATATGCCATCATAATTATATCTATAATTAGTTACTAATAATTTTTAATTAATAGGACGAGTTGCTCTAGTCAAATGGTTCGAAACGTACTCTTTCAACGATGAGCAGAAGCCCAAATTATTTGAAGAAACCGAAATGTCAGTCTACGATATAAAGGATCATCCCGACTTCCGCTTCCGGCCTGGTGAGTGATTGTAATGCGATTTTATTTTATTAACACAGAAATGTCAAATGTAAATATGTATACTAATTTACACTAATTTACACAGGTACAATTGTGATTCGTGTTGCCAATTGGATAAGCCAGCAATGCCCTGCTGGTATGTCTTCAGTCCTTCACATTGTTGCAAATTAACTCTTTAGGTTGTGCATAATGTGATATATTTGCTAATAATTCGACAATAATGAGACCTACAATTTGTTGATAAGTACACATTTTCGCATGCAAGGAGAGAAGTTAATGTTTTGAGTAACCTAATTTAAAATAAAATTTCAACTTTCAGCCAAATACACAATGACAATAAACTTCATATTTTTAAACAATGGACTTTGTCTATTTTCAGGTCAAATCCTTGATAACTATCCGGATGGTCAAGTGCGCGTCTGGTGGGCTAATGGGGTAATGTCTTCATGTTGGCCACAAGACCTATTTCGGCTTGGGGATTATGATTCCGATGAGGGAGAAATGTGGGACGACCATCATCACTTGTCAGACACGGACGACGCCCTTGAGGACGAGGACAACGGAAGCTTCAATTCGGACTCCTCCTGGGAGACAGAGGACGAGGACGGAGGGGAACACCGGGGAACTAATAATGAGGTGGCGGCAGAAGGTGGTGATGTAGATCGCTACCTGAACATTGGAAAACTCATTGAGCGTATCCAAACCACTTTGGTGAGCACGAGAGAAGCCATTGTAGCCTCGTCAAATGTCAGTATGCAGGAGGACTCCTCCTCAGAAAATGTCTGCTCAACCCCGGTTACAAAACTTGGAAATTTCGACGAAAGAGGATTGACCAAGAAATTACTCATGATTTACAAAGACTGCCAGTGAGTTTTAATAGTTACTTTGAGTATTGTAAATAGTGCTTTAATAACGACGTGCATTTTTGTAGGTATTTGGACACAATAATGGAAACCAAGTTTTTTGATGTTGAGGATCTGAAAAAGTGGCGTTATGCAAATGATATTTCTGTTTCTGCCACTGCTACCTCGGCACGGTCATCACGAATCATTGAACAAATATCTCGACTGTTTTATGCACCTTTTAAAGGCGATGACACTTCACAATCCACTCAAGTTCCTCCCCCTGGAATTGCTACACCAATTAGCGAAGTCTCCAACTCGTCAGAAATTTCTACTACTATCATTGCTACTACTACGGCTGTTCCAACAGCATCACAGGAACAATTAGCTAATCCAACTGCTGGGATCGGGATGGTTTTATATGGTTTGTGTTCAGTCATCCTTCAAAAGTTGGTTGAGGCTCATAAAGAGTATGAAAACCGATTTGGAAAATTCAAGCAAATTCAAGAACAATTGTTGGAAGGCTTGCACATCGTTGGTACGAAGTTTTTATTATTATTTGTTAGCACACACACTAACAAATTATGATAATTTAATTTAATAAGCATACAACATAATTGAATTTGTTCTATCAGATGAGCCCAACGAATTGGCCAACGAATTGAGTTTGGTGAGTTTGGACAAAGTCGCTGCAGATTCTAGTATTACTACAGAGAAAGTCGCCAATGGCGATCAAGTTGAAACTGCTACTACAACTAACACGACCAGTATTGATGTGAAAGTCTCGTCATCAAACTTTTTCATGATGGATAGCGTGCCAGACACCCATCGCTACAGGCTGACCTCGTTTGCTCCCCAGAATCAGAGACAATTCCTCAAGACAGTTCAACGTGAAACGATGTTGCTTCGCGAATCTCTGCCGATTGGTATCCTCGTGAAAGGGTTTGAAGACAGGATGGACTTGTACTCTGTGATGATTGAAGGGCCAGAGAAAACGCCCTATGAGGATGGCCTATTCTTATTCGACATTCACCTCCCACCAGCCTATCCCTCTGTTCCCCCTCTTGTTCACTACATTGCCTTTTGCACGGACAGACTAAATCCCAACTTGTATGAGGAGGGTAAAGTTTGTGTCTCCCTCCTGGGAACCTGGAACGGCAAAGGGACAGAAGTTTGGACCACTTCTAGCTCTCTGTTGCAGTTGTTGGTATCCATTCAAGGTATGCTCGGATCTCTTTATTATGCGTCAATTTTCTCATCTTGTATTTGTATGTCACAACAACAGGTCTAATTCTTGGGCCGGAGCCGTATTATAACGAAGCAGGCTATGAGAAACAGAAGGGCACCCAGCAAGGAGCTGAAAATTCCAGAATGTACAATGAAAACGTGTTGGTAAGAGATGGTGCATTGTTTAACTTTCCATAACGCACAATTGGGAGTGGTTTAAGCTAAATCATACTTAAAAATAAAATAAGAGTGGATTGGGCACAATAATCTACAACTTGTATTTATATTTATTCGTAGATTAAACTTGTCCAGTCAATGTCTCGAATGATAGCAAATCCTGCAGTCACTTGGAAATCGGAATGTCTTCAACATATCAAAGCTCATGGTCCTGGGTAATAATAACAGTGGATTTGAGTGGATTCCTCATTATTTATTAAACCCAAGCTATGCATATATATTTTCTTGTTTGAAACAATTATAACTTTTATTTTGTTTTTCAGAATGGTAAAACGATACAAAATGTGGTTGGAGCTTAGTGGTTCGGAAACACAAGAAGGTAATCGTTACTTATTGAAGATTCTAGTTCTCATCGTGTCACTCATTAAGAAAATACATTCCGCAGATAACAAGACGGATTGTCCTCCCTTTCCACTTTTCCCGGTGTCAAAAGGATTTAAAATAACGCTCTCGAAATCTATTTCCTCGTTTGATAAACTTCTAGCGTCCATTTCTTAACATCTCTAGGGTTAGGAGAGAGATTAACAAATTCTATAATTAGTATTAAATTATTTAAGGGAGACAGGATTGTCCAGTGCTTGCCGTGTCTTGATTGTTGTTGTCCTCTTGATATGTTTTCAAAATTTTTTGCGAAATTGAATGTCAGATACTCGAAAAATAAAGGATCAGAAATTACACAGTAAATTTTTCAACAAATATAAAATGCCGACTTTATTATAATTTATAATTTACGTACAATAAGCAACGTTTTTACAAAAGTCAATAGCAGAAAAAAGATAATGCTTGTATCCTACTACTACTACGATCACATAAACGAAACGTCGTAGGAGGTATGGTAATAATTAATATTTATAATAATGTACTTGACGCAAATGTATACATACATGTAAAGTAGGATGAGATGGCCTTTCTTGCTTCGGGTTTATAGCATAACTTGTTTTTATAAGACAGTACTAACTAATTATGAGACAGCAGTAGCAGCTTGGCGACGGAGAAGGATGTAGATTTTTTCTTTGATCCACTCCTTTGTGTAGGGTGCATAGGTGCTTGTGCTTTTCTGATAACTGGAAAACAATAACATTTTTTTAATGTTACAAATTAGATTATGCTACATATTAAACATCAATTTGCATGGATAACAAGTTACTGCTTAGTGCTTACACAAGACAAGAGAGATCCGCCAATTGGTCGATAAAGTCAAAGAGTTGTGAGATATCGTAGGTGATGGAAGGTGTGTGTGGGTTCTGTCGTTTCAAGTGTTCTTCGTAAATCTTGCAAACACCTTCCATGCACTGTAAATTAAATTAAACTCAATTTTAAATTACCACAACTAATTCTAATCCCATTGTCAATTCATAATTATTATTCGTATCAAAAATAAATCCGTAATATCTGTTTAGCAAAACATTTAATTATAACCGGTACTTGTATTCTCTTTGCTATATGACTGTAAATATTCATAATTCTCAAAAAGTTTTATTAAAAGTTTTTGATGACATACCTCGTTCACAGATTCGAAGTCGCTGTACGTTCGAGTTTCCGGTTTCGGCCCGGGCTGCATCAGCAAAATTGTGTGCGACTATAGCATTAAAGAGAGGAAATTTTAAACCATCCTTTCAATAGTTTCAAATTGAAACTTTCAATATACAATTGAAAATAATTAAGTCAATTTTAATAACTATAAGTAAATAAATGAATGTCAAATATTATTACCATTTTCACCTCAGGCAGTTGACGAGTCTATTTTACAACTTGGAGTTGGTAAATAGGATGAAGCAGTAAGAATAGTTAATCACTACTCGATAAGACAATTGACAATTCGAAATATTTAGCTGAACGTTCGTAAAATTTGGCTGATTGCTGGCTGGCTGGCTGCTTGTGTTGATTTGAAGGGACGGAAGGATATTTATTAGGTGGACGGATGGATAGTGTGTGCTTGTGCCGGTGGAGCGTGCTGCCAACAAGCCCACAAGCACAAGTTTGTTCTCTTTTTGCCCCAACCAACCGCCACCATTCGCACCTCAGTCACACTCCTTCCCTTCCGGCTGTCCAACAAACGGCGAGCTCCAACAATTTATCAATTGAAATTAATATCGTTGGATCGAAACAAATATTCTGGTACGTAATATCACTTATCTTTTAGATAAAAATGGTTTCGTAATAATGTCTTTGGTGCATTTTCTCCGTGTATTTAGGCAAAATGGTTCTCAATTTGACGGTGAAAGTTCATCCTGTTGTTCTTTTCCAAATTGTTAACGCTTACGAGCGTCGGAATCTGGACCGCACTTCCATCCTAGGAACGCTTTTGGGTAAGTCGACACTAGTGAATATATGTAGCGTGCAAATATATGTAATCCAAATTGTTTCTTCTCTAAATCGCCAGGTACGATTGACAAGAACTGTGTTGAAGTGAGTAACTGTTTTGTTGTCCCACATAGTATCAGTCCTCAAGATGGAACGGTAAGAATGATTTTTTCTCTGACTTGGAAGTATTCATGTTTGTGAAATTTTACCTCTTCACTCTTCTTTGTAGGTTTCGATTGAGATGCACATCGCCGACACAATGTACAAGCTGAACAAACAGGTTCATCCTTCTGAGGTGATTGTAGGTTGGTGGGCCACTGGGTTTGAAGTCACCAGTATTGCTGTCCCCATTAACGACTACTATGCTCGACAATGTCCTAACCCTGTCCATCTTCTGGTTGACACCACGTTACGATCAGGAAAAATGGGTATTAAAGGATTTGTCCAGTAAGTGCTATTATAAGAACCATTTTGTATCTTCAATATGTTATCATGGTTTGGTTAATGTGCGACTTTTCTGATTCACAATCTAGGGTTGACATTGGAGTCCCTGAGGGTTCACAAGGGGCCATGTTCAGCCCAGTTCCAGTTGACTTGACGCAATATCCACCAGAAGCTGTAGCTCGTAAGTAGTGTAAACCATACATAGTTAACTAACTATGATAACTGTCCACGAAATTGTGTAGAGTTAAATTTCTAATGTTGGAAATGTTGGATGGATTGTTGCAGTGAAAACTCTTGTAAAGACAAGAATGACGGGCAAAGTCGAGCCAAAAGCGGAACTTCCTCAGATCACGGATGCAACTACGGAATTTGAAGATGCCATCACTCTTGTACTGAGCTACGTGGAAGATGTTCTTTCTGACAAAGTGACACCTGACAATTCCGTTGGTCGCAATCTTCTTAAATTGGTCCAAGCAGTCCCAAAAATGTCTCGGGAAGATTTGGATAACATGATGAGTGCAAACATTAAGGTACCCTTTACTTGATTGGACTTATTTCCGTATAAAAACGAGCACAATTAATGTCAATTAACATTCAACATTCGTGTTATAGGACCTCCTGATGGCAATGTATCTCAGCCAACTCACTCGCGTTCAAACCCAACTAAACGAGAAATTGTTAATGACATCAAACAATATTATGAATTTAAATAATTAGTTTGAACCTGGTAGCAGTTTGTTATGAATTTATATTGTTTACTTATGAGGTATGTATGATTGATTTGATTAAAGTTATACGAGCCTATGTATAAATTACCATTTGTTTGTCTTTATTTCACGTGTCATTGGCATGTGTGAGCTCAAAATTAGACTGGTATTTTATTTATGTTTGTTGAGCAACTCGAGATAATTATTTGTGAATCTGAGTCCTTGGTTCCGCCTCAAAATCCGTGTCATAAATGACAGGCTGACCCGTCCTGTGAGACAGCAACCCTCCCACGGAAGCATTTGCTAGCGTAAGACCTTGTGCCGTCTTCTTTTTTGTGCGCAGTGGTCCACCTTTCGGCCCCGTATTCGGTGTCTGTTGTGTCTCCAGAGGAGCCTTATTAGTTGGCCTGGGTTTCCGCAGGGGGAAGTTGCTCTTGCGACCACCCGCACTGGTCGTCGATGCGGAGGTAACCGTGGAGAGACGTGACAGAGTTTTGGGATTTGGCTGTCGCAGACTTGGGGGAAGGTCGGGAGCGTCGTCGTCAGAGTCGGTTTCGAAACCGGCCATCAGGTTTTGCGACCCCACCTCATCCTTCACCTCAGTCAACCAGGCCTCATTCTCGGCTTCCGTCTGGTCCCCGCTGGGATAATGGTGACAAAGTTTGGCAAATGTGCTCCTGGCTGTGATGAGCTTCAAATTCAAGTCCTTGACTTTTTTCTCCAAACTCGCCACCTCCGATTCCATTTCATACTGGGCAGCTTTCAATCGTATGTACTCCAAAGGTTTGGGGGCCTACAATTACATATTAAATCAAGAACTGTGCATATTTATCAATCCATGAAATATAGTCGTACATGGTATTCCGTAAGTTTTCGTTTGAGTTCTTCCAGCCGAGTGTGAGTCTTGTTTATGAGATTTTTGTATTTGATAAATGTTCTTTCAAACGTTTTCAACGCTATCCTCTTTTTTGCAATTCTGATAGAAAATTTGTCCTCTTGTGCAGTCAGCCCTTTTACCTCGTCATGATCCTTGGTCAAAGTATGAAAGAAATTACCTGCAAACATACAGTAGCAGAGCAATTAGAAGGTAAATTTAATCCGCTCTTGTGATGGTCTAGTCTGATTTACTCGAGAGTTGCTTCAAGTACTTCAAGTACAGATTCATTTCTTCCATCTCATTGGTGAATATCTCGTTTTCTGAAAAGATATTGTTACACCGATGTGGTTATCTTAATGTTGCTTGGATATTATTTAACTAACCTGCCGTGAGGTATTCAAAGTCAATCTCTGAAATGCTAGTTCCTGCTTTTTTGCTGCACCGCAGCTGATGTGCCACTCGACGACGCACGGTCATAATATTTCTGATGGCCATTCGCGTCTTGGTCTCCTCTGCAGAGATCTGATTCCTCATTTTACGTTTGAGCCTAAAAATAATCAAACAAACAAATCCAGTCATTAAAACAAGTCTCTAAATTACATTGCTACGTATTAACCTTCCCAAGGCCCTCAGTACCCTTTCTTTCTATTCTATGTCAGTACCTGAGGATAAAGTCCGACATGGCGCTGGTGGACATTGGATGCTTGGTGTCGTGCATGATGATGCTAAAATCCCTGCTCAACTCGAGGAGAAGTCGGATGGAGTGCTGGTGAGCGTCCACGTTGACCTCCACGGCCCCTTCCTCCTTCAAAGTTCGTATTTCATGCTGGTGAAACTGTTTACGGAGCTCATCCTCCACCTGAAGGGCAAACTTGAGCTTGTCCTCTACTTTCAATTGCTTGATGTCATTAAGGTCGAAATCTGGGTAGTCCACTTCCAAATTGGCCCAGTCCTCATTCTGCGGATCATTTTCCCCAACCCACTGGGTGAACATGGTTATCACCCTCTTGGCCGCATCGGAAACGGTCGTCTTCTTGTTTTTCTCCTCCAACAAGGCCATCCCTACCTTGAACATGGAGCTCTTCAACCGGGTGGGTTTCTAAATGAGGCAAAAGGTCTTTACCCAAGAAGTTAAGTCTGACAGAAGTACTTAATAGAAATAGAAAACGATGCTCCGCTTGTCACTTACAGCCACACCTGCACCTGCCTTGAGGGTGTAGGCAGGATCTTCTTCCGCCCCCTTGACCAAGTCACCATATTTGTGGCGCATGACGTCATAATGGGGCGGAGCAATGATCCCAATGTTTCTAAAGTAGTTGAGCGCCACGTCCTTGGAATTGTCGGACATGTTGTCGAAGAAAGAGTCGGTTGAAACATTGATCTCGTCAATGGGGATGATTGGCGAGTAATCGGGTTCCCCATCCTCGGCCGCCGGGATCTCCGACTCTGACTCATCCGAGGCGCAAATGGTAGTGGCCGTGTTGAGGGGGATCGAAGAATCCTCGTCCCCGTCGCCCTTCTTGGAAGCGAACATCTCCTCCACTAGCTTATCCGGCTCTTCCAACCGCTCGATCGTCCGCTCGTAGAAATAGTTCTCCGTCTTGAGACGCTCAATGTCCTTCTGCGTGAACTGGATGAGTTGGACGAGTGTTGAGTTGGACAAGGCTGTTCATAAACATTTACTCTTAATCACATCTACAACGCATGGTCACATAGTGTAAAAATGACAACAGGATAGTGATTCAATGAGTGGGGGTGGCATCGGATCCAACCCCCACTCATTGAATACGATGCCGCATCGTACTTCTCAAAACATCAATTGGGATGGCTCCCTCGACATTTTGTGATTCAGGTCTCACTTCTCGACGGCGTTGGCGTTCTGCTTTGGCACGAAGTCGTTCCACCTCTTCCTCGTCCAGCTCTTCGACTTCCTCCTCCTCCTCCTCCTCGACGTCTCATTCCTCTTCTTCGTCCCCCTCGTCCTCCTCTTCGCTCGTCCATTCCTCCTCCTCGTCTTCCGCTTCATCTGTCCCCACCAGCTCGGACCACTCGCCCTCCTCCTCCTCGTCATGGGTCGGCTGTGGGGGAGGAAGACCCGTCACTAATGGTTGCACCTCCATTTCGTTTGTTGTATTTACAGTTTGACTCGGTAGGCCTATTTCACGCTCAAATGTTGAGCTGTTTTGATTCCGATGCTTAAAATCACAGAAGAAGACGATGCAGCTACAACTTAGCAACGAAAGATCTCAAGAAGGAAAACAGATTGGGTAGATTTTTAATTTTAGTTTTATTTCACAGCATCACTTATAATATAAGATGACATTTAACTGCTTATCAATGTTAGTTGATGCGACTAAGTTTATTTGGGGTCATTAGCATATAGAAAAGATGGAGTACAAGTCGCTAAAGTTGACCTATTTTGGCCAGCTAAGCGGATCTTTATGTGCGAGAGAGTTGTTAGTGCTACACGACACACTCATTATTTGGATTAACATTATCTTTTGTTCTATTAGTTTCACTGCAATTAGGGTAATAGTGCTAAAGGAGGTAAGTACTACAAACTAGTTCATTTACTAAATCTGACCAGCAGATTAGTTTTACCTAGTCTACAAGGTTAAATAGGGTTAATTTGCAGCGAAAGTATATTATGCATTTCAAACTTTGGTACTCTATTTAGTCCGCATCATTCTGTATATACCAATGCCTATGCTCAGCTCACGCACTCTCATCCCAAGGGTGGATCGAATATAGATAACAATAGCTGTGACATGTCACATACATGAGTAGAAGAGTCTCAGAGTACAAAGTTTGCAATCATGCCTCAGATGGGCAACCACGTTGATTATTCTCTATGTTCTACTAGGCTATTTGTACAGATTGAATTATAGAACAACACATCTGTAGTTCCTACATGTAACACGTCCACAACTTAGTAGTATCAACTTATTATTATCATATTAGAATAACAAGATCTATAATTTTCATTCGCTTCATTACCCGTCTAAACTCAATCACTGACGAAAATGCATTCATAGTTTACAGATTATGTATAATTAAATTAGCAAAAGAACAAAGTATTTGTAAGTTCTTCAAACACATAACAAATAGTACGACGGACGAAAGGATTGTTTGCTTACAAAACGAACGAGAGACAACATTTACATTTTCTTCCAAGACAAAATTGTTTCATATTTGGCTGCGTACATGCATATGTACAAGTTGTTGTTACAAAATGTGTCACATAACGTAGAAGTAGTACGTACAATTTGATTGTTCCAGTTTGGTGATTTTTCATTTATAATAACGCTAATTTTTGGTTGATTGATTAGGTTGTTTTGTTCTCTGGTATGTAGAATTAATTGATTTGTTTCTTTTGGTTTTTTGAGTTGGAAAAGTTGATTTTTTTCGTTTGTTTCTTTTTTACACGCTGAGACTGACGTACGAGTGATAGCGTTGAATGTTTCGTTTCAAAATGTCGGCACAAGGGCCAAGCACACGTTCGAAACGAGCTCGGTCCAACTTGACACATTTTAAAAGACCCTGTGGTCCAACGGTCACGGTGGCTGCACGAGGTCGATCAAGGAGGAGAGCAATTTCGCCAAAATAGTCCGATTTTTCGAGTTCCCCGACCTGCAAAGTTTGCAAAATTATTTTGATACAATACAATATCGTCGCCGTTCATCGATATTACATGCCTTTTAAATATATATTGTGGTAGAGGAAGTAGACCCACCTTGACTTCTGCATTGTCAATGGTTTGTGTCACAATGGCAGATCCCTCGACAATGATGTAAAATTCGTCACCGGGTTCACCCTGTTTTACAATTGTTTGCCCAGATTGAAAGCACACGGGCTCCAGAGCATCTGCCACCGTCATTCGTTCCCATTCATCCAAGTTCTCTGCAATATTTGTATGAAAAATAAGACAAAACACATTGCAGAAAAAAGGATGATGACTGGCTGGCTTACCCAAAATTGAAACTTTGCTCAACAGTTCCTGATACATTTTCCTTTTGCGGATAGTTGATCCCATGAGAATGCGACGGTATGAATCTCTGTCGATGTTCTACAATCGAATATGTATTTTCAATTTAATGATATATTTAGGGGGGTTGGGGGTAGGTGAGAGATACTGAAAAGTGCTACTTACCCACAACTTTACATCCGACTTAGCCTTGACCGTGGCAGCTCTTGGAGTTCCGTAAATCAGCGCCAATTCTCCAAATGATCCACCATCCCCAATGCTCGTCAGAAACTTGCCCTCTTTGCTCACCTAGGTATACATTTCACCCAACACATGATTACCTCACTTGTTCAACACTCATACCAAAGTCCACCCAGTCCACCGAATAATAATATGAAAGTTCATGATGGCATATTTCAACACATACCTCAACTTCACCAGAATCAATGACGTAGAAATAGTTGCCTTCGTCCCCTTCTTTAATGATCGTCTCGCCAGCGAGAAACGTTTGCTGGAACATGGCATCGAAAACGTCTGACCTTTCAGCCTCATCCAGATGAGAAAACAGCACATTTTTCCCAATCGCCTTTTGAAGGGATGCCATTGTCTTGTAATCTTTTGGAACCACCTGGAGCAAATCATAGTAATTACCTAAATAGTGAAGTGAGCAGTACTCTTACAAAGTAAGCTAAGCAGAAGGGGGCTCCCACGATACCTTTTTTACATATGAGGTAGCATCCTCCTCCGTGACCGGCTCTGCGGAGATTCCACCACGTCGACTAGGCTTTCCTCTTGGGAGCGGAGACATATCCTCTGTGTCTTCTGGCGACTGGTCCGGCATTTCGCGGCGTACTGACTGCTCCTGAACAGATGATAAAACAAAATCGTTCAAATTAATAATTAACCTTATAAAAACTAATTAATTTTGACCTGGATACCATTTAAAAACGGAATTAAAAATGGTTTCTATTGCATTTGGGGGCGGATTTACTGGGGGGCAGAATACCATTGAGACCGACTTGTGGGGCGGTGATAAAATCAGTTGGGGACTGAATTAATGCAAACCGATTTTGAATATTCTACTGATGCAGTTATGATTTATTAGAGACCTGGAACTGATTCGACAACAAAAATTATAACATAATACATTTTTAACATGAAATTGCAACTGAACCAAATGAACACACGATATTAATTTTGATAAAAAGATCGGATTTGATTTTGATAGTACTACAAAAATAAACTAAACGAATAAATCGTCATCATTCATGTCATCAATTTGATGACACTAATTTTGGGATGCATTTTATATTTTAAACAAGTTATTAGCTATAATTTTGTCCTTCAGTGTTCTGTGACTTGTTCCGATCGGTGGTGACACTATTGCGAATATATTAGCTAAAGAGAACGTTGTGATAATTTAAAAAAAATATGAACTGTATCATATTTACATGATACAGGTCAGAGGTCAACGCCGACCAATTTATTAGCGGCGCCAATGTTGGATAATTTTTCGGGGGCGCGGCGTGACCTCTGATGCACTTCCTCCGAGTTCCTCCCCCCACTACAACTACAACTCTAAACTCTAAAAAAATTAGTTCAGGCTTGAAGAAAAACCAACGACAAATAAGGAGGAAAGAATGGAACTGAGAAAATTTTCTCGGTCATTTTATTTTTATTTTTTCCTACACCTTATTGATGTAGCCCGGTCTCAACGGAATTCTGTAACCATACACCTTATTGGTGGAATCCGTCGCCAACGAGAAAAAGTTGGCCTACACCTTATTGGTGTAGTCCGTCGCTAAGGCGAAAAATTTGGCCTACACCTTATTGGTGTAGTCCGTCGCCAAGAGATCGAAATCGCCCTCCACCTTATTGGTGGAATCCGTTTTTAAAAGGTTAATATAGAATTTGGTCAAATAGTTTACATATTTACAAGTACAAGAAAATGCACATTATAATGTTGCTTAAAGTTGATTGTTATTACCTTTTCTAGCCGTTGAAAGTACTCTCTGAGGAACTTGACAGGATTGTCTGGCTTCTGAACACACAGCTGGACTATACAGTCCTTGAGAAGAAATCAAAGTTTATCGTTATCGCCTCCACGAGCTGTTGTCGAAATTTTTTAAATTATGTATCAAATCATTGAAAAGCACTTACTTTGAGAAGGCCTTGAATATCGTGACGAGCGACGTAAGCTTCGCAGTCCCTCAGCGACATATCCTCCGCCATCATGCTGCTTCTGCGAATATGTGAACAAACCCAGCCCACTTATTGGTCGTATTCAATTATTCTTCGGGCCAGGAGCAAGGCACAAGGTGGTGAAATATACTTAAGGGCCTGGGGGAAGTTGCTTAGAAATCACGTCAACTTTGACGATAAAATTCAGCAATGCACAAGAGGGCAGATTTTTTAAATTATGTTTAATGCGTTAATCATATCTTTAGATTTTACTTGAGTTTTTTCTATTTTTTCCACCATAAGCTCAAATGTCGGGGCAACCTGAGACATTTGGCGCTATATGTGGAACATATAGTATGTTGTCAGGCACTCTTATGGGAAATGTCGGGGGCTCGTACAAAAAAACGGTTGGGCGTAAAGAGATGCCGTAAAGTGCATTAGATGCCTCTCGAAAAGTTTTAAAATGACTTTTTTCTAATTCATGGTATCTTGAACCATTTTCAAGAAATTCAATAAAAACCGATTTTTCGGTTTCGAAATCATAAATGTTTCGCTGAATGAATTGGGTGCATAACACAAAGTTGTATGTAATAGCAAATATGTTCATAACCGCATTATCTATAATATTTACTCGAAAATTTTTTCGAAATAATGCTAGGTACAGGCGGTAAGTTCAAATTTCCGAAAAATTTTGCAATTTTGGCTACCAATTTCTCCACTGAGCTACAGCCTAGACGATACATTTTGGTAACCTAAACTAAACGGGATCGTATTGGGGAAGGTCCCGGCTAGTGCCCTCGACTGATTGACTTTTTCGAAATAAGCCTTGGTTTTTAAGATATGGCGCGATTTCTAAAATTAAAATCCATAACTCATATTTGGTATGAAAAAATAGAAATTTTCAGCGGTTTTGCCGCATAGCTTGTTTTGACGATCTGCCCTCTTGTGCAGTGGAGATATTTGGTCGTAAAGTGAGGACAAATTGGCTTAGAATTGCCAAATTAATGGCAGGAATTGCATTTTGAGTATCCATGGAACAAAAGAAACAACTTTTTTCAAAAACTTGAGGGACTTGAGGGAAACTTTTTCAAAAGCAGTGACAAAACCAAAGCTTTTGAACGTGAGTGTCCCATAGAAACGGTGTCAATTAATTGTGGTCGTAACCTAACAGAGCGATAATAATCTTGGGGCCCTGGCAATTATTGTTGCTAACATAAAATCAAGTAAATCTTCCCCCGGGCCCTTAATATATGAGACTCAAGTCGAAGATACCGATAATAATAACAATATAATATTATTATTTCAATGAGGAAAGAGGAGCTCGGCAACACTAAACGTAAGGTGTGGAGAAATAATGGCGCAGTAAAAACTTAATGGCACCAATTACTCGTCTCCTACCAAAATCCACACTACTAACTAAACTATTACTGCCCTCCTGTGCTAGTGCAACTGGCTGCTAGTGTCACGCAAATTGCAAAATCACAAAATTACTGCATACACGGAACGCAAAATTATCTATCCATCATTCACGTCTAATAGTTCGTTCTGACCACTACGATAATGCTCTCACGCTAATTGTATACCGCCCATGTCGCTCGGAGATCAACATTGCCAAAATAAGTCGTGTTAAAAAATGTGCAGCGACAGTACACGTTTTTTTAATGGAATTTCATAACCCGTTTTATCCGGAGCACACCAAAAACTTTATAACTTCATTTGGTCACGGTTTAGTAACTCTTATTTATGGTCGATTGTTGTTATTAATTAAAAATAAACTCCAAACCACATAATTATTGACTCACCTGTTGTTGATGTTGGTCTGTATTTTTCTAAGGGGTTTTTTGGTAGGGATTACCAATACACGCACAAGACCTATATAAACTGCGGTCAATCGAGTTGAAAGTCTTTAAATTTACTTTGCTACGATGTACGACAGGGTGATAATTAATTTCTGTATTTTTCCTTTCCATAAAAAGTGACCCATAAAACTGAGGAGAGGAATGAAGGTGGGTTTATTTACGTGTGACGAGTGCAAAGATGTCCTCCTCCATCACGTCCACCACCACGAACCACGAACCACCACCACAAAATATCGATCCGCTTTTATCCGACGCTTCTGCACCAACACATATCGCATAAATAGTAAAGGTCAGCCCAACAACGCCCATCACAAGAAGAACTTTAATGCAATGAATGAAACACTTTATCTGGCTCATTAGCGAAAGGTGTTTGAAGAAATAATTAATAGTTTTGAACCAAATATTAAGGACATTTTTTCTTTTTATTATATATTTTATCATTCAGCGTGATGAGCTGAGCTGATTCACCATAGCCTAAACATGGTCCATTGTATTTATTGCGTAAGACTTAACAATTAGCAATATATTATTACTATACATTTGACTCTTTCTTGCACATGAAGCATATATTCTTCTTCTTTGGCATGACCAAGACTAGAGTAAAACAGCCGTTTCATTTTTCGCCAACAAGGAAGGCGACAGGCCATCATGCATAATACAAGAATGCGGAATATTTAATTGACAGGTAAATAACAGGTAAAACGTTGAGTTTGGTTTGACTAGGCATTTTTAGTTATACAAGTAGGATTATGTATTACGGGTAGAGTAGGTAGATGCACATTTTTTGCATATGGTCTCTTAATTTTTAGGAATTATTGGTGACCGGACACTGAGCTTGATCATAGTTGCCGATGACCCAGTTGATGTCCCCGTTTGTCGCAGCATTCATGTGCATCACCGCCCACACAACCATGAGGTGCATGATATGGTGGGAATTGAGCCAAAGGTCGAGCCTGCAAAAGTACTTATCCATGAATTTGTAGGGATGCTAGCGATAACGGGAATAATTCACGCATTCGATTGACCTACCGTCCAGGGAACCATTTTTCAGGAATGCGAACCACCCCAATTATTCCGCCCAGGATTGACAGGACATCCTGCAATAAGTATTGTTAATTTTTAGTTCTAAAAGTAGCAGCATCATTTCATACAAAATATGGATATAATAAATATACATCACAAAGCATGAAAATGGCTCAAATAAGTAAATGCAACAGGAGTTAGGCCCTGTTATTTTGCTACACATCACATTTTGAGGTAAAGAAAGCGATTGATTTATACTATGAATGATCGATTAACTTTCCCACGTAATAGCAGAGTTTCATGAAATGTGGAAAGTCAATAATTATGTTCAACCCTGACTAGATTGAACCATATTCAACTACTGAAATGGAAATTGGGGAAATCGATACATCTAAATTATGAAGAGTTTTCCCTAAAACTGAGCCATCCATGTATGTATGTCACCCGTCATCAATCGATAACGAACAACCATTCTAATACCAAATATTGAATCAGCCATGGGAAATTGGCTTCATAAATTGACTGTGTCAAATGATTGTTTCTAAATATTTTGAATGATTGGGATCAAGGATCATTGCCTGGAGAACGACGTCGCTGAGGGTGGCGGGGTTGCCTCCTCCCCAAGGGGATATCCTCAGGAGGAAAGCCAGGATTCTCGAAATGAACACGGGAGCAAAGCACATTCGTCGGGCGAGTGGGGTCCATGCCGTCAATGCCTTCTGCAAACCCCACACCGCGGCCAGTCCATATGCCTGTAGTAAATATGTGCACATGTAATAATGTAATATATAACAAATTCTACAGCATAACTAAAAAAAATGCATAAGTTTGATTGTCACATATTTTTTTACCGTCATCATGGCCGTCTGGTAGTCCTTGGGAAGACACCAGGCTGCTGCCGTCAGATTTGACAGGGCCCCTAACAAAGAAACGGTCATTAAATGTCCACATAATTTCCGCATTACTAGATGAAACACAATACATATTGACTTTGAGCGTGTTATACCGAAACATTCTGTGACCCAAATTCCAAACATGTCGATTTGAAGAAGGAGCTGGTAGAAACGGTCCCCACCCTGATTGTAGCTCATAAAGAGATGGTAAATCACGCTTCCTATCCATGGAGAAATGGAGGCTGAGATGTGAGCCCACCCCAAAATGTTGAGAAAAGTGTTTCCCTCAATCGCACCCCACGGAAACATGGTTTGCCAATAGAGAAGGATGTACACGATTGGAACGACTACAAATAAATAATTGGTTGATTTAGTAATAACTAGCTTAAGCTTCAACCATAAACGAATTAATGACACGAACCATGCGTAAGAATGTTAAGTGTTTCGTTGTGCAAGTAGCCCAAACTGCGAACACAAGTCCAAAAATCGCCTAATTGTCGATAGCCAGATAAAATGTACTTATTGAATCGTAGATGTTGAGGCATTTCTGAGATGTGACAAAGTGCTTTCCCTAAAAAAATGATATTAATTGGGTGTAAGTAAATAATTACCTACAAATAAATAACTATATATGTAGTTCCAGTGTACAAATTACCTGAGCAAAACAACATTTTGGCCACACAGGAGATTCGTTCGGTCGAGGATCGGCGTCTCGCCTGTTGCTCATTGTCCCATCTCTCCTTATTCGCCCGAGCACTTTCCAGTAAGGCTTGAGCCACAAATGACAGCGATGCATCGCGCTGTTCTCGACTTACTGCAAGTTTCACAAGATCAGAGAGTTATGGATATGTACTTATTTATGTATGCATGATATTATTATTACCAAGAAGGCCGTCATCACTATCTTCTCCATCTGGGGGCTCCTTGATACGAGGAACATACTCGTGCGTGTAAGGGTCATACTCGTAGTCGTCCTCACCTAAAGAGTCGATAGCATTGACCGTTGAAGTTCAGAATAGCAAGACATATGGAGATCTTAATAGGTTGACCTACCCCCGTCCCCTTCGCACTCTTCGTCATCGTCGTCCTCAAAGAGATTGGTGCAGGAGCTAGAATTGGAAATCCATGAGTGGCAAGGACTGGGTTGCAAACTTCCACCCCCGTCACCCGACTCCTTGTTGTTCTTCCCATCGTCCTCGTTCAACTCTTTTACTCCTCCTCCTCCTGCAGCGGTCGCCGCCACTTTTCTCTGTGGGGACCCCCCCTCCAGGCCACCAGTCTCCGCCAAACCATCCTCGTCCACCACCAATCCCTTGCTCACATCCACAAGAGCTTCCGGACCCAAGTCTTTCAGGGACATACCTCACACTCCTGCTTTAAGTGGTTACTAATGAAGGGGAGTGAAAATGATGGATGGACAAGAGTGGATAGCGAGACCCCACCCGATCGACGTGGGTAGACTGTGGTTATTATTGGCCACTTCCTCCCAACTAATAACTTGTTATTTCGGTTGACCTAGCTACACAACATTGAAGTCGAGCCATGCAGTCTGAGCAAATGGAGAAGGCCAAGTTGATGGTATGCACTACTATGCACTCACTCACCCACGAGAGGTCAACCAACCAGGGGATGATGTTACGACTGACCCAGCAAGTTCAGCTTGTTAGTAAAATAGGAGAGCATTATGTTGGATGGGAGTGAGACAAGCTAAAATGACACCTAGAATAATCATGTGGAGCCCAGAGGACGTAAGATGATGGACTGGCCATAGCTAAAGCTATCCAGTGAGATAGACAAGGACGAACTAGGCGGTACAAAAGTCGACCAGCAGTAACACATATGCACGACTACTCCAAACCACAATACTCGTTGATACCACTGGAAGTAGAACTGGGTATGTACATTAATCGATTGGGCAAAAACTGGACCAGCCAAAAACCCGGGTTTCCCTTTCGCTTTACATACATGCTCCGAACTCAGTCAAATGCTCCACTGAACTTTCATACCATGGCACGATGTAAAATATAAAGTTATATTGCTGCTGGTTGTACTTACGAATGCTAGCAATTAACCCCTGCTCATAAAAATGTACAACCAATTATGCAAATCACGTTAGCTATTAGTTTATTTACCAGGAAGGATATTAAACTTAACGATACATTATTATAAAACTAACCCGACCCACTCTTAACAGGATGATGAGAATGGATGATGAATTTTAAGAATTTGAAGCCACCAATGATTCCTCCTTTTTCTTTTTGGTTTGGGCACTCGATTTGCCTGCTCCTTTAGGTTTTTGGGGCGGCGTTGTAGGTGGGGATCGAGCCAAGGCTTCAAGAATTTCTGGGATCTCCTTCAAGAGTTGCTCCTCCCCCGCAGTGAAGTTGGAGTCAATCCAGAGGTCCTTCAACGCCATCAACACACGATTCATAGTCTTGCCAGCTGCATGGGTACAGACAAAAACATCGTCAGATAAAGACTTTATTACAAATTACAAAAGTGTTGTTTTTGAGAACGTGCCTGGGACCTTATGTTCCACCAAAGCATGACCAGAGATGGGGAATTTTGGTGGATCCCATGCTTTAAACTCTTCCAGCAAGTCCAAAGCCCCATTGTACTTGTAAACCTCCTCCACCCAAAGTCTCACATCAGTCATTTTACTCTTGGAGAAGATTACAATCTTCTGGAAAGACCTAAAACAAATGGAAATAGATCACATCAAATACTGATCATATTACAGCTCGCTGGTCATGTCATGATCTGTTTCACTTGCTTTATTGAAGGTTCACGCCCAAGGGTGTTGCGATATAGGACAATAAATATAGCCAAATCTCTCTCAAATGCGCTCAATTTCAAGCGAGAATTTAAAGCGATTGCCTGCAAATGCAGAAAGAAATATACCATCACATATAAGTAACACATAATTAGGTAACGCAATATAATCCGTCAAATAGCAAATAATAAATTAATACTAATATTTATAATAAATAGAGATAAGTAATAAATAAATAATTCTTACATCCTGTTCAGTATTAAGCAGAGCACTTAGAAGCGTGATTGGATTGTACGAGCCTAATTTCTCGAGGCGTTGATGAACATTTTTAAAATTTAATGTGTCCATTTCGTCAGGAAGTCCGATGTAGGGACCAATTCCTAACTCCACCATTTTGAGGGTAAGGTGATCAGCAAATTTTCCTGCCAGAATCTTTTTCAATTCCACCCAAATCCGTTCCCCGGAAATCTGCTTCAAACCGTTCATGTTATCCCGAATGGCGGAGAGGGTAGCAGGCTGATGCAAATCTTCCTTGTCACAAATACGGCCGTAAAATCTACAACCAATTACGTCATCAAAAACGTCATCATTATAAAATGATAGCAAAAATAACCCATCCACATCATGTTATGCTTTCTGATTGAGAGAATCACGTTTCGCTTTGTTGACATTATAATGCGACGCACCTGAAATATCTGAGAATCCTGAGATAGTCCTCTTGAATACGTTGAATTGGATCACCCACGAATTGTACTCGTTTATTGGCAAGATCTTCAGCACCGTTAAAGTAGTCATACACCGTCCCCTTCAGATCTGTCGCAAAATTGACGAAAGGGGTTTATTTATATGCGATAAATATCAATACAGGTTGTTTATTAACTACAAATTCCTCCTATCCTACCCAAAAATATGGAATTTATAGTGAGATCCCTCCTAGCTGCATCAATCTCCCAGTCTTTGGTAAACTCGACTTCGGCGTGACGCCCATCAGTGACCACGTCCACGCGAAGTGTGGTAACCTCGAAATTTTCCTTGTCATTAATCCTGGCTGTGATTGTTCCATGTTTCTCCCCTTTCGCGTTGATGGTGCGTATTTGTTCTGCCTCAAACATAGCTTTCATTTCGGTGGGGGTGGCTGTAGTGGCAAAATCAATGTCAGCCGGAACTTGGCCAGCGATCAGGTCTCGAACTGCACCCCCAGCCAGTCGTAGCTCATACCCGTGCTTGTCAAACAGAGAGGCGAGGGTGTGAAGTTCCGGGGTAAGGACTTGGTCAAATAGCTCTTGGGACACGGCCATCGTTTTTAGTGACCCCTTGGGTAGATTCCACCGATATCTTCTCACAGCTGTAATATTTTTGGTGGTGGAGGCAGTGGAGCAGTTATGCCGGAAGATAAGGGATGCAGGAGGAGATAACGGTCCAACAGTTTTCTACAGAAGGAGCGTATATGAGTAGTTAGTTTAAATTAAAACCTTTAAATTAATCTGTCACAAAATATTAGTGCTTTCTATGTACCCAAGTTCTGTGGAGGTTTTGCTTGGGTATCAAGATGACCAAATTTAAAATGTGTCTAAACAACAAAGGCATCCCAGGCCTTGTTCAAAATTCAGTCTGACGAAATTGTTGTCAACGACAAAGTCGACAAACCAGTATAAATGAATAACATGTGTGACTAACTAGAAAACGAAGTAGTTGATTATATTTTTTGCCACGCTGCTGCCGGCTCATTTTTAGGGTGAGATGAAAATTTCGACTTGATTTCGTCATGATGAACGTTTATGTACATTACGTAATGTACGACTTTAAACCAACTACCATCATGAAAATTTGATGTCATTTGGTGATTTATTTACAACTTATACTTTGACAATTTTCAGTACAAGATATTTTAGACTAGGATATTGAAAATGGACACATGAATTAGATTTATCTAGGTATGACATCACTGCCAGTTTGATTCCATTGTAATTTGTCAATTTTTTCACGAATTCGGTGCATTAGGAAGGGTATTTTTTCATAATCTGCTAATTCAGTCCATCTCTCACCATCCACCGTAATCATCGGATGACCAAGCTTTTCTAAGAGACGTTGTTCCAAAGCTTTCACCCCTCGAAGACGCGGAGTGTTGTTTGAATATGCATCCTTCCAAAACACTTTCAAGAGAACTCTGTTAAAAATAGCAAACCAATTGTAAATACCAAATTGTCGTATTACGTATACCCTATGCGCACGCCAAACTCACATATCACTCTCGGCAGGTTTTCGTATATCTGCAAGCTCTTTTAGTTCACTTGTATCATTCATTGCGATGGGGTAACCTCCCTTCCGCATGACAATAACATGGTCTAAATAATATACATAAAATAATTTTATGTAATTATGTAATGTAGTATAGCATCGAATAATTATAGTTGTAGAGTACCGATACGCAGTCCGTTATAATGTAGACCATTGAGTACATAGTTTTCGCCACCGAAACCAGTCTGTAGTGCAGCCTTGAGAGAATGATTTCTATTAATGGGCTCGTTACGAGTTATCTCTTTCCACTGTTAACACAAAAATATTTTTAGTAAAGACAAAAATCGCTTTATACTATTTGTGATTTAGGAATTATCGATGCATTTCAACCATTATACCCTGTTAATCATTGACAACGGGGGTAGAGCCCCAGAGTAGTGCGGGTGCAGGAGCTGAACAGAATTTAGCAGAAGGAGCAGAGTGTGAGCAGAGGAGATTTGGAATGGGCTTTTCTGAATGAAAGCGTCTAGATTGGGTAACTCTTGAGGAGAAAATATCCTCTGTATTAATACTTCAGGGTAGGTGTCCAACGCCAGAAAGTCAACAGCTAAATTGATGGCGAGTGGCCCAAGATCCTATAGAAGCAAATATATTTAAATAAATAAGTATCTAGTTAGCACAAAAACAGGATTAATACCTTGGATAAAGCAGGATGATTAAGAAGCATTGCCTCAATCTTGTGCCAATTTTCAGGCTTGTAGTTACACCCACAGAAAGACTTTACTAATGAGAAGAATAGAAAATCATTGTTCAACACGAGCGAAGGGTTTGATGCGATTATTTCTCCCACTGTGAAATATAAAATGAAAGATATATTATTGTACTTGGTCCTATTTTCATATAATTTGTGCAACACCTCGATCCATGTACTCCACGTGGACGTGCCTCTGACAAGTGATAAAACATCCATAGGATGAATTACGTAATAGCCCACAAATGATGGAATCGCTCCATAATAATAAGGACTTACAAATAGTGAGACATTTTTCAAGGAAAACAATGCCTGATCTGCGTTCGAGTTGTGCCTCTTCATGAGTCGGTTGCAGAAAGAATGAACAAAATTTTCGTCGTAAAAGAATGGTACTTTTTTAACGACATATTTTCTGTTTGCCTTGCTCATCGCAGTGCTCAGTACATTCAAGTCATAGGACTCCATATTGTCTGTCACCACTTTGAAACAGGACTTGACTACGTGTTCCTGGTACGGGTCGTCACTTTTTGCTTCTCCTGTGGGGTGCAAGATTTTTGATATGTGATATATTCATTTTACAATCTTTATTCCATACATCGCGATTTACTTCAGAAAAACAGCTTACCCAGAGACCATAGAATGCTCATTGCATGTCTTGGTGTTAGAGATTTTGCATTTTTTTCAATCGCCGTAACCAAAGGTTTCAATGTCTTATCTGACAGGCCTCGATCAGACGCATAGTGTAAATAGTCACACAAAAGTTGAATGCTTTCCTGGTCCAACTCTCCATTTTGACTCTTGGTCATTATTTGACTCTCAAAAACCACGGGTAGAGCCATTTCTAGGGCATAAGTTAGAGGAGACTTTGTATCCCCATGAAATCTGTCAGTGGAATTCACAATTAGAACTCACATATTTATGCTTAATAGTTCTCAACTCACTTTCCCATGAGAAAGTGGAGATACACGATTTCGCTCAGCTCCAAATAATTTGCTTGTTTCGTCAAAATTTTGAGCATGATTTGAATATTTGTGTCTGATGCTGGGAGACCTAGAAGATTGAGGAGTTTGATTCCACTAATAATGTCACTGGATTGCATGTGACGGGCCTTTCTTCTCAAAACTTTCCACAACTTTTGCATCCCCACACTATTGCAAAGCTCTTTCCTTCTCGTTGGCGTCCTTCAACATGACATTAACAATCATTTAAGTAAAAAACCTACAGTGCAGACTCCATATAGCCCGAGTCAGGGACAGAGTCACTGATTCCTCCAGGGTCACTCTGGTTAAAATTTGCTCACTTTTAGCTTCATATCCTTTCGTGAGAAGCCATTAGGTATAACCGTGCCAGATTTAATGTTTTTAAAGTAATTTCTAAAAATTGGTATGGGTCACCCCATAGGGTCGCTCCAGATAAGAATTTTACCAATTTCATGCCATATTCTTCTATTAAGACCCATTAGCAATCTATCTACCAAATTTCAGCTTGGTATGACGATTTTGAAAACTCGGTATGGGTAACCCTGTAGGGTCCCTCAAGATGAAAATTTTTCCAACTTGAAGTCATTTTTATCTATTAGGAGCCATTAGCAACCTCTGTACCAAATTTCAGCTTTCTACGACAATTTTGAAATTTTGGTGCATAATACCCCACCCACTCCGATGACCCCCACCGGTCAACCACTTGACCGATTTCGCCCATCTTCGAACTCGTTTCCTAATTTTGTCCAATATGCATATGGTAAAAATTTCAAGTCAATCGGTTCAGCCGTTTTGGCTCTATCGTGCCGGACAGACGGACGGACGGACGGACGGACGGACGGACGGACGGACGGACGGACGGACGGACGGACATGACGGTTCCATAAGCCCTGACTCGGGCTAAAAACTTATCTTGATATATAGAGTAAGACAGCGTCAGTGAGAATAAGGTTGTTATTTGCTCTTACTTTTCGTCTTTGATGAAACTGAATAGGATTTCTATCGCTGCAGTAACACAGGGCACCTCCATCGTCTCGGCGTATTTCTCTGTCAAGTCTAACACCTCAGTAACGTCGCGAGTCTCGACCACTTGCGCGATGAATGGACTCCGAGTCTCGTTAAAAACCTTCTGGAAGCGATTCATCCTTGACGCAGCCAGTTTCTGTTTTAATGTTGATGAAAATACGAGTGGGACTATGTCTACAAAACGATGAATGATCAGATCAGAGATTTATTATGCACTTGCAAGACTAGACCAAATAAGGTTTTCTGATAATTGACAAACTATCTTATACTACCTTCGACTTCGCCATAAGGTTGGGTAGTAGTTTGAGGCATGTACACATCGCCGCAGAATCTCCTGGAGGTTGAGATTTGTCGACACTGGGTGATGGAACTACTACAAAGGGGCAGATTCGTCGGTCCCAAACGGCAAAGAATGATGGGACGATGCAGCAAGGTTCGGACGGCAATTACAGCAATTCGCATGATTGAAAATATTGAAATGTATGGTTTGTCTGTTGTGGTTTGTAATTGTATCCACAGTTTGTATCTAAACTTGTTTAGTGAAAGCTATTCCATTTGTGCAAAGTTTGTAGAACACATCACGTTCATACGAATGCGATAACTGAAATTTAGGCTTTATACGAATTGATAACTTTAATTAGTGAAATTAAAGGAACGTTGAACGAAAATCGAGCTCCATAAAATTTTTCATTTGAAAGAACACGAGGAGATTTTCGCGCATGACTCTCTTTCCCCCACAGTTGACATTTTGGAATGTTGTGAAATGCTGGCATATCTATACTATATACAGTATGTGTATACTATCCAAGTCTGTGAATGCTGGCTTTTATTTGACATGAACTAAAAATTAAGTGTTCGATTCTGGATTTATTATTTTATTCTACCAACTTTGCTTTATACATGTTTTAAAATGGTAGTACATAATTTTGAAATTGGGGTAATTGACTCAAATTTAATTGTAAAATGAATAGGGTTCATTTTTCATGGTGTTTTTTTCACCATGAACTCTGCTTACGTAACAAGTATTCACTTAATCAATTAAGTCAAGAGAAATATGAATTAATAAGTTAAACATGTAGTATTTATAAACAATATCAACCACTATTTGGTATTTCGAGCTTTGCGTGTCGGGTTTAAAAAATTATACTGAATACAAGCCTCGTCGCCGAAAACGTGTGAGGCTCTGGTAGTTAATTAATCGTAATTATAATAGTTTATATGTTTTAAATCTTCTAATCCAATCCGACATCCTCTGCGGATGATGATGACGAGGAGGAGGAGGAGGAAGATGACGAGTGGGTAGGACTTGTCGTTGGACAGGATGGACAGCAGCGAGCATAAGCTTCATAGTAGTCTCGAGCGGTTCTGTAGTTTCGAGTTGCAGCATCGTTACATCGAACTGAAAACATAAGGACCAGCCACCAGATTAGTATAATAATAATAACTAAAGTGACTATATGACTGGTACACAATGTAGTAAATGCTGTATATACAATTCATATTTTTAACATGATACATCGCATGGATTATCGATTCAGGGTAATTATTACTCACCAGATTCTTCGAGACATCGTCGGGCCGAATTGTACGTGTCACGGGCGGATTCATACAGCTTTATGGCGTTCGGACCCGGATCATTTAACGCTTTCTCGACAAAATCTTCCCCTCGCTTGGAATAGCTGCAAAAATATCAGGACCGAGAATGATGTTAATAAATTCTACTGACGACGTGTGGTGTACGGGGACACAGGTCACGGTCACGTGACAGTTGTTATTCATTATATATTACTCACCAGTCAGCTTCATCCATGGACCGATGTGCCTCCTTTTCAAAACGTTCTGCTTTGTCAACATACTCTTCTGCTTCGACGAGATAGCGCTCAGCCACCTGTCGTATATTGAAGGGAGCAGACTTTGGAGGATTTGTAGTAGTTGATTTAGGTGTATCAGTCTTCTTGGCAGATTTTCGGGTCACCTTCTTCGGAGGGATGGATGATTTGGTAGTTGGTTTATTATTAATTGTACTATTTGTACTGGAGGTAGAGGTGCTGGCTTCCGGTTTCTTCGTTGCACTTCTAAGTCGTCGTTGGAGGGGTGAGGTGGCAATAACATGGCTGGTGGCGCTGCGAGTTCGAACCATTGTTTTAATTGCTGAAGACGTAAAATTTTCAGCACCACAATTGCACACTGAGTGCAGTGCAGTGAAGTGACTAATTGATTGGCGATAATTAATTAGGGAGGCTCTTGGAGGTTACGAAATAATACGATTTCCAGAAATAGATGTCAGACAAGTAGAGTGGGAGTGGCACATTCCCAACGTTCTCGAAATACACAATAAATGTTATGTTTAGAATCTTTATGTATGATGACTGTGAATTGTGATAAGTTATCACTGATAACTAGAAATGTGAAATGAAAAAGATTTTGAAATGTTTTTGAAGATTGAGCCAGCCTCTCATATGAATCCTATCCGGTGTCCGGGGCATGATGAATGCTAAATTTCAATATTTCATGTTTCATGTAAATTGCAAAATCTATTATGCAATTATTGAGATGACTAAATATAACGAATTGCTTTGACCATTTCATATCAGAAAATTTTATATAATTTCAAGGTAAAACGATCCCATTCATCTCATTTTAAGATTACAGAAGAGATAGTTTAATTAAACTTATTGTATAAGATTAATACATAAGATGCAAATGCTACTATGTAACTATTAGAACTATTGTATCCTTTTTATGCTCTACTTCTCCTTGTCTTGTAGTAGAGGAATTCTTCAATGGCCTCCTCGTCATAGTACTTGTTAAGGGTTTCCCAACCGACTAATTCCCTTGTCTCGCCCTCCTTGTTCTTTACCTTCATGAGACCTAATTGAAAAATGAGACAATGCAAACAAACCAAATACATTTTTTTTTAAACCTTACCAACTAGTCATAACCAGAGCTCACCTGCTTTCTCAGCCATGACTAAAAGATAATCCATCCGTCGGTGTTGAAGCTTGCACAAACCCGTCACATTTCGTGGAATAATTTTCCCTTTCGTGTCAACGAACTGATGAAGCACCAATACATCCTGGACCCGACCGAAATCATACATTACAATTAGTATATATTATATAATAGTTAACTATGTGTTAAAGTATTTTTTTTACAGTGTGCTTGATGTGAAGTCCAAGTTTGCAAAGAGAGCACGAGCACGGATCGTTGTTCAGTGTGGTCGTTTGAGGGAGGAGGCGATTTGCTCGAGGTGATGCTATGTACTGACCTTCAACAATAATTGCATTCCCTTCCTCGCGACGCAAAACTATACAGCATATCAAACATGTATTTATACTTGGTTGGTCAAACCTTGAACTTCAACAAACAACAACTAACTAACAACCAACGATCGAATAAATACTCACTTTGTTTGAGGGCGCACATGGGGGAGGTGGAGAATTGGTGCATCTGTGGGCTGAGGACAAGTAGAGTAGACCTCCTAAAAAGGGAGGAGAACAGCAACATGACCAGGCGACACACGACAACGACGACGAACAAGATATCAAACTGTGAACAAAATGTGAGATCTCTGCGAAATTCTTCTCACGTCAAAAGTGGCGGATCTCGCTATATTTCTTGATGGGGAAAACACAATTTCAACTCTCTCTCTGTCTCTCTCGCTCTGTGTTCTTCCTTCGCCTCCCAGAATAACTTTTCGAAAAATTGGATACTTGGACCCAGCTTCCCACCCCACGGTCACAGAAGGCTCCAGCTGCTACCATCTTCTCAACAATGTCGTCCAAAATAAGGAAAGCGTCTCATGCGGGGAGCTGGTACTCTGACTCTCGTAAGCTCAAGAACAGACCAGACATATATAAACAATAATTAAACCGTCACATTAGTTTGAGTTATTCCAACTGGGTAGTTATCTTACTCTTAGGATAACTAATTCTTGGTCACAGGCATTCTGGCTAAATCCGGCAGAGTTCTGCTTGGGAACTGTTTTACAAAGCATGGTATACATGAATGACATGTCTTCTAACATCTAATCCTCAATTTTTCTATAGCCAAGGAATTAAACAATCAACTGACGAGATGGCTTTCCGCAGCGGAGTTGAATCATGGGCCAGCAAGAGCGATCATCGTACCGTAAGCACTCATCCCATACAAAGGGCCCATTCTTCCTGGCGAACAGATTTTAATAATTGTTAACATTTGTTAGGCATGCTGGATACTCGTACTGTGGGGAATGCGCTGGGTGGGCTTATCGTCAGGTGAGCCCCAACGTGGTGTCGCGAGTCTTCATTCTTGGCCCCTCTCATCACGTTCGACTGTCCGGATGCGCCATCTCATCCGCAACCAAGTACTCCAGCCCCCTATATGATCTTCATGTGGACACTGCCGTCTACGATCAATTGGAAGCTGATCATCCCAATGTAATTTAAATACCTTACATTCCGGAGTGATACACATGTTAGAAGCAAAGCTTAGCTTAGAAAGGCCTTGTTATAGAGAAACACTATTTGTACCTCCTCCAAACTTTTTGAAAACATACATTCATCAAATCTTATCCTGCTAAATAACTAGAAATTCCGCGGATTTCATACAGATACAGATATATATATATCAGTGTGAGTTTGCTTATTAACGAATTTAATTCTAGACATTTGAGCGAATGTCGATCAGTGTGGATGAGGACGAACATTCCCTTGAGATGACAATCCCGTACGTCGCGAAGGTCATGGAAGAGTTAGTGTCCCGACATTAAAATCCTATTTATGGTGTACACTTTATTAAATCTGAAACATGAATGATTTTTTTGTTCAGGAGAAAGAACCATTTTGGAATTGTGCCCGTGATGGTGGGATCATTGACGCCCGAGAAGGAAGCCGTATACGGAGCCATCTTTGCTCCCTATCTTGCAGATCCGACCAATTTGTAATTAACCAAGCTCCCCATTCCAAAATGATTAGTACCTTCTAATGTGCTGGTTGGTTGTATTACTATAGGTTTGTAATTTCATCCGACTTTTGTCATTGGGGGAGTCGATTTCGCTATACTTACTACGACCAGAGCAAGGGGGCCATTCACCAGTCAATCTCACATCTCGACAAGCAGGTAAGCATGCAGTGCAATTTAAAAGTAGGGGCTGTTCTTAAATTACGTAACGCTTGAGGGGGGGGGAGGGGGTTTAGGCCCCAATGATATCGTGCCTATGTACGCCATGTTAAAGGGGGGAGGGGGGGGGGTCGAGAAAATCAATTTTTAGCGTTACGTAATTTAAGAACGGCCCCGTAGACCTGATGAGATGTCACTACAACATCATTACATACACTGTAATTATAAATCTCTCCGATGTTTTTTTATACCTTTGCTTAGGGGATGGACATAATTGAAACGCTGAACCCGACTGCGTTCACAGACTACCTCCGCAAATTTCAAAACACTATTTGTGGCCGACACCCAATTGGCGTACTTCTCAATGTGTGTCACTCACTTAATTATTAGACGATGTTGACTGACGCTGAAAGGTAGTATAATAATTTGTCTTTATTTGTAGGCTGTGAAACATTTGCCGGAGAAGGAGAAGAGTAATTTTCAACTGCGGTTCCTCAAGTACGCCCAATCCAACCAATGCTTTAACCATTCGGACTCCTCCGTTAGTTATGCATCAGCTTCGCTTATCTCCAAGTGAAAGTATTTTCCACTCTCAGGACTATTATTATTTTATTAAGACCATCACGACCTATCTATCTAATGACTGATTCTCTCACAATTTATCGTCAGCAGCAGTCTCAGCAACGGCAACAATTAAACGTGGCTGACGGCCTTCCAATCTTTGCTTTGTGTGGTATTTGGGGTTAAAAAGTCCCTTGCTTTAAGCTGTATGTAATGCAATTTTGTGCTATCATTGGAATTTGGTAGACACTGATCGACTTTGAAGATGATTAAATCATTTTTGTAGCAAATCCACCATAAACAGATTTATTTAATGTATCAGGTTTGTGCATGTAATATTTGTAAGTGTTACGATAAGTTCTGGGGTTTAAATTTTCAATCTCATAATATGTAATGGTGAATGCAGTAGTTAGGATTTTCTAATAGTTTTTGTAATATAATGGTTCTCCCTTTCTACGTTCCATTAAACAGCAGAGGACAATAAACTGTTTCTTAATAACAACTTTATTTAAGAACAAGTGTGCTTATTAAAACTAATGCAACTGGTCTTGACCTGGACACGTGCGTCTACAACTTATGATGTATCAAAAATAATTACTCCAAGTTCACATTTCCTTCTTATTCTGGAGTAAAGCTGCGTCCACCAGCTTCCTCTTGTTCTTTCCCCGCAGAATGGCCTCTTTGAAGAGTGAACAATAGAGAGTGAGGGCTTGGATGGAGTCGTCGTTTCCTAAAATATAATAAAATGTGATTATCTACTAGTATGTGCTATTGTCTATTGTACATAAAGCAAGTAATGTGCATCATAAAACATTTCTTATGGTTAAGTGCGATTTTGTAATACAAATTTTAATGTACTAGTTTTGAAGTTGATAGAATACCTGGGATGGGATAGGTGATTAGGTTGGGGTCGCAGCTCGAGTCCACCACCCCCACTGTGGGGATAAGCATTTTAGCAGCATCCTTCACAGCTGGGTGTGGTGCCATCACCGTGTCCAATGTATTCAGCATGAGGATTGTGTCCGGGAGGCGGGTGATGCCACCGTACTTACGCTGAATAAGAAAATTAAAGTTATGAAAGGTAAACTGGTATTTTAATGTAGGTGACAGAATGATTTTATTTTCGTACGTGTGAATCTGTTAGCGTGTGTGTATCCCATTCTCGACAGTGAGCGTACTCTCCAACCTCCATGGCTGTCTTTTCTACGAGATGGATAACATGAGGTGAACGTGTCACAAAAACAATGATCCCTTTCCGGTATGCGATGTGTGCCAGGAAGTTTAAAGCTTGTCTACAAACCAACCAAAGGTAGCGTCAGAAAATTAAGACCAGATTCGAATAAATTAAAAAAAAACTAATTGGTCAAGAGAGAGAAAGGCTGAGTACCTGAGGTGAAAAGCCGTCTTATCTAAATCGAGTATGACAGAGTCAAACCTAGATCCAAAGACGAAAGGGGCCATATTGGGATGCAGGGACCCCATTTTATGGCCTAGGTGAACACGTGCACGAAACAAGTCTCTAGTCGTAAAGATTTTGTGGACTTGGAAGTAATCTGGACTTTGGAGGGTTTCATCCTTTGCCATCAGTTCTTCAACTGTAAGATAAATTAATAAAATTTACAAAGGCAACTAAGAGACCGTTTGGACAAGAGTAGGAGTTACTTACGACTGGGCTGGTAAGGGGCTTGCGTGGGTGTGGCTGTGACTATCGGGTGCGGCAGATTATTTCTCTTCACTCCTGCAGCAGCAAGTTGGTGAGCCCAGCGGCGACGATGAGTTGATGTCACCACTGACGACTGACATGGGGACGAGCGGATGAGCAAGGCCCTTCTCATGAGACGAGACATGGTGGGTGTGGTCAGTCTGTCGCCTGGTGAAAACGACGACGAGGTGTTGTTGGTGTGTGTCGAGAAAAAGTGCCGATGATGGTGTCCCGCGACTACGTTGGGGCAGGTTGCTTTGCTCGAGGAAAGCAACTAGAATAAACACTCGACTCTGGCAGTCACTAAATCAGTCAGCAGATTTTCGTCACTCCCATTATTCATCACCATCATCAGTGTGAGTAACAAATCTGCAGAGTCAACAGAGAGTCAGCAGAATAAATAGTGAATTTTGTAATAACCTTGCACATTCCTCAATGAGATCAAACCACCCACCAGGACAAACACACGGTCACACCACCACATCACACACAAATCTGAATAATTAAGTTTGCACTTTTAATACCACCTTCTTTTAATTCAATTCTCAATCCGTCCACTTTACGTCTTCACTTCAACCGAACAACAGCTGCAATCGAGATCAAGCAGAAGGAAACCTAATTTGCAACTTTACCTCTCACCATGTTCAGCTGGCTGCAAAACGATGAGACAAAGAAGAAGTCGACCGAGTTATTCGACACGGTCGCTTCCGGGTTGAGATCCATTTACAAGCACAAACTCCTCCCACTCGAATCCGCCTACCATTTCCACGACTTTCACTCCCCGGCGCTGGATGATCCAGACTTTGAGGCGAAACCCATGATCATGTTGGTAGGTCAGTACTCTACGGGAAAGACCACTTTCATCCGCTACCTGTTGGAGAGGGACTTTCCTGGGATTAGAATAGGACCTGAGCCCACGACGGATTCATTCATTGCCGTCATGTAAGAGTCAGCAGTTCTTCATTATTGCCAGCACATAAATCTTATGATTGTAATAGCAACCTCATTGTAACCTTTTGGGCAGGCATGGGGACAAGGATGGCATAATCCCTGGAAACGCCCTCGTCGTGGATCCTAAAAAACAATTTCGCCCCCTCTCAAAGTTTGGGAATGCTTTTCTCAACCGTTTCCAGTGTTCGATGGTTGCATCGGATGTTCTCAAGGGAATCTCTATCGTGGACACTCCAGGAATATTGTCAGGCGAAAAACAGAGGTGTGCCTTAGGATACTTACTTTTAAGTCCTTATTGCTAAACGTATCTATACCGCAGGGTTGATCGTGGCTATGACTTCACGGGAGTGCTGGAATGGTTTGCGGAACGGGTGGATCGTATCATTCTACTCTTTGATGCTCACAAGCTGGACATTTCAGACGAGTTCAAGAGGTCCATTGAAGCCTTGAGGGGGCATGATGACAAAATACGCATAATCCTCAACAAGGTAAGCGACCATAATTACACGGGCCTACAAGTAAATCTTGAATGTGAAAGCAAGAAAGTACTTGACATACTTTGTCTATTTTGAAGGCGGATATGGTTGATCATCAACAACTCATGAGAGTGTATGGGGCCTTGATGTGGTCTCTGGGCAAAGTACTTCAGACTCCGGGTAAGTATTGGTAATTATAATTAATATATTTACAAATATATAGGAAGGTTTGACCGAGAGCAAGTAATTGATTTTTCTTAATTTTTTTAAACATGTAAATAACAAATATGTAAAACCAACCTCGCCATTTTCATTCAAATTTTCAGAAGTGGCACGGGTGTACATTGGATCATTCTGGGACCAACCCCTTCGCTACGACTCGAATCGAAAGTGAGTAGTACGAGAAATTACTAATTTATTTCCAGAAAATATTGATCCGCAAATGTCTACATTTTCAGACTGTTTGAGGCTGAAGAACAAGACTTGTTTCGTGACCTTGAGAGCCTGCCTCGTAATGCAGCGCTCCGTAAGTTGAACGACCTCATCAAGCGAGCTAGGCTGGCTAAAGTTCACGCTTATATCATCACATCGCTAAGGAAAGATATGCCTTCAATGTTTGGAAAGGACTCGAAAAAGAAGGAGCTCATCAAAAATTTGGGTGAAATTTATCTCCAGATTCAGAGAGAGCATCAAATATCTCCAGGAGACTTCCCAGACCTTAAAAAAATGCAGGTACTTTATATCAACAATTACTATTTCTTTCAACAACCCTCATTAATGGTTGTTCGTTAAAGTATATCTACAGAGAGATTGGACTATAATGTTGATATTATTATAAAACTTACAGGCTGAACTTGCAAATCATGATTTTTCCAAGTTTGTCCCTCTGAAGCCCAAACTTATCGAGATTGTTGACCACATGCTGGCCAATGACATTGCCAAGCTGATGGGCCAAATTCCGCTGGAAGATGCAGCCCAGCCACAAGCTACGTCGAACGTCAAGGGTGGAATCTTTACGGGTCATCAGGACACATCCACACCATTTGGATTCAAACGGTTTGAGGGTGTGGAAGCAGGTAAGAGTGGCAAACACTGCGTATTTACAGTATGAGAAAGCAAGGATGCTTATTGAGAGTTGAATATGAGTTGTTAAACATGCAATGATTCACACAGGTCGTGGTGAATCGGACTGGATTGTGGCCAAGGAGAAGTACAAGTATGATGAAATTTTTGAGAGTTTGAAGAACAGTGAAGACAAGGTTGCTGGTGCTACAGCCAAGGCCGAAATGGTCAAGTCTAAACTTCCAAACACAGTTTTGGCCAAGGTGCTTTTAAATCATTCAAATTCATGTGTGTTAGCTTGTACATATGTATGAAGGTGCCCATGATTTTTGAAAGTTTTGACCTCCTTTGAAAAAAACTGCTTTTTATTACTATATAGGTTTGGAAATTGGCGGATGTGGATAAGGACGGAATGTTGGACGATGACGAGTTTGCATTAGCGATGCATCTAATCAATATCAAATTGGATGGTCATGATTTACCGGACGAGTTGCCTAGCCATCTTATCCCACCTTCGAAACGTCCCTTCCACTCGGGCGACTAAGGAAGATCAGCCAATAACCAAAACCACACCCACCCACCGCCCGAAACCAATCATGCTTTCACAATCACAGAACAATTATTACCAAATAGATTTTTATTTTGAAATTGAAGGAACCGTTTCATGAGTTTGGTGCGAATCACAGCAGCAGCAACTAAGTAGCCATCACAGCACATTAAATCAAATCATCAACCCATTATTGGTCTTCTTATTAGTGTTTCAACTGGACCTGTGTTATTTGTTCCTCCAATTGACTGCTACATATATCTACTGTATACATTTGTGTATCATACATTTTTCTCACATGAAATGCCACTAAATGCAATGTTCGACTCATTTTAAAGTCGTGATATACAATGTTGATTGATGACATCAGGATTTATAAGTACAGAGATGAACTATTATTAGTATGATTATTTTACTGTATTTCCTGATTCCCTAATGTGTGTCCCAAATGTTATTATCATCATGGTCTATGTGCGCCTGTTGAACTATTGCCACAATGCAACATTGGGCTGTCCAAGTATTTTCTTACTCTTGCACAAAGTTTAAAGTACCCAAAAAAGCCTACGGAGTCTAGCCTGACGTATAACCAGATAAAAAGAAGTTGTAATGCGCACATATAATAAATGCCTTGCTCCAAATGTATATGTTCCGTGTTCATATACTATTATTATACTCTAGTTGTCAATTAAACTGTAAGATTAAATCACCAAGTAAATGGAAAATCAAGATATCAAAGATTTATTACTGTGACTGTGTCGTCGTGTACGTACTAAAACTCCAACTACTTTTCTCTATGAGCCCAACTTCACCCAATATTATTCTAGACCAATTTCAAATGGAGTAATTAACTTACAAATTGTCAGGGTTGGCCAAGATAATTTAACAAGATACAAGATATCAGATAAAAGATACAAGATATATCTTGTATCTTGTGTAACGGAGTTTATCTTATCTTTTATCTTGTATCTGAACGTTTCTCAAACAGTATTTTGTATCTTGTATCTTGTATCTGGAGAATTTATTTCAATCATATTTTATTTGAAATACTAGTCAAGATACAAGATACTTTTTTTAGTGAAAAATCTGGAAACTTGCATATTTGGTAGTATTAAAACTTGGAATTATGAAGATTTAAAAAACTCAGTGTACAGCTTTACCGAGCCGGACGCAAGGTTCTGTTGTATAACGTCGTAATATTTATTTATCCACAGTAAATAAACCCTCGCACGTTGGCAAATTTTTTAATTTGCATTATATTCCTAATTTGTACCACCATTAGAGCAATTATTCCAAATTTCAACTGAATATACTAGTAATAATAATTTCAGTTCCATAGAATAATTTTAAAAAATCAGTATGGGTCACCACAGATGAAATCCTCATATTTGTTTATAAATTGTAAACAGGGACTTGCATTATAAGTTACAATGCCAGTTATGAGTCGTATACTATCATTATTAACAAGTTACTCGGCTACAATACAAAAAATCAAGTGGTGCTTCGTTATTTCATGTTTTTTTTGCAAGCTCCGAATAATTTATCTTGTATCTTGAAAAAATTATTTCAAATAAATATCTTGTATCTTGTATCTGGGATCACAGCAGATAAAATTTATCTTGTATCTTGTATCTTGTGTAACTCTAATTATTTGTATTTAGTATCTTGTATCTTGGGTTTCGTTCAAAATATTTTGTATCTTGTATCTTTGAAACAAAATATCTTGGCCAACCCTGCAAATTGTAATAAAAACCATTGAATTTGAACAAAAATTTTCGCATATCCAGGAGCATTCTTGCTTTACATTATATATTTTACAGTTTTCACTCTTTACAGCTATGGACATTTGGGCAACATAAATTTAGCATACATAAATAAACCGAATAAATCAATTGGCAATTTTGTATGCATCGCTTTGTATAGAAAACTGCACATCTTTGGAATCAGTGGGAATTACAATAAACAGTGTGATTAAAATTATAACGGTACTATTATAATTATCATTTATTGTTATACTCTCTTCATAAATATGGGTAATGATGAACGACGGACTTTTTCACTTGTTTCGATCTACTTGGTATTTGGTTTGGAAGGAAGAAAAGTCGGAAAGTGTGGAAGTGGAGCACCGAGAAAGCTAAGCTTGAATTTGAAGATTTCCAAAGACATTTTCCAACATGTCGACCTGCTTGGCTTCCTCCAAAAGTGAACTTCCAGAATATCTGAATGACAAACAACAAGATTGAATAGCCGTCATTTATTATTTTTGCTGCTTCATCAAACAGTAATTGGGCATTACCTTTTTGATATCTCCTTCGCAGTCCATCCCACTACTTTTGTCAACTCCTTTTTGTCAGCTGCTGGAAGTCTGGGGTTGGAACAGAGATTGGAAGATGCCTAGAAAAAATTATTATGTATTCTTGTTGCCAAGATTATGTTATTCACTGGATTGATTGAACTTGGCCGATGGACTTACAAGAAAGAGGCCACAAAGTGCACGAAGACTGGCATTATTGAGTGTGTAGGCCTGGCTGTAGTATGCCACTGCAAGCTTGAGGTTGTCAAGACCTCCCATCGTGTACCGAATATCGGCAAGGCGTTGGTGGACAAAAAAGTTATGCGGCGTGTGAAGAATTAGTTCCTCGGCACAGAAGACGGCTTTAGCGTAGTCACCCTCTCCCAAGTAGAGGTCGCATAGCTCGGACCAACCCTCCTGGTCACTCATGAACTTGGTGAGGTAATCCGCAAGCTCCTTGATAGCTTCCACCATCCGTCCTTGGCCCTTTAGGATTGAGATCTTACGCTTGTACGCTGCAGAATTGGTCGGATCTCGGGCAATCATATTGTCCAAACCTTTGAGCGCCTCGTCGTGGCGGTTGAGGGCTTGGAGGCGACACACTTGGAGCAACCTTAACAAAATCAATAATGTAGAGCACTATTGTTTATTATTTATTATTCCGATGCATGCATTTTAATCACTCACTTGACCCGTTCACTCTTTGGGAATCGGCCCTTAAGTTCCAATAGTGTATCGTCAGCTAGAGGCATGTTGTGAAGGTCTAGTGCGGCTGTGGCCACTTGCTCGAGCACCATCCATTCTGTAAGATAAGTACAGACATGACGGTTAGTCTAGCATGCTTAAGTGATAACAAATGAATTACTCACTTTCATCCCCTAACTTTGACACATTGGGTCCGAGAGCCGAGATCCACAGCTCCAATACCTCCTCACTTCGTCGCTCGTTCTCGTCACGCCATTTTTTGAAGAGCTCACGGGCATCTGCAGAGTAAAAAAAACAGTAATGAGTTACACTCACTGACTATGCACACAGTAAGTTAATTGGTAATTAAAAAGGGTGTGATTGAAGGAAAACTGTACCCTGCCAACTTGTCACTGTCCGCTCCATCATGACACCCAAACTTAATACTTGACGAGGTCTCAAAATAAACCAGAATTACAAACAGGGGGGTGGGGAGTCGAAATTTTTGAAATAACCGAAATAATTTTGAAATTAGGATGACCGAGTAAAGTTAGTTACGAGTTGAGTCTACCGCTCGCAGTCCATTTCCCAGTGTGTACAGGAATGAAGGACGAAGTGAGATGACAAACCAAACCAGCTGATGCCTTATTATTATTGTTAATCCTCCCCTTCACCCCACTTATCTCTCCTCCAACAGCCTCTTATCATGCCATCTAATAAGTCTATTCAGCTCTTGGGTCTGGGTTGAAAGAACTTAGGGTATTAATAAAGTGGCTGACAAAGTAATAATAAAGGAGTCAGTCAGTCATGCATTTTTTGTTTATTCTTTGTTCTTGGGATTTTGTGACTCATCCTCAATTTGGACACATATAATAATCGACGTGAATGCTGGTGAGTAAAATTTGATGGCTAGCTCACGTGATAGATAACACGACCAAGTGAAACAAAGTGATCTGCTGATAACAACAACAACAGTGAAGAAGTTACTGCACTGCAGCAGAGCATTTGTGTGCAAGGCACGAGACTTTTAACAAGACGGAGCAGAGGGGAGTTATCAGCAAATCCACAAATTGTTGTAAAAGTCATCGTGCGTAAGTCGCCTGGCAGGATGCGAAAGGATGGAGACAGGAACAGCAGATGGTCAGCAGCAGATCCGTGAGTTTACCCCCCTCCTTCATCTCCTCTCCCGAATTCCCCTCAAGGCTCAGAAGGGGCTCACCACTCTTCCCCTCAACTTCACCTGCGTGGCCGCCGCGGGGGAGTTCCTTGCCCTCGGCACCAATGTCGGACTCATCTACTGGTTCAACAGGACTTCTCTAAGGTTGGACCGGCTCAAGACCGAGGTAGCAGTACCAATTATGCTGGGACAATGTCCCAGCCAAACAATGATCATATTTATTCAAGCTTCCTTATTGTTAGAACACGAGCAGTCCGATATCCAGCATCAGCCTACTATCAAGGCCAGACATTCTCGTGGGGGCAGGAAATGCAGACGGGGAGCTCAGTGTCTTTCAAATACCTCCAGAGGGTCGCGTGAGTCTTTAAGCCTGCTACTTTGAGTAGTCTTGTTTATTATGCTAGTAGTATGGCGACGACACGAGCGTCAGTCCTATAGTAAATATCATGTCTGTTTAGGTTCGTAGCTTCCAGCTCTCACATAAGTCTCATAGCTGCAAAATATCTGCGATAGAATGGAGCAGCAATGGTCTTAAGTTGTTCAGCGGTGATGTTAGAGGGGGCGTGGTCCTCACAGAACTCCTATTCGATACTGTATGTTGCATTAATTTGACTATTTTATTAAGATGGAGTGTTGATTTCTAAATATAAAACGCATGACTTGCAGGGGACGACAAGGTCACAAGCTCTTCTTCAAGAGAAGGGGGAGGAGATTGTGCAGTTGAGCTACAGCCGGAAACATCTCCTTGTATGTTCTACCTTCCAGTCAGTCGTGTACTCACTGACAACAAAAGAGACTGTTCGGGTGGGATCCCAAGCACGGAAAATGTACTACCAATGCCATTATAAAAACTTTAAGTAGTTTAATAAATAACGGCTTAAAAAATGTGTCTCGGGGTATGGTTTGAACAGCCAGGGTCGTTTTGGTGGAATCTTTCGGAGGAGACTCACATTCACGGAACCACTCAGTCTTTACTCTGTACGTCCCGGAGGCAGGCTCTGGGTAGCAGACAGTTCCGGCCTTGTACAGCACACTATTAAATTCAAGGTAACACACAGTTGTAGTAAATAATTCAAATCAGTGCAAACATTTCATACAACACATTCTTCCTTTAGGATCTACTCCTTCTCGCTGAACATGCAAACATTCCAATCCTCAACCCAGCTCGTCCTACACCATCATCATCACCATCGTTCGACTTTCAGATTGGTCGCCTCCTCCCTTTCTCGTCTACTTCCCTCCTCACATTTCACTCTGGTCGTCTTTACCTCCTCGATCCCATCGAGACAACCATTCTTGGCGTCTGTTCCGAGCTCCAAGGGATTCTAGATGTAGCCATTAACCAAGAAAATACCAAGGAAATATTTGTGCTGGAATCTAATAGGAATCTCATCCGTCTTGCTCCGACGCCAGATACATTCCCAATGACAATTGCTCAGGAAGTAGGGCCACCGAACTTTCTGAGGGGTCGAATCCCGCTTCCCATCGAGTTAAGAGGCTTGGAGGTACCTCTGTCTCAATTATTGTCTTCCACCCTCAAAGAAACTTCCCGATTCGTGGGTCCAGTCCACGCCTCTCTCGTCCAAGGGTTAAGACAGGTGTTTGAGGGGGACATCAGTGATGGAATGACGTCAATCCCACTCCCTCCTCCTGATTCCCAGGCACAGATGGCTCAAGAGAGTCATCAGAATGATCAGTATGGTCATTTATTTGGGGATGGACTTTTAGAGGAGGAAGGGGTGGATAAGTTTGGTCACATCTCACATCTGCCATTTGACGACGTCCTCCTCCTGCCACCCACTTCCTCCCCCTCGACCTCTCTCGGAAACAAGGGGAGAAGGAACAAGAAGAAGAAGAGGCGAGAGCGAGTGGTTGAGGAGCCAGTGGTGGAGGCCGTCTTCCAGTCTTCCGGAGATACCCACAGTCTCTCCAGCTCAACTTACTCTACAACGGCGTCGGATGAAGAAGCAGGACAACTGAATGGCGGTGGAAAAAGGAAACTTTCTGCCTTATCGTCGTCGCAACATAACCTGATGACGACGAGGGATATCACCCTTGATGAAGAGGGTTGTAAAGGGACGACTGCGCCGCTATTAGTTCCGATGGTGGCCATGTCACAAAGCTGGAGTGTGGGCCAAGGAGCGGGTACACATATTACATTATAATGCAATATATGTATGCACATACATTTATGGCTTTAAATTATTCTTATAGAAGATGAAGTTCTGACAAAAGATTTGGAGTCGAAGGAAGAACTTTTAGCAAAGCGACTGAATTGGCCAGAATTGCTTCCTAACTACAAGAGGACTTCCACAACAGGAGAAAAACATATAACAAATACCCCGCAGCTCGAAACCTCCACTCTAACATTGTCACTACCACAAATGCAAACAGATCTAAATTCCAGAATGGAGGATGAAGGGTCAGACACTTTGATCAAGACATGGAAAGAAGAGGAGAAGGAGGAGGAAGCCCTTGAAGAATCTCTGGATATTTATACAAAGTATAGAAAAAAGGGGGCAATGGAAGAGGATGACGAAACTCCGCCCCTTAGTTTTGGTCCACCCTCGTCCATCTCCACTACAAATAGTGTTCTCCCCTGTAGCCTCACGACCCTTCATCCCCACATTGTCGAAATTGACGAGGGGACGCTGTCCTCCTCCAATCCAGACTCACCCAGCACATCAGAAGAGCTCGTGCCGGTTCGAGACATGGTCGTAGAACCCTTGGCTTTGGGCGGAATGATGGACCAACACGACCACTGGATTTCATTCGAGGGTAAAAATTACAATATACTTGTATGTACTAATCTCGTACTAGTGATAGTGAATGTAAATGTCACGTACTGGTTTAATTTGTTTGTGGGATTTGGTCTGCAGCTCCTGCTCCTCTCCATTCCATCACGACATGCGACACGTACCTGGTGGGGATAGATAAGAGGAAGCGCGTCTACGTGGCCCATCTGTCTCAAACCACATCTTCCCTCCACTGGATGGAGACCAGATGGAAAGCGGACGCTATCGCCCTCTCCCCCAGTGGTACACTCGTCTGGCGGCTCCTCCGTGGCGTTCTTTACTCCGCCCCAAACATCAACGTCGCTAACCTACTTCTCGGAGTGAATTCTCCAAGGACGACTTGGGCTCGTCTTCTCTCTGACATCAGCTCCATCTCTCTTTCCGGTCGTGATAATCACCCTGACGATCCCTCCGGCTGGGTGGTGAAGTTGGACGGTTCCATATACTCCTACTCTGCACAGTCTCAAGTGTTTACAAAATTGCCCACACCACCCACGCCCATGTTCCACGTGGCAATGGGAGGTTCTCGGCGGTTGTGGGGTCTAGGTGCGGATGGACGCCTCTTTTGTCGGGGGCCTGAGGACGAGGATTGGGTGAAGGTGACCATGCCTATCACCATCACATCTCTGGCTCCAGGCCCTTCCAACTCGGTGTGGGTTGGGGATCAAGGTGGACTCTACTTTGTGGAGGAAGGGACGCATCAAGTGTGGAAGGTCAGCCTAGGAGAATATCTCAACACTGCTTCGGGGGGTCCATTGGACGGAGGGGGAGGAGATTGCAGAAGGTAGTAGTAGATTATAATAGTCAATTATAAAATATGTAGATAATAATTGCCTTGTGGGTACTCGAATTGCTTGCAGCATCAGTAGTGTGAGCAGCAGTAATAGCAGTGGGTTTTCTCTGTCGTCTATTCGGCACAAGCTGAGTGATTCACTTCGACCAGACCGATTGACGTCACTGGTTTCAAGGGCTGGAGGGACACAGAACAGTCAAAGTCCCATATTAGCTGCAACAACCTCAGCTCTTTGGTTTGGTCTGCGTGGCTCAAATACACTTCATCTGAACCAATCTCTAGTCACAGGTTTGGTCGACAATTATTTGAATGTGTACTCATTCCTGACTATATCTAAACATTTGACTTGATTGTGCTAACTATAATATATACACAGGTCACCGATGGGACAGCATCCAAGTGCATCGCCCATGTCGGGCAGGCAACAGTTGGAAGAAGGTGCTAGGTGGGAGCATCTATCTGGAGGTAGGAGTTTTGTGGGTTGTTGACGACAAGGGGAAGCTGTTCTACGTGTCCTCTCCATCAAAAGGACGGCGAGGAGAGGCAATTGCTATTGACCTACCAACGAGCAGTCCACTTTTGGCTGTCGTCCCTGCGCCAGATGCCCTCTGGATTCTCAACGAGGAGGGCATTATTTTTGCCAGAAATAACATTTCGAGCGTGAACCCTCAAGGGCATGGATGGTCCAGTATCGATCTCTCCTCCCAAGGTGACCACCTACATTTAGCCCGTCATGAAGTTACACATACTTACTTCAACTGGCTTAGTTAAAATTTAATATTTAAAACGAATATTTATGTAAATCAACAACAGAGAACTTTCGCATGGTCCACATCTCATGTGGTTCTGACATCGCATGGGGTTGTGACCATGGAGGGAGAGTCTTCTTTCGTGTGGGAAGCCTGCGACCACCATCTCCCATGGAGCTAATGTCTCCACCATGGGTTCAAGTCCAGGACGAAACACCCCTTCAAAATTCTACCTTCACAAAAGTACGTTAGTTTCATACTTGTAGTAGTAATTACTTCCAATAATCATTGAGCAATAATAATATTATATCTTTTAGGTATACGTTGGGACGAATGGGAACATGGTTTGGGCACTTGACTCAAAAAACAATATCTTCGTTAGAGAAGCCGTCTTTCCCGACTTTCCCATTGGAACTCGGTGGCTTCTTGTGTCGGGTGTGGAAGCGGTGTCACTTGCCCTCAGGTGACTTTCTTCTTATGTTACATATTTCATTGGATATGTAGAATCCAATATTAAGGCAGTAATCTCTCATCGTTTGTTTCTGTGCAGTGAGACGAGTGTGTGGGCTTTGACTCCGAAAGGAACCATATTCCGTCGTGTGGGAATATCCTCCTCCAACTTTGTGGGAGACTATTGGAAGAGGGTGCCGGGGCCGAGCATGGACAATGTTCCTGTTCAAGACTTGACCGTTTCCCTTTGCGACCAGGTGTGGGCGTTGGACCCTGCTGGAATGCACAAGCATTGCGCAACAAAGCTCAAGTTGGAGGGGCATTTGAGACAACCTCGTCAAAGGACGCTTCTCGACCCGGAGGACCGAGACTGGGTCCTGATTGAAAGTTTGGACCTTGTTTGATGTGACTGACTGATGATAAATGATGTTGCATGAATCGATGTCGACCGATGTAAATCAAGAACCTCTATTTATCCAAGTACATTCCTACGAGTCTGTGATCATTTTACGTACTACTATTATTACCACTAGTTTATATTATTAATTACTCCAGGGAATAATATACATTATACTCACAGACTTTACAAATTATAAAGAATAATATTTCAAAAAAGAACTGAATTAAAAAAAGATTTCATCTGGACTTATGTAGACAGCATTTACTTGGTTCGTCAATTGCTTGTATAGTCGCGGAATTTGCGAGGGAGCTCAAATATGTTTTTACAAAAATTGCAATTTTATTTTGCATACAAATTCGAAAAGATTTTATTTGTTGACGTTGCATTTGCTCAAGCAAATCAAGGATAGTATTAATGCATGAAATATTCTGCTGGAATATGAGCAGCTTTCTATTTGCATATCTGACCAACAGATAACCTAAATTTAAGCTTACCAGTCGGTAAGCTTTAAGATAACGGACAGATGACGTGAGGAAAGGTGAGACGCTTTATTGTGGGTACCTGCTTTCAGAGTAGGCGAACAGCAAGGCGCATTCCATCACTCGTCAGAGTTGCTAAATATTTACAACTTTGAAAACTTTCTAATAATCAGTCTCACGGTAAATAATATTATCGTCTTTTGAATATAAGCCACCAGCCAGTGATAAGTTTTTTAACTTATAAGGGGAAGGGATGAGTGCAGGGGATTATATTCTTATTAGTTGACCTTTAAATTGACCCGTCTACTTGATACCTTCTCCCTTCCGGTGCACTCCAACAAGTATGGACGGGGGCGTAGGGTTGATTATGTTATCGGGGGTCATGTTGCTGGGGAGCTTTATTGCAGGATCCATTCCAATTGTGATGACGCTGTCAGAGGTACGTGAGACCTTGATTTTACTTATTCCATTGATCAATGGAAAATGGAATAACAGTACCATACCATACCCACCAACCAACTCGCCATTCTGATAAATTCAAGTTAATGGACTGACTACCCCTGTTCAAATGATTTTAATGATGAATTAATGTCAAATTGTTACGAGAGTCTCGCTTCTCTTAAGAGTCCTTAAGAATAATCAGAATCTGATTATCAGTCCTTCTGCTTAATAATTGATTGATTTATAATTGTATCCTTGATTCTAGGAGAAGGTTCACTTCGTCTCCATTGTGGGTGCAGGACTGCTGGTCGGCACTGCACTTGCCGTAATTATTCCTGAAGGGATCCACACCCTGATTCTTGCCCAGCACAACACCCCTGCCCGGCACCATCAGCACAGTGACCCCTTTGAACAGTCTGTTCTCAAAGTGTCCTCATCCCCTTCCTCCATCGCTGGAGGAGTGCTGGGTGTTCCAGCCAAAATGTACGATCCACCCCATGAACAAGGTCATGCACACAGTGGTGAATCCTCTGAAGCTGAAGCGCTCTCCTCTGTAGGCTTGGCACTAGTTCTTGGATTCATATTTATGCTCCTGGTGGACCAATGTAGTCGTTCAGCCTCGTCCAGCAGGGGAGGAGGTGATTTAGAGTCCTCCTCATCTTTGTCCCACGCCAAGAAGAGCTTTACAGCCACGTTGGGTTTGGTGGTTCATGCCGCAGGTAGGGCAACACCAATCTTTATGAACAATGGATTCAAACTATTTCAAACATTGAATATTTTGTTTTTTAATCCACAGCTGACGGCATCGCTCTGGGTGCTGCCGCAACCACGTCGCATACCGAGGTTGAAATGATTGTCTTTTTTGCCATCATGCTCCACAAAGTGAGAAATTACTTTTATAAAAGCGATAAAAAGTGGTGGCATACCCCATGAAGTGATTTTCAATATTCAAATTAATACATTATTCTCTAGGCTCCTGCAGCCTTTGGTCTGGTCACTTTTCTTCTCCACGAGGGGCTTGACAGAAAGCGGATCCGAAAGCACCTCGCCCTTTTCTCCTTTGCTGCCCCAGTCGCAGCCATTGTGACGTACATGTGCATCTCCCCGGTATGTTGTAAATCTGATCGCCCTGTTGTAATAAATCGTCTCAAAATAGTTTAATTGGATTTCAGGAAGGAGATAGCGGCGGTGGTGGAACTATGCATGCCACGTCGATGGCCATGTTATTTTCTGCAGGGACTTTTCTCTACGTCGCAACGGTACACGTGCTTCCGGAAGTTACCAAAGATTCCCAGCATGGATATAGTCGGAAAGAGCTGTTTGGTCTGGTGCTGGGTGCGGTTATACCTCTCCTGCTCACGGCAGGACACCAGCATTAACTGTTTAAGTCGTTCTTTATTCCTGTGAACACAATGAAAGACCTGCTAAGAGAGAGAGGAAGAAGACGTTGACGAAGCTAAGATTCTTTTATAAATATGTACACGAAAATGATGATGAACAAACGACTCGTTGAAAACTAATAAAAAGTGAAAAGATAACAGAACATTTCAAAATTAAGCCCCTACTAACTCGTCAAATATTTTATTACCTATAATAATAGCAAGTTCTGATAACAAGCCGGATTCATCGATCGGACACTCGTGAAATGGTACAACAATTGATTCCTTCCGCACAAGACTATTCGACACTTTGTCACCAGAGTCCGAGCAAATATGTTTTTTTATATAACAAATATGTTTCTAAACCGAATCCCATCTCTAGTTGTGGGTGACTCGAAACGAGTAGGGATTGATAAATACATGCATCCGGACTCGGTTTATATTCTCACATAAGAGACTTATCCCACGTACAACATGCACACTTGACGTAAGCGTTACCAAGGTACACTTTAAGCCTAGCAATCATGATAATCTTTTCGAAAATTTTGCAAGGAATTGCGAGTTTTTTTGTGGAAGACAGTATTTGCTAGTACAGATTTTTGTGGAAAGGTATTTATGTAGGTCCTGTGGCTAAGATGCACAAAAGCTTATGATTTTTGGCTGCGTCAATGTAATTCTTACTACAACAGGATAAAATACAATATGGAGACGCCTAGTATGGAGATCGTGGCGGAGGACGAAGGTGAAGAGGATGTGACCATTGATGGTGAAGGCGACGAAGATCATGTAGAATTACTGCTGGAAGCGGACGAAGAGGAGGAGGAGGAAGAATTAGAATATCCAGACGACGAGGAGGAGTTGATTACAGCAGAGGAGGATATAGCAGAGGAAATTGAAGATCAAGAAGAGGACGAGGTTTCAGTAAAAGATGAGGAACAAGAGATTGAGACTGTCGAAGAAGAAGAACCACGCCCCCATCCTCGAAGGAAACCCAGCCAACAAACTGACAACAATGACGATCAGGATGTAGACTTGGATGCTGATCACGACAATGACCTCGACTATTTCGACTATGATGACGACCTCTTGGATGACACGGATTACGATCGGGACAATGCTCTGGGGGATGAACAGTTGGACCGAGGAGAGGAGGAGGAAGATGAGGGTGACTTGGTAGACGAAGAAGAAGGTAACTTTTATAAGATCTTCTGTATGGTTATGGTTGTAAATCTGTGATAGTCTATGTATTTATTTATCTGTAACTATGAATGGGCAGACTCTGAGGGAGAGAGCGAGGAGGAGGGTGACGACGAGGAGGAGGAGGATGAAGACGAAGAGGACGAAGACCTTGGGACAACCCCAATTGAAGAGCCCTTGGACGAAGCCACTCTGGAATTGCGAGCTCGAGAGTTGAGCATTGACACGTTTGACAAAGAAGAGTACATTCTCGTCTATCTCGAACTCATGAGACGCGTCCGTGTCCTGGCCAAGCACAATCTCTACATTGGCGATTACTTGACCCGACTTTGTCTCAGAAAAAAACTAATCAAGGAGGCTGCCGGTGGAGATAACAACTATGGTCGCTCGACCGGCAAAGCAAGGTCCAAGAGTCACCATCATCACCGTCACACCCACCACCACCACCATCATCATCACCACCATAGGGACGGGGAGGTCAACCTAATGTTAACCAAGAAGGCTCGGACTCCGTACGAGTTGTTCAGAGACACGAGACCCCCTCCGGACCTGAAGCGTGGACCTGATCGTGGGATGTTGAAGAGAGCTCGTCAATTGGAGCGCCCCCATCCCAGGGCACCTTCTTTTTTGCGTAAAGTGGAGCTCAAAGTAGTCAACATTCACGGCGCCCTGTTTCAAAGGGTATTGAGGAGCAAAACAAGGAACTGGAAAGAGGATGTCGAGGTGGGGGTTGACGGAGAGGAGGTCATCAGGGTGTGAGACCATAGATATACATGTAGTTCACTGATATTCATTTATTATGGTCACTGTCTAATCTATAACGTGGGTGTCTATTAAATTTGCAGGTTGTTCGGAAGGGGAGGGAAATTACAATGGGTCATCCGGATGTTCCTGTTGCGAGTAGGAGAGTCCTTCTGCCTTTAGTCGTAAAGGGAAGGGATCAGCAGAAACAGATTAAGCCCAAACGGAAACCCAGAGTACCCATCTCCTCTAGAAAACTACAAAAATTCGATCCTCATTATCAGTTTGGACCACCACGAGCCACTCTCCGTACGAGCATACATACTTCGCAAATTCAATCATTACCATGATTTAATTGGTTATTCTATAAGAAAGAAGAACGACTATTATAAAATGATCGTCTAATGTAGGTGGGGGTGGTGTAGGACGTGGCACTAGCAGCAGAAGGAGTGTGGCTGGCCAGGGTCGACTTGCAACCTCATCAGCCTCCCATATTCTGGCAAAAGTTGACAAGAAACCCTCTGTCCTCTGCAACGGACAAGTCAAGGCAACCAAACGCTTCGCTCGATTTCGTAAACCACGCTGGTTTGACGACTCCACGATGCCTGGTGGAAGGGTTCCCCGTCGGGTGAGTGCACGCTCCCTCCTCGCCAGTCAGCAACAGGGGTCCGCCAGCTGGGAAGCCCTCCTTAACCTGGAGAACAAGCGGAGCAAGAAGGCGAGGGAGGCGGCGAAACCGTCCCAACCCCCACTCCCACCAGCCCAACAGGCGGCAGAAGACTGGGCTCAGGTAACTGCTCGACTCTTCACGCTCTTGGAACGGAAGTCCGAAGCAGAGCGCGCCCACCAAATGTCGCTCAAACTGAAGCTCACCACTTGGAGGGAGATGGAGCGAAGGAATGGGGAGGCGTTGGCGGAACTATTTCAAGGGTTTAGAGACTTTGTCCTCACCCAGCCCAATTTCTCAGCGGGGGAGATGCGAGGCTTTAGGAGGGATGTGGGTGGGTTTGGTGACCAGCTTCACACCGCCCATGTCTCGCTCATGATCCAGCTCATGCGTCACTACAGGGCTAAGCTCAACCTCGCTCTCCTTCAGAGGGTTTTGAAGGGAAAGACGAACCAGGGGCTGGCCAGGCTTGGTTACAGCATTGCTGACTATGAGCCCAGACTGGGGGAAAACCGTCAACTGTACCAGACACTCCAAAGGAAGGAAAGGGAGGTGGAGGAACAGGGTGACAAGTTGGGGTACAAAAAAATATATGAAGCTATTGTCCCCTTGAGTGTGCCTATCTATTTATTGCTTGTTCCTTTGGTGGTCGTGTTGCAGGGGTCGGATGAAGAGTGCGGAACGGGGACGGCGACTGTTATTGAGGAAGTCGGCCGCCGAGGCGGAGCGAGCAAAGGGGATGAAGGCGCTAGAGGATGAAGTTGGTCGTGGGGCTGTGGCGGCCAGGTCGGCCATGTGGCGCTACACCAACCTGCTCAACAAGAACAAGTTCTTCCTGCTGGGGGCTAATGTGGTAGAGAAGACACACCTTCTCCAAGATTTCACTACGCGGAAGAGGGCCATGCAACACTTTGAACTCGAAGTACACAAAAAGGACCTAGCTCGTGACGTGTACCAAAGGGAGAGAGAACTCACGGCCATTCAGGTATGTGTACCACGCGCCACAGAAATAACACTCATTATTTTGAAGAGAATGATTTTGTGTTACGTAGTATTAAACATATAATTGATGGATATATTTAGGTCAGGTCTAAAAATGTTGGGCGAGATTTGCAAGCGTTTCGACGAGAGAAGACGGCTGCAAAGAGGGCCCAGGCGCTATCACAGCACTTGGAATGGGTAGATGGGAATTTGGAGAAGGCGGCGCAAAAAGCAACCGCCCGCTGTGTACTCAAACCAAGTGGATAGTCCGGCGAGATCAAGATCAATTTCAAAAGCAATTTCTTTTACAACAAACCCACAAATTTATTCATACTCATCTGCCTCTTCCACATATACTTTCGTCGTATGTATCGTGACACTGGTGACAATTGTTAATTCTACACATGTGATTTGATCTCTCTATGTAGTAACACATTTTATAAATTTCGGGGACATTTTTACATTATAAGAACATAACGAACAAGCAAAGAAGGACTACGAAATAGTGATATACATAATTTGTTATAATTTAGAAGAAAACATAGCAGAACGAATCATGATAACTCATCAAAATCATCGGAATATTTATCTCAATAGTAATAACCAATCACAAAAGAACTTGCTCGTCAATGGATACAATTAAAACCCTTGCTTTCCAACTAAAATCACTAAATCAGCCAAGTTAAGTCACTGCTACAATATTGCTACTACCAAGACTATCATCATCACTATCTAGTAATAATAATAACGAACTAAATAATATATTATTATTCGATAACAACAGCTGATGAAAAATCATGTGTCCGTCGCCATTATTTATTATCGTGTAAAAAGATGGATTATTTGTTTAGAGTGTTTCAAGAAGGAGAAGACGCTGATACATATATATGTAGCTGGCTGATGAGAGAATGATGATAATTAGGTACAAAGTGTGTTTCAGTCCGTATACACAATAAATTGCTGGTCATCCGCTCCAACCTGGAAAACAATTTAATGAATACATTATTTAAATTATAAATACAAGCACACAAAATTATTCAGTTGTTCATTCATTTAGTTATCAGAATTTTTGTGGCTTTCGCAAGTAGTAATTAGTACAATTTATGCTTCTTCAACTGTACTTACTTCCACTTGAACGTATTGCGGCTCGTTTAGGACTTCGTTGGGCATGTTCTGCATTTGGCGCATAAAGTTATTCCTCGACCTACGGAGTAGATAAGTAAATAGATATTAGCTTTAGCTTAAATATTTGGCATTGTTGAGAGATATTAACAAGACTCACTTTGCTTTCGCATGAGTGAGGATGTGAGATTTAAGATTTGTGGACTGTGCAAATTTTTTATTGCACCCGTCGAAAGGGCAAACGTAAGGCCTGTCTCCTGTATGAATTCTCACATGAGTGCGTAGATTAAAGTCTAGCGAAAACCGTTTCCCACACCCCTCAAAGGTGCACTGGAATTTAAACAAAAAATATTAATGAAGTCGGGATCATCGGGCATCACGAAAATTACTGATGATGTTCAAGTAGTATATATATATGTAATGTTTTCTAACCTGAAATGGTTTTTCTCCAGTGTGTACGAGTTGGTGTCTCTTTAATTTTGACGATTCGACAAATGCCTTCCCACACTCGGCGCACACATGCACGCGAGGTCCGTGAGTGTGAAGATGCTTCCTCATGGCCGAGTTATCTACATTTCAATATTTAATATCATGACATATATAGTGAATAACAAACAATATCGGTGTTCAATGTTACAAATAAAACGTTACCTCGAAACATTTTGGTACATCCCTTGTGAGGACAGGCAATAGTTCGGGCAACATCATCCGCAGGCTTCTTGGGCTTGAGGCGAGCAAATTCGGCCAGTTGTTTCGGATCAGAAAGGTCCAAGCCTGGGATGCCTTGCGGTGGGATCGTCTTTCTCCCCGTCATGTACTCTGGATTTGAAAAAATGTAAAATTTCATTAGTCTAACCTCTCGATATACAAATATATTTCTCATTGTCGATTTTTTTAAATTTACTAACAAACCTGTAAAGTCCGGGTCGGCGTCTTGCCCACCTACTTCCTCCTGGATCAACTCGTCTCCAAGCTCTTGTTTCATTACGAGAGGGTCTGCAAAATATATTAATTAATACATGTTAATACCTATAAACATTTTCAAACCATGTATTAATTTGATTAATGTAATAATAAGCGCCTACTATTAATTTATTAGATTCATTACTAATATATTATTTTGAAATCACGTTATTGTTGTTTTGTTATGCTTACCCCATTATGGTAACTGAGTCAGGCCTTAATAATCAGTATTGACGAATTATATAAATCGTGTTATGTATGAAGCAACTAATTAAACTGAAGTCAATAAATACGACTCTAGCTAGTGGTTTTGCGGATTGAAAATAATGGAGTCGGCCAACATGGAGGAAGATCCGCCATAACTATGCAGCACAGCCCAGCATCCATTTTCCACAATGGCTGACCTTATCCACCAGCACAGACACGACAGACACAGCTCCCCAGTGGAATTAATTCTTGCTCCAATTAAACACCAACACTTTTGGACACAGTGGGGGCAGAACAATTTGGGGACAAGCAGGTAAGTGAACAAGTTGTCGTCGCTTATGTAGCCAAGTCAGTAGTGTTGTTTGTTATTGTGGTGCAGTAAGTAAAGTGAGTGAGTATGGTGGTGGTGTGTTCTTTTCTATATGGGTGACGTCAGCCGGCTCCCTCCAGTCAGCCAACCAACGAACGAAAAGCCAAAAAAATACTATACCACAATCAGCTTATATATAAGAGAGATTCAAACGTCTTTTGTAGGGATTTAGAGATATACAAACTGTCTACAACATCATCAGGTCGGTCTAGCTAGTAGCTATAAGCCTGGCTGCTGACCCAACATAACTCAAAACAAAGGATCCAGCATGATCTTCAAGGATCCACCTTCTCCAAGTCGAGTACTTTCAAATGAACAGATAAACTACAGCCTGATTTGCACCCAGAAACAGAAAATAGAAAAAATGCAATGCGATATGATCTTTACATGATTCGGAGAGGACTACGCCATAAATTATAATTACATAGATGAGATGATTGAGGACCATGCAAGTGTAATACTTAAATGTATTACTCTGTCGAATCAAGTATTCAACAAAAACAAAATCAGGAACTGACCATCATCTGCACCTGATGCCCACATCGTGACGGAAAATTCTCCTTCCAATGTTCGTATTTGCACTTGTTTGGGTTCCCAGCGTTTTGTTTTGTTGTGTGAAGTGGGTGGAGCCGAGCCCGCAGCCGCAATAGTGAGCGTGGTTCCAGGGCCCAGAGGATCGCGAAGCAATTCGCCACCACGACCATGTAGGTGGGGGCGACGTCTGTAAACATAACAAATTATAAGCTTTTCAAGGTTTTAGAATACAATACACTTTAAATGTTAATATTTTTCTACTAGTGATCGAGTGTCAGTGTGTTGAGTTTTTTTATACCTATTGAGAGAATTGTGATAAAGTTTCCGTGTCGGTGTCATTTTTTTGAGATGATGATGATGGTGATTATGATGACGAAAGGCTGTAGCGGATGATGATGAGGAGGACGTAGAGGAAGACGGTCCACCCGGAGGGTCGATGAGAAGTTCAGAGTCGACAAGATCCATATTTGGATCATCATATCCCACAATTTCCTCCTGAGCTTGGAGAAGAACTTCGTCATCAGAAACAAGGGCTCCCATATCCTCCTCTTCGATGTGAATAGAGTGTTGTTGCTGTTCTTCCTCGTCTTCGTCGTCCTGATCTTCATCTTCTTCCTCTTCGTCGATTTCTTCTTCCTCTTCATCTTCATCCTCAAACGCTTCCGACTCAATTTCAACCTCTTCCATTTGTGGTTGGATTTCAACCTCAGTGATCACTTCAGAACCAAGGTCCATCATGTCACGAAAAACCAGAAGCGCCACGATGATACGAGGGACGCGGAACGGCCAGCGCAGCGCTCAGTTGAGAAAGATTGGGCACGTTTTATTTTTTTATAGATAAACAGGACTCGAGAATACTAAGAAATAAAGTTGGATTTTTTTTGTCAACCAACTGCCAAAAACGGTTGAAAGGTAGATATAAATTCGTTAAGTGGTACGTCGTCCACGTTTTTGTGACCAAAAAGTTTGAACTTGACGACCTGTGCTGTCTTCCGTGGGGATGATTATTTCTTTTTTGAGCTGACGAGCAGAGGTGGTTGGGATTTGGGTGATGGGACCCTTTCTTTCACTACGACTGCCTGAAGTTGATTGTTGTGAAGGGTAGACTCACTTAATGCATTACTGACTACTATACTAAAAAGTAAGTGTGGATAGCAGTCGTTGTTTGTAGTGTGGAGCGAAACAAACCGGAGTCCAACCAAATCCAGTTGAGCAGGAACGAAGCGAGGAGCAGTTTGGCGGACCCCGGGCGCCATCTTTCCCTTTCCACGAACCTGACGTTTTTTTGAGAATAAATAAAGAAACCAAAGTCAGCAATTCATGACAATAACATAATTAGGCGCCGTCCATAAATTACGTAACGCAAGAGGGGGGGAGGGGGGGTCTAAGGCTCCAATGATATCGTGCCTATGTTACACATGTTAAAGGGGGGGAGGGGGGTCTAGAAAATCGCGATTTTTGCGTTACGTAATTTATGGACGGCCCCTTATGCTATTATCAATTTGAGATAATCCTTACGATGCAATGACCAGATAAAATGCTTCTCGTCCATAGATTATAGATGTACATGGAGTAATTTCGTGATTTGTATTAATAAATGTAACATACTACTAGTACCTCAATAATCTAGGCGTCCGTACCGCACCGTTATTATTTACCTACCCATCATTTCATATTGTTGACAATTCTTTTCTAAAGTTACGGATCAGTTTAGTAAATGAGCATACTTTAATGATTTGCAAAACGGCTTAAGATTACTTAAGAATGACTGGATACTTGAATGTCAACATCTCGCATGCATGTGACCTGTACGTATGCCATTTATTATCAGCCCCAACTGTGTCGTGTTACTGACCTAAACATCATTAGCTGACAAGTTATGCCAACTACATGGTCAAAAAGTGGGCCGGATATGGGGAACAAGAGACGCTGACCATTCAGGCGACTTGCGATGAGAGGACCTCCCCCTTCCAACTCGACCTTGGGAATACGACCACCGCCATCGACTTCAAGGGTCGCTCCACTACGATTTTGATTGATGGGGGCTCTCTTAATTAATGCTGTTTATTGAAATCCATTCCCCGTAGTATATTCATGCAAGTCGGAGCAAGGACAAGCAAACAAACCTCGTCTCACTGACGTTATTTTTATTGGCGAGTTGAGAGCAGCTCAACCAACTGCATGTGTACTCTGTGTGTATATGTGTACTGTATTTCTCAAGTTTATTAGTTGGAGGACTCCACTACTGACTTGAGAGATCAGTGTGTGTGGCCAGCTGAGGTGACAAAGAACCACACCCACCCATCTACTAAACCAACCACTACTACTGCAACACTACTACACATTATTATACTACTATTTATAACAATCCAATCATCCCGATAGGAATAGGAAGAATGGTGATAAACCCCTCCTCACCCTTCTCGTTTGTTTGTTTTGGAACATTTTCGTCGTCGTCGTCGTCGTCGTCGTCGCCATTAATATGTCTTTGTGGTGGTGGTGGTGGAAGTAATAATAGTAGCAGCAGCAGTGGGTCGTCAGCCCTTCTACTGCACCAGACGGAGGAGATTGGACGGAGACCACCCTTACCTTAACCTACCCCCTCTTTAATATCTTCTGCCTACCTGTCCAACCATCTCCACCTCGTAACTACCAAGTTATTGCTGCCTCCTCCTCCACAATGTTCCCTGCCGCGTCCACCGCCGACCTCCTGTCCCATTCCAGCCTGGACTTGCATAACCTTTCCTTCTCATCCACTGCTGGGGACTCCCGTTGGCGTGGTCTTTTCATCCCCGGCCTCCGCCGCGTCCTCGCACAAACCTCGACGGCCATGAAAGCCAAGGATGACGCGCTCGAGTATGTTGAGCGCCTTCTCCTCCAACTCCTGGGCATGATTTGCTCCCGACCTTATCCCCACAAATTGAACGACGTGCAGGACAGAGTAAAGAAAATATTCCCCCATCCTGTGGACGAGTGGGCGATGGAAGAAGCGCAGAAAACCGTGGATCGGAGTAAGCAAAATCACGGTGGAAACAAAAAGGCCACTAACACTGGTGGAAATAGTGGTCACAGTGGCAAGAACTCGTTGACCTCCTCGTCTTCGACTTTGGACGTGGGAGCGTGGCCGGGTTGTGGGATCGTCTTCCCAATGGATAAGATTCACCCTCTCTTGAAGGAAGCAACCATGGCGTCCAAGCTGGACCACAGCATATCGCTCTACATTGCGGCAGTGCTGGAGTACATTGCGGCAGACGTGCTCCACTTGGTTGGAAATTATGTTAAACACTCGAGAAGGGGAGAGTTTTCGATGCAGGACATTAAGGCTGCCGTGTGTTGTGATAAAGTTCTGTGTGATCTTTTCAAGTTAGGAGATAGTTTGAGTGGGGGTGCGACCGAGGAGGAGACCATTCCTACCAGCTCACTCACCTACAACGAAGCAAGCAACCCATAAACCTAATAATTATTACTAAAGTATATTACGACTTTAGTGCATTACGTCCATTATTTTTATATAATATTTTGTTCGCAGGTCGTGGAAGACCTTCTTCAGTCAGAACGACAATATTTGAGGGACCTCCAAATGCTGATCAAAGTATTTAGGGAACAACTAGCGGATAAGTTAGAAAAGGAGAACGAGGTATATGATGATAACCATCATAAGTACTTATTAAACAACGAATTAAACAATGAATTGAATTACGTGTCAGAACCTGGAGCTCGTATTCCAGTCCATTGAGGACATTACGGAGCTAAGTTTGACGCTCGTGTCGCAAGGTAAATTTCAATCAATTTATTCCATCTTCGATTTTCATATACTAAAAACCACACTAAATTTAATTTCCCTGAACTACAATCTCGTTTTTACAATCTCAGTGGAGGATACAATCGAGATGACTGAGCCCCATCAAGTGCCACCCGTTGGGAACTGTTTTCTAGAACTCGCAGAAAATTTGGATTTTGACGTGTACGACCGCTACGCCGAGACCTACGATGAAGACTGTCGTCGAATGTTGGAGGTTACTTATTATTTATTAACCCAAAAGAATGTAATATTTTACCATTGCATTTGACTTGTAGGAGCTGCTGAGCCGGCCGGACGTGGAAAAGAGGGTGTCTACGGCAGGGCGAGGCTATGTGGATGCCGTCAAGTTCTACTTCCCCAAACTCCTCCTCGAACCTTTCCACCACTGTACTCAATACTTTGACTTGATTAAGGTTTTGACGCCATTAATATATATATATATTTGTACATAATGTTCATTGGCCACATATTCTTTAAATTGTCCAGCTGAAAAGACTATATATGCAATATTTGACTTGCAGCTATTGTACGGCCTCTCCCCGTCTGAGAAGGATAAGACTGATTTGCTCCAAACGGACAGCATTCTAACCCCTCTCCAGTCCTCCATGGCCAACTTGAACATTCCAAAAAAACCTGGACTTCCTGGGTATGACATATATGCTTCTCTTCTTGACCACACTCTTCTTGTTACCTTACACACTTTAAGAAAGGAGTTTGACTTTCATTCTTTTTGTAGTGACATGACGATACGCACCTCTGGGAAAGGAAATAAGCAGTTCGCTCATCAAAAAGTGGCTGAGCTCAAGAAACTCGTGGAAGGGTTTGTGGATTCGATGGGGCTCGGCTACTTTAACGAATTCTTTTGTGGTGAGGAGGCGATAACCTGGTTGTTGTAACCCCATGAAATCATGTATACATTCGTTCTCCTTTTGTTGTTGTTGTTGTACAGAGGGCGAACTGCTCAAAATAAGTTCTGGTCGAAGAGCCTCCGAACGTTACGCCTTCCTCTTTGATGGCTGCATTTTCCTGTGCAAACCCAACCCACGGAGTCGAGCCACGATGGTGACGGGTGGTGGGGGTGGTCACTTTGATCTCCGCCTGAAAGAAGCGTTCTATCTGTCCAGAGTGGAAGTCCACGATAAGGAGGATGGGGACGAGTGGAAAAACCTGTTTGAAGTGGCACCACGTGACCAACAACCCATCCTACTTTCTTGTCGGACGCATGACGAAAAGAGGAATTGGATGGCCATTCTTGTCATGCTGACAACTAAAAGGTACCATAAAAATATTCACTCGTATTTACTCTCCATTTATTATGGATTATATGCTAGTAATTCCAATTTGGAGCTCTGGGTTCTATATTTTTTTGTCTTTTTAATATTATATTAGCATGTTGGATCGACTCTTGGACCGAATTTTATCGGACGAGGAGAAGAAACATCCCCTCAAATTGCCACCCTCTGATAAATATCGTTTTGCTGTCCCAGACTCTGAGAAAAATATCGTGTTTGATAAGGATAACGGAAATCATTTCATCATCAAGGTGAACAATTATTGGACTTTTAAGTAAAGAAATTGACGAAACATTGTGACATGTATTTTGACATTGTTTTGCTCTTCAGGGTGCCACACTCCTCAAGTTGGTAGAACGGTTGACCCATCATCAATACTCTGACCCCAGCTTTGTCAACACCTTCCTCACCACGTACCGCAGCTTCTGTTCACCTCATGAATTTCTAGAACTACTTATCGAGCGGTTCAACATTCCTGATCCTCAAGTTCCTCCACAAGATGCAGAGTCAATCCATGCACGAGAGATGCTGAAGAGATTTCGAAAAGAGTACTCGAGGCATATCCAACTCAGGTACACTGTTGTTACCCAACAAATTTTGTTAGTTCATTGCCAATGTTGATGACTGGATCATAAATTGGATGGTCATGTACCATTAATATAAATGAATTAACTCGAATGCAGGGTGCTCAACGTAATTAAGCAATGGGTAATGCACCATTTTTATGACTTTGAGCGCGACCCGACCCTGCAGAGTGCTCTGGAAGCCTTTCTTGAGACGGCGGATGAGGGAAGGGGCAAGAACTGCATTTTTGAATCTGTCAGGAGATGCCTAAGAAAAGCTGTGAGTTTACATTTACACGCACAAACAAAACTAATTTAGATTAGTTTCAACCCGGCGTTAGGGGACAGTCAATAAATTACGTAACGCGAGAGGTGGTAGGGGGTGGGGGTCTAAGGCTCCAATGATATCGTTCCTATGTTACACATGTTAAAGGGGGGAGAGATCTAGAAAATCGCGATTTTTTGCGTTACGTAATTTATGGACCCCCTTAATAAAAACGACGTATTCAAAAATAAGCATGCTCCTCTTTTCAGGTGGAGAGTGTCAACTCTGAATGTGACCGAAATCTATCGGCCGTAAAGTCACCCCCACCCATCGAGTACCATATTCGATGTCCCGTTAGCGAGTGGAATATTTTGACGGTATGTAAATAGAGGTGGATCAGAATACTTTGGATTATTAATTGGTTAATTAATTAATTAACTCGCTAGTTTCACCCAATTGAGCTCGCCAGACAATTATCTCTTCTCGAATTTGACTATTACCGGGTCGTCAAGCCGTCAGAGTTGGTGGGCTCTGTGTGGACCAAGAAGAACAAGGAACAACAGAGTCCAAATCTCTTAAAAATGATCAAACATACGACCAGCGTAACTCGATGGTTTGAAAAAACGATCGTCGACACGGAAAATATTGATGAGAGGGTCGCTGTCGTGTCCCGGATTCTTGAAGTGATGATTGTGATGATGCAAGAACTTAACAACTTTAATGGTGTCCTAGCCGTTGTGAGTGCCATGGGTTCGGCTTCCGTACACAGACTCAGCTTCACATTCCAGGTAACCACCACGGCAGATATGTAATAAGGTGTCAATGCTTAAAAAACGATCATTTTTTAACGTCTAATTTTTCTTGTATGATGCAGTCAGTTTCAGCAAGATTGTTGAAAGCTCTAGAGGATGCCCAAGGTAAATGTAAATTTTTATTTGTTGTGGTTTGATCTGTTCAGTTCAAAAATGTATTTCGTGTAATCTCGGCAACTTTATATTTTGACTTGACTTTTAACTTTATATTTTCTCAACAGAACTGCAGAACGATCATTACAAAAAGTACCAGGAGCGTCTACGTTCGATCAATCCACCCTGTGTTCCTTTTTTTGGTACGACTCCCAAATAATATATGCATAGACTTTTGGCTTGACTCTAGTGAATAATTCTGACTGTAGGAATGTACCTGACCAACATATTGCACATTGAGGAAGGTAATCTTGATTTTCTCCCAAATTCACCGGAACTCATAAATTTTGGGAAGAGAAGGAAAGTTGCCGAGATCACAAGTGAGATTCGCCAATTCCAGTACTCTCACTACTGTCACTCTGTAGAGCCAAAAATACGTGAATACATCGAACGGCTCCAACCTTTCCCTCCGGACTTTTCCGAATATGAAATTGCAAACTATCTCTACGAAAAGTCATTGGAAATTGAACCAAGAGGAGCCAAAGGGCCGCCCAAATTTGTAAGATTTCAAAAAGACGATCACAAAAGCAAAGACCAAAAGTACACAAATCTATTAAGCTTAATTACTTTTCATCTGTCTTGTTTATAGCCTCGGAAATGGCCAGATTTGCCATTAAAGTCTCCAGGAATCAAGAGAAATGGGAGAATTGGAAGTAAGATTTTGATTGTTGTGTCGATTGAGAGCAACATGTTTTGCTCTCATTATTCAACGTAGCATAATTTAATTTTCTTCTGTTACTAGTGCACCATCCTGGACCTCTTCACCTTCCATTTTCCAGCCTATCACAAAATTCCCTCGTCTCACTTGCTTCCAGCCGCACGCTAAATTTCACCCCAGACTCGTCCGACCCACTCCTCGAGTCTGCCCAGCCACAAGCACAACGAACGCCTAAAACGCCATCATCCGTCCCATCAACCTCGTCACCCCAGGACAACTATGGCGACTTTTCTATATTTGCTCCAGTTCTCATTGGATCAGGTAAGCCGTTTGAGTTGCTTATCGTAAGCAGTCATGTACATCATAGTTCTTCCAATTTACATATTTAAATCTTTCTGTTTTCATTCTTTCCTTCCCTGCAGTGCCACATCCCCAAATGTCATCTTCCTATCCAGCCCCACCTCCAGTGCCACCCAGACCGGCTCGAAATCGACAAGAGTCCACGGGGGATACTGCTAGTATTTCGCCGGCAAGAGTGTCTCAAATTCTGACACCCATAACAACCCCTCACGTACCAAGTACTGCGACCAATGCCGACAGTTTAGAGATGCCACCTCCGTTACCACCGAGAAAAGTGTCTCCACGCACTCCCAACCCACCTATTCCGAGGAGAAATTCCGCCGCAACGAACTCCGAGTTGAGTCCGCTACATGTCAACCACCCACTCCCACTGCCTCCTCCACATTCTCCAAACAGAAGACTGATTGCCAATGGACCCCAGTCACAATCGCCGAGCACAGGAGGTGAGCGACTCAATTAACTCTTTACAATGCGCATATTCTATAATATTGATGATCATACGAGTCTAATTTCACTTAATTTAATCTGTGTGTTTAGCTGGAGGACTAACTAGTTGCGCTTCAGAGCATAATACGACTAATAATTCACGTTTCCACTTTTCTCCTGCTGGCAATAATGGTAGTGGCGGTGGACCCTGTTCACCTGGCAGCAGACCCGCTCCCCTCCTGCCCACAAGCCCACCCAAACTTCCTCCGAAAGCGAGTAAACCTATTCACAATCCATAAAGGCAGATCAGTCGGTACTCCCGCATTACCACCGGATGACACTGCCCGTGTGCCACCCGTTCCACCCTTATTTGAACTGGCTGAGAAGAGGCTAAATACAACTACTCAGAAACTAAGCAATATTATGACGCTAACTTTCCTCCACCCACCCACCCTAACATGTGAAGCAAGAAGGTCATACATTCATGATGAGTGCGTACCGCATACGACGATGTTTCGTGTACCCTTTCCTCGTTGATTATTGACTAGTGTATTTAAGAAGAGGAAGAAACATTTTCAACAGAACATAATATTATTATATGAATGGTAATATTATTAGTATTAGTATTATTATGACGAGTCTAAAACTATACATACAATCATGATCAAGTCAACATTGTTAAGATGGGAATGAAAGAGAACGAATAAAATGAATGCATGCGCATCGAATGCACAAAAGTTGAGAACCGACATTCAATGAACAAACTTTGCCTTTATTTTCGTTTCTTCTTATTTGTCCGTGTGTATCGTAATAACAATTATCAATCAGTAATCATAAAAGTCCGTCTTTTTTGGGAGAGGTTTACACTTAATCATACATATATATCACTCTTAATTCCCATTTATATCAATTAGTAGTATAATCATCAAAGTCACACTCAACATGTTTTATTAGTTCTGCCGCAGCTCAAACCTTATCATGCATTGTAGTTTGTATGAATGTAAATACCCTTCTCGCATAATAGTCCTCAGTTAATTGTCGTAATAGCGCCTGCAGTCGCTGGCCATTTTAAAATCTTAGAAAAGAGAGGCGCAAAAAAAGCTTTGTCACTTTTTGTTCACGCCGCGAGTATTTGCATTACTTTTATCCGTCTTCCTACAACGCGTGTTCTCGTGGACGAAAGAAAGTGCATCTTAGTTCCTATAAATTGTTGGCTGCTCCGCATACACGTATTTTATCGTACAAATATGAAGAGTGAGTAAAGCCCCATGTTTGCATAAGTAGCAGTGGGGCGAGTAGTGGAGGAGGAGGAGGAGTATCATTTACTGCGAATAAATAGCTCCTAAAATTTTATGTAATATCCTTCCTGACCGCCCTCCTCCCGGCTTGCACCAAGTTTCGTAGAACCGACCAGGTCGTCTCACTTGGCGTCAGATCATCAACGTCTTCATGACTGGGGTATTCCTTAGCCTAAAAGCAGTGGCAGGTGAGATTATGGGGCGACTACTGACTAGATGGATCCAGGTGTGGCACTTGATACAGTTATTGGAACAAGTCGCGTAAATAAAATTAAAATACTTTCTATTCAACACAAAATAATGCATCTGCCTCCACGTGACAAAATAATAGGATTTTGAATAATAGTAATAATTCTGACTCAATCGATACAAGTGTTCACATAAATTAAATAATATTTAGATAATAACGACCGTACGTAATAATCTGCTTGGAAATGATAATGTGATGGTGGTTTTATCGGTTGCTTGGTGTTTAGAGGGGCCGACGTGATGGGGGAGGTGACGAATTAGAGGCAGCAATACAATACAGCGCATCGCGTAGCTCCCAACAAATATCTTCGCTCCAATGAGAACAAGGACCGTATAGGACGTACATAGTTAAAAGCGGGGCCTGGGGTGGGACACAACCTCACTCAACAACAACAATCGTATATCAATCAGTGTACAGGGTTGGTTTTCTTCACAAGTCTTAATAACTTTATTATTATTTAGTCTTTTCCATCCGATGGGTCTGAGCTTCGGTAACGTCGTATTCTGCAAACAATACAAGTACTTATGCGGATAATAATATATGACGGGTATGTATGTATGTATATGGTCTGGTGTTCTAAAATTGGGTGAATGGTGGGGGGTGCGTACCTAGTTTGAAGTTCCGGGTGGTGTGGGTGACCTGGGGGAGGTGTGGGAGGGGCCGGGTCGTTGCTGCTCGATGAGGAATCTTCCTTTACGCCACCAGATGGGCTCGGCCTGTCGCCCAACAACACGGTCGGTACGCCCCGCTCGCGATCATCACTGCAATAAGATGAGTTTGTGAGAAGTGAGAAGGGTTTGCCAAATTGGGGGTTTTTAGTTTCGTTTGGACTTACATGGCAGCCTCGTCGAGGAGTGGGGCGCACCTGATCCCACCGCCACCAAGACTACCGCCCGAGTCACTCTCGTTGGAAGTGCCAGAGCTGCAAAATACAACACAAAAGATTACTCCCTCAAGCTGCTACCTTTATGTTATTGCCCTGCAGTTCTCCTAGATAATAGTGCAGTGTGTATATTCAGGCTTATTTGCACCAACGGAATTTGATAATGACAACTAGGCATCATTAGCAACTTGGCATTCGCACGTTTGTTTCGAGCACGATAATTTCTGTACAATTTCTACTACCTGCCGGCAAAATGGCGTCTTCTTCTCTGAAATCTGAGACCTAGTTCGGCGATCGAAGTGGCATATTTTTCACTAGCTTCCCTCCTTCGCCTCAGTCCAGGTGTGCAGCCACCCAGGGCGAGGCTCGTGTGGGCTGGCGACAGCGCCACTGGAGCATCACCGCCAAGCTCAATCTAGAATAAGTGAAATCAGTAACTTGGTCGCCAATTTGAAATCGCCATTCTCGTCTCAAATCGCGATCGAATCAGCGTTGCCTCACCTCGAATGCGTTCTTATTGAGAGGTATTTGCATATTGCCGTTGATGACGTCGTGCTCGTGGTCGTGTAGCGTGGGTGGTGGTGGTTGGGTTGAGAGTTCCTCTGGCCCTGCCCCCACTGTGGCATCGAAATAGACTGAGGCGTCCTCTGGATTGTTGGCCGTGGCGAAGAGAGCTGCCTCCGTCATCTGGTCCACCTTGGGCGTCTGAAAGTCTTCTTCCTCTCCCGCCCTGCTCGTCGTCGTCGTCGTCGTTTGAAGTGGAGGTGGCTGGGATACATCCTCTCCAACTCCTTCCACCTTGTTCTTGAGTATACTCTTCAACTTGGGCAGGTGTGGGGGCACATTTGTGACTTCACCATCATTCCCAGCCAGGAGTTCCTCTTTCTTGCCTAGGAAATGAAGTGGTGTGCTGCTCATGGCGACAGAACCGCCCCCATCGCCCGAAGGAAGGGGCGACGACACGACGCGGATTTCGAGTCGACCTGCGACCAGTTCCGCGGAAGGGTCGCCACCATTTCCGACTCCATTCTCATTCTCAATCAGCAGACGGTTGAGGGCCTAGAAGTATGGGCAAAGTGAGGAAGGACATTGACATTCAAATGAGAGTTTATGAGGTGCAGCAACTCACCGGCATGCTACGGTAGATGTTTTCCCCGTCCGGCGCGCCCAGGAGGGTGAGGTGTTGTTGCTGTTGGGTATCACAGGGTAACCTTATTACTTGTTTGGAAGCCACGTTGCGAGAAAGGTCCAAGTCGTAGGCGTACTCATCAAAGGCGGCGTGAAGGACGAGAGGTGCTTCCAGACCAGGCCTGCACGTATATAACCACAAAAACAGATAACCCCACTGTCCATTCATTCACCACAAAGACATGTGTTGAGGGGGTAGGACGATCTATGGACTAACCGAATATGTTCCGAGATCTCTGGGTTGCTGTGCACTTTGGGAAGACTTCCGACCAGGGCGGACTCTTCAGTGGACGCTTCCAGGTTGAGATAATTAAGTGAAGAACGCTGTTCACCCCCGCAGACGCCACGCTGCTGCTGCGTTGTTCCTTCCTAAACTCGACATATTTATTTGCAATGTTTAATTTTCATGACATTTTATAGCTCGATGAGTGGGTGGATGTGGTGTGGGAGCGGTGATACTGTTGATACTCACATCAAACCGATGGCGGTGTGTGACTGGCGGTGGGGATGGTATTTTTATCGTGGGTGGAGGTGTGGGGTCATGAGTAACTATCACCACCACGCCCTGCTCATCTGCCTCCTCCGCCTCATCTTCCAGCAACTCACCCAATTTGAACCCCTGCTGGTGCAAAAACACCCGTCACATCCAACAAAAATTATTGAACCTAACCACTCCAAAATTGGTGTCACCAAAAAATGGGAAACACAAAAGACTACGCCATCATTGATGCAGAAGACTGCATCCCTCGGAGGAGGGCAACAAAACATAAAACTTGGTGAATAAAGTGAACGGGGCACACAAAAGGGGGAGCCAAAGCCGTCACGCTCATTTCATGACAAAAAAGCTAGGAGTAGGTCATGTCAGAATTGCAGTTCTATGAACTCTACATATGTACCAACATCCACACCGTATCTGTTCTACATTCAAGAATAATATCTGGTGATGTGAGGATGGATGTCGGTGGTGGCGGAGTCATTGTCTGGATGGATTGCGGAAGTGATTATGTTTCATGGCTTTGTTCCAGCCAGCACAATCAGCAAGTGGGCCAAGGTCAATCGATGCCCTTTTTAAAAACCCTCGACAGTACGGAGTACAAAAACAGGTTCTTTTGGTCTGGTTGCAAAATCCCATGCTTAGTTACAAAATTGCCAGCTGGGTTCTGCGAGGATGGAGAAAGAACAGGGCAGCATGTACACACGGCCAAAAGAACAACCAACAGGACATCACCCCAACAACCACACACGCCACGACACAAACAAAGACGTCATTATTCACTGTATACCTGACCGCCCAACACCCCTTTCGTCACGTTGTGCTCAGGACTGGCCAGTTGCTCTGCGGCTCTCCACTCGTTGTCCGTCTGGTCGTCCCCATCGTCGAACTGGGACTTCCACTGGGAGGCCATCGTCAAGAGGCCACCCCCGCCGCCGCCTCGCGTAATCTGCCCATGCGCAGACATCCCTCCATCCTCCATTTCTGCGAACTGGGTAATAGACTGGTCCCCTCCAGCCACGCTCTTCCCGCCGCCGTAGTGCGAGGACGAGTGGGGGTGGCTGAAGGGTCGCGACCCACGACCAGACCGGGATCTGCTCAGTCCGTGAGAGGAGCGACGACCGGCAGAAGAGGATGGCGGTGGGTTAAGAGATGACTCCTTCCCCGTCGTGGGAGGAGTGGTTGGGTGGACTTGAGGGTCGCCGTCTGGGTCGATAGAGCACATGGAGAGACCTTCCCCTCGTCCTAATAAGCAATTTACGTTACTCCTGTAGCTATATAATTATTAATTAACGGGATGACCCACCTTTGGTGTAGTCATAGCCTATTGAGTCATTGCAAGTGAGCTGTGGATCCACCCCACCAATGCTGTCTTCTATTTGAGACCCAAGACGCAGCTTTCCTACGCCAGCCGCCCCGCCACCGCCTTTGTTCGTTACCACTGGAGGTGTGGACCTGGGCCGAACTTTGTTCACCACCCCCGCATCCTGAGAAGGTGGCTTGCTCCCACACAGAGCCACCTGCATTACTCCACCCTCGTCCAGAGCGACGCCTAGTTCAGCCTGGAAACAGAGAGCCGATTGTTATGGGTCATTATTATCATATCACTCGCATGTCCATATCCGCACCTTGTCCTCCTTCTCTCCAAGCCCACCGTCCAGACCTCCACCCGTGGCGTTGTTGAGCAGCTCTGCCTCCTTCTTTTTCCTCTTGGGCGAGTCTCCCACGTTGTTATTGCACATTTGTGGAGGCATCTGCTTGTTTCCTCCGCAAGCTGACCCCTCGCTAAACTGGTTAACGCTGGCCACCGGTAGCGTTCCGGACTGGAGACCAGAACCTCCCACCGAGTCCAGCATGCATGGCTCTCTTCGGCGACGCCGTCTCGCGTCCTGTTCCGCAAGCCTGGCCGCTTCCAAGGCGTTCTTGTTGTCTGGTGGCTCAATGTTCTCCTGGTTGTTGTCCAGACTCGACATGATGATGGCCGTGTCTCCTGCCTCCAACACACCTCTGCAGAAAGAGAGAAAGAAATGAAGGAAAGGGTACATTGGACCAGAAATAAACACTAACTCGTACCCGGTGATGGGTTTAATGACGGGGGGATGGGGTGGGTTGTTGTGGGGCGTGGTGTTGGGGGAGGAAACTTCACTCGCCAGTTTCTCCCAGTCGAATGGGTCCGTCTCCTTCACGCCACGACGCTTCATACAACGCTCAAATACGCCAGCCAACATCTGTAAACAAGACGGAGTCACGATAAATTAGTGATTATTGAACCTGGTCAATTTATTAGTGAGGTAGGGACGCACCGAGTAGTCTGGCTTATCACTGTACTCCAAACTTTGCTGCAAGAAGGAAAAAGTATCTAAGTTGGCAATTTCGATTCGAAAGCTCAAGACGAGCAGCAGATTTATTATTCTTACAATGTGATCGAGAAACTGTTTGAAATCTGAGGGGAGGTGTTTGAGAAGGAGGCGGTGATCGTACTTCTCCTTGATGACGCCCACCTGCTCCTTGTCCTTGATCTTTCGCCACGGCAGCTGACCATTGACAAACTCCACGAGCATATAAAACAGGGACCAGAGGTCGTCATGTCTCCCCATCTCCTTGTTCTTGTGGGCATTGATGGATGCGTAGCGGACCGTGCCGCGGAAGCCCGCAGCTGCGCGAGGGGCTCGAACCTCCCCAGTGGCCGTGGTGTATTGTCGTGCTAGGCCAAAGTCTAGCATGTACACCTTGCGCGAAGTGTGTGGGAGGCGACCCATGGAAAAGTTGGACTAGAAAAAAAGCGAGAGGGACATTCAGCTCAGGTCATCAATCACCCAATCAGTCAACATCATAATGAGAACGCGTGAAAGTATAACAGTGGCAAAAAATGACCCAAAACACAACTAATGACATGAGTGACAACACGTCGGTCGTACGTAGCACGTAATTCGTATCGTGTAAAATTAATACTTGGTTCCACTCGGAGATGTGTGTCAGATGTATCCGAGTTTGGATGACCCATTTCTTGCTTGGCACGAGGCGCACCCAGTCCCTCCTCCTCCTACATGATCCCAATCTCCATCCTCATGATCTCTGACTGGGGGCCAAGTGCACACAAGAACGCCTCATTTGGAAAAATAATATTGGTCGTTCTGACAGACAAATCCTGACATGTGTCACTCCCACCCTACATACGTAATGGCCAACATGACCTCTGAAACATAGTCAGCTTTGTCACTAATTAGCAGCTTCCTTGTTCAACTATAAGATTGAGAGCATTCAAATGTATAGGTTAAGTTCGTATCGTGTGACGAGATGACATTTCATCCACAGAGGAACCAACAAACAAAGGACAACTTTGTCGTCGCAACATTTTGTGTCAAGACCACCCAAATGGGACGATGGAAAGAGGAGTGTCTAGTTACTCGGAAATATTAAGGTGCATAACGTGAAGAAGTTTGATCCGGGCAATATTTTTAAAACTCGGATTGAGTGAAAGTTGTGGTGGTAGGGATTGGAGGTGGGTGGTAAGGTCGCAATTTGTCACCTGTCACGTGGAAAGGGGTCAAACTTCATGTCTATTTGTGACAGCTTGGTTACGAGCGGTCTGTCGACTGTCGTTCTTGTGTCGGTGGTGGTGAGGGATGTGAACTTACGGGTTTGATATCTCTGTGGAGGAAGCCGACTTCGTGGATGGACTCGATGGCCCGGAGGATCTGGTGGCCGAGACGGAGGGAGGTAGAGAGAGAGAAGGCCCCCTGATGTTGACAAAATTGTAATTAATTCATGTTATTCCCGTTAGTTTTACATTTTTATAAAAAAAACAAGAACAAGAACGATGGGTTCTAATATAGGAAACATAAAAACATATTTTGGATACCTACCCTCGGCTGGGCACGCCGCAACTCAGCCAGGTTCCTGCCCTGGAGCTGCATCACCACGTAGTTGAACCGTTCGTTACGGCCACACCCGATGAAGCGACACACGTGCTCCTTTCCTGGAAAAAGAAACAACCTGGCTTATTCAATTTATTTAGGGAAAAATACATAATTCAGATTTAGTTCTCAGTAAAAATACGTAACATGCAGAATTCAGCCACACAGGGCATTCAAAATGGGTCAATGTTTGCCCAGCAAAAAAAAACACCGTTCACGTCGATTTTGTTTCTTTTGGACGCGATGGGATCAACATCAAGACGACGAGAAAAACTATTAGGCCATCCATGTTTAGAAAACGTCTCATAAATCTCACCCCCAGAATTACGGCGAGCAATCATAAACTACTCTTGGTGCTGCTGCCAATACAATAATTATTGAATCCCGGTAGTATTGGACTCGTTTTACGGATGGAGGACATTGGATTGATTTCTAAACGACAGTCCTTGTAGTGTGTATTCTTAGCTTTTTAACCGTTTTTGTTGGGTGCATGGGGGGGAGGAGGAGGGATTTGGCCCGGGTGAACCAACTCAATCAGCAACAAACTTTTTAATCTCTCTATGAACTGGAATTCAATTCACGCGTCGGTTGACAAAAAAATCAGAGCATCTCCTCCGATTGAGTGCGGATGGAAGATGCACATTTTATGGACTCTCATTCTCGTTACTGGCGACTCCTCTTACTATAATTCCACATAAAAAACGAATGCATTCTCATTCCGCACCAATTAACCCCTCATGAATCCATGTTCGATTCGTCCCATGAATGCTGCGAGAGTGCGAGATCTGTGTTACCCTCGTTTCTGCAATATACACAAACATAAAGTGCGGATCTGCAAGAAATCTAAACATTAAACGAGTTTAGAACTGCTCAGGAAAAAATCGGTGGGCAAAAAAAGGTTGCGCATCATGCAACAGTTCACTTTTTCATGCCGTTCTTTTCACTGAGAACGATGGATATTTCCTTCCACCACTCTCACAAGTATACGTTCTAAACATTGGGGAAAATAATATAAGGCGTTGCTAAAAATAGGTGCAAATATCTCAAGTTGACTAATATTAGGAGTCTCGCTCACTCTTTTTTTCTTCCAAGAAGAACAACACCTTGGTCTCGGAGAGCTGCGAGGAAGGGTCTCGCCGCCTGGGTCACTACACCCATCACAAACAGAGATCGGATCGAAGTGGGGTCACAACGTGGTCACGGGGGCAGGTGTGTAAACATCAATCATGCTTCCGGGTCAAGTCTTGTCAGGCAAATCGGGTGGCAAATGATGAGCAAGAGTGCTTTGCCCTACGCCGAAAGAACATATCATCACTTCCCCGAAACCCTGCCAACTGCTGCTCGAGAAGTTTACGACTCCCTTTCAGTAATCAACTGTGCTCAATAGATTGGCAGATTTTGAGATGAGGATGAGACTGGCTTTTAATTTGTGTTTATGGAGTTCCTTCCGAGAAAGGACGCTGGTATTCGCCCTGATCAGTCGCAGTGACAGCTCATTCAACTTCCGGCAGAAGAAGAGTCGGTCAACAACCACAATTTGACGATGCTAATTAATGGGAATGTGAGATTATGAAGCAGAAAGTTTGCTGCTCTCCGCGTGTGGTCCAAAATATGGAGTAAAACACCGCAACCAGCGCCCGATGCAATCAACTGACAAGGCAAAGGCTGCTGGGTGGCGTACTTATCTATATTGTGATAATGATGATAATCATAAAACGCACCTTGGAGCTTTTTAAGGACGGCCACCTCCATCTTGAGCACCTGTTTCGGCTGTTTGGCAGACTCCACCTTGAGGGCGACCTGTTCCTTCGTGACCAGGTCAATCCCCTCGTAAATCTCTCCAAAGCCACCTCCCCCAATCTTCTTTGTCTGCAAAACCATTATTATTCTCAAACCCCATGCATACATTGTGTGTGTGTGAAAAATAGGCGTGTGTTTGGACGTACCACTTTCCATCTCTCTTTGACAATGTGACCAGGTTGGAGGAGGTCCTCGGAGGCCATCGTGATGTGATGGAAGCGACTGTCTCGGACGAAGGTGGCCGGCTGCTGACCTTTCGACGAGTCCTCCTCCTTCTCCTCCGCCCCCTGGTTGCTCGAGGTCTGGTTGTTGTTGTTGACGTCTCGCTTGTCCGGAACAGCTGCGACTAGCACCACCACGACACCGCCTCCCTTGTTGATGATCCGACCACCATTATTGACACTATTGTTGTGGTTGTTGTTGCTGTTGTGAGTGTGACTATTGTTGTTGGAGCAAGGATCGAGCTGTGATTTAACTCCGGCTTCGAAGTCACGCCTAGAAAACAATGCAATTAAAACCGTACAATTAATACTCGTCAGCACTTTTTTCGATGAGAAGTAGCATTGTGCGTGAAAGAAGTTGACATGATGAGATCATCAAGGTCTCCCCTCGATGTGCCTTTTCGAACTGACCTCTGGGAGGTAAAGTGCGGCGAGGGACACTGTGTATGCACAAATCAACAAAATCGGTTCCTGCTCGACGGAAAGTGGAATTAATTATTCATAAATAATAATAATTATTATTTGGAAGATAAAGTGTAATCGTAATAATTTACAATTCGTAATTTTATTTGAACACAAACACTTTGCTCTACATGTTTGTAGTCATGGCGCTATGTTTCTTTACTTTCCTTGCTTTCCTCCCTAAAAGTTAAGTTATCGTGGTGCCTTATTGTAGATGAACCCATCGTGATGTTGTAGTAAATGACCAATAAATAATGGACTTGTTAAAGTCAAGCAACATTTTATGTAGATGCAAGAATTAGCTCATGGCATCACAGGTCACCGGCACAAATATTCGGAATGTTACCGTTGGACAAACTTGACCAATTTATGTGTGCTTTGGCATTTGAAGTTTTTAAGCATCACCATTTTATACATAATTAGCATTGCAAATTTAGATAAAGCCAAATTCAGATAATTGTGCCAAGAAAATGATGCGTGACGGATGATCAATACCTATTAATTATTTGGCTGTAATAATGGGATTGGATTTCCCTGCAGAATCTGCAGATCAGATTCCATAAAAAACCTCGCACAGTATTTCAATATGCACCATGTTTGCCGAGGGAGGCGATGATTTGCTCTACTTAATGGGTGGATCCGGACGAGTATCGAATCACCATCGCATGAGGTGAGGTGACCGGATGCAGGAAGGGGACAAATGTCCCAGGGTTGTTGGACCACGCCCGTTCGTCGTAATGTAATGTGGATCCAGTTTTTTTAGGCAGGTGAATAAATATGACCAACCAATTACCGAGATCCGGACATAATTTTCTGACTCCTGTTCCATTAAGTATAATTTACTGATTATGCTCATCCATGTTATTGGTTATGAGACTGCTTGTCACCATACAGCGTAATATGGGCCACCCCATGAATTCTCATGCACACATACTACCATTTTCAGGCTGGATTGCTGTTGGCATCCTATTTACTACTCTGCTGGCCTTGATGACGAGATGAGCTGAGGTCAGCCTGACCACGAGGATGTTGTGCATGCCAAAGTCGCCAGGACTTATCCTGCTAGGACAAGTCCTGGCAGTGGCAACCTAAATTGGTCAGGATTTCTGAGAATGTGAACAATATGTGTGGCTGGCAATAATGCAGAAGTAGTTTTGCTTTCGATGCTTGATTTATTGATTGGACTATCCATCTCGGGAGCACGTTCATTAGAACCTCTCATGTCCTTACTGGTGGCTGATCTGGAGGAGGTCGAACATGGCACAGAAATCAATGACACAGTGGGTGAAACGCGACGTGGTCACGACAAGGTCAATTTGCATTGCACCGGTGTAATGGGTGCCCATAGACGTAGACTATCTATTACCCGTGGGTGCCTTACGTGGTGCGGGTTCAGAACTAATGGAGGAGTTGTGAATGAATTGAATGTGGTCTTTGCGAGCCAGGCAACAGAGTATCGATCCATTTGGAATTCTATCATCCGAATGAATGGAACAAATGCTGTCCGAGTGAACAGACTTTCACAATCACGGCTTCTCCCTTTCTCTCTCTCGCACTGGTGAGACTGAGATTTGGAAGCGTGTGCATGCATTGTCTCACCGTCTCAACCTGCCTCTCTTCTTCCGTTTACATGAAGTTCTGCCAATTAGCTACACATTTATTTACTGACCAAAATTGTGGCGTGTTGCTGAATACGGACTCCTCCCGAATTCCCATCCTTGTTTTTGTTTTTCTACGGCGGAGAAGAGGTCACACTAATTCACCCCAAACCATCACAACAACAACAAATAATTATTATTGCTTTGTCCACAACTAATATTAGTTGACTACTTTACACAAATCAGAAATCCTTCGAAATATGATTGATCGCTCCGAATAACATTTCACTTTTCGAGCCTCAAAATCTGAGGTATTAAACCGAATATTTAATTCCCGAGTTAAAAATGTACACAAAGGGTGTCGGCGTGGATTACCGGGACAAGCGGTGGTTCTCAAGTAGGTTGGTGGTTGACTGAGTGCAAATGTGAGATTGGAAGGAATATGTATTACGTGGGTCTGTGGTAGTAAACTAGTAAGTAGCAGAAGATTTGGAAGCTCGAGGTCTGGCAGGGAATACAACAACAGAGGCAAAAAGATAGTTGTTGGCACTCGATACCGTTGACGAGAGGATAGGAAAGCAGAACACGATGCGAATCCTCTAGCGTAGCCTCCACCGCATAATTATTCTTGCACATGGCACAAGTCGCTAATAAGTCGCTCCCCACCAAAAACATGTCCCATTCCCAGCAAGAAAGAGGGCATGCTGATCACAGATGGATATGCGAGACGGTGCAAAAATCGGTATTAATCAAAATCTGAAATTGGATACCGGGAAGAAATTGATTTAATTTGATGCAAATGCCTCATTAACGCCGAGGGGCAGTGTAATCGGACAGACATTGCTCGATAACCTCGATAACGTGGGCTTTTTGTTCTTGGCCAGGCTCGTCGTGCTTATTAGTTGGCAAAAGAAAGTGATGCAACCACGTACATATACATGAACTTATGTCGAAAGAGAAGAAGACGATAAGGTATCGATGGCCTTGTTCTGCTGGCGTGAACGCGTAGCGGTTTTTTATCATTGCCATACATCATTGTCGCCTTATCCGCCTTCTGCCAATAATACCCACTCTCACATTCATCAATGGAAGCCTCGGAGTGGTGGTGAAGGAAATAAATGAGAGCTAATTCCGTGCTCAATGTCACATGCCACAGCAGAATGCTAAAAAAGAAACACCACGACAAATCGCTAGGAATTTAAAACTGCTTCCAGTGTCAGCCAGCAATTCCTGAGGTTAATTGTAAGCAATCAACGTGGGGTCAGAAAATTCCGGACAGATGCGATGATTTGTTTTAGCCAAAAGTTTAGCCAGATATGTACCATAGTAAAAAAAATATGGATGGAAAGCAGGAGGAGAGATTAACTTAATTGTGGTTACCTTAATTAACTGCGAAAGTGGTGAGAAGAGTACAGAAGACGACGACGATGGTCAGCGAAAGAAAGTTGTCACTTTATTGAACGCGACCACCTGAGTCACTCCGTCCCACTGCTGATGCCCTCTCTTTGAGGACCCCAACCCATGGCGGTGGGGGCGAGGATGGCGACAACTTTGGCGACGAAAGTGAAGAATGGCTCGGAGAGAGAGAGAGAGAAAGAGAGGAAGGAGGAAAGAGAGGACGGGAGGAAGAGGAAAGTGGAGGAAGAAAGTGCTTGTGTGTGGAGAAAGGAGTGAACTCACAGGCGGATTGTGTACGGATATAGGAGAAGGGAGACCCCTTCCGTCCTATGCTCTCCACCTGCACGTATATAACCCTCCCTGCCCTATAACACAGTCGTCCGCACACGGGCAGATGCTCCAAAGCGTGTGTCGAGCAAGTGGGAGCTCGTTATACATACGGGAGGGTGCTCTCTCTCTGCAATACCCGGATTCGGATCGACCTCTTCCGGATTGGAGAGAAACCCGGGTAGTACAAATATGAACCATAGCTGTCAACAATGCTGCCCGGTTCGTCATAAAGTAATGGACATGCATGCAAAAGCTAAAGTTTCTCACTTTTCATGAGCAAGATCGACGCGTTTGTATGATTTCCAGATCCTAATTTGTAACATGATATTGATGTTACGTGGGATAGCGATTTAACAATTTTTTCCACAGCCGCATTCCAGACGACTTGACGCAGCCACGATAAAAACATCTCTGCCATGCACCCCCCGGAATAAATTCCTCGCTAATTCGCTAGGGTGTTCGTATCATATTTGGCTCAAGCTGTTGGAGCAAACAGGATGACTCCCACAGACCAACACAACCTTCCCGTGAGGCTGCATAATGTAAACTGAGGGCTATCAATTGGCAGCCACCACCCCACCTGCGATATTTATGTCTTAATCTAGACAAATTTAAATCGATTGGATTTGTCATTCCATACACAGTAGATATTCTTTCACATTGTGTCTTCACGTCTACACCTCGGCTCGTGAGTTCTCTACTTGGAATTCGGCAATCTCAAATTCTACCCTCCGCCCTTCACTTGACAAGTAAAACTTTGAACAATCATAACTAAATTGTGTGATATAAATAATCGAGAAAGGTGAAGATGAGAGAGGAGTCCTCGTGGGAACGGTGATGGTCTGGTCACAATACTTGGCTCATCTCAGAAATCATCCTCAGAATGAAAGTGAGATTATTTCTTGTGGAACTTATCAGAGCATGTCAAATCCATTAATCTGCTCATTCTGCTCCTGCCACCACCATGACCAACATCCATCCCACTTTTGCACATAGACTGCAAGTTGCTTTGTAGTGCGGCACATCATTTTTATCATTCTGCATGCAACTTATGCATTCTCACGTATTTACAACACTGCAGCGACAATTTGTTTGCGGGCTGTCAAAATGTCTTCTGATATGTAATGATGATGATGACGGCGACAACGATTATTTAAATTTTCGTATTTTTAGAAAGGACGATTTCGCTTTATCACAATGCATAAATTGTTATGCGCAAAAATGTGTACAGATTTAACATAGTTTTAGCTCACCATTGGTTGCAGGGGTGTTGTTCCTCTTGGGGTTTAATGGAGGCGCTCACCCTCCGGTTCCGAATTCGGAGACGACTCATCCCCTCAATCTCCGCTTTTCACCCCCACTTGTGTCCAGCTAGTTAATGCTGTGATGGGGTCAATCACCACTCCCTCATCTTCTTGCACCCTTGCATTCCTCGACGGTGAGGGGAAATTCTTATTGATTATGCAGCTATATTAACTAAGCACGGTCGGCAGAGAGTCGCAAATTGATCACAAAATTACGAGAACTGTGTTCAAGTCGAGCCCCAAGAGGAGAGTTGTGCACAGTGGCGATATGGTTGGGACTTTGAGACGCTGGCTTTTTTTGTGCTGCTCTCCCATTGTTACCAACCAGCGATTGAATTGTATCAAATCAAACCTAGCCATGCAGCAGCTAGCGTTTCATAACCTCACCTCGTCCCCTGTGCTAAAATAATAAAAATGCTCCATTCTCTCCTCTTATTCTGCTCTATTGTTGCACTTTGATTCAAAAATAAGCCATCTGCATCTCTCAGCTTCCTCTTCGCCCATTGTTCGTTCCCAAACATGTAGACGCGTCAATTTAAAGAATCAAGACGTTTCTGGTTCTGGTACAGTTGAGTTTAAGAAACCTTTCAGGTCACAATAAAATGTGCCACTGCCACCACACACACATGTCACCGCATCCTAATTACTCCCTGACCTAGCTGTCGTCTCAGAGAGCAGGCCTTTAATTGTTTCGTATTCTCTGCACTAATTGGATGCATGCGGTGCATGAGCTAATACTACATAACGCACAAAGTAATTTGACACACAGTTAGTCTCGTTTTTGTGGCATTTATATGTACGGTGTGTAATAGAAAACTTGGGATCATTAAATTGACAAACTTATTGACATTAAACTGTAATTAATATTCCATATTAACCTAATTAGACAACAATTAAGCTACATTATCAAACTGGCCTTCCACGAGGGCTGCACGAAGGCAGGCAAATGATTTGGCACACAGATCTCTCAGAATGGCGACGAGTCCATCCTCCTTCAGCCTTCCATAAGCTTCTTCGCCTACAAAAAGAATCACCGCAATTAAAGTTTATTACAAGCTTATTTATATTCATGACGACTCACTCTTGCAGGGGAAGTGACCAGCCAACTCGCACAGGGCTGGATTGAATCCGTCACTCTCTTTCGAACCTGCAAACATACAGAAGTAGTCCACACTCCGCCGCATAAGTACTGATTATATTGCGTAAGTGCTCTGTGTCATGAAATTAATTGTATGCACGGCCCCCACCGAAACTGGACTCTCTGGCCCAGAGGAAGACTCGGAGGCAGGAGTGATGAGAAGGGGTGGCAGGAGTAGAAGAGGAAGCACTACAAGTTTCGCCCCTGGTGATGAACATGTTGTGGGCCGTGTTGGTGGCGTGAAGGTGCTTCGCCACCGTCATGACTCTCTCCACAAGGGCGGAAAGGTCTTCCACCCGTTCCAGAGTCCATACGAGAGCGGGGGCAGGATAATCGACCAGCTCAAAGCAGAATGAACTTGAGCCGGTGTTTGTGGGCGATTTTAAGGGCCGCAGAGCCTGAAATACAAAATGCACAATGAGTGACCACCAGTCCTAACATGCTAAATATTAGGTAATTAGTCCACACTCACCGCAGTCTCCAAGTAGAGTCGATGTTGCAAGTAGTATGCATGGTAGTGCTCATGATTGACTGAAGCGTAGCCACAGAGGGAGTTGAAACCCACGCGAAAATTGGGGTCACGGCTGAGCAGGGCGAGTTCGAGGGCGAGTCGAAGTCCATCCCGACTCAGGGCTTGAGCCCGATTTTGGGAGCGATGGGGGGTGAGCAGGACATGACCGGTCTCCAGCGGCGATACGTTGATGAGGAGGGAATGGTCGTGAGCCTGGTCGTCCCACCAGGGTCTCAGCTGGAGAAGGACTTCTTGAGGAGCCACTAGGTTGAAGTGAAAACGTGTGGGGTCGAAGGGTTGGGTGAGGGTGGCGATCTGCTCGGGTGGCCGTCGCTTGGACCCTCGATCAGGATTGAGCTTTCCATTCACACGTGGTAATTTTATTCAACAATGAATATTAATGGCTAGGTTAAGTTAGGTTTTAAGAAACTGGATAAAACCTGGAGGATGAAGTTGTAGCGGCCGGGCAGGATGGTGGATGGGATCGGGCTAGGCAGCATGTATCGAAAGTGACCTCGCTCCATCGAGGATTTCCATCGGGACTGAAGGACGTGGTCCAGCAGGTCAAGGTCAATGGGGTTAGAGAGATCGACGCAAAGATGGGATGCGTCGTAGCCAAATTCATGCATCTCATTATCCAGAGCGGTGGAGCTTCCCATTGTTCTCTCGTAGCTGTCAAGGTCAACCACACGATGGTTTTATATGTAGCTGTCAAAAGGAGAGTTGAAGCAGATTAATTCTGGAGGTGACTGTCATTCACACCGCACTTTCTAAAGTTATGTAGAACTACACGAAGGTTGGTTCTTCTTCTTCGAGTGTCAAACTTGTACAAATATTAACAGTTCGGCTATTAAATATTTCACTTAACACCGGTGTGTCCACTATATCCTTGTAAATAATTGCACTGGCTCTCCAAAATATTTACCAGTCAATGGAACACGCTATTTAGACTCTCCCTGGCCACCTTATCACTCTACGTGCTTCATCTGGACAGAATCATATTACGATTGCTTTCAACGTGCACGGTGCATGACTGACCCTGGGTGCTGCTGACCTATTTGATCTGCCATATCATCGTAAATCATCGGAGTCCAAATATCATAACACAACCAGGCTCGAGTGGCACAACAGTGGAAATCTTGTAGTTGGATTGGAACATATTCTGCATTTATTGAGAAAATAGCTCAGAGTACGATTGGGCATTATGGTTGGTGGTGGCAAAATACGGGTGACTGAGGACAGCTTTGGCCAAGTTCCCACGCCCCAAGGGTCCCTTCCCGTGAAACGGTTCACACTAAGCAATGGGACGGGAGGGGAAGTCCAGGTATGCATTTCTAGATGAAAGATACACATCTCATCGTAATGACTACATAGATTGCTCTAACCCCGTAAAGGTGATCAACTATGGGGCAACCATCACGTCGATTAAAGTGCCAGATCGCGACGGTCAGCTTGGAGATGTTGTGATGGGATTCGATAATATTCAGGGTACATATCTAGCACGCATATCCAGCAGATAATTTAACTTGAGCAAGGACTCGTATGGCCCTTGATCATTTAATGGGTTATCCGTTGTATAGGTTATTTGGATGTAAGTAATCGTTATCTTGGAGCCACCATCGGTCGGTTTGGTAACCGAATCAAGGAGGGCAAGTTCACTCTGGAGGACGGTAAGTCCTACAACCTCACCATCAACAATGGGCCCAACCACCTCCACGGAGGACACCAAGGCTTCGATAAGGTCAATATTCAGAACTTTTAGTTGCAATGATAAGCAACGTAAACTTGTGGATTCTAGAGGATGTGGGAAGCTCGAGTTGACGACGACGCCGTGGTGATGAGCTATGTCAGCCAGGACGGGGAAGAAGGCTACCCTGGACATTTGCTTGTCAATGGTTAGTATACATGTACACTGATAATCAATTATTAAGTCACCGCACTTCACCAATATTTAAATGGTATGCATATGTAGGCATTATATTATTTATATACAGTGAGATTCGAGTGGACTCGGTGTCACGAACTTATCATCTCTTATCAAGCCACTACCACGAAACCCACTCCCATTAACCTTACCAACCACTCTTACTTCAACCTAGCCGGACATGTAAATACAGGGCATTACTGCTATTGTTCAATATTGTATCCACATATTTATGTATAACCTGTATAACCCATGGATGTGAAAAATAAAATGCTTAGGGAGCTGGTCCTGGTCTAGAAGGTCACTTTGTCCAACTCAATGCCGACTCCTACACCCCCGTGGATGCCAACCTCATCCCGACTGGTACTTATGCATGTGTTTCGCTAACATCGCTACCACTAATTAGGATAGTTTACTTTAAATCTATCTCTTAATCTCTTTTCAGGAGAAATAAAGTCCGTGGAAGGGACGATGTACGATTTACAGAAACCTGGCCAGAGTTTGGCTGCCCTCCTGAAAAAATTTCCGCCTGGACCAAATGGATACGACAATAATTTCTGCGTCAACAGGGACAGCAAAAAGACAGGCATTCAGTTGGTTGCGTCGTGAGCCGACTATATTTTCTATCCATATATTATATTCTGTGCATCGTGTAATAAAGTGCATTTGTGGGTGGATGTCAGGGTGGAGGAGAGTGGGAGTGGTCGTGGGCTGACGATTCACTCGGATCAACCCGGGATCCAATTTTACACAGCGAACTTCCTTCCGGATGAAGCTGCCCAGGAGGCTGGACTGGTGGGAAAAGGGGGAGCGGTGTACTGGAAACACGGTGCAATGTGCATGGAGACGCAAAACTATCCCGATGCCATTAACCATGTATAACTCTAAGAATAATTCATACTTATCCATGTAAAATCTACAATGTTTGTGTTGTTAATTTGGTACAGCCCAACTTTCCAAATGGAGTCCTCCTTCCGGGAGAGGTGTACAACCATCGAGCCCACTTTAAATTCTTCACCACTGTCAAATCAACATAATTTGATCAATTGCATTTCCTGAAATAAATTCACTAAGCAGTTTAAAAGGTGCATATTGCGATGCGATGGTGGGGGACTAATTTGCATGGTTGCATAAATATTCTCCATACTTTTACTGGTCCATCTAGTCTACCTTTCCCCCAGCACTCGAGGATTTCACCCACAAAAACCTGCCTGCTCCCTTGCTGCCTATGCTGTACATACAGAAACAGAACAAAGTTGCACGTGCACCTCCCGGCTGTAAAGTTCGGCTGTAATTGTTAATTACTACAACATTCAAAGTTTTGAAAATTACGTTTCGGGATGGGCGCAGACGGGGAAGAAGGATTCAGCGGGCATAAACCACATCGCAAACCGCAAAAGGGGAGAAAATCAGAGAAAAAGGGGGGCAAGGACAGGAGTAATAATAATAAATAAATAATATTGTTAAATATAGCGCATTGTTTCTTATTTTGAAAAATGACAACAACAATTGCCAATTTACGTTTACATTGACAATTCACTTTTAATCACAATGTAATTTTGTTTAAATTAAATCGATATTTAATTACAGAGGATGAGAGCTTAGACCCCAAACGTCGGAACCCCAAAGCTTTCGCAATCAACTCGGTGGTGCGTGCGGAGCGAAAATTTCGTCGTGCTCAGGATCATGAGACAAAAAAGGAGCGCGTGCCCCTCGTGGATAGGTCCCCTGTGCAAGCCCCACCCTTCGTCGTGGCCGTCGTGGGGCCGCCCAAGGTGGGAAAGACCACCCTCCTCACCAACCTCATTCGAAACTACACTCGTCAAAATCTGACCGAGGTCAAAGGACCCGTGACGATCGTGACCGGGAAGAAGAGGAGGCTGACCTTCATAGAATGCAACAATGACATTCATTCCATGATCGACGTGGCTAAGGTCGCCGACCTTACACTTCTTTTGGTCGACGCCTCATTTGGATTCGAAATGGAAGTATTTGAGTTTCTCAATATTTGTCAGGTTGATATATTACTATAAATAAATTGGTATATGATAACAAAATAATGATGCAACGTTGTATTTATTATTTTGTACCTCTTCTTGTACAGGTCCATGGGTTTCCTCAAATCATGGGAGTCCTCACCCACCTTGACCAATTTCGTAACAAGAAAAAGTTGAAAAAGACAAAAAAGACGTTGAAGCACCGCTTTTGGACGGAGGTGTACCCGGGTGCCAAGTTGTTCTATCTCTCGGGTTACTTCCCGATAACGAATACGTACCCCAAGAACGAAGTTCATAATTTAGCCAGATTTATCTCCGTCATGAAGTTTCGACCCACAGTGTGGAGACTGGAGCATTCGTACATTGTGGCGGATCGGATGGAAGACCTCACGTCGGGCGAAGTTGTGAGACAAGATGCCAAGGCGGATCGAAGGATAAGTTTGTATGGCTGGGTTCACGGCACGTTTCTCAAGGAAACCGTCTCTGTCCACATTCCCGGCCTTGGCGACTTCACACCGGATGCAATCACTGCTCTCCCTGACCCTTGTCCTCTCCCCATGAAAGAGAGAGTGCTTCGGAGGTCACTCAACGAGAAGGAGAAGGTCATCTACGCCCCATTCTCGGGGGTGGGTGGGATTGTCTACGACCAGGACGCTGTCTACATTGATCTCGGTGGGAGTCACAGTCATAAAAGGCATGTCAGAGATGAAGAGTGTGGTGTAGGTGCTAGTGGTGGTGGAAATAGTTTTGTTGAAGAACTTCGTGACTTAAAAACCACACTGGACGAAAAAATGGGATCAGCGGGACTCAAGTTTTTTAGTGAGTCGGAAGCCATTACGGGAGCCCAACTAGAAATCGAAGGAGCGGATGAAGAGGTAGGTGACGACCACGAAGAGGATATGAAACAGCAAACAAGTGAAAACGAAGATGAAGAAGACGGTGATAAACAGAAAAAGTTTACGCCTGTTGTAGCCACGGATGGAAGAATTCGTAGGAAAGTTGTGTTTGAGGATGATGATGATGACGACGTGACAAACGTTATTTCCAAAGAGATTGCAAGTCTCAAGAGAACGCAAGAGCAGAATGCAAAGGACAATAAGACACAACGACAACCTTTTGGAGACTGGGGTGATAATAATGAGAATGACGATGAAAAGGATGACGACGATGATGATGATGAAATGGCAGAGGAATCTGAGTCAGACGATGAAGACGTCAAAGTATTTGTGACTAGCGAAAATAAAAAATCAGCTGCACAAAAACAACAACAACCGATGAGAAAACAAGAGTTTGCTGCAGACGAGAGCATTTCTTCCCTCGTGTCCAAAATCAAGTCCAAGCTAAACGATGGTAGTAATAAAAGTTCCGCCTCTAAAGAAAACGGAATCGCCGAGAAGGCGAAAAACAAAGTGACTGGCGGGATGGCCACTGAGCTCCAGGTAGAGTTTGACGACGACGAAGATGACGATTCTGAAAACGATGGAGCGAGTGACGACGCTCTTAGTTTACCTTCCGATGATGACGAAGATGACGAAGAGGAGGAGATGAGCATGGACGAAGATGAAGAGGAGGAGCTGTCCGTGCCGAGCAGAAAGGGTGCACGAGTAGCTGGGTCGGTGGGTAAGTCTTTGTCGAAAGAAAAAGCTCAGCGGTACAGCTTGGCAGAAGAAGCCTTCTACTCCCGCTTCCAAAACCGCTCAATCCAAAAAATGATTTACGACGATGCGGACGACTATCTCAACGTGTCCTCCCGAGCAGACTTTGACCAGGCCAACTGCATACTCCGAGTTGACGTGGACAATAACGCATATTCACAGAATAGGGATGAGAACGACGAGGAAGGAGAGGGAAGCGATCCCATGAAGGATCTCTTCATTGGGGGTGACTATGCGGAAACGGCACAAAACCTGTTGGACCATGACGGAGAAGCGAGCGACGAAGAGGATGTGTTTGGTGACTTTGAAGAGCTGGACGACAAGCTCACTAAATCGGTGGGTGGTGAGAAGAAAAACGAGGAAACTCATGCTAAGCAGAAGGGTGGGCCGGAAAATGAAGAGAATGCGGCCAAGACGAGGGAGGAGATGAAGAAGAAGTTGAAGGAGAAATTTGACATGGACTATGACGACGGGGGTGAGAAGGATGACAAGGCCTTTTATCGAGATTGGAAGGCACAGGTGGAGGAGCAAACCAAGGTGTGTAGAATTATCCTATATAGGATAATCATGTATATACATGATTAATTTGTGGTATACCATAAATGCTTTACTCACTCTTCCACTCTCTAGATAAACCGAACGTTTTTTGGAGACGTGGAAGATGTCAAACTGCTCCAGGACTTGCAGGGACTTCCTCCTGGAACCTACGTTCGCATAGAACTATCCAAGGTTCCGTCCGAATTTGTGACCAATTTTGAACCACAAAGGTGTTGTCCGCTCATCGTGGGTTCCTTGGACTCTCCCAACCAAGAAGCATTGGCCGTGGTGCAGGCACGCGTCAAGAAGCACCGCTGGCACCCAAAGATTCTCAAGACAAGGGATCCCATAATCATGTCCATCGGTTGGAGACGATTCCAAACGATCGCCTTGTACTCTGTGCAGGATCACAACATGAGGAATAGGTTAGTATATAAATACATCAAATTTCAATTCACTGCATACATTTTCCAACCGCGTCAATCTATACCCTGATTATTTCCTAGGCTCATCAAGTATACGCCAGACCATCTCCACTGCATCGCCAACTTTTACGGTCCTATGACTCCACAAGGGACGGGAATCCTGGGTCTGGCGCCATCCTCCTTCTCTGGCTTTCGCATCACCCTCACGGGGACGATCCTGGACATGGATAAGAGTTCCGAGCTGGTCAAGAAGCTGAAGTTGGTGGGAACTCCGTCAAAAATCTTCAAGAAGTCAGCCTTCATCGAGGGCATGTTCTCCTCTCAGTTGGAGGTTGCAAAATTTGTAGGTGCCAAGATCAAAACCGTGTCTGGGATTCGGGGAGTGATCAAAAAAGAGCTAAGAACTCCGTTGGGCTCATTCAGAGCTACGTTTGAGGACAAAATTGTTGAAAGTGGTAAGTCTGCCAGCCTGTATTCTGTCTCAAGAATATATATTTTGATTGTCCAGTTTTAAAGAACATAAATAAATTTATGATTTCTGAATGTCTTCCCTCTTTTTGCGCATAGATATTGTATTTTGTCGGACTTGGGCTCGTGTAGAAGTGTCGAAATTTTTCCTAAATCTCCCAACGCTGATCATATCCCAGCCTCGCGTGATGAAAACGGTTGGGGAGTTGAAGAGGGAGAAGCAGTTGCAGATAGAGCCAAATCCGGATCACCTCTACACTCCCGTCCAGCGCCAAGAGAAGCACTTTAGAGCACTCAAGGTCCCCAAAAGCCTACAAAACAAGTTGCCGTACAAGGAGAAGCCGAAGCTGGGGGCCAAGCTAATTGAGCAAAAGAGAATTGCTGTGATTAAGGACCCACAAGAGAGAGAGGTGCGTCATTTACTCATATTCCTTAGTTTTTTTAGGGGCAGATAAGTTCTACATTAATTGACGTGACTCTCTGTCTGAATAGATGTCCAAGTTTATCAAAACGCTGAAAACGCGGATGAGCGAGAAAGAGGGAAAGGAGAAGGCAGAGAAGGCCAAACGGGCGGCGGAGAGGGAGAAGGTGGTCAAAAAGTTAGAGGAGCGTCACAGTCGGAGGGAGAAGGAGTTGCGCAAAAAAGTGTTTCGAACTCTAGGGCAGATGAGCAAGAAGGAGGAACAGAATGCGAGCAGTCGTGGAGGGGGTGCTTCTCGTGGGAGAGGAGGCAGAGGGGGTCGTGGCGGAAGGAGGCCACACAAACATCAAAGAAACTAGATTATTATTAGATAATATATTAGTTAATTAATTGCTACAATTTTTGTCTCCTGAATATTTTTTATTTATTTGAACACAAACACATGGATAAAATATACAAAAATAAGTATAAAATTAATTGCTGCAAATTATAATACCGGTAGCCGACTACGTTACATATATAAATATGTATTTATTTTATTATAGATTTTATAAATGAATGAATCTTGTTCAAAATAAATGTGCAACCCTGTCCGCTGGCATGGGCACTTATCTTGTCGCAAAAAACCATATATGACTGTGAGATGGTCTGAAAATTTCAGACCGAAATGATCAATACTACGCACAGTAAACAGAGGCAAATCATTTTCAATGTAATTCAGCAAGTGCTAAAGTATTTTTTTATTACATTCAGAAGAGTAGTGCAACTAAATACATGTTGATCATTTGGGGTGATTCATGCGGCTATTAATTAGGTACCTTGATTTAAAAAAATGTACCAACCAACTCATAATATGTAATACTTTCGCAGTCAAGTATCGATCTATCTTTTCCGACGGGAAACGGACCAAACAAAATTCAAAAACAGGCAACTGTCTAACATTGGGAAAGTCATCATACTTCACTAAATTAGCAGGTAACCACACTAAATCGCTGTTACATTTATGTTGAGCAATAAAAAGAGCACAATTCAAGTTATAAATTGTGTTAAAACTAATTATTAAATGAAAGAATACAAAAATGTAATATTTTATAAAAGTATGGTTGAAGTAGTTATTGTGATAATATTGCGTAGCCCATTAAAAGGCGCATTAAATAATTATTCTATGACTATATGACCATTGGAGCCTGCGAGTTGCTCATCTTCTGGTTCCGTGACATTATCCTTGGCAATTTTGTCACCTTTTTTAGGTAAATCGTTGTCACTATTATCAGTATCGTCAATGGTGGCATTACCATCCTCACCATTCTTCTCCTGAGAACTACTTCCCTTGGTCTCTTCCCCGTCATTCGTACTGCCACCACCCCCATCTTCTTCCTCAGTCTCCTTAGTCCTCCCTCCACGTCCACGGTGGCTCTTCCCATGCCCCGCAAGAGCATGGGGGCCCAGAAACGTTTTGTTACAGACGGGACAGGTCAAAATTGGCTTCGGCTTTTTGACCATTGGGGCAGATCTTCGTCTAGTGGGAAGGGGAAGATACAAAGTGGAGGTGCGTCGCCTTTTGGACGGAAGAGCGTCTTCACCTTCCGCGTCAGTTGAATGTGATGCGAGAGACGTCCTTGACTCATTCTAGAGCAATTAAATAATAGTAATTAGGAGAATATCCTAAATCGAGGAGACATTAAATTAATTCCTAAATATGACATTATTACCCTTTCAGTTTTGGACTCATTTTGCTTTTTGTCGTCCTCATTAACCGCATTAGTTTCGCTAACTGGTTCTGATTGACGCGGCTCCGTTTCCTCATCCTCAGTCTCTTTCTTGTTATCAAACTTGTTAGGACTAATTGACGACCCTCCATTGGTCAAGGGCTCCTTCACAACCACTTCAAGTTGCATGTCCTCATTTGGAGAAGTGGATACATTTTTTACTTCAGAGGAAGACGACGACGACTTCTTTCTTCCATGCTTTCCAGGAGTCTGCTTCTTCTTGCTGGAAGAGCTGCTTTCCAAGTCTGTAATCTCTGGAGATGGGGGAGATCCTTTGGGTATCGGGACTGTAACACTCGAGGGCGGTAACCTCGAGGGCGCAAGTACTTTCATACCTTTATTTCCCACTTTATTCTTTGGAGGGACCACCAGCGTATCCTTGGACGATTTAATCAACAGTTCAAAATTTGGAGTTTTCTTTCCCTTATGAAAGGTGGAAATGTGTTGGCTGAAACCATTCTTTCGGGTGAAGTGTCTGGGACAGTAGGGACATTTGGCACATCCTTCGACCACATCATTGTGCATAGCTTGGAGATGTTTCCGCATCCCGTCCAGAGTGAGGAATCCCTTGGGACACATGGTACAGAGGAACGGGCGGGTTTGTGGATGACAGCGAGACTCATGTTGAGATACGCAGACAGAATTGATGTATGTGATAGGACAGTAATTGCATTTCCAGCGACCGTTGGCTACGACAATTGGAGAAAGAAAATCACATTTAATTTATCGAAAGTAACAATTTCCACCATTCCACCAGCTATGCACACAGGAAAGCAGAACATTTTTGAATTCAAGTTTTCCATTATTTTTATGTTAGTTAAACCTAGCTAAATATGCGAGAAAAAATGGCAAAAATCTGTGCTTCATTCATGGTGAATATTCAACGATTTTCAGTTTCAACGAAGCCGTGAAATACAATTGTCGAAGCGAAAATTGTTAAGTATCTACTTAGGATTAGATATTAAGCAGGTGATTATTTAAGGACCATTTCGAACTCTGTAGATAATCTAGTTTTTTATAGAAAAACAAGAAAATGTGAAATTGTCAATTTTTATAATAACACCGCAAGTAAAGTTAGGTTTGACATAAAAATAAGAAAAACTTGAACTAAAAAAATGATCTGCTTTCATGCACATAACGGATGTACTTGTGCTAACGCTCGTAGTACGATACCATTAATAAAAACTTCTTTCAATCAATCAATGTACATATCGGATGGAAATCGTCACGTAAAATTTTATATAAAGTTTCATTCAGGTTTCATTTTGACGCAATAATTATGATTTCTGATTTACCAAGGCGTTTCGGAGACTTTTTCCGGTAGGCTGAATTTGATGTGAAGTGATTAGTCAATTGGAATTTGCCTTTACTGGCAGCTGTAGCAGAACCCGTCGTCTTGATTTTTTTATTCGAGATGGTCAATTTAGGTTTCTGAATTAGACCAAGCTTAAGATTCGCTTTCCCAATCCTATACATCAATACGACACAAAAAATAATTTTGTCGCAATTTAACTAACAATAAGCCAAAGAATTCACAAATCAAAAACTAACTCATAGAGCACTTGACTAACTTTGATTGTCCCAGAGTGACTTCTCCCCTCTTCACAGCCTGACGCATTGATCTAGAGGGACCAGCTTGCCCATCGGCCATCAATTTAATGTTTTCCATCGGCTCCAATTTTGGCATGCCCATACCACTAGTTGGTTTGTTTATGGGAGGTCGTCCAGCTACAATTAAAACAAATGACGGCAATATTACGCGGGTGCTTTGTCACCTATACATTTATTTGCTGATATTTAACATTGACAAATAGATGCTGACGTTTTCTTTTGGGAATGATAGTTCCTAATCCTAGTGAGCCCGGCGTCTGTCTGAGCTGACTAAATCTCTCCTTCGCAGCGCCGGACATGGTCATGGTGGATGGGTTCGTTGGAAACTCATCCGCAACGCTCAACTTAGGGGTGAGATAAGCCAAGGTAGACTCTGGATCGTACACGTCTCCACTCTTGATCTCATTCGCTTTGGCGTGCAAGTCTTTCCATCCTAGATCAAAATTAGCGTAAGGCCTTATTCCTTACAACACAACCCAATAATGATAGACCAATAGGAGATGGCCAGTTTACGTTTATAGATTTGTTGTCTTATCAAATCCATGGGTCCCTTTCGACAGTTTTGCCCAATAGAGTCAACCACGGTGAAGGCGAGGTCATTCCTTACACAGTTGAAACTCTGAAGAATATTTTGAAGTTGTTGGTGAAGTGTGAACATCACAGCCACCTAAGTAATCAAAATATATTGGCAATAAATTAAATATCATAATATGTTGCTATTATGACGTGTGATTATATTTGCACGCTAATTAATCAAGAGTTGCAACTTAGGTTTGTTTGAAAACACCTTTGAATGACATTCTGGACAAAATGGGAGTCCTGCAACTGCGTCATCCTCCGGGATGTTGAGAGCCACATAGAAATCCTTCGTCACTGCAGACTCCCAGGGGATGCAGCTTAAAGTGTAATAGGGGAACTGGTTGTAGCAAACGACGCAAACCAGATGAGGATGAGGTGAGGAGGACGATGGCAGTGTGGGGACATCGTCCTTTATTGTCATGGTGGTTGTGCTGGTTGACGATGAGGTGACGGGTGTTGGCAGCTTCATCGTCACTGATGAGCCCCCGCCGTTGACTTGTCGTTTTTTTACGACTTTCGTGCTAAACCGAAACTTTTTGAGCCGTGGCATGTCACGTAATTCCTAAAGAGCAATTCCCAACAGGAGGTCGGTACGAAGGTATAAATCAATCGGGAAAAGCCCACGTTGTTTTGTTTCCTTATCTTAGCGGTTGGGGGGAATGAATTAATAACTTTAAAAGAGGACGAAATTTGCTGCATGGATGGTCAAATCGAATGAGCGGCTGATGAAGCTCAAGCTGCCGCTTGGACATTCTTTTCTCCTTCTCCCCACTCGTGTCTACTACTCGTGGTGACTAACTGACTACTATGCTTGGTGAGAAAAATGAAAAAATGAGATGTCACGCATGATTACAGATCTAGTTTTTTTTTGTATGCAAATATTCTCAAATCTAAAATTTGACATTACCAACAGATAAATCTTAACGCGTGTTTATTCAATAGTACGTTTTTTTAAATTTCAGCTTGTTGCGTCGTATGAATTAAAGTGAGCCACATGACGTTTCAGGTTTACTAGTCGGCCTTTGTGATCCCCGACTGGGCAGTACTGGGCACACCCACTCGGATACTAAAACCTGTCCTTGGATACCTAACCCCTAGTTTTCACATATCTCCATCGGTCATACAATTCGCAGTTGTGGGCAGTATGATAATCTAAAGAAGCATATTGCGTATCTAAAAATAATATGTGGTGCATCTACTAATTAGATTAGCATAGCATCATCATCATCACAAGACGAGTTTTTGGTAGGTCTTGGTTTCTTTCTCGTCAGTTGTTCAACAACGACTGGCCAGAGTAGACGAAGACGAAAGAACGTGATCCAACGCTCGTCGATCTATTATGAAAAGTAGTCTCGAGTTGTGTGTGTTCATCTCACATTGCACATCCGCTCCTAAATAAATACAATACAGCTCGTGTGACTCTAACAATTTCCAATATCCACCTGATTACTACCAAAATGGAGCAATAGCACTATTGCATATTGTGTGGTGCACATTGTTAAAAATATCGAAAGGGATGATGGATCAAAAAAATACGTCTTGGTTGTTGATGCCGGTCCACGTTGCCCCCAGCTGATAGCATTTGTATCAACAGGTGAGCGAGTACTATTTTTGGTCAGTATCAGTTGCCCTATGTCGTATCCGTTTTTTTGTCATTTGGTCCACTACCAGGAGAAGCTATGTCGAAGCTCATAGATAGTTGAGAGTTGAAGGTATACGTACTTATATTATTAGTAGTAAGTATGGCATTGAAAATTGACATTGACACAGTTAAATGGTAAATAATACTAAACACCGCTGTTATTGTAATCATACGAGCATATTTTATCTGGCACCTTAATAAATTAATAATAATAACTAGGCTCTGGAGTGACAATTAGTGGCAGTTTGACACCCTCCATAGCTTCATATTCCGTCTGGTATTCATTCATGTAGTGTCTAGACCCATGATAAATCTTTGGGTATCTCGCATCAGGCCTTGGTCCATTCAGGGGCTTCGGAAACCTGGGGGACCCCACGGAAAATTGGATTTTCCTACTTTTGCAATGCTGAAAAATGCCCCCTTTCGTTATCACGGTTCCGCAGCCCCTGGGTGCATACTTATTTGGCTGGGTATAGTTTGTCCACAGACTCCGATGTGACTAGGATGAAACGGGGCCACATTGACCTCACCCTTCACCCAGTGGGAGTGAGAGAAACAACGCTGTCCAGCTATCCCACCCATCATTAAGTTGTGTACATACATTTTGTCTCTTGGTTATTATATGACATTATTTATGGCATGCATGACATCAGTCTCATTTGGAGTTGTTTGTTTTGAAGAGCTCGTTCATACGAATGACGACAACGAGGAGACGCATTGTTTGGTGGGTCCGAACCGGATCGTAACAGGAATAATATTATTGTGCTCGAGCGATGATTAAAAAAACAGATTCTCAATTCCATATAATTTATCCACGCATCTCTGTTCCATGGTTGGATCGGTTCAGTGAGGTTGCCGTCGTTAATGGTGAGCTGATGGAAGTTCCATCATGGAACATTGATGGATGTATTTAGTGGAGATGGAGATTGAGTGAGAATGTGTGGAGGCATTCCGAGCAAGTATATGTATATGGTAATGATAAGGTGTTATTGTGTGGAGGAGCTGAGAGTATTATGAATGCACTGGACAAACATATGATAAGTTAGCATGGATAAGCAGCATTCTGGATACACCTCCACGGATGACGACTCCACTCTTTGACAAATTGCACCCATCCCGTTATTATAATCTATAACCTCAACCTACCTACCTCAGAACAAGCGACACTGGGTTTTTCTTGCAAGGAGTAAAAAGTTTACTTATTTTACTGTTCCAGGAAAGCGTAACAGGAAGTGAAAGAGGTTGCGCAAAGGCTGCAGAGTGACCCCAACAATCAAAGCATAAACTTAACCACTCGCTCTTATTGGTACTTGCACATTCATTCCGTCCGACTGACAGCCAAACTTCCCAGAAATTGGCCCCAGTTTTCATAACATTGCCACCTCCACCGAAATGGAGCTAAAAAATACCATGAATATAAAGTACCGCAATGAAGGACTTGTGCTGCTCTGTGGCGTACCACTCTCCTCCCCAACCAAGCCACCGACCGTGCTGCTGGTCAAGTGAAAAGGTGTCGAGATTGAGGCAGGAAAACTTATAGGATACCAAAAATATAGTCGAAACCAACCAAGTGGATCCAGAGGAAATATACAACAAGGGACGAGTTCAAATATATTTAGGTATAAAAAGCATATGCAGTAAAAAAGTATAGGTAGAAAAAGTATATAGGTGACAATAATTATGTTATGCATGACAATACGTATATTATGGATTAGATCATTTTCCTTTTTTACGTCGCAGCCTTTTCCCCTCATCGTCCTCACAATGGAAAGACGACCCCCTGTGAAGATCTCGATCCTGGAGAAGGATGAGAGTGAGGTTTCCCACTGTTGGAAGTATTGTCAGATCTTTTCCTACATTATGGTAATAATTTCCGGTATTGCGACGTCCCTTGCCATGGCCAATGTCCAGGGCATCTTTCACCACGAATGTCTCCTATATGCGGACCTCGCTATCTCCACATCCCCTGAGAACAACTGGACCATCATCATCACGCCACACGCCGCCTCACGTTGGGGCAGCAGCTCTCACTGCGACTTTACCCAGTACTGTCCCGTCGCCTCCGTCATATTCGCTGGCATCTGGGCAACCATTTTTGTCATGTGTGGTCGAGGTGGGGCGTCCAGTCGCAAGTGAGACTCCACCAAGCACTCCAAATGCAAATACATTTATCCATTGGTTGACCACAGAATATACTCATTTTAATGTTTTTGACACTTTCCAGCCTCCCACAACCCTGGAGAATCATCCCACCCGCAATTCTATTCAACTTTATATTTCTAGTCTTGTCCTGTGTCAGCGTAGCCCTCACCGTCGGAGGATTCGCATCATTCTGCGCGTCCGTGACACCACAAATTAATGTCTCGAGGTATGTGCACTCTCTACGTATTTTTATACGTGTCATTTTTGCCAAGGGTGGTTAAATTCCACTGCCAGCCTTCCCATTCATCCTTTTAGTTTATCACTTCTCCGAATACATTTTTTTACGCAGCAGCATCACGTTTAAACTTTTTTATTGTTGGTGTTTGTTTACCGAGAGAGAGAGAGAAAAAAAAATTACAAAAGATTTGCAATAACCATAAATCTGTACTTACCAAGCTATATGTGTATGACAATTAGTGCTCATTGGTTTGGTTGGGTTGGATGGGCGAACTATGGGTACGTGATGAAGTTCAGAATAATAATAATACTTCAGTGGGAATGATGAGTCATGATGAATCCATTATGTACGAGTGTCAAATGTCTGTCTGTGAGAACGAGGTTGCGATTTTGTTGACCGTTATTAAATATCACGGAGATCAAATGTCACCTCACTAAAATAAAGCTCAGTTCTCATAGTTTGCAATCCATTCTATAGTTTTTATGATTTCTCCAGTTGCGAAGACTTGATCGGCTTCTCGTGGGAACGGTATGTTGGAGCCTCAAATTTTTATGACGACGTACTTCTTGCTCAAGTAAGTGAATGGTGTGATTGATTACACAAGAATGCCATCGAAAGTCACAGCAGTAAATACTAAAATTCTCATGATTTTCTCTCTCTTTAGACCGGTGCGTACTTTGTCCTCACCGGATGGATGTTTGGCTTTGTCATTCTCATCATTCGTGTTATCACCCATGCCGATTTTCGAGTCATTGGTCCTGATCGTAAAGCTTCTGCGGAAATCGGGACACCCACGCCAACGGCCGCCTCAAGGACAACTCGTCGGAGTCAAACCGTCTCCATCTCAAGTAGTAGTTCCTCTCCAGGCGGTGCGACAACGTCGAGGGACATGTCGTCATCCCCACCGAAGAGGGAGGATCGCCCCCTCCTCCTTCTCAACAACAATAATAACAACGTTCATACCCCAAAAGGGCTGCCACCCGTTTGACATAAACCATTACACTGGTCGTCCTTCTCACAAGTCACAGTTCAAACTATACCCATTCATTTACATACTTATTTGCCATTCTTTCCGCAATTACTTACTAATTGATGCTGCTAAGATGGTGCAAAATGTACAAGATAATATCCAAGTATTTAATTTCTTCTATAGCTTAATATTTATCATTAGTTTTTTTCTATGCTAAACAGATTTATAATATTTTCAACGACGAGACAATAACACGACTTTGTGCAGTCTACGGAGCTTTAATTATCAACCGTTGAGACTTGCTTTGCTTGATTGTTACACAATCTGTTAAATATTAAATTAAATCTATTAAGTGATTAAGCAAGGAAATGTAAACTGGAGGAAAGGTGATTCTAGTAGAGCTTTAATAATAGAAAAATCAGGAGGTATTACTCTCTGCCTTTAAACAATAATTAATTAACTATCTATCGCTTACGTCAATGCTATTTTATACGATCTCCCATCCATGTCACCCTCCACTCAAGGAGGAAGTAGTATGGAAGAATATGAATAAATAAATACATTTGTGTGTCGTAAGGGTGTGGTTTGAGTGACGATAAGATAACTCGTAACCTGTATGTAAGAAGTCACGACATGAGACATTAGGGATGAGACTGTGCGTGCAGTAAGCATGCACAATCGAATTTGAAGGGGGCCCTTCCTTCCTTCCCATGTTAATTATGTCACGGGAAGGTCACACTAGGTCAAAATTCTCCGAAAACTGATCTCATGCTTGATCAGTATGGCCCCCAACGACAGAAGTTGGATGGATTTTTTGCATGGGCTTTGTTCATTCGGGAGTTGGGGTAATTGGGGACGGGTGCAGGTGGAGGCAGAGGACGAAATGTAAAGTTGGCCACTGATCATCATATAGTTGGCAAATCATTCTCATTCCATTCTTCACAATTATTTATACCAGTCAGGGTTGCGCAATTAGCTCATCATCATCCACACTGCACATCACCAATCACCCAATCGTCAGTCAGCAGGGCACAGTGCAGCACTCTTCTCAGATATCATTTCTTACCACGACCAAAGATACTCGATATTCAGCACAGAATTCAACTTCCCAACTCCTCCGGACTTGGCTGGTATTTAAGGAAGGTAAGTACTTTTGTTGCAACAATAATTGCCCAGTAACAATGTTTCAATTAAATAAATTACGTGGTCTTGAGACTTTTACTCAAGTTTGTATTTAGAGTGATGACATGAAGTAAGATTAAGTATATATAATGTTTTATTGTTTGATTTTTATAGTGTAAAGCATCTGCTGCTACTGGAGGGCAGGGATATTCAAAAGATTTATCAGAAGGAGGGATCAGATACACTTTAAATATATTGGTATATTATTTGCACGATGGACGAGAAATATCAGGCTAACCACAAGAATGATGATGGCAAGGGGAAAAAGCTGTCAATTACTGGCGATGGTGAGGGTCACGCCATTCAAATCGTGTTGGCGGATGAGGAGCACAACTTTGAACTTGACGAGGACGCCCTGGCCAGTGTCCTTCTGCAGGATGACATCAAAGACCTTCCAGTTGCTGTTGTTTCCATTGCGGGAGCTTTTCGGAAGGGAAAATCCTTCATGCTTGACTTCTTTTTAAGATACATGCATGATCGGGTAATTCAATGATTGACGTATTGATGTGTGATAAATTAATCAACTATACTTAATTGTGAATGCTTTTACAGGATAACAAAAACTGGTTGGGCAAGGATGATTCCCCACTTGAAGGATTTTCTTGGCGTGGAGGTGCAGAACGAGACACGACGGGGATTCTATTATGGTCAGAGGTGTTCAAAGTTAGTCTACCTTCCGGGGAAAAGATTGCTGTTCTTTTAATGGATACTCAAGTAAGTGTGATAACATTGATACTTATTACATGTTCATAATTAGTATGTCCCTAAATAAAATATCTTAATTCTTGTTCATCTCTGATTATTGTTAATATATTAGGGCGCATTTGACTCCCAAAGCACAGTAAAGGATTGTGCAACCATATTTGCTCTGAGCACAATGACGAGTTCAGTTCAGCTGTACAACTTGTCTCAAAATATTCAAGAGGACGACCTCCAACACCTCCAGTTATTCACCGAATATGGGAGATTGGCCCTTGAAGATTGTTCTGCTACACCCTTTCAAAAACTTACCTTCCTCGTGAGGGACTGGAGCTATCCGTACGAAGCACCATACGGAGTTGAGGGTGGAAACAAAATTTTGGAGAGGAGACTAGAGGTTTGTAGTTTTGAATGTTTTCATAATAAATCTTTGAATTTATGGACACAATTTTGTGTCGTGGTAGGTGTCGGATAAACAACATCACGAACTTCAATCTTTGAGGAAGCATATAAAATCTTGCTTCCAAGAAATTGGTTGCTTTCTTATGCCTCATCCGGGATTAAAGGTGGCCACAAATCCAAACTTTGATGGGAGGCTTAGTGGTAATTCGATTTATTTTTATCTTTAATTTTTTATTGCTACATAAATTATTAGCATAATATTAAATATATTAATGAAGCCAATCGATTTGTTTATAAATTGCTTTGATTTGGTTTGACGGATGTAGATATTGAGACGGATTTCCGGGCTCAGCTGGCCGAACTTGTCCCTCTCGTTCTTCACCCAAAGAATTTGGTTGTGAAACGTATCGGAGGGAACGAGGTGAAAGCGAAAGAACTTTTGCACTATTTCAAAGCCTATACAGCCATCTACAAGGGCAATGAGCTTCCAGAACCCAAGTCCATGTTGGAGGCAACGGCCGAGGCCAATAACTTGTCCGCCGTCGCGAACGCCAAGGACCTCTACTCCAGTTCAATGGAGGAGATCTGTGGAGGCAATAAGCCCTTCATGTCCACCGCCAGGATTGAGGCCGAGCACGACAGGGTCAAGGGAAAGGCGATGGAGTTATTTGGATCAAGGAGGAAAATGGGTGGGGATGACTTTTCAACTAGATACCGAGACACCCTACTCAAGGTACACGCACGCATAAGCACATCTTGCATCCACCAGTCGTCAATTATTCAAAGCACTATTGATATTCTCCTAATGGATGAAATAAAATTATCAACTCATTCATTTTCTTTATTCTTTTCAGGAAATTGAAGATCTATTTGTTCATTTCCGAGCACAAAATGAGTCCAAAAATATATTCAAGAGTGCCCGAACACCTGCTACACTCTTTACAATTGCAGCTATTTTTTATGTTTTATCCGGAGTTTTTGGACTCTTTGGAATGTACTCGTTCGCAAATATGTTCAACTTAATGATGGGAGTTACTCTGTTGACATTAGGGATTTGGGCATATGTTCGGTAATGTTGACATATGCAAATAATGTATCTACCTGCATAGAAAGGAGCACAATGTTTACCCTTAAATGTTAACACTTTTAGGTACAGCGGCGAAATGCGAGATATCGGAAGTCATATTGATACTGCCGCTTCCGTAGTTTGGGAATATGTAAGTATAACAAAGCTGTTGATGCTTTTATAAATTATAGTAACTTTTCTACATTACAATGGCTATCCGTTCTGTAGGCGTTTAAACCCATATTTGCCCAAGCCGTATCGAAAGGATTTGAGTCGGCCACCCAAGAAATGCTCTCTGAGAATGGAATATTTTCTCCCAAAGTTAAGGCCACCTAACCTCTTGAAGCCAAAACATTCCCCGCCCTCTGACGTTTCGAAACGTCTCAAAATATTATATATACATATAAATATGTAACAATTACTACTACATAATACTACTACCGACCTTCTTGCATGGATGGGGGGTGCCATATGTAAAGTTTTCTCAACAACATGACCACATCCAGCACCGTATTCTTCATTATTTTATCTTCAAAAATTGAACACCGTATTATTCTAATTAACCAGAATCTTGATATTTAATTCTGGCTCGCGTTGTCGTATCATATCGCATGCAGCATCAAACCAAACCAAACCTTGATCGAGATTTATAAGATTTACTGCTAGAATTGTAAATAGAACAACAATATAGTATTCGATTCAACCGGAAGTAGACAAGCAGAAATAATGGTTATCATTATATATTGTACTTAAACGTCCCTCAGGTCTTGGCAACACCGTGTGTGGAAGGACATCTGCCAAAAAAACTCATATGTTAATCGCTCCTACCTTAGCATTATATTTTTGTCTCGTCAATTTAACAGAATAATAACAACACTACCCACTTCATGACTTCATTCAATAAAATTAATAATAATGTAAGCCGTGCCTTGATAAACTATTCTCTACAGAGTTGTGTGTAATTGTACGGGTGGTTTAATTAACGATTAATTATTTAATTATAAATAACATGTCTGTGTGCAATGTATGAAAAAGTTAGTGTGAATTATATTAAGAGCTTGTTATTGTCTGTTGTGTTGGCAGGACATATGTACATACGTAATGGGAATGAACGACGATGGAGGTTTGACATTATTCATTCGGTCTCAGTTACGTGTTTTAATTAATTAGAGCTCATATGTCGTGGTATATATGCTCTGCACACTCTAATAATATATGCCTACACGTATACTTATTTGGTGGTGATGGGTTTCAGAATTTACTAAAAGTGTTTTATGTCTGTGATAATTTACGGATGATGGCAAAAATAACAATAAATACAAAAAGAGACGAATAATATTAAATTGTCGTGTTTCGATCCGCCATTTTTATTTTAATTGTTCTGGCTAATTAAACAATTAAATGATTATTATTATTGTTTGACTAGGCAAACATTTTTCTGAAGGCTGAAGAATACTTTTGATTCAGTTCTACTTCCTTCTTGTGAAGTGAGGTAAGTTTTGAGTCAATCAGCGCGTTCGAAGGGTCCAGTTGTTTAACTTGGTAGAAATCTGAACGTGCTTTTTCGTATTCCTGAATATATGATTGATATCATAAGTTAAGCATGCATATTTATTTAACAAATGTGTACCTGAATCTCTAGAAATGCACATCCTCTCCGATACAGAGCTTTGACATTATGCACATCCCGAAACAAGACTTTATCGCAGAGAGAAATGATTGCATCCCAATTGTTAGAAGAGGAAGAAAAATGGCATCCGGCTAGATTGTTTCGCAGTGTCGTCATCAGTTCATCCTTGTTGCGCAAAAGGACAGGATCTCTACTGTTGTCTTTGTCATCTATCAGTATCAGATACTTGAGAGCTTTGCCAAATTTGAAGAAGGCGTCACGGGGTCGTTTCTGATCAAAGAGTTCAACTCCTTGCAACTTGAGCTGTGTGGATATTCGGAGGAGACTGGATGCAGGGAGAGAGTGAAGCTCGGTGACGGATTCCTCTGCAACCACCGCAAAACAAAATTTGAATCCAATACATATTTAGATTAATGAAAATGTGAAGTGGCAGATACCTTTGATTGAGATTAGAGCAACTTTGATAGTTAAACAGAGTTGTGATTGAGCAGGCTGAATTTGAAACAAGCCAGTTTCTCCAGGAATCATTTTCATCAAGGCCAATTCGACCAGTCGGTCTACTGGAGTGCTGGAGGTGAGTCCAATGACGGCGGAGAGGTGAGTAACCGCTAGGTCAGAGTTAGGGAAATAGCTCGACAAGTGGAATGTGGGGAGGGGTGGTAGTGGGGATTTTGATTCCTGGTCTGCATCCTGTAACTCTTTTATGATCTCCAAAGTGAAGGAAACACTGGTGGCTTCTAATGGCGAACACATGTGAGCAGCAGCTAGTAGACATTCTGATGAAGCAGTAGTATTAGCAAGTTTCGAAATAGTGCCGTCAGGAATTGTTACGGTCCAAAGTAGTTGTGCGGAACCCATATTGTAATTTTTCATGTATATATTAAATATATTATATTTATTATTTAGGAATATATATTTATGAATATATATTTAACATGAATTCGTTGACCGTGTATTTGTACTAGTTTTTCTTGGTGACTTGACTGATCCAGTCCAAATAGGTCTGACTCCCTTGCTGAATCTAATTAATTAATTGTGACATTATTTCGAATATTAATTGTTATCTCATCACACGACAAAAATTATATTCATTCATGGAAATGATTCCTAGATTCACTTACCGGCACAGCAATAACTTCTGGCACGTCGTAAGGATGGTTATCTCTAAAATTGAATGGCAGTAAAAATTACATTAAAATTAAAATTAATAAAATAAATTAAAATTAAATTCAGTTTTTAGTAACGAGTGAGTAATTATAAGAACCTCACTTGACAAACTTCTCCAACTCTGTAAAAAGTGACTCTTGGCTCTTTATCATCTGAAAACAATAAAAGTTAACAAAGCTCGGGACTGGACTCGTCGGTTAAACCGACTCGGTTTCGTTAGATGTGTTTCTCTCTTACCAAAATGAGTTCGGAATCCTCGTTAATTTTTCCTTCCCATTCATATCTGCAATTAAATCAAGCAGTACCTAATTCAGACATCAGTGCAGTCGAGTCAGACAAACAGCTCATGATTATGTGCAATTATATTTTTAGATACTTACACGGATATAACTTGTGGGATAATATTGACACACGCAGCCAACTTGTTACTCACTAACCCACTGAAATCGTGGTACAAAAAGTAATTTGTTAGGTACTACATACACAGATGAGAAAAAGTTCCCTTACGACGCAATCTTCTTGGCCACCTCGATATTTGGAACGGTGACGAATACGGCACGAAAGTGATTCATCTCTCGTAGTGGGGGCGAGGAGGCAGCAGCGACGGTACTCCCACCGGACACAAGGTCTTGGGACAAGAAGCCGCAATCGTTTCCCGAGCACACGAATGCACCAAAAAACAACGCAGTCAGAAATCCAACCAGTAAACAGGCAAGGTAAGATGCTCGAGGAAACATTAACCAACCAACTCAAATATGAACACGCACATTAAAACGTCCGGAAGTATAAAGCGTAAAACTAAGCACTTAATAGCAATTAAACTTGCAATATAAATTATTGTTAAACACAGTTTTCCTGGACAGCTGTGTTGTTGGGTTCGGGGCAGTTTGGGGCAGAGGCGGTTGAGCAGCGGGACGCACCACCTGAACACACGGCCGTTAACTTAACCATCCCCTTTCTTTCGCTCCCCACTTCATTCACACACAAAACACACAACAAAGTGCTTTCGGGAACGGGAAAACCACACCCTTTTTTACACCACAAAATTAAGTGCGTTGCGAATTTTCGCCGTTGTCAAGCCACTCCTCCGCGTGGTTGCGTTTTCAAGAATTTTGTTTGTGTGCATTATAGAACAAGTTGCTGCTGGTGCTATTGCTAATAATTGTCTAAATCTCACTGCCCACATTCATCGGATGTTCCTTGAATAATTAGTATGGAGCCCGGATATTGGACCGACGCCACGTCCGTGGATGGTTTATCTACTTGCTCAGATTTGGATGATCTGACGTCCGTCACAAATAGTAAAGGAACAAACCCTTTGACACCGTCCACAACTTCATCCACACCGGTCAACCCCAAATGTGTGTACGCGTATCCCACAACTGCCTACTGGTTTGGCAAACGGCCTGGTTCAGATTTGTGCAAAGCACTTAAGGTACGGTTTTGTCAAATATAATTTAAATGAAATTTAAATTTAAAGTTTAATTTAAGAATTCATGATTTTAGACTTTGGGAGTTGAATTCGTCGTCGTCGAGAATGAGGAAGATGAGGCCAACTCGATTACGTCCAAAATCGATCCCACTTCGGCCATCCTTATCTTTCAGGACTTTTGCGGACCCTTATTTGAGTCATTAAGGACCAAGAGGTCACCTCGTCTTAGAATTTACGGACCTCCAATCATACTCGAATTGGCGAATATTGCTGCTGCCAGTGCCAGTTTGGAGGGAGCAGGCAAACCTATCTTCCCACTATCACAGACTGGGTATCCCCTGTATTCGAGACTACTCAGAAATTGTAAAATATGTGCGACCGGGATTCGTGCAATGGATGATCTGGTACGTTTTTCTCTACAAACCTCTATAAATTTTGGTAAAGTTCATTCTTAACTTCACCTATGCATCATTTCGCTTGTTTGATTTGACAGATTAACATTCGTCGAAGAGTCTTCTACTTGGACGGGATCTTTTCTGAGCGAGAATGTCCTATGACTCACCTTGTAGCTGGGAGATGTCGAGGAATCAAGTACAGGGACGCGGTCGCTCTGGACAAACCCATTCTCAGGCGTGAGTGGATCGACTTTCTCTGGGAGAATAGAGACAGTTCAGATTTTGACATTCGAAAGGATAAGGGGGGGACACTGGTGAGTGGTGTACCGAGTGTGCTGCTGCTTTACAATATGGTACAAATGAGCAACATAATAACGCCAAATTTTATGTGTCATTGTTTCCTAGGAGCGCTTCAAAGTTCGTGCGTTTTATGGTGCGAGGATAGCTCTGGATGGATTTGAACCTGGGGAAAACGCAGGAATGGTGAAACTCATTGAAGAAAATGAGGGCGTTTACGTAAATTCTAACGATCCCACGACCACTCACATTGTAAGTTGTATACTGATCCTTTGGTTTTGTTTGCATGCTTTGGTTTGTTTTTAATCATCTTAACATAATTGTGCATTAAATGGGGCTTGTTTACAATCTGAATGATTTACTACTACTCTGAAGGGACGAATGACTAAAATGTGTGATGATGCTGAGTTTGTTCGAGTAACTAGCTGTGTGGGTGGGTAATCTTTTCTTTTGTATATGTATCGTGCACAGGTGAAAAATTCAGTAGTGTTGCCGCCAACACGTTTGGGTCTGAGCAATAGCACAAGTCTGTTATCACCAGCAGTGAGAGGAGGTGGAACCAGTGAGGATTTCACCAACAGCAGACTGCCCTCGACCTCGGCGACAAGAATGGATGATCCTGCCAATGCTCAAAGTCCACTAAAAAGAGCCCGCTTCGAGCTTCCTGTACGTCTTCCAGTTTTACTTTCCAGTTTAGACAATTGCAACCTATCTTGCTTGTCTTTGTTTCTTTATTGGGTCAGAAACTGTACGCGCAACCTATTTATTATTAACTCAACTAAAAATTTGGGAAAGTTAAACAACAATGCTTTTTTGTACTAAAACAAGTGGTGCAGCAGTTTGACCCAAGAAGACTTTGATTTCAATGAAACGGTTCTAATTCGATGCTGATCTTATTTTTAGGTAATCAATGACATGAGCGAGACTGACGTTTCCGAGCAGCGAGAATGGGCGGACCGAGCCAAAGTGTTAAAGGCGGAGTGGTTCTGGACATCCATCCAGATTGAAGCCTGTGCCGATGAGAATTTGTATCTTCTTAATCGGGAGTTTAATAGTGACGACACGCTGAACAACAGCGTCGGTACCCCCAACTCGTTCACGAGTCCGGCACTCCACTTTTCAGACACGGACGGTGGTGGGACGCCCGTCTCGCAGAGTTCTTCAGTGCCTCGAAGGAAAAGGAAGCGCCTTATGCGAGAATTTGTGAGGTAGAACCAACAGTAAATTAAGGCGAACAAGGAATGATGAGTAAGCGCGATTATTATGATTTGTTCTTATGCCTGTCTTATTTTAGCTCCTTGGCGCAAGTAGAAAGCCCTCATTGCATTATGGAACTGGATGAGGAGACGGTGGACTTGGACAATTTGGTGAAATCGCCGGAGCAGTCGAACGACAATGTGGACGACACTGAACTTGCCGTTATTTTAAAACGTATCGAGAAAGGGCTCCAGTCTCCTGAGCTGAAAACCAAAATGGAATCTTTTACTGGCAAAGGATTAAAGAGATTAAATGAATTTGCTCACTTAGTGGAAACGGAGAAAAACTATGTCACAATTCTCATGCACATTATCAAGGTAATAAATAGCTGATTCGTTCTATGATTGCTGATACAACCTGTCAGCTAAAAAAATATTTTTGCTGTAGTTGTTTAAAGGACCTTGTGAAGCGAATGATCAAAAGGCCGGCCGAATACTGACACCCCTCGAAATTAAGCACATATTTGGACCAATTCTTCCCATCTATGAACTTCATAAACGAATATTGAGAGATATGTTGCACATTCTGGAAAACTATTCTGACGACAGTTTGATTGGGCAAATTTATGTGAAGAACGTAAGAACGTAACTCTAGGTGTTACAAACATGGGATATCTAAATGTTTCATTTAAACATTTCATGCCATCCATATACATCCATGCTACCCATTCCAAACTCGTGACATAAACATTTAATTTTGTTCCCTACACAGGCTGAAGAATTGCGCAAGTGTTATGAGCCCTTTGTTGGATACTTTGAAACGGTGAAGAATGAGATTATTCGGTGCGAAACCGAAAATCCTCGATTCATGGCTTTCTTGAGGATAGCTCAAGGTGGACATTGACAAATTTTCAACAATATTGCTACGAATTACTTTATGCTTCGTCTAATCGATTTGTTTTTATTTTATTGAACAGCAAAACCACAATGTGGTAAAGAAAAGTTGGTAGAGCTTATAATCCGTCCCGTTCAGCGACTACCATCCACGGCTCTTGTACTCAAAAACTTGGAAAAAAACACGGAAAAGACGAATCCAGATTACGAGTGGATCACCAAAGGTGTTGAAGCAATTGACCGAGTGAATCAAAAAATAAATCAACAGAAAGAGCGTGCCGACTCTAGAGTTGCCATCTTTGACGTATATCACGACATTGAAGGTTAGTAGTAATACTGTACTTGTGATATAGTATAGTAATAACGATTAGGTTATAATTAAATTATAATTAAATGTACAGGTTGCCCCGTCGAACTGATTTCAGACCATAGGACACTTTTGAAGAAATACGACGTAATTGCTCTCCATTACGATGCTAACGTCACTGTCACAGCCAACTACAAGAATGAGCTACTTAGTCTGATCGTATTTTCTGACCACTTCCAAGTTGTGAAACGACGTAACCATCTGGCTTCAGCAAAGAATCATCCCGGCTCAACACTTTCCATCTCTAATCTCCGGAGTCCAGCAATGTCCAGAAAATCTATGAAATTCACTTCTTCCTCGACGGGACAAAAACGATACAAATTTTTAGAGTGGGTTAGCTTCTGTCATGTCAAGAAGGTGGTAAATGTCCATGACTCGTGAGTCTTAGTTTGCTCTTATTTTATAGTAGCCGTCGATTATGGGCATGCAATGCAATCCTCTTGTTTTACAGGGACCCACGAAGTTTTGCCTTTATTGTGAGAGAGCCAGAGGATTTACGAGAACGTGTCCTTCAGTTCAATCTCCCAGAAGATCTTGAGCTGGAAAAGTATCACAAAATGAGCGTTGTGGAATTTTTTGCGAAGCAGGTGGCCCAGTCTGTACAAAGGGTGGATTATGTAAGTGACTCAGTTAGTAGTGTTAGTAGTGGTGATTCGTGGTCATATTGACTCATTAGTTGCTCAATTCCAGGAGCATTTCATCACCACGGTGGATTCTGCAGCTTTAAACAATACGGGAAACTCAAGTGGTGGATTCATTTCTAGGGGAATTAAAAAGGTACTTAGAGTTACATTATGTATGTAACTTACATAATTTTTGGGAAAATAATTTCCGAGATGAGCATTACGGATTTTATTGCGAAAATAAATAGGTGGGACGAGCGCTTAGTCTGAGCAGAACACCAAGTAAGCTAAAGAGGACAATGTCTCAAATCATGCATAGCCCTTTCTCAACGAGGTCCTGTCACAAGGACAAAGATCCAGACTCCGTGTCCCAGTCGGGTAGCGAAAACTCGGCATTTACTCCGATTCGTAATCACTTATCATCCATAAGTTTGGTAATTCCCAATTACAAGAACAATTTATAAAATTGGATACATTTTTGAAACTGCTTATAAATGTTTCACTATTTTTTTGCAGTTTGGAACAAAGCGAGGAACGATGACTAACGATGGTCAGATCACGCCCAAAACAAGAAAGACAATTTTCGACAGCAAGGATTCCAAAAGAATATTCCCTGCTATTGAGGAGACTTGAAAACCTAGTAAACTTATTATTTTATTTTTAGTTGTCATCATCACCCTTGTTTACAAACTACATACTCAAACCTCCGTCGACCTTTCATGCAATGTTATTTTTATTTTGATATGCAGTATTATTTTAGGTAAAAGAAATCTCAGACGGATAATGATGATGTGCTGTGAAGTATTTTATAAGGCCCTTATTCTGTAATGTCTCTTCCGTTCTTATTATTTGTAATTCAGATCCAGAAGATTAAAGTCATGTTGACCTTCTCATTTATTTTATCATGAAAAGAAAAAAAATCTACACATGAAGGCAAACAAATAAGTAAAAGATGGATAATTTGAAGAAAAAAATATTTTAACCCAACTACTCATGCATAAATAGGAATGTTGAGATTGAGTCTGAATAATTATTCTTACACCGACAATCATTGTTTTGTCGTTTCGATAAAAATAGGAATAGTAAACGATGAGCGAACAAATAATTACCTAAAACTCTTGGGAGAAATTGCATACCTGGCTATACAAATACCTCACATTTGTACAGTTATGGTTTGAACGCTTTGTAAGAAGACGAATGCAATTTTATTACTGCAGCTAAACATGTGTACATTTGAGTATTTTTACAATATCAAATAAGCTTAGATTTTATACGTTTTACCCATTTGTAAATGCATTAATTTGTAGATAATGCATAATAATAATGAAATAATAATAAAATATGAAGAGGGATAAGATGAATATTTACAAATAATCATCATAAAACATAAATCATAGAAAATGTAAATAAAAATGCGATCAACATGTGATATTTTTATTCGATTGTGAATAATCATGCAAAGGTTTGTTGGGAATGTCCTTTTCCGATACTATATTTTATTCAGATCTCTTACAAATGGAAACATGTACATATGTACGTACGCTTTAAGTATATATGTCTCTAAAGTAATCAGGGGTACCTTGAATATGCGACTAATCCTAAGTAATACATATGTAATACTGTGGAATCGTCGTGAGACATTAGAGTCTGCACCACGCGTTTACATGATACCGACATTGTTAGTACGGTACATATTATTTTCATTACTCGACCAGCAAGCATTTGCATTTAAAGTTGCAATAACAATATGTAAGACATTGAGAACTGAAATCTATTTTGCAACAACTTACATATAAACTAATGTAGTTAATAATAAGTAATGTATAACGTGTCATCGTTCCTAGCTAAGTCCAGTAACAGTACGTTACATGAGTGACGTTGGTAAGTTATCTATCATTTAATCGGGAATGGCATCGGGTTGTTTCTAAAATAGATTATTATTCCTTCACCGCCGTTGATTCTAAAAATTTTGTTGAACGTGTCCCCTCCTTGCTTGCCAACCTAGGCCGAGATGTAGATTAACGAAGAGAGCAGTGTAGTATGTACGTAATGGCTTCTGTGTGGGGGGAGAGAGTCGAAGTTTGCAGTCCTGCTATTTAGCTCCCTTTTTAAGTGCGCTTGAACTTGGCTGGCAAGGAGAGGAAGTTGACCTTCTTCTTTGCCCCGTTCAAAAAGTCTTTGTACATGTCCGACCTGACAGGAAATTTAAAAAAAATGTTTTATTTATTCCTGGTACTCTGACAAGCAGAAGCAAGTAAGCAAGTAACCTGAACCACTTGTTAATTGCTCAACGTACCGGATGTAGCGGGAGTAGGAGTCGCTCTTCATGAGGTGGTATACGTGGGCCTGGAATAACAATATGTGGTTAGACAACTCTATACACACGCACGTACATAATTCAGTGTATATATATTCGGTCAGTATAATCCTATGGCCAGATATAAAAACACTCTAACAACGCTACACCTTATCAGTATGCATTCCCCTCTGGAAAGTTCGACCGCAAGCGGAGGTATTTAAGCAGCGTTGCTTAAATACCTTGGCATTATTGAACCGAACCTTCGATCGTATACTCTTTATAAACATGTTAATATGTGTGATTACGAGTGCAGTGTCGAAACTCCACCGATCAGCTTGACTCTCTTGAATGTTTTGTCTCGTTTGCTCATACGACTTGGAGTCCACGTTGACCAGACAGGTCGAGTCGGGTGCGAGGAATTCGGCCCAAATCTCTTGGGCCCGTTTGGGCAACTACAATTTGGAAAACAAGGCGTAAAACAAAATCGTTGATTAGTCTCATAACTTATTCATACCTCGCTCATGGGAAGACGCTTCAAGTCTTGAATACTTTCCCAAAATCTGAGCAAACAATATTATTTTATGTAAAAGCTTCAATATGTAACATGTATTTGGCTTTGTATAAAAGTAGGTTGAAAGGCGATACCGGAGATTCTCCCCAGAAAATTCCTTTTCCAAGAATTTTGCAAAGTGGTCCCGACCAACGGGATCTTTTAGCAGTTCCTCCACTGAAAAAGCCCAGCGTCTGACTCGTCGGGCCGGGATGTCCTTCCTGCAAACAGACGGGCATAATACGCAAGCACGATTTAGGAAAAAATAAAATAAAAGAGGAACTTTATTATTATGTTTCTTACGCATTTTTTTCTTGGTCCCAAAAGTCGAGAGCTGCAATAAGTTTCCATTAATAAGATAATTAATAATATCCATGAATTGCACGCCAATTCTACTTACAGTCGGATAGCCATGGATTGGAAGGCTCAGGGGCGATGATGAAGGGGTCGTACTCGGAATACATTTCATAGTAGGCCACGTGTCTGCAGTCATATATCATTATTACGCAATTGTTAATTAAGCACAAGGTATAGCCGTTATTGGTTATGAATACTTACAGGTCGGCCACTTTGGAGATTTTGATGGAATGGCGATCCAACTTGTATTTGAGGGACTTTATCAAAGCTTTGAGCTCATCCACCGTGAGCGTCTTTTCCTTCTGACTTCCGCCCGCCTCTGCACTGCTCCCATGTCGAGGTCGATTCATGCGACACATTTTCTTGATGTCCATCTCTGTTGTATTTACACATCCCGGCTGTGAAAAAAATGACGCGAGTCAGTCAATCAATCAATTAAATACAAATATCCATCTGTATAGCAAAACATCAAGAAATCTTAATTTACCGAAGGTCGATGAACATCCCAAAATGCTCTTTCTTGACTGTCCAACACCTTCCGTTCCAGTTTGTCCCGTTTCTTGTCCACCTTGCTCTGTGCCTCAGCTTGCATGAAAATGAACTCCCACTTTCTAGAAAACATCTTTTGCAAACGGGCTAGATTTTCGGCTTCATAGTCCACCAGCTCGAGACTGGAAAGTGCAAATGAATCAATTAAGTCGCTTTCGCTTGACAATGAAATGCCAATGTTGGCCATGTTGCTCTAGTCAAGTAGTCGAATTAAAATACAGGGTAATTATTATTTCCAGGAGTCTAGGGCGCGTACCGAGTCTTGTTCTGCATTGTCCTCTTGCACAGGTAAACGGCTGTAAGCAAATAAAAGCGAGACATTATTGAACAGCAGGTCGTGTTGTACAATATCGGTGACATTTATAAGCCATAATTTGAATGGTCTCACCGTAGTCCGAGTTTTCCGGCTCCCAATAGTTGCTTGGCCAAAAGTAGGGGGTCTATGTAAAAACACAGGAATATAATTAACATGCAATTCACTTTGTAATTTTTGTGACATCATAGTCTTTTATCTCACCTGAAATCTGTAGAAAGTGGAATCATTTTTGACCCTGGAAATATTATAAATGAATTATGTTTAACTCGTATAACTGAGGAGACATTGCTTAAATCGTGAATTGCAGAGAAAAAATTAAATACTCACGAGAGGATGTGATCCTCAATGGGGAAGATGTAGCCGTGTGCAGCCAGCAAGTGGGCTAAGTGAAGTGCTTCATCTGTAAAAGGGATCCAAAATATGACCAATGATACTTATGTATGATAAGTTGGATGCATATTCAACGTGGGTGGGTGGCACTCACTCTGGTCGTCCACCTCCATATTCTTGAGGATCCAGGTGACGAGGTCCGTCCCCGTGAAGACGGAGGGTATTTTGGTGAGGAAGCTTTTGACGGTGCGGACGGGGACGCCAATGTTCTCCTCCTGCATCCGCTCGATGATCCTCTCCATCTTCCTGTACACGATGTGGTGGGGGGTGTGGTCACGGTTGGGCGGAGGAGCCGAGGACTTGGCTGCCACCTCGGTGGAAGAAGAGTTATTCTGATCCAGGAGGTTGCTGGACGTCATGGCGGTGGCCGTGGTGGAGGACGGGACTTCCGTCGTTGGTCCTATCGTCACTGTGGTCGTCGTCGTCGTCGTCATGCTTGTGATAGTACTAGTTGTGGTCATGTTAGAAGATGTAGCTGCGACAGTGGAAGGAGTTGTCGTCACCGTTTCGACATCATCTCCGCCGGACCCCACCTGGTCTCGGGTGACCCCTCTACAAGAAGAACAAGAATGTTAGGAGTCAGTCCACACCCGCAGAAAGACTGATGACACCACGTACGTCATTATTTTCCTGGGTGCGACCCAATGAGGGAGCTGTGGGTGGATCTGCAGGAAGGAAGGAGGGAAAGGGGACTGATAAGTTGTAATGTATAGGGTGCTGCCGAGGGATCACAGCATGACCAGTGGATGTTGGATGGACGCTTTCACTTCACTTTGCTCCGCTGAAAATAAGCTAATAACGGGCTCACTCAAATTACTTCTGTGGCTTCCCTTTCCTCCTTCGTGGTCAGCAAGTATTATTTCTTATGATACGACTCTTGTGGTTATTTTAGGACGAATGAATTTCTCGATTTGCTCTCGTGTGTGGGTTTCTAGCATGACTTGTTATTATTGGTATGCTCCAAGTGGTGGTGTAGTAATGTTGTTGCCCTGATTATTAGATTGACCAAAGAGCCACTATCCAGAACTGCGAGGGGGGCCGACAAAGAGGGTGTGGTTCGACCAGACATCCACCGCACATATGGCATTATTGGACAGCGGAGTGAGGGCAAGGTGCGATCTGTGAATGTCTCCTATAACATTTAGTCGGATTCTACCGATGAGAATGCAAGAATGTGGTGGGTGAGGTGGATAGAGAGAGAAACTCCCGAATTCGGGTAGAAGAACGAATCGATCCTGTTGGCCTATATATATATAAATATAATCTGGTTGGACGGAAGAATCCCAACTCAATCTCAATCTCCTCAAAAGTGGATGCATGAAACATGTAAACGTGCGCAGTGATCAGATTTCAATTTCATGTAAATCTGAATTTTGATGTCTTTCTCTGCCAGATCCAGGTCAGTAGGATGTTGATAAAACTAGAGACTCTCTGGTGGAGAGTGGTATGCAAATGCAAGACCGATTTTTAATAGTTTATGCCATGTCAGGTTAAGAAGCAATAATCAGGATAACTGTGGGTGGGGGATGATAACTGATAAGTGGGATATTTTCTGGGTGGGTTCATCTCCTTTCGCTCCTCAACCTCCCCGCGCAGAAAGGACGAGTGGAGAAAGGACAACAATAACTTGAACTCTTTTTCTCTTTTTCTCTTCTCGCAGCTGCTGATGAAGGAGAGGCCGCAAAGGTCACAACATTTGGCTCAGAAAATTTAAAGTTCGTCGTCATTGAGCCCACAGTACTGCCCATTCATCACGTTTCGACGAACTATCATATCGTCATGCTGTCACCTTCACCCCCAAACTCACCACCATCAACTTCTCAGAAGGATGACGACGACGACAACACTCCTCCTGTCGCCGAATTTGGCGGAGAAAACGAGCAGGCTCCCTCCACGTTGACGACCACTCCAACGACCTCTCATCCAGAGGAATCACAGCCAACGATGACAACGGCAGCTTCGCAACTCCCCCTCGTTCTCACGACATGTCTCTCCGCTAACTCGGGTAAGTATTACAATTAGCCTGATTCGGGTTTGGTTTTTTGACCTTTTAACCTTGACCCATGTGACCTTATGCCTTTGACGTTGTGACCTTGCTGCTGTGTAGTGTTCTAAATATTTGAAATACTTTACATACTGGCTTGTAATCTACCCTTGCTTTTGGTGTCCTTTTGTTTCCTCACACTTTTTAATCCAGACTTGAAAAGACCACTCCTGCTCGCCGAGATCGTCTCTGATTCTGACCTACTCTTAACCTGCAAAAAAATTAAACTTGCAGAATCTGCCAGTCACATCCGTAACAATATCAATGCAAGTGGGGGACCAGAACACAAGTCTATTTTCCTAACGCGGAGCCAACAAATCAATTCAACTTCGTCTCAGAATCAAAATGAAGTATTCATCACTCAACCGCACAGTCTCCCAGCGTCACCCATCCCATCACCTGCACCCGGTCAGAGACAGACTCCAACGCCAACTCCGAGCATCAACTGGGTGTCAGAAAATCTCGTCGTCGTTCAGAATAGGGCGAATAATTGTTCCCCCACTAACTACATTTCTTCTTCCCATGCCTCCTGTTCAGCATCTGCTTCCAGAGCCAACGATACGTCCACCCAGGATTGGCAAGCGTTGAAAACGGGAGTACGAGAACGAAATGCGGCCATGTGTAACAACGACCTCATGGCGGATGTCACTTTCGTTGTGAGCAGTTCTTCTTCGTCTCCCGTTACGTTTCCAGCCCACAAGTATGTTCTCGCCACTGGGAGTTCTGTTTTCTTTGCCATGTTCTATGGTACCTTAGCAGAGCAGGGAAGTCAAGTTGTAGTCCCGGATGTGGAGCCGGATGCATTTCTAAAAATGCTCAAGTACGTAAAAGTATACACTGGGATGGGATGGAGAATCACGAGCTAACGCATGTGTTATTATTATTGCGTTTAATTTGTAGATACCTGTATGCTGATGAGATTGATCTGGACGAGGAGTCGGTGCTGCCCACCCTTCACGTCGCCAAGAAGTATATCATTCCCCACCTGGCCAAGTCATGTGTCCAGTATATGGAAGCATCGCTAACAGCAAGGAACGCCTGTGTGCTCCTCTGTCAGTCACGAATTTTTGATGAACCTGACCTCATGCAACGGTGTTGGGAAGTGATCGATGCACAGGTGTGATAATTAAATCATGAGGGTTGTGAGTCGTTATATATTTTGATGACTATGAAGGCGGAGATGGCTTTAAACTCGGAAGGATTCATTGACATTGACCATTCTACTCTGAAGGAAATATTGTCTCGAGAAACACTCAACTGCAAAGAGTTTCACGTTTTTGAAGCAGCCATGGCATGGGCTACAGCAGACTGTGAGAGACAGGAATTACAACCAACTCCGGATAATCTCAGAATTGTATTAGGTAATAAATATGTATTAATAACCTAACCCAGTAAACAACACAGTGTTGTAAAAGACATTTATTCATAACTATTCATATATGTAGGAGGTGCTCTTCAATTGATTCGCGTGCCAACAATGGATCTTGTTGAGTTTGCGGATGGACCAGCACAGGTTGGGATATTTTCACTTCAGGAGTGCCACGACATGTTTCTCCACTTTACAGCGAGTTTGAAACCCAAGTTAGCATACCCAATTGTTCCAAGAGCTGGTCTCAAGCCACAGGTTAAATTATTAGCAATCAGACTTGGTGCAAATCCATATATGTATGACAATTCAACTACAAAAATAAAATACCACCATGCAGGTGTGTCATCGGTTCCAGTCATCCGCATATCGAAGCAATCAGTGGAGATATCGTGGGCGATGTGACAGTATTCAATTTCAGGTCGATCGAAGAATCTTCATTGTTGGCTTTGGATTGTACGGCTCCTCCACTGGCGCGACGACATATGGAGTCCACATTGAGCTGAAGCGTCAAGGTCGCATCCTAGCAGAAAACAATACGGAATTTTTCTCTGATGGTTCTTCCAACACTTTTCATGTCTATTTTCAACAGCCAGTCCAGGTACGTTTCTCAGTTTTTGTAGCAACAAATGAGATCAATTCAAAACGGGTTCAATTTAATTTATGAGGTTAACCAACTGTTTATCTTGTGTTTCTAAGATTGATCCTGATATTTTTTACACGGCTTCTGCCATCCTTGACGGGATGGAGTTGAGTTACTTTGGCCAGGAGGGGATGACGGATGTGGCCGTGAGCAATGTTGCATTCCAGTTTCAATGCTCGTCCGAGTCCACGAATGGAACTGGTGTGCAAGGAGGCCAAATTCCAGAACTGATCTTTTACGGACCAACCCCAACGTTGTCGTCGTCTCAAAATAGTCCCCAGTTTTCACAAGAGAACAATAGCGGCAGCAGCTTTGCAGGCATCCAGGGTTCCAGTCACAGTCAGTAGTAATTTAAGTACTACAAATGTTTCATCGCATCGTATTTCATTCGTTTTCTGTCGCTAGTTCGTTTATTCGCTAAACTCGCAGGCATCGCCATATTTTATACCAAAGTCACCGATGCACCTTCGTGTTTGATTTTAATTAACTCAAAAGACAGTCATGTTCCAATATATATTTTTCGAGTTTCATTTAATCATTTTTTCGCATCTTATTCTAATTGTTGTTCACGATATGTAATTATAATAAAATAAAATTCTTGTGTAACCAGATGTTTGAAGCTGATCTGTTTGCCTAGTTCTTTTTTAATACTCGTGTTAGCAATGACACTATAGGATTAATATTAGTATGGTAAATCTGCAATCACTTAAAAAACGGGATTAAAATTGTAGCTAAACAGCATAAAATCACAACATACATATGTACCTCTACCCTAACCTACTTATTTGCTAACTAACATTCTGCGCGTTGATATACATAAAAAATATTAAAGAGTTGAGTGTGTAGAATAATAAAGCACTATAGTTTGGCAGTGATGGTTGAGGTCTATTCGTAGTAGTCATCTTCATCGACATCTGCTTCCCCACGGAATTGTGTTAGAAGGTCCCTAGCGGATAAACTTGCCTCGTCCACGTCCTCCTCATCGTCCACTGAAAATTTAAGTTACCGTATTTGATTAGTCACCTTACACGACTTGACAAAATAAGGATACTTACGATCCTCGTCCTCTTCCTCGCTGAAGTGAACCTGGCTGGACTCCACCACCGACTCTGTCGCTTTGCTAATTCCAGCATCCGCCAACTTGATAATCCCTTTCTTACTTTCTCCCTTCTTGTCATCCTTTTTCTCTGTGCTGTCCGACTCGGACTCTGACCCTGAACCCAACCTATGATGAAGTGAGGGCTTTGGCTTCCCCTCAACCTTTGGTTTTTTCTCACTTGCTACTGTTTCTACTGTTGAGGAGTCAACCACTTCACTTTCAACTTTAGATATGGAGGAACGCCTCTTGCTTAGTTTGAGCTTTTTTCTCCCCGAAGATGATGTGGTTGAGGATGTGTTGGATGCTGTATCCGAGTCTTTTTCTAGTTTCCGTTTCAAGTTGTAGCCGGAGGGTGGGATTATGGGACCCGACTCAATCACAGTGAAGGGGTCAAAGGGTAATTGTGAGGAGGAAGATGGGTAATTACTGGATGAGGGGAGATCGTCCATGAGATCGACACCAGTGGTGAGAGACCGCAATACGTCGTAGTTGATCTTGCTCGAAATTTTTCTCTCTTTTAACATAATTTTAATAGCCTCATCTGTCAAGAAAAAATAATATTTAATTAACACGCTACTTAGGAATGGGGACAGTGGACAACAAAGGGAATGCACGCACTTGCACTTTTCGCTTGAAATGTAGGTTTTGCCTTTGCACTTTTCTTTTTCTTCTTTTTATCCAACTTTCCTTCGCTAATATCCTTTTCTAATTGTTCTTGTTTTACTAAAATAGCATGAAAATTATGAAAACTGAATATCATATCATACTTAAATGTAATAATTAATTATAATACTCACATTTTTGAGCGATTATATAATCACGATTGAGATTCTCCCACATGACAGTTTTCCTTTGAACTTCGACCTTTGTCATGATGTAGCCGTTGATCTCGGTGTCATCAATTCCTTCCAGGTCCAACTCTCCAGAGTCTGGAGCGGTGGGTATGATGGTGGTGGTGACAGGGACTAGAGCCATACAGCTGGATGAGGGGAGTGCTGGATTAGGATCACCTGCATCTGGTGTTAATATCATTAGATCCTAGATCGGGTGCGTCATGGGATAAGTAAGATGGTTTCGTACCTAATTGCAATTTTGAATGGACAAGATCAAGATTGGTGATATTTGGTGGTGGCGGGGGCATCAGAATTGAATCCATATCTGGAGACTTATCCTCCTGTGTTACTCTCTTTTTCAATACATCCTCTATTCCTTGAGGAGTCGCTTCGGAAGGGGTATCGGAAATAATTGAATTTATCGTGTCCATCGTGGACTTTAGAATAAAATTGGTTTCGACGATATCTTGTTCCGGTGGCTGGGGAGAAGATGCGGGACTGGATGAACACAAAGTTGAAGAGGAGGATGAGATGGTGGCAACTTGTTCTTGCGTGGGAGTCAAGTCTTGAGGTGGAAGAGGGGTGGACGTACTTGATTTGTTGTACATCATCTTATTTCTTCGCCTCTCCAACTCTTCGTCAATTTTATTCTGTAAAGCTTTGAACTCTTCGCCCATGTCCGTGTCCAGCAACTGTGGCCATTCAGTAAAAACAGTATCTTTTATTAATGTCACACAAACTTTGTAGTTTTTGGTATATGTGTCATTATGTGTGTTCACCTTTTGTAGTCGTTCTCGGTCTCTTATCCTCGCTGCTTTGTAGGAAGGTGGGTCGTGTTCTTCCTCCAGGTCTACAGACATGAATTCGTCCAATGTCAACGAACTCGAGGGTGTTTCACCAAACTCAACGAGTCTAAATACATCAATCATAATGAAATTAGTTGTATCAGTTGTATTTGAACTCATTTCCAAATGCTGACCAATAGAAAACCCAAATACTAGTCGTTTACCTCTTTCTTAATGTCGTCTCGTGGACTTTGACCACTCTGATCACGTCTTGGACGGACCTGGAGAAATTGTGGAGACGTGCCGAGATGAGGAGGGCCGCCCCACAAAGACCAGACGGCCTCCGACCCAAATGAATCCAATCCCGTTTCATTCTCTGCACCAGTCGTAGCGCCGTCATTGCCACGTCATGTGTCTTCTCTGCAAGTTCGAACTTGTGTGCGAATCGAAGGATGTACATGCAGGGGTCGACGGCAGGGATGTTGATGTAAAGGGACCGCGATATTTGGACGTAAGCACGACCCAAGGCATACACATCCATTTGCAGTACGTCGCTGAAATCGATGAGGAGATCTAGAAAGAATGAATGTATATAGGCTAGTTTGCGATGATTTATTGGTTTTGCTAGTTAAGATTGTGTGATGCAGATAGTTCTTACGCGGAGTGCCCTCAATGCGACAGGTCATGTAGATGCAGGCTGCAATCGTCAACGAGTTCTTTCTCCCTTTTGTCAACTGCTTGTGGAGAGCCATCTTGAAAAAGTTGAAGGCCACGTCTATGCAGTGCTGATTTAATCTAGTGATGATGATCAATCAATTTTTAAATAATTACTTGACCATAAAATGTGCTCATAATTTTAAATCTTTTGTCCAAAACGTCACGCCCTCATCTTATTCTTACCTGAGTTGTTGTGCAACCTCGACAATCTTTTTTTTCGTGTTTCTCAACGTGATCTCTCTGCTTTCCTTGCCCACGGAAGTGTGAAATCCACCACCGCCCAGGTTGGAGAGCACACCACCACCCCTGCTCTCTGCGGAGACGAACTGACCGACGGCGGACGCTCCCCCGTGACCATCCTCTTCAAAGGTCACCTCCGAGACGATGATGGACTCTTCGAGAACGCAGCCACAATTGGTGCAGACGGCATCTCCACGAGCAGCGTCCGTGTCGATTTCCGAGCACCCACATTGTTTGCAGGATTGAGTTCCAGACATTACTATAAATTAATAGTAAAGTAACTTTCACTTTTTTTTAGAGATTTCCTTGAATCCAGTAAGCAGCTTGTTGTCTGAAACAACATAAATATATATTTTATCTAATTAATTATCATTAAATTAAGTTTTGTATTTAACAACCTGCTGGAGCAGAGTACAGAGCAGAGTTGTGGTGTGCTGCTGAGATCTCCCGCAGCAGCTGACGATACAACAAGGCGATTCTGTTTACTCCTGGATTGTCCTGTTCTTTATTTCTTTGTGATTGAGAGGGGTCTGGGAAGGATGGGTCCTTGGGTGCCGCCACGTCTGATGGTCATCACATCCGCCGTGGGGGTCGTCGTGGGAGGGTCCGTCCTGCTCAAGTGAGTTAAATCCACCTCACCTACTCCACACTCTCCTTCTTAAATAAATACAAGTGCAGAGAGTGAGAAATCTCAACTGCAAATGCCGCTCTGACTTGGGTCACCTTTGCGAAGGCTAATAATGTTATCCAAGCGCTTCAACTTTGTTGCTGTCGTAATAATTTTTATTTTTTATGCGTATGTCGCAGAGATTTCATTGTGGGTCACGCTCAAAAATTGGACGGCAAGATTCGAGCCGATGGGAAAATTGTGATCGTGACGGGTGCAAATACGGGTACGCTATTACGTTATAAAAATGATGCAATTTAGCTGGCGCGTGAATGCGTTCACAAGCACATGAAGCCCTCACATAATACCTTTGATAATAAGTTCCCTAAAAACCAATTATTTTCAGGTATTGGGAAAGAAACGGTGAAAGAGATGGCTAAACGCGGTGCCACGGTGTACATGGCGTGTCGAGACATTGCCCGGTGTCAAGAAGTGAGATGATACATAATAAAATGACACATGACATAGATACGGATGACATGATAAGCATCTCTTTTTCAGGCCCGCAAAGAAATCGTTCTCGAGTCCCTCAACAAAAAAGTATACTGCAGAGAATGTGACCTCGCCGATTTCAATTCGATTCGTCATTTCGTCTCAGAGTTTACGCTTGTGGAGGATCGCTGCGACATTTTGATCAACAATGGGGGCTTGATGCGCTCCCCTCGACTGAGCACGAAGCAAGGGATAGAGATGCAGCTCGGGGTAGTAATAGCACACTGTATGGTCCAGAAATACGCGTATTACACATTAATTATTTTGCATGCATATTTATGTAGGTGAACCACATGGGTCATTTCCTTCTCACTCACCTCCTCCTCCCATCCCTCCAAAAGGCCGCTCCCAGCCGAATCGTAAATGTCTCCAGCTTGGCCCACACACGAGGCCGAATCAATTTCGAGGACTTGAACTCTGAAAAGGAATACGATCCGGGGGCGGCGTACAATCAGAGCAAGCTTGCCAATGTCCTTTTCACTAAAGAATTGGCCAAGAGGTTGCAAGGTGAGCAATCTCATAATGAGCATGCAAGTGCTTATCTGACTTTGATCTATATGCGTGTGAACATATGTATGTAGGAACCGGCGTCACTACAAACGCACTCCATCCGGGTATTGTTAAAACAGAGATTGGTCGTCACATGGGGCTCGAGAGTAGCATCATGGCCTCCATCTTTGTGAAACCACTGCTCAGCTTTTTTCTCAAGAGTCCTGAGCAAGGGGCCCTAACCACCCTATTCGTCGCGCTGGACCCTTCCCTGGAGAAAGTGTCGGGAAAGTATTTCAGGTGCGGTGAAATAAACCATCGAATAGCCATTCACATTGGGTATAATGTTGTTCTTCTCATCGCAGTGACTGCCGTGAGACGAAGGTGGCCCCAGCGGGGGAGGATGCCGCAGTAGCGAGGCGTTTGTGGGTGACGAGTGAGCGGTGGACGGGGATTCAAGAGAACGCTTCATTGGAAGCTGCTGCGCCCTGCTAATGTTCTTACCGCGCCTTCATATTTAATAAGTATATTTAACAATATGTGAGAGCACAGAGGAAACAGAAATGATCTTGGGCGGAAAAAATGTAAGCCCTCCAGGCAAGAAGTGGTCGTCGCAGGCTATTTAGTTGTTGCAATAAATCATGACAAGAGAGATTCACAGTTTTTGCTCGTTGGTCTTCAAATGATGAAGCCTCTCATTCTATCCACACAGTGCGTACAAGGAAAATGATAATAACACAACGAACTTCATCTCGCAGTGAATGACATTGTTGCATCTCTCTCTATTGCGTGGTTTGTGCGTGAAGAATGGGAGTGCAGATTAAAATTAAAGAGGTGCAGGATTTTTGGAGAGTCGTGCGAACTGTTAGTTTGATCCATACTTGGCACGATGATGCTGGTTGTTGTGTATGTGGGTAGCAGCCTTTGTATACAACCAATATGCATGCGTACATGGGGATGGGGGAGGAAATGTAAATTATTGAAGCTACAGGTGTGATAGTAATCGAGTGGTACTGAAAGCGGAACCGTAACGCACCTTGGCTCCGGAAACGACTCCCCAAAAAATCTCTTGCTTGGTATCCAGGTAGCGGAGCGTAAACAAAGTGGAATTGATGGATACATAAATATTTGTGGAAGCATAAACTCGCATGTGGCAGGTGTAAATTGAGAAGAATAGAGTGGTCACTTGTTATTTATTTACGGCCATGGTCATCTGAAACTGCTACTGCTGGTGTTTTATTGGTTGGTTAGACAGGTTGGTTATTTATTCTTCAGAGTGACTCGGGGTGACATGGAGGGCATGTGAGGACCACGGAAATCATGGCAGCCTTGGACGCAATTATTCGTGAGTATGTGAGAGCCGAGTTGGTGACGACTAATAATGACAACAATCTCACTTCCGTGGAGGGCAGCAACACTAACTATGTAAAAGAGCTGCATGAATGGTGAGTTTCCTGCTAGTAACTTTAAGTAGTACGGTCAGGCCTGTCGCGCCTCTCCACCCTAATGCAACGAAGCAACCCCCAAATTTTGGTCGTTCATGTACTACATGACTCCAACCCCACGTGGGAGCAATCATAAGGGTTCGTATTTTTGAAGTTGCTTCCAAAAATTATATAAAATACGAACCCTTATGATTGCTCCCACGTGGGGTTTGAGTCATGTAGTACATGAACGACCAAAATTTGGGGGTTGCTTCGTTGCATTAGGGTGGAGAGGCGCGACAGGCCTGAGTACGGTAACCGAATGTATTCTTCCCCTGATAGCTTGGAGCGTCGGGGCGTGATGCGCGAACTGCAGGCCTTTCTGCGACAAAAGTTGGTCTTTCTTCTGGGTGAGAAGTGGCCTCACCTCGTGTCACGTGATGGTGGTGGGGGTGGAACCGTCATCAGTCCCACCGTCCTCCCTCTTTTCCTGGACTTTCTCCGTTCCCGAAAGCTGCTCTTCACCCTCTCTGTCCTTGCTGGGGAGCTGGGCCTTCAACCAGGTTCCAATAACACCCATTTTCCCATGCCCACTCATGTTTCACCACAAAAATATTTTATCATTGACGAAAAAACATTTTAACGGGAAAAACTCCCGAAAATCTATGTTTTAAATATTTCGTAAATGGCACTTTTACAACTATTTAAATTTCGCAACTTGTCCTACATAAATATACCACATATGTACACATGCTTAGTCGTGTACACATGCTTCGTGCTTTTGATTCGATATCCCACAAGCTTTTAATTGATAAATTGCGTCACATTTATCATTTCCCAGAATACCTTATAGTCATAATTTCGGATTACCTGAAAAACAGACACATTAAAATTAAACTAGGGAACTTTATATCTGACTCTTTCCCTATATATGCATCTGTCCCCCAAGGGTCAAAAATTGGACCAATTCTATTTAATTTATTTATATTTATATTTAATTTAAACTTGAAGGTCACAAGGATGTATTTGCTGATGATATTTCGTCATTAGTGTCCCATAAAAACTTTGACACACTTCAAAAAATAGCAATTGAAAGGATTGAAATCCTGCATGCATGGTGTAACTTAAACTGCATGAAAATAAACTGGACTAAGTCCCATTTTATGATTTTTAGAAATAGTCGCACGAAAAAAATACCCCATTTGGATTCAATAAAAACGGTAAATTTTGAAATAACCAGGGTCTCTGAATTTAAATATTTAGGGGTCTGGTTAGATGAGGAGTTAAGGTTCGACGTGCATGCAGATAAAATTATTAACAAAATTACACCTCGTATTCATTATCTGCTGAAACTCAAAAGGAAAATTCCTACCGATAAGTTTCATCTAATCTTCAACGCAATTGTAATGTCTTGTCTTGAATATGGTATTCAAATATGGGCTGGATCTTCCAGTACCACTTTAACACGCGTCCAAAAAGTCGTAAATAACTGTCTCAGATCTTGGGTTTCTCCACGTATTATTAACATAAATGTATTATATGAAATGTTTAATTTACTTAAGTTAGATGAGTACCCAAACTACTATCTTTCCCTTTTTGCTAAAAGTTTTACAAATGATTATAAAATATATATTCCTAAATTACTTCAAAATTTTGTTACTATTCATGGATCGGTTCATGAAACAAGGTCCACAAATTGTTTCGTTATTCCACCACACAAAACTGTGCTCTTTGAAAAAAGTGTTAAATATAGGTTAATAAAATTTTGGAATGAACTACCAAATGAAATTAAAGATGAAAAAAATCTTGATGTCTTCAAATTCAAGTTGACGGCGTATATTTTAAAAAGGAGATGTTAATCTTAAGCTTGAAATTAAATATACTACAAATTAAGTATTTAGTTAAATGTCAATGGTTGGAAATCAGCATGTTATCACGTTGTTACCTTTTGACAATAAAGACTTATTATTATTATTATTATATGGTCATGGCTTGTTTTGGTATTGACGCAGATGACGCCTCGGCCTCTACGCCCTTTGGGAAGGTGGGCTGTTCCGAAGCGGAGGAATTGCTCGAGGGGTGTGGTCTGCCCAGAGACTCTCCTGGAAGCCGGGCAGCCCTCCGCAAGTATTGTGAGGAGCAAGAGGGGAGGAACGTGTCCCTCTTGGAGTGTGGTCTAGAACAGCTCGTCAAGGAACAAAAGGACAGCGTATCATCTGAGAGGAGAAGAGATGCTGATTGTGAGGACGACAACCTGGTCTCGTCAAGTTATCAGAAACCTTGCCACGTCCGGTCCAAAGGGATTGAAGAGGTGGTTTTCGCTAGAAACAGCACAGACAAGGTGAAAGCTGGCGTGGAAGAACGTTTGCACGCTATTCAAATAGGGCTGGAAAAGGACAAAAATATCCAACTTCAAATGGCTATCAACAAGTACTTACAATTAAATTGACACGCATCCCTTCTCACACCAATTTTTGTTAATTTTTCCATTTGATTCGATCAGTTTTCGAGAGAAGGAGGAGGCCAAGATCCGCCAAGAGCTGGAGACGCGAATGGAGTTTGAATTGCTGTCGAAGGAAAAGGAGCTGCTGAGCGTGGCCAAGGAACGGGCTGAGGTATTTAGAGAAGCGTTAGCTGCAGAAAAGGCGGCCTGGGAGGAGGAAAAAGAACGGGAGGAGAGGAGGTTGGCAGAAAGGAGAAAGAAACAACTGGACCAAGAGAAGGAAGAGGCGAAAACTGCGAGGTCACCCAGACCACGGCCAACAGAAATAGAAAGTGCTAAGAGCCAAGAACTTTTACCCACCAGAGACTACCAGCACTACCCAGTTCCCCCTCCAAATAACAGAAGAGACCCGATTTCGGAGATGGATCGAGACAAGATTGCGTTTCTCCAGTACAATTTGGAGCAACAAAGTCAAGAAATCCGAGACTTGAGGCAACAGCTCCATGGAACGACCAATTTACAGCAAGCACCCCCACCATCTACATCCTCTCTGACCGACCTTGTTCATTTTCTGAGCGCTTCCAAGAAGCGGTGCCTCGTCATTGAGGAGGAGTCTCGACGGGTGGACTCGAAACTGACGGAACTCAGAGCGAGTCGGAGCAAACCCCTCCCTCTGGATCTCAAGAATCGTCGCCCAACACAAGCAGCACAAGCAGCGTCGACTCTCATCTCACGACTTTCACTCCTGAACCCACCCTTGCTGCACCCCGTAATCACTCCGTTGAACATTCCCCTTCTCCCTCCCTCTTTCTACCAACTTTCAAGTAGTAACAACAAGGTCCCAACCCCTGCACAAACTCCAACCAGGTCTAACCACCCCCAAGAAACGCCAAAGTCTCCCAAAAAGGTATCAGCAGATTTGTCACCAATCAGTCAGAAATCGGTGACCTCTTTACCAGAAAACTCATCCGCTCTCACTAAAGTGCAGAATGAGTTCAAGCTTGCCAAGGCATTGAGTGGGGGTGCTCTCTCGTTTGAGAAAGTGTTGACCTCGTCCTCAGAGGCAGAAGAGCTGACCCCCAAAAAATCTCCACAACAAAGCAGCACTGCGAGATTAATGAAGTCTCCTCCACCCCATTCAGCCCAATCCACCTCGACGAGCGCAATCAGACGAAGAATCAGTTTCAGCGATGACAATCGAGTAGAAAATGATGACGACCATGATAAGGGAGAGGAACCCGTCAAACTGCTCCCGGACAATGACATCAACACAAACTCGGAGAGAAGTTTGTCCATCTCGCAACTCTCTGGGCCCAAGAGCAGAGGAGGAGGCGATGACTCTGACTTTTGGAACCTCTAATTATGCCGGTGTACATACAAAGTGCTGAGAGAAAGCAATTAATTAGACGCATGCATATTAGATATGTGTTCAACTTGTAATTTAATCATGTTGTACGTAAAAGCGTTCCTCCTTCCCGTTGTTGAGAAGGTCACACATTCAATAATAATAATAAATAACAGTTCGGTTTGTCTTCTTTAACAACAAGGATTGACGGCGACAAGGCTGATAATTGTTTAATCATAATGATAACAGCAAGTGTGGTTTTTTATTGAACACTTGGAACAATTATATTAAGAAATTATGGAAAGGTTCTCGCTTTCTCTCTCGCTCTTATTGTTCGTTCGTGGTCACGCTGATCCTGCTGCTACATATACGACTGCGGTAACTGCGTTGTAAAGAAGAGGAGGAAGAAGGAGAAGACGTGTGATGTTGTTTAATGATGATGGAATAAACTGAGCAGAAGGAGAAGAAGTAATTGTACGAGAGCAATAACTTTATACGCACGTATATATGTATGTAGTTTCGTAAATCTAAAGTTAAAATGCTACTGTGGATCACGCCGTGGAGAGTGGGATTTCGGGTTCGTTATTATTTGCTTGTGGATGTGGTGGGGGTCTCCCGATCCCAATCCCCAAAGTTATGGAAGGTCGTCTGCTAGCGTCCTGATCTTGGAGGAGATACACAGGCAAACATCCAGTCTCATCCGTCACCGATATCTCGGGGTAGGGGAATCCAGTCTGAAGAGAGAGAAAATTGTAAGGCTTAATTCATTCCTAAATGTTTAATGGAAATCTGTATCAGAGACTAGAATAGAGGAATGTCCTTACCGTGGGGTCTATCTGTTTAAGAACAGCGTGCTCCTGAATCATTGCGAGCTGCTGTTGTTGTGCGAAGGGGCTGGGTGGCCCAGGACCGTAGAGGTGAAGCCCTTGCAACCCTTGAGAAATATCGGGTGGAAGGGGGGATACGGAATGCGGGATCAAAGGCGAATCTAGAGGTTGGAATAATCTGACAGGGGATGAGGGCGACGAGGAGGTCGCAGAGTGGCGTCGGTCGTCTCGCTATAGCACATCAATGCAGATTAATCAATGTGTGTGTGGTTTACTGAAATTGAACAGAGTTATTTTTTTTGCAAGTGCATACCATGCCCGCCTGCATCTTTGCTAGTCTAGGAGAGGATGGACATGTTCCCTCGCTACCTCGCCGTACAGGGGAATACCTTTCACAGTTCATGTGGCACAGCTCCTTGTACGACTCACGACCTGTGCCCAAAAACCACAAACACAACAATATCAACACAACATGTACCACGAGCTCACTGTTTCCACTGTATTTGGTCGCTTAGCGTCGAGGTCAAAAGAAAAAAAGGAACAGCCAGATAAGAAAATCAAGAAAACAAATTCTAAATAAAAGGATTAAAATAAAACAAATGATAAAAAAACCTTGGGGAAATAGTCTGTATCGTCGCGGGTTTGGTTGTATTCTGGAGAGGGTGTGGTGGAAGAGGCGTCTAGAGTGCGAGGGGTAAGGAATCATTCCTCCAGCTCCAGCCTGGCTCGACCCCGTGTAGCCTCCACTCATAGGATAGGAGGGAGGGCCCATGTATAAACGGTGTGACTCCGGGTCAACCACTTTGTTCAAACGTAGAAGGAGGAAAAGGTAACAAATAAAGTGAATAACAAAAAAAATTAAAACAGTAATCGATGAACGTCAAAAAATTAGTTAACACGAAAGACTGATAAGCTTTGTATGCATGCAACTGCACAAAATTTAAGTATTCATATGGAATATGAAGGACCTACCTGGGGGCCTTTCGACCTGGGAAATAACAAAAAAAAATATTAATTTCTTGTGCAAAAATTCTACATTTGCAGCCTTTAATGTTGCACACTTCTGAACGCTAGGTACCCTTAGTACGAAATTATAACCCCTTTTCAACTACTAATTCAATAATTGTCATATTTACCACTGTGATCAGGCCTGTACGGCGACTCCTGCCACGGAATTCTTCTTCTGGCGTGGTTGCGTAAGTTGCGTCACGACGAAGCACACCCGTCGATAATTGCTCGCGAGAGGAGGGATGACTCCAGCCACCATCACAAACTGGGGGTGGTTGTTTGTCCTTCTGCTGAAGATTAGCACCACCATCTGAGGCCCGACGACCAAACCCAGATGCTATAGTGTTTTTAAATAAATAATGGATTTATGAAATTAGCAGAAATTGAATGCAGATTAAAAGTAATAATCTGTGAGTGAGATTCTTTACAGATTGACTCACTGTTCTCCATGCTCGGTGGTGGTTTCAACAAGTGTTGATCCTTAACGCTTTCAACTAGCGGAATCTGATCATCATTCATTCGAGTGACGTTAACAGGAAGGCCCTGAAAGGAAGTACACCACACACGTTACATGCATAAAAAATAAACAAGAAAATTGCCAGAGAAAGCCGAGACAAGATAAAATGTAGTTTTTTAAATTTTGTTCGTCTTACTTGAGGTAGATCGACAGTATGACGTCGTCCTTGGTGAGATTGAGTTTCTTGTCTTGGTAAAATGTCTTGTGCTCTTCCTTCTACACGCATCTCGTCAAACTAGAAGAATCACACACAATGCACAGATTCAAGTTATTCGGAAAATTGTACGAAAAGAGAAGTAGTAGAAGTAGTGACTTTACCTTCTCGTAAATCTGCGAGTCGTTGAGGAAGAGGTGGATTTCTGGCATTTGTGGGTCGACTCTCTCCACGACGCCCGTCGTGATTGAAGCTTTCCTTTGGACGGGGTGGTGAAGGGTGAAATAGGTCGGGCTGGGGGATTCCTGCTCTGTCAGTTTCTCGTGCAGGAGGAGGTTGTATATTGCACAGATGTGGTCAAACCGCTCCTCCTGGATGGACTGAAGGATTGCGTCCTTGGTCAGGCCGGGGAGACACGCCATCTGGTCTATTATTGACTCGTCCAAGCACAAAGAAGGCTTATCCTCGTACCGGATGGGTGTCGCTCCATTCTAGCAAAAAAATGACCGTATTTCGTAAAGCTTTATGAGTTGCACCCAAACCCATCACAACAACATCAATATCATGCGCGCATGTATGAACTGTTGAGCATACCAAAACGTGACCTGCTATCCACTTGTGAGCGAAAATCTGAGGAATGTTCAGTCTTTTGGAGCTATCGACCTGAATTTAAGCAAATGTTAGTTAATACTGTCATCCATAGGAGTTGTTCTTTACTGTAAAGCTTACTAACCACGAGCATATGTCGTATCAAACTTTCGCAGGCGGTAGACCTGGTTTCACACAGAGAAACAAAGGCATCATCATTGGCACCCCATTTGGAGCTCGCAGACATACTAGCCGTTAACTCCAATGCAAAATACTTACATGAAAAATGGAATGCGGAATTTCCCAGAAGTCACTCGATTTCGAAGGCTCTGAAGCGTTGAGCCTTTTGAAATATATTTACAAATTTAGATATTGTGCCAGTTTGTCTTTCGAAAAAGTTATATATAACAAAAACACCTACCGTCGAAAGGTAAAGCACCACAAACTAACACATAAAGAACTACGCCCAGACTCTGTAAAATAAATTTACATTTACATTTACAAGATCATTGGGACAGATTTAGGGAGAAGACGAAGGGGACAGACGTACGTACGTACCCATATATCCGCCCTCGGGCCGTTATAGCTCTTGCCCTCAAAGAGCTCCGGAGCAGCATATGGAGGGGAACCACACCTAAGGTCACAATAACTGCATATAAATGGGCGAAGTACTAATGATAAATAATCTTAAATTTATATTCAAAAGCTAAAAATTGGTCATATAGGTCATATCATCAAAACACTATAATACATATCTAAACATATATATAAACATATATATTTGGTAACAACATACCATGTTGAAAGCAAATCCCCCTCCTTGTACTCGTTACAAAATCCGAAATCTATGCCGAAAGAAAGTAAATAACAGAGCCATCAATGCATTGCATATGTACATATTGTTGCATCTTGCACTCGAGGTAGCTATTTAGTACCTGCTAATTTGATATTGTTGTTTCTATCGAGGAGTAAATTTTCCGCTTTGAGATCACGATGAACAACGCCTTCGGTGTGGCAGTAGTGCACAGCATGAAGGATTTGGGTGAAGAGCCGCCGTGCCTGTAACCGTGCATTCAATCTTTGTTTAATGCTCAACGTATAATAAAATTTCAGTTACACTCGCCTCATCCTCACTCATCCGCCCATTCATCACGAGGAAATCTGAAAGAAGAGAAAGTCGTCAGACCACAACCATTCCTACTCATCTTTCGCATACGGAGATGACTCAGAGAGTGAAAAACTGAGTGAAGGCCTTGCACTGCATTTGCCAATATCTCACCAAAGATTTCTCCCCGACTCGCATACTCAGTCACGAGGTAGATAACTTTCTCCGTCTCCATCACCTGCAACAGAAAGAGAGAGTTGAGACGACTGCATGCTTGTCGTGGTGATGGTGGTGAACATGACCATGAATGATTTCTCTCCTCCTTTTTTCTAACCCTCTCTAGAAGAGCTGCATGAGGAGCTGGATGAATTACCTGGTAGAGTCGAATAATGTGAGGATGGTGAAGTCTTCGCATAACATGAATCTCTCGAAACACCTTCTTCAAGTTCTCTGGAGTCAACTTGGTCTTGTCCACGATCTTGATGGCCACCTGCAACACACCACATTCTATCATACTTCATCCTAAAAAGTAGTGTATGTGTATAAATAATACGCTCCATGTACGATCAATTCGGAGGGTTCGATGGGATCGATATCGAGTACGTAGTATCGTGTCGCAATGTGGAATTAATTAATTAGTATTCATCCAGTAGTTGGTCAACCACATCGTAGCGAATAATATGCAAATTAAAAGCCATGCTCATCTCATCTCGTCTCATTAGAATAACAGCAATAATGATGTCCGCTACAAGGGTTACAATCCACAGGACGAGAGATGGAGAAGACAGTCACTTTCACTTTCATCAGTCCCATGGCTGGCTGTGCGACGAAAGGGTGATGATTGATGAAGCATGTAATTTTGACATTACTTGGTTGAGCGAAAGAGGAGTTAATTGCAGAAGGTGAGATGATGATGAGTCAAGGTTCACCCACCGAATGCATACTCGTGCTCATGGTCGTGGTCGTGTTGCTAGCAAGTCCGTCCCGAAGGAGGAAGGAAAAGCCGCATGGAAAGGAAACTGACGCAAGCAAGTGAATGAAGCAACGTACGTACATGCTTACATACGTACGTACGTACATGCAAGACGGGATAGAGGGAAAGTAAGGCAAAAGCCGGTCTCTGCTGCTGCTGCAAGGGAGCAGTCATAAGCCCACATTCCAAACGGGGGCTACCCGGTAGCCACGGCCAGTCCTTACGACCACGGCGACTCTGGATGGATGAGCCCCAAGTGAGTCCGGAGCATGGTTCGGGAGCAGGTGGTTGGGACTCGGATTTGCGTCACATCTAGTCACACGGACGTCATTCCAAAACAAAGTCTGAGAAATATCCAACAACCAACTCCATTTCACTGTGAGAAAGAGAAACTCTGGCTGCCGACGATGCCTATCTATCTACCTGCATGCCATGCACAACACACGCATCCACACATCACCTTCGTCAACTCAAAAATGCCAATGTCAGAGAAAGAGAGGGAGGGAAATGAGGGAATGAATACCAGGACCGCGTGTGTTTCTCTCAGGCCGCTGCTTGATAGGCATGGAACGTCCAACAACTTTCCTCAGCAGGCACTTTCACCAGTAACTAGCCGTCATCCAAATGCCTAGTCCATCACAAATGCATCATCGCCAACTTTTAAATCTCAACTCAGCATCAACCGACCGACTGGATGGAGAGATGGATGGAGACTATGGAGAGGTCGGGACGAGGAGATGAAAACAGAGAAAGTCGTGTGTTGTGAACTTGAAGCCTCTTTTGATCCATCCAACAAGCATGAAACAACATGAAACAAAGATTCGATAACGCAAAGTGGAGCCACATACACACATACGAGTGGAAGTATATTCGTAGAAAAGAACGAATGATTAAAGTACGTACGTATGCACATAGGCGGAAGAGCGACATGTATTTTTGACTCATCCTACCAGCTCTCTGCTCTTTGAGACCTCCGGTGAAGCGGAAGTAAAGGAAGCAAATCAAATCATAGGGCTTATTAAGCGTGTCCCCCATCGATAATGGTAATGAGGAGAGGATGATGGGAGTACTAGTAGGACAAGGAAATACTACTAATGGCTTCGTTTTATCAATAATTTAATGAGCAGCCAACAACCGGTGGAAGGGAAGGAAAGAACGAGGAGAAAGAAGAAAATGCCAAAGTCCACCACGCTGGTTGATATGACTGGACAAAATGGAATAGAATTGGATTATAGCCAGTCCTTATTCCCTCTAAAACACTACCCTCTCGCTACATTATTGTCGATTCGTCCTCGGCCATATTATGCAACAACTCTTGCCTGATTCATGTATGTCTACAACAGCCCGATCCCATCCATAATTTACTCTATTCCAGTTAAACATCACGTTGGTCTTGCCGCTCTTATTAATTTGTTAAACTGACGAGTTGACCACAATATGAAATAAATATGCATATATGACCACCGCAGTGAAACAGCCTAGGTCAGGTTTCCATCCACTGAACCACTCTTTTTCCACAATTAAATTGTCATGAAAGCCCACTCACTACTGACGATGCCTAGAATACTCATACATACATCAGTACAACATCATGCGTAATATGCCCTGTCGTCGTCGTTGTTTGTGGTTTGGTTACTTTGGTTGTTGCAGGCTGGCAAGATAGTTGGATAGAGTATGATATATGTATGTCTGGGGAACGATCACTATACACTGCTTCGTGGTTATTTGTCTTATTGTCTTTGGTGGATGGAAAGGCAAATTATGGGTGCTGTTGTCTCCAAAAAGTGAAAGCCAGCATGAATCAGGAATGGTGCATGACGACGGTTGGATTTTAATCGACGACTCCTCAACTTATCAAGCATTCAAAACGGAGAGAAGGAGACTCGCTCTCCGTTTCGTGACTCTCATTTGTATTGCTTTAATAAATCGATATGCTGATTAATATTACATTCGATACTACAATACGATGCGATACTGATGGCAGAGAAGAACTATGGATGCAACACACACATTTTGCAAACAATAACAAAACATAATGGTTGATAATGGGAATTGTAGTAATGGATTTGTGTATGCACGTTACAATTGTATGTGGCGTAGTGGGTCGTTCTCTGGAGAGAGAGAGAGAGAGAGAGAGACGTGTGCAATTTATAGCAATATCTTTTTAGTTACTATTATGTACTATACTATGTATGCGACAACAGCATAACGAACTATTATGCAATTAGCATGCACTCCACTTGAAGGAACAAATGTTCGAAATCACTACATGCGGTGATAAGATAACGAGAACAAAGTGTAGGAGACGAATTATACAAAAAATGATGGATTGGGAGATATGAACCAAGTCTTAAGAATAATTGACAAACAAACGACTAAACCGGTGGACATAAAATGGGGGTACCATGTCACTTAAATTCAGCTCATTACACAAACTAGTGGGTCCCTCGCCCTTATTTGGAGCATTTGTTTGGATTATAATAATGTGAATTGAACTGCTGAATAGTAGGGAGGGGGGAGATAAGCCCAGGGCAGCATCTCAAATGGTGCATATGCTTGTGTTTTGTATGGGAGGGTGGGTGGTTATTGTGGTGCTTATCGTGCTGATAACTGTCGTGGTGGTGGTCTATGCCATTGTGTTGAAAGGTTAAAAACCTACAGCGTGCTTAGCCCGAGTCAGGGTCAGACAGAGTCCGCTTCTAAATAAATTTTTGACAGATCCTTCTAAACAATAATTTGGTCATTATTATGATGATATATGCTCAGATTCGTACGCAAATGTGATGAATTCCCCGAATATCAGTTTTTTACGACTATTCCCAATATTCGGCACTAACGACCCCGCTCGACCTATATCACCCCCACCATCAACCACTTGACCCATTTTTCTGATCTTAAAATTTACCTCCTCGTTCGCCCCATGCGTACTAAGTTTCAAGTCGATAGGATTAGTTTACTACAGTTATCGGACATGATGACGGACAGACATTGATGGTTCCATAAGCCCTGACTATGGCTAAAAATTGATTTATATAAGAGCTGTAAGTCGAGCAGATAATCCAGTCCTACTCAAATTGGTCTTTGGTCTGGACAAAGAAAGACACCACAAATGTTGAAAAGAATGATCCACTTCCACTCCCCCATAACGAAACATCATCGGCTACATGCCATTGGTGTGAATATATGAACGAGATGAATGCATATGCAATAATAGGCATTAGTGATATGTGAGGAGAGATGAGCTATGCAAGTGAACAAGCCAGCAAAAAACTTGAGCCACACTTGACTCCCTTGAGTAAAAAACGCTTAAAAAATAATAACAACATTCAACCAAGGCAAAAGGATGCATGGATGGATAAGCAATATGCATAATATGTACATACGCGGTGGGTCGGTGGTGGTGATCTAATAGCCCGATGAATTAAATCTGACTGACTGACTGACTGAGTATTAAAACTAACCTTGGACTTGGTGATGATGTGCGTGGCTAATTTAACAACGGCGAAATTTCCTTTGCCAATCGTCTTCTCCATCTCGTAGTAGCCCACCCGGACCAAACTCTCGACCTTGGTAGCTTCATCCTCATTCATTTTCGATGGGGAAGAAGGGACGGAGAGGGGGTGTGGCTGCGGAGTGACGAAATGGGTTCACGACGAGCAGTCGCCTTCTGGAGGGTGTGGTGGTCTCTTGTTCTCTGCAGACCCACACCCTTCACCCTCCCACCAAGAACAACAATTTTGGTAACAATGAGAGGAGCAAGAACTTGACACAGGTGGAGGGTCACTCATCGAACCACACACTTTTATTCGTCTAGGGTCACAATCTTATAATTGCTTTCTTCTATCCACGCCAAGACGCTGCCACCTTCACTGACACACCGCTGCTGCTGCACTTTCGACGCAATAATACTCCTCTCATAACTGCAAAGCCAACTGACCGATTGTCTGGGATTAAAAAAAAATGACTGGTCGTAATTATTTGTAATTGTCTTCTTCGCTTGAATGGTGGTGACGACGACGACGACGAAATAAAAGTGACTAGATACTTAGTATTATATTATCAACTGCAGGAACGTTAGTAGTAGGAAGTGTGCAGAAGCGGCATACTGATCAGTTCAGATCAGATTGATTTCTGATTCTTTAAATCGTCACATGGCCTATTTTGGTAACGACGAGGACATGTGTAGAGAATCATACTTTCCTTGCGTCCCGTGGACCAAAATTCCAGACCGTACAAGTTATTCATTCCAGGTATCCAGCTCACTGAAAGGAAAGGTATTAATACTTTAAGAAATTGGCCATCAATAAACTAATTCTTTTAATAAAGTCGCTAAAAATATAAAAAGTAAAATTTAGTAGAAGGAAAGAAGCATAACAACCTCAACTGCTCACTTATTACGAATAATAAATGGCAAGTATTTACTTGTCATAAGTATAAGATCATTTAATCTGACTGATTGTTCGTAAAATCTTACCAGGGCTAGATGGCTGATAATTCTTTTTAACTGACTGACGTTCCAGAGAGTAGAGTTAATGTTTTCTTGACACAGCTCAGTCAGCTGGAGACGACACTTCAAGCCAAAAAGAAATTAAACAAACCGAGTGCATAGCCAAAAAGAAGCAATTTCTTGGTGATGTTTGGCTGGCTGGAGGCTGCTGCTGCTGGTGAAAAGTGAGAGATGTGAGCTGGATCTAAGCCTGTTTGTGAATGAAAACACAAACCGTTCGGTCCTGCTGCTCAATACCACTCTCTCTCTCTCTCACATTCTTGTCCAAGTGGAGAAGAAAGCACAGAGGAGTGGGGGCATCCAGTCCTCACGGCGCCTCCAGATGACCCCCACGCTTGTACACCCCATGACGCCAGTAGTGGTCATTCGTCCTGGCTTCACCTCTTCCAAACCGATCACCATTTCCCAGCCAACTTGGACCTCCTTTGTCCTTTATCCACGGTGGGGGGGGGCTATATGCATGGCTTTGAAGTGCAGGTCGGATGGCACGTGTGGGGCACGTTTTACATTTCTTCGTCATCATGAGATAGTGGAGATTGCATTGCAAATCGATGTAGATCGCTTCGCATTCACACATCGCATTAGAGATATTGCAGATTGGTTGCATGATGATTGAGATTTCCATCTCCTCTTTCACATAATATATTCCTCATCATGGAAAAAATGGCAAGTATTGTACATATTTCGTCTTCTTGCTGGACAATGGAAGTTGGAATAGTTTTTGCATCAAATAAAAATGAAAAACACCGCGCATGAAATCTGGATTTGTCTGAATTGGTCTGGATTTTGCAACCTCATTATTATCGCTCCTGGCACTCTGCTGCTGTAATATGTAACTCTATCTCATGCATTTTAGGATCATGATGCTATGAAATCACAGTAACACACAGTAATAAATAACACACGGCACCATACCGATCGAAAATCTTCCACTGCATACTAATATATCAGAGAAGAGAACGATTGCAAACGGAGGACTGGCTGGGACAAAATTTAAATTTTCTCATATCCCATTTACACCACTCCTAAATCATCTCTGCTGCTGGATACTGATCATCATGATGACGATAAATGTGGGTTAAATTATGTTGTAATGAAATTAACGGGCGTTCATACGATTTCACGCTGCTGTTCTCACCTTCTCCACTTCCATACATACATATTATTCTGGGGTACTCGCTGAATCTACACAATGGAAATGCTTGGAGTGGAATAAGCTTGATTTTCCTTCTACCTGTGGCTACCAGCCTAGTTCTCACCCACGGTCATGAACTTGACCCCATCTCCTCCCCACTCTTGAATTGTCCTCCAACTGTACAGATGGGAATAATTAGTACCATTGTGATAGACATGCATGCGCAGTTGTAGCGTTTGGTTAATTAGAAAGGTATGCGAGAGTTTGGTCATGATCTTCACATTGATCATGTCCAATCAAATCCATCAACATGATTATTTAGCACACATTTCTATCTCATGGCATCATATGTCATCTGCACTATGAGTTTCACAGATATGATATGCAAATACTTGTATGCATGCTTGCTTATCCACATTTTCTCCTTATCTGGCTCAGATATCACACATAACACCAAATGTCCATGAGTGCAGGCTTATCGAACCCTTATACATAATTGTGTTGTCAAATCAAACACAACTTGTGTGGAAATACCGCACCGCACAATATGCAATGTTTGTATGTGTCCAAGTTTATGGTCAGACGTGATTCGAGATATGATGTACAGTACACGAAACCACGCTGCAGATGGTCAATGGGGTCATGAACTACGTAATGACAACAATAACAATAAATAGCATAGGCCCAACAATCCAGCCAAGGAAAGTCTCAATCAGACCCACTTGAAAAAAAACGGTGGAATGTCAGAGTCATCATCATGATCCCCATAAATTGCATAAAAGTGGCCACGCGGTCAGGATGAGTAGACCTTATTTGCACTTGATAAGGGCCAAAAATGAGATCTTTTTAAAAGAGGACTTAACTTGTTAAATCTTCACTACATATGCAAGTCTCGAGGGAGGAAAACAGTGAACGTAACGAAAGGAGCTGTAAGTAGAATCTACAGTTTCGACTGCAAAATGAGAATAGCAAAATAGTGCAAAATGAGAATTGCACTGATGATCCTGTATTCGCGACTTCGCGTGGAGCAAGCAGTTTGACTTTTGCTCTCGTTTCCGTTCCTTCCTTTGTCACTCGTTCGTCTTCTTGGTTTCCATCCTAAAATCCATTATTTACATGCATGCCTTACGTAAGTACGTATATAAACTCAACGATCTCCAAAGTAAGTAGCAAAAATTAGTGTTCTTGTTTAATGTAGTAGTTGCTTCCATCCTCAGTTACATATGTTATTGACTTGAGTAATCCCGAAATGTTCAAACCATAAATCAGAAAAGAATCTAGATTCACTAGGCCTAGTCTGGACTGAAGCACGAGAATGAGCGTCGTGGACCGTTGTCCTCCCTCAATTTCAAGTTCATCCCGCAATCGAGGCATGCTCTGGAGTACATCGCTCTGGAGAGCTTCACAACTATTTACACAGCTCTAGATGTTTCATTCTCATGCAAATTCCACCTCTGGCATGGCGTCATCCTCTCCTACGCCTCATTTTCATCACAATGACGACCAGGTAATTATGCAACAGGCAGACATGCTACATGATAGATTCGTATGCACTAAAACTCCACCTCAAAAGGGTCGCACCATGGTCGCACTGAGAAATTGGAAGAAATTAAAGTCCGTACTCCCGATCCTCTTCATCCACCAACGACCGCCTTCACTCGCAGGCTGGCATGATTTCAAACTTGCAAATAGTTTTATGATAAGTAGTTTGATGGACCAAGGAAAAGTGGACATGTGATCAAGTGGATGATATTTCAAGATTGATGTCTTTATTATTATTCAACAGGGCGCACAAAGATTCAAAGTTCACATTTACCATTACTTAATATTCCTTCTTCTTCCATCATGTAGTTGGAATTGTTTACCACCGAGTTGCTAATTAATAATCACTCATCTCGCATGTGTATCTCATTACAATACAATACTAATTTCTCTCTCGCCTCTTGTTACATAAGGAGTAGGATTGCCACAGCACAAGTATTTCTAGGGCCATGCGGAGTGCGTATCAAACTAGATCAGTACAAAAATACTCTGGAAATAGGATTAGCTTTTAAATTCTTAAATATATATTCTCATTATTTATAGGCGGAGTGTAGATCTGGTGGATTATGGTTTATGTATGTATGCATGGTTGTGAGGTGAGTATTTCATTAGCCACAGTTTGATCCCATTCATCCGAGATGAGCGACGCCAAAAGGTGACCAAAATAGCCACGCCACAAAGATTTTGGTTCCGTGTGACAGCATTTCGTCGTCTGGAGTATTGGTCACGATGACCTTCCTCTCGCCACCGCCACCACCACCACCACCATCAGCGCCGATGGTGAGGGCACCATAAAAATGAATACGCATCGAGTTGAAGTGAGGAGTCTGCTGATATTACATATTTATGACGGGCAGGAGCTTAAAGTTTGGTGATAAAAAGTGCCATCTCATTCCAGCATGATTTGCACATTACAAAGTTAGATCCATTCTTCTAATTATAGCTCCTCTTCAATGCGAAATAGATAAATGTGGCAGTGTTGGTTGCTAATTTCATCCCCAAGGTTGTTGTTCATCTGCTGGAGTTCAAGGATGGTTTTGATGGTTGGATATAAAATCTATGTGTACGTGTGTACGCTTCTGCCGTGTGTGGAGGGGGAACGATGAGGACGTCGTCTTATCATTACTCCTATCGTAGCATTATCATTACGTAAACTATAAATGTATAATAATAACAAAACGTAGCACTCGTTACTACTGCGCCGCTTCAACAACTAAACTCTACTAATTCTGGTGCACATTTCCATACAAATAATATGAATGTTTATGAGGTGAGGTGTATGCATGACTATTACGTTTTGCTGCTCTTGGTTGTGGGTGTAACTTTGAAGGTGGGAATGGTGACTGCGTCCCTCCAGCTCAGCGTCGTCGTCGTCGTCCCCTTCATCTTTCTTTTCTCTCGCTCCTCCACTTCGTAGAGACCTGAGGAGAACGCACCGAGCCCACCAAAGGCCTTTTTGTGCCACAGGACGCCACCCCCTTCGCTCCCCACCCGCTTCTTATTCCCTCCGGCGGCGAGGAATAGCCCGAGGAGGATGAGACATGCTGTGAGGGCAGCCACCAGGGTGAGCATGATTCCCACAGTGTTATCCTCACTCTCGAGCAGCCGCTGAGCCGCTATCACGTCCACGTCATCGTCAATCTCGTTGGCCGAGTCTGGCTCCTCCGTAGTCGTCGTACTCGTACTGGTGGTGCTAGTACTGACTTCTACGACGAGTTCTGGTTGTTGTGCCGCAGCCTGGTTGACTAGGCGTTCGTGTGTGAATGTAGAGGTGGCAAAATCTGCCGGGTGAAATACTCCCTTGGCGTCTTCAACTCCAATGGCGTTGGCGATGATGAGGGACTCGAGCCAGAAGGAGACGTCCACTCCGTTGGTTCCAACGAGTCGGAAATTTAGCTGTGTCCGGTCAGGCAGGACTTCGACCTCCACCTTCTTCTCACCCAGTTCTGCACCCAAAACTTGGAGGAGTTGTTGCAACTCGACGCCCAGTTGGACTGGTGGAACGTCCTCCCCTCCAGGCAGGGAAAGAGACACGTTGATCTGCGCAATGAGAGTGGTCTCGCAGGATGTGGTTGCATCCACTCCCTCCATCAACTTCCCAGCCTCGTCCACGCAGAAACAAGGGAAGTCAGAGTCAGATGGTGGGCATTGACGGGGAGTAAATTTCCCAGTTACGCTGTCACAGTGGGGCCCTGTTCCGCTAGGCTCACGCATTTGGATGAGTTCGCATCGGGTGTGGGTGGGAAGGCTGATTCCGGGACGAAGTTTGAGAAATTGGCCAGTAAAGAAGGATTCTGAAGGGGCTATTTCAATCACATCAGCGTCGTCACCTGATGACGCTGTTTTCATCATCGTGGGACTTAATAAGTCTTCGCAGTTGACCTTGTTGCCGTGAAAGTCGGTCAGACTGGCGGTGCAGGAGCAGGGATCGACCGTGCAGAGGAAGTCGTCTAGGTCGTGGCCAGGACAGGTCACGTTGCGACAGGCTTCCGTCCGACTACAGGTCTTCAGTACCCCTGTTTCCAGCTCTTGCTCAATTTGCTCAAATTTTGGGCAGATGACGACGTCCGGACAACGAGACTCGCATTGTTCTCGGCTCATGAAATTGTTGGCGTTCCCACCACAACCCCCGTAATCGAATGGAGTGCATGACTGGGTGGTGGGGTTGAAGTGAAAGCGGAGCATTGAAGCGCGACATGGGCCGGGTTTTAGCGGGAGGTTACAAATGTCGTTTCCTCCTCCTCCTCCTCCCACGCATTGGGAGGAACAGTCTTCGAGGGTCACAAAATTATTCGAGTTTCCCCCACAGCCGCCGTAAATGAATGGTTCACACGTGGCAGAGGTGGAATTGAAGGAGAAGCGCGGAATGGACGCGCGGCAGAGACCGGGGTCGAATGCAGGCTGCGCACAGGCCGGCTCACACCGTACCTTTTCCCCACTGGGCCTACATTGGAGAAGAGAAAAGTGACAATTTTAAGAAATGAATGACAATGACCCAACTGTTCTCGCAATGGAACATTTGTTGACGCTACATCGGTTTAGCTTAGTGACTGGTACCGAAAAATAAATTAAACCGATGTAGCTTGAAGAATAATATCCCCTTGTGAAGAGATAATAAAAAGCTGTGCATTTAGGCCATACTTGTAGAATGAAGGGCTGCACGAGTCACAAACGTCCATAACACACACAGCGTCGGGGTGGAGTGAGCAGGAGGCGTGGAGGCACGTGTCCTTGCACACGGTCGGGGTTTGGTGTGGGTCAGGACAAACCGGACCCTTCATCCACCGTTGGAGCAACGTACCTACAACAGCACACACATCAAGTAATTGTATAATTAGTTTAATATGTAATTCCTTTCTTCCCCTCTTAGCTTTCACGCTTAAAAATGGCATTTGTGAGCATGCACTAATCCCAAGTTTGGACACGAGAAAGGTTTTAGATGTATGTAGAAGCCGCCTAGATTACCGTTAGTGGAGCAGATGACCTTGCCACGAGTGAGCGTCTCTGGGACGGGGGTTCCGTCGGGCGAGACGCACCAGGAAAGCTCTCCTTGAGACTGGACTGGCGAGTAGGTCCCATTCTTCTGACCACACTCTGGGAGAGACACCACCATGGATGGTGGCTCAACCTCAACCGCTTCATCTGAACAGCACGATAGTTTTTAACTTAGGAACATATTTTAGATAGATAGAGCTAAAAGTGGTTAATTGTCACTTACAAACGGGATTGACGAGACTGGGCAATGGAGACCGTTCATTGCTGGTGATCGGAATGCACCTCAGCCCACAGCCTCCTAAACAGCACTTGAGTCCAGTTGGACAGTCCTGGTCAGCATCACACTCGTCCCCACACGACCCGGATAGGAGGGCAAGAAGGGCGAACGGAGATGGTGGGGGGCAGGTTCCCCCACGAAGTCCATTTGTGGCGGAGATGCTGTTGCTAGGATGTGGCAGGATGGACACCAGAATTTCCCTCCGGCTGCTCATTGGCCCATTTTCTTCGGACGAGAATCCATGGGACGACGACTCCATGGCGAGTGAATCCTCAAACTCTTGCTCTTCCAGATCTGAGAGACAAAACATTAAAGGAAATGTGTCTGCAGGAATTTGTGACTTTTTTTATTAGTCGCCTCACCTCTGCGAACCCTGCTTCTCCTCAAAAATGCAAACTCTTCTTCATCCTCTTCTCGTCCTTTGCTTGGTCGTCCCCTTGGTGCGGAAGATGAGGATGGCATGAGGTCAACGAGATCGTCGGAGAGGTAGCCTGGAACCGTGCCGTGACTGCTCCCACTCGTCATCAGGTCCGCCAAAATGTCCGCGATGCTCTTCACGGGGGATGAATGGGGTGCACGGACCATTGGATTCTTAGTCTTCTTTATTGTCTGCGTGTGTCCTCCGTCCTCTTCGGAAGAAGAGGAATCTCCAACGAACGTGACGCTACTGGACATGATCCCCATCATACCGTTGCCCAAAGAGGCCGTAAAGATGGGGCCGGTCCTCATGCTTCTCGATGCCTCCAGTCTGTTTCCTTCTGTCGCCATCCCACTACCACCATCACCACGGTGTAGCAATTCACTGAGGGATCCGAATGGGTTCATCATCATCATCATGGCATCCTCCTCGTCCTCTTGTGATGGCGGCGGAGGGACGGCCATTCCGAAAGAGTAGCCCTGGTTAATCCAAGCCTGCGAGTTCATCACCAAGTTCATCTCTCGGTGACAACTTCCAAGTCCGCTGGAGCAGTCGAGCTCTTGACCCGTGCTTGGAGAGACCCATTTTGGGGTGCAGCCTCCACATGGATTTACCATGCAAAGGGCGTCTGGATATGCGAAGCAGATTTTCGACGAACAAGTCGACTTGGGACATTTGTGTACGGTCACGCCTGCCTCACACACTAAATAATTTTGGAAACAATTATTCATTGGTCATTTAATCAATGAATAATTTCAATTATCGCCTCGGGTTCATAAATGATCTCGTACCCATTTGGTTCTGTGGTGGGAAGGAAGATTCTGGTGTGGACTTCATGGCCCTTCCCCTTCGTGGCTGGCAGTTGGGGACGCCACTGGTCATGCTTCCCTTTAAGGGCTCCCCCTTCTTCTTGTCCACGCACCAACACATCCCGACCTCTTCAAGACACTGGACCGGCTCCCAGTCTCCACTGCGGGAGTCGCATTTTGGGATGTAGCTCATGTGACCATATTTGCCTACCAGCTCTGCATTCTTGCCCCGCATTCGCTCGCAATGGCTGAGAGCTGGGCAAACGGAGAGGCATTCTGCCTTCGAGTTGAACTGGTTGTTGTTTCCCCCACAGCCGAAAAATGGGAATGGTTGACATTCGTTGGAGGAAGTGTTGAAGAACCATCTCGTCGTCGTGGTCATACGTTGGGCGGCCGAAGGAGATTTGCACCCACCCTCGTCCACTGGTTCGAAACAGACTTCCTCTAAAATAGCGGATTCATTCAGTTAGCAGGACTTTTGTGGCAATGAATTTACGTTTGTAAGTAGAAGAGGGATTGGAACTCACTTGGTTTGGGACAACAGACGGCATATTCTCCAAAGGGTGAAATGTTACATTTGTGGGACGAGGGGCAGCCACGACCACCGCTTCGGCAGGACACCCATTCTCCGCTTTCCTCGAACGCGAGGGGACTTCCGAATGGGCAAGGATTGTCGAGGCGTGGGAGGCAGAGTGGGGCTGGTGGACATGGTTCGGAGATACAGTTCAGCTGCACCATGCGACACTCCTCACCTGAAGAACAAACCACCTGGTCACATGGAGATGGTTTACAGTCGCAAAGAGGGCAGCCTGCAGAGTCTAGATTGAGGCCAAACTCGCACTGGAGAGAACAGCGCTTCTGTGGACACTGAGATGGTTCTGAAGAATACAATTTCAAGAGTTAAGATAATTTATATTAATGCTTGCATACAATGTGACGTATGTATGTTTGTGTTTTTACTCTGGCAGTTTGGCAAATTGGGAGATTTCACTCGCGTCCCTTGAATCTCTTCTCCGGCCGAGTCTACGCACCAATTCAGCCCGGAAAAGGACTGGATTCGAACGTATTGGCCGTTGGAGTCACACTCGGGAATGAAGACGCGTCTCGTCGGCATTCCAGATTCACGCGCCTTGTGCTCCAAAATCTCCCTCTGATGTTGGCAGGCTGCGAGTAAAATGAAGATATCTTAAAGGATTAGTGTACAAAAGAGCTTATCGTCCATAGTAATTTTCACCTGTGAGCAAGAGTGGTTCTACACATTGAGTCCCCCCGCAAGAATTGAGACAGCATTTTTTCGACCCTCCTCCGCAATGAGAATCCGTCTCGCACTCGGACTCGCCACACCCATCGACGGGATGGAATGGGAGGAGGTAAGGACACTGACCGGGTTTCGCGTGCTGATGACTCATTGCATGAGCGGACTCGCCAAAGAGGAGCTCGAGCAGGTTGTTGTGGTGCGAGCCATCCGAGGAAGACGAGGCCCTGTTCTCAACAGGCAAGAGGTACGAGTCGTCCTCCTCGTCGTCATCCTGCAAACCGTCCTCCAAGATGGGACAACAAATTCCGGAATCGAGAGCAACCTCGGCGCAAAAGTAGTCGTCCGGACGACTACTATCGTCGTCCTTGTAATTTTTACCTGTGAGCAAGAGTGGTTCTTGTGTGGGCGGTGAGAGAATTTGTTTACTTTTACGAGTGGTAGTGGAATTAATTCACAGCGGAGTGAGTGAGACTGAGATCTGAGACTGAGATTTTGCTGAGATCAGTGAGCTTTGTTGCTGCGTGCAAATACTGATCTCACTCACTCACTCCGCTGTGAATTAATTCCACTACCACTCGTAAAAGTAAACAAATTCTTCTCACCGCCCACACTCTGACCGTGAATAACTTAGTAAAATTAGCATAACTTAAAAGTTCGACATGGCACCAATTATCAGGAAGCTGCGAAAAAGAGTGAAAGGAGCTGAAGCATTCGAAGTGGCAAAAATAAAAAATAAGTACGAGTGCGAAATGTGCGACGAACGTTTTGTGTCTCTATATCTACTTGACATTCATCGAAAAAGACACTTGAATTCGAATTTGAAGAATTCGTTTGTGGCAACTGCAGCAAAACGTTTATCACAGAGAGTAATCTGACAAGTCATCAGTTGACCCATTCCGATGAGAGAAATTTTGCGTGTGTACTTTGTGGGGTAAAGTGTAAAAGGTTTGTCTCTCATTGTTCATGTAATTTCGTATTATTGACTGTTTGATTAACCTAACCATTCTTTGAATAACTTTAGAAATGGTGATCTCCTTCGGCACATGAGGGCACAACATCCCGGATCCAGCCAGATTAAAAGTAATGTTTAGTTAATGTTTTTCTAATTTATAAATTACTACAATAATCTTTATCTACATTTTTGTGTTATGTAGAAACAATGATTAGGCGGCAAAAGTCGTACGACAATTTCGAAGTACAGACTATTGATGGTGAATTGGTGTCGACGTGCATAACTTGCAGATTCGTGGCGTGTAATCAGATGTCCATGCAAACTCATACAAGGAGAGGACACGTCGCCATTCCCACACAAGTTTACGCAGAACGTGATGGTTGCAAAATTGTTCCGAGAGAATTCAGACCTCAAGACTACTATGGTAAACTACCTTTATAAAATGCATACGGTTCCATATATATTTACCTCGTTTTTATTGTTGGTTGGTTGCAGAGAGTAATGGCGGCTTACACAAGATGATAATCAAAATTTGGATGAAGGACAACACGATCGGTCTGAGTATAAGTAAAACTACGTATGGAGACGAGGTTCTTGCCGCCCAGAAAAACAAAAATGACATGAAGAGTGCCGGGCGTAACAACACCACCATGCTGAAGAAGGCTTGCTCGTCGAGGGTCCTCCTCCCAGAAGGTTATGAGGTTGTTTGTGAAAAAACAAGAGTCGTCCCCATCCACCCTTTTCAAGGATCTTTGTGTAGTTCCAACGGGAAGTGGACAGTTCGCAACATTCTTCAAAAAGTGTGCGTGGACACGTTTATGCCCCCAGAAGCTCTCACGTATTTTGAAGAAGATGAACTCGCCATCATCATCAAAGCTGTGGAAGAGTTGAAGAACTCTTTGATTATTGGGGAACGTGAACTAGTCTTCATAGACGAAACAGAGGAAGGAGATCGACCACTGGGCGACCCTATTCTCAGGGCAAAGATTGAAGAAGGGACCTCCAGAATTTGCAAATTGGAGGAAGAGCTGTATCAGGCCTCGCTGCGTGAAGAAAAATTGCTCAAGGAGTTGGAGGATGAGAAACTTAGTCACAACGAGACAAAAAAAAGGTAAGTCAACTCTCCTTATTTTCAACTCTAAAATTAGTAATTCGTATTGTATTCGTTGTAATCGTTGAACTGTATTTGATTAATTAGTTGACGGTGGTGAAACGAGAACGAGCTTTGTTGCTGCGTGCAAATTCTGAAAAGAGGAATTCTGACCGTGTACCCCTCTCAAACGCCACCAACTCGCCGGTGAAGAGGATGAAATGACATAATTTCTTGAAATTATCATTTTTTTTGTGTTCAATCATTAGACATACATAAATTAAAGCATACAAATAAATTGAAATAAATAATGACTCCGTTTCTAATTGAGTAATCGTAGGATAGATAAGTGCATACCTAGTTTTTTGGGTGCAACGAGGACGCAGATGTGAGAGGAGGGACATTGGCCGTCCGGACATTGTAACATCCTCGCCCGTGGGGAACAGCTCAGAGCCGAGTCATTCGAGTCGGAAGAACGGAATGGAGCCCGTCCTCCGGGACATGGGGACACGACCGCGTTCCCACCACCAGGAGATAGCGCTTCCCCATTTGCCAGGGCAGCCAACACTTTCGGGACGCCTTTACACGTGACGAGATAAAATGGCACGATAAGATTTATTGTGTAGGTAAAGAACAAATGTAAATTCTGGAGATTACTGTTTCCACTCACAAAAAGGAAGTGGGGGGCAGTGGTCCTCCACACAATCAATGTCCACCATTTCGCACTGGTCATCCTCGCCACAATTGTGTTTGGATAGGCATGGGTTTTTGCACTCGCAGATTTTGCAGGTGTCGACCCTCTCGTAGCCGTAGTCGCACTCCAGACGACAGTTCATTTCCAGACACTTTGGATTATGGCGTGCGGCGAGGCAGGCCTTCGTCGTCAGGTTGTGGCTCAGTTTGTCCATCCTTGGCGACAAATAATATGACGCAGATATTATTAGACACATGTATAAACTCAAAGCTTATTATTATTGACTATTAGGATTAGTACATTGTGCCCGGAATCTCAGCACCGTGTTCATCCACGCAGGCGCAGTGATCCTGGTCACACTGGATTTCAGAAAACTCGCCATTTTCCTAGGAAAAAGTTAGACAAATGGTCATAATTTCTCATATTTGGCATAGCAAGACGTACATAAATAATAATACCTTGCACTGTGGTTTGCTCTTGGCCATTCTAAACTTGCCCAAAAGTGGGGTGTGAGTATCCACGTCACGAAGATATTGACACACTATAGTAAACATCATATCATAAATCAGTAAACGCCAGCCACACGCATGGACAAAGAGAGGAAAAACTCACTGCTTGGGGTGTTGCTCTTGGTGTGAGGAATGTCTTGGTGGAGCAGTGGGTCCGCGCAAACCGTGCAGTCTCCAGCCGCACAACATTTCATCGACGTGTTGCAGTCGCTGTCTGACCCGCACTTTTTGTGACTCTGAACAAGCTCCAAGCTGTTGTTCGCGGTGGAAGTTGTGGATCCGCTGCAGAGCGTGGGCGCCAGGAAAGGACACATTCCAGGCTTCGTGGGTTCTATAAATGCAGGTGACATGTATGTAGACGTGAAATGGTGAAATGCATTTTTACTGCTAAAAACAAATTAGATTTGTAGCAGAAACTTTTTATCTTTTGAAATTTACAAAAGTATGCACGTGGATATGCTGTGAAGATTATATACCTTAATGCAAAATATTATTTTTTACGACTCTTTCAGTTCTCGACTCTGCATAACTTGAATTTTCTAGTCGTAAAATAACTAGTCGTAAACTTGATGAGAAATTAACTGGCGGATTAAGTACATATTTTAACTGCAGTTTTAACTGCAAACCGATCCGACGGTTGGCTACTCCTTCCTCACTTTCTAATTGGCTGATCCTACAATATACTTATAAGGACTGCATACCTAGACGAGGACTGTTGGGACAACATAGGCCGGCTTTATTGGGTGCGACGAGGACGCAGATGTGGGAGGAGGGGCATGTGGGGGCAGACTGCGAACAGGCAACGACCTGGGCAGACTGGGCATAAGTCAGTGGGGAGCCGAGAGGGCAAGGGTTGACGAAAAGGGAGTCGGATAAGCACGTCGGTTCCAGCGCTTCCCCTCCACGCTCACTCTTGACGAGGACGCAGCCTGAGCCTGAGGGGCATCGGAGGTGGGCGCAGGGACTTTCCATGCAGTCGCACGTGGGGCACGAGTTGCGGTCCGTCTTGAAGCCATACTCGCAGCTGAGATTGGGTGGGCAGATGATGGGGTCGCAGGCTGAGGTCACATACGAGGAGTCGTCCGAACGAGGAGCCCCTGCTGCACAACAAATCGATTTATTAGAAACCCTTCTTACATATGCATTGCATGTCCACTCAAATCGCTCACCTCGGTGTCTGGACGTGGTGGTCGAGAGGGTGGAACAGTTCACGCTTTCCGCAGAGCCGAGCGACTGGGCGAAATTCTTCCCGTCTGGCCCCACGCACCAGCAAACCTTCCCATTCCTAAATAATTGAGTTTATTAATTGATAGTTATTCTCAGCGAGAAAATTATCAGAATGCATGAGTCTCTAAAATAATGCATTTTATCATCCTACCGACTGCACTGCTTGGGAAGAAAGGTCCCACTTTCGTCACACTGCGGGATGTATCCCTTCCCCTCTAGCTCCCTCCCCGACAAAAGTTCTGCAATGTGCTTCTGTTGAAGGCAGGCTGAAATATTTCACAAAGAAGACGTTAAAAAACACAATCTAAATTCAAAGTTAGTTGATCAGTTGTAAAAAAAAGTGGAGCGTGGTGTTACCCGTGGTATTTGCCGGTTTTGAGCACTGCTTCCCACAACCCTGCGTGAAACAGCATTTGTCAAAATCTGGGCAGTCGAGATCATGCCGACATCCGGCGGGGCAGGCTTTGTCCGCCTCCTCCTGGTCGTCCTTGTTGTCCAGCGTAACTCCCACGACGGGACAAGTTCCTGGCTTATCAAAATTCTTGTTGGCCGCACAGCAGACACCATAGTCATTTCCGGCCCCCACGTTGCATTGGAATGCTGCGGGGCATGGGGGACCCGACGGGCCGGACCCACAGAGGAAGGGGGAGCCGAGTTCTGGGATGGTGAGCGGGGCACCAAAGGGACACAAGGAGTCGAGTGAGCGGGGTTGTTTGCACGAGGGTACGGGAGGACATGGTGACGTCGAGCAAGGAGGCTCCACGACCTCACACTCCTCTCCAGAAGGGCATTTCACCTTCGAGCAAAAATTGAGACATTCGCACGTCTCGCAACCGTCTGAATCCAGAGCAAACCCGTGAGGACAGAGCATGCGACAAGTAGGTCCCTCGCATTTTGGGTTACGCCCTACACAACAGCAAATAAATGCTAGTGTTATTTTAATAGAACACTATCCAATGCCAATGAGTTATCTCCATATGAGGGCGTATATACATACGTGAGCAGTTGACTTGTTCCCGTGTGGCTGCCCTCGTGCCGGGGAGTTCGAAACCTTGAGAGTCGACGCAGAAACAGCCGCCCTTTGCAGCAGAACACTGCACTTCTTGGAATTTGCCCGTCTCAGGGTCACAATCCGGCAGCGGCACAGACGCAGCGTCCTCCGGTTCCAAGGAACGTGCTCGACGCTCCGCAAAACTTCGAACCTGCTCACATGCTGCACAAACAGAAAGCCAGTTTTATTACATTTTTGTCAGCCTTGAAATAGGGCCATGACTAAGCAATCGATGGATCCGTATGGATTACAATAATGTGATAGGCTGCACTATTACTCGTATTATTCGAGCAAGTAATCATGCGTCATGCTTTTACAGTTTCACGCAAATGGGAAAAAATGTGTAATTAATTTACGTAAAGTTTCAAATCCAATGCCAATGTCAGCAGTCGTTAGCGAGTAAGTCAGTCAGCGTAAAAAGGGCTGCGCGTGCATATCGGAATCAGTTCCCTCGTACATATGCACACTAAAGACCAACGCCTTCATCAACGCCATGCCAAACCACTTGACGGTATAACAACTCATTTTGCACCATCTAAAACCGAGTAAGAATGTGCAAAGTGGTGGAAACGCGTACATACACGCCTGCACAGGCATTGTTGCACTGCATAAAAGTAAATAAATGTTGCTGGCACGTTCTTCATAATAATAATCATAATATTAAGACAGAAAATTTACTCATGCACAACTCTCGAGTACAAAATTTAGCAGAGCGAAACGTTTTTCCTTTTTGAGCTGCAAAAACGACTCCCCGACCGACTTGACGAGATAAGCTGATTATGAGTGGACCTTCATCTCCTCGTCATGACGTTGTTGGAAACGATGCAGCACAAACAAGGGATGTCAACAGCTTTATGAATTATTTTTTAAATGCTGAGTTTATTCGGTTGAGAAATTGAAGCTAATTTTGCATAATACTTTTTCGATATAATGACTCTGTTTATAATCAAGTGGACGCTATTATGCCGCGAACTGTACATTTTTTGTCGCATTCCATTAGTGCTAAGCAAATCTGTTTCTTATCGGTTCCTCGGCGATAGCAATGTCACGTCCTCCCCAAGGAAAATCTCCTCAATAGCACCAAAGTTTTGAAATCCAAACATCTCGTCTTGTTTTCATTTCAGAGTGAGTGAAATGGTGTCTGCATGTGTGTGGAGTGACACAATTATTATTGCAAAATTTATTTCATCTAAAAAGAATTCGCCATAAAATGAATGACGATGACATTCATTAGCTAACATTTCCTTTACATAAAATTTCATTTTTGAAACCCCAAAATTTAAAAAGTGAAAAAGAATGGTAATTTTTCCCATACAAATCCCAATCTCTCGCAATCAGAATTTTTAATAAGGATCTGGATGATTGATGATGAATGCATTTTGTGTGCACTAAAAAAATGGGAGAATAGAGAAATCATCGTCGTCGTCGTCATTCCTCGAAAGAGCAGCATCAGCAGCAGGATGGTTTTCTGGCGTCAATGGCGTGGTGGTTCGGCTGGGGAGTCGTGATCGTGACTTTAATTCATCGATTGTTTGGATTGAGTGGATTTTCCTTATTCTCCCATTTTATAACCGATTCTTCAAACTCATCTGAGCACTCAGGATTTTATAAGCCGATCTGAATTGATTTACATTTAGAAATAAAAATAAGAAGAGCGAGCGAGTCGAAATCATAAATATAAATAGACGAATAAATCCAAGCAGAAATACTTGAGTGCGAGTGAGTGCGGACAATTTAGAGTGCGCACAATCTTGTACAATGGCCCTGCAGAGGTAGGACAACAATGGAAAGAGAAAATGATCAGCCTTCTCATTTTATTTCTCATTTATTCCGCACGCACGCCAAGCCAGCTAGAAATAGATAAGAAATAATAAAAGCTATCAAAAAAAGTCGACCAATTCAATCGTGCGATTCGATAACAACAATTTGGCAGAAATGGTGAATTGCGAGGGCTCTCGTAAGTCGTTGATGTATTGATGAATGGGTTATGGCATCTCCTCCATTGGTTTTGTTTATCACCGTTTTGTGTGAAAACCTATATACGAATTTCAATGGGGCTGCTTTTGGCTGTGCAGTATCCGAGGAGGCCAATCTGAAGATGACAAAGTGAGATTACGTTCTTCCTCTGCGTACAATTGACAATGGCTGAGCATCGCATTGCTCCTCTGTGGCTGAATGGGAGACCTGGTGCGTGCATGACAATGGCGTGGGAGGGAGGAGGCTGTGCTGCTTAGTGAACCGGTAACTTCCGCCGTTAATTGTTTCCCAGCCAGGATACCGAACCCTTAAATAAATTATGCCCATCATTCCTTTGTTCCTTCCTTTCTAATCAAGACTCGACTTCTGATAACTAACGCCTCGCCTCTTTCTTCACAAGAGATCAAGAAAACGACGACAAAATCTGTCCCAATCTCTGCGCAATACTAATAATTTATTATATTAAGCATGTGCAAAACTTTGTTCAAGTTTTTTGCCCAAAATAAATATGCAAAATAGAAAGTTATTTAGGTACAAAGATAAGTACTACGTATAAGGCATGATTTCCGACCAAACTGAAGCGGCTGCAGCATGTCTTACCAAAATCTTATGTAGATTCTTATGCAGATTCTCTCTGAAAATTAAGTTTGTAACTCTAACTTGCGCTGGGAGAAAAAGCTAAGAAAATTGGTTTTGGCAAGGACCGCTTCGGGGGTATTAATTCAGGTTGGATTTTGAATTGTTCGAGTATGGGTGTGGTATATATGGTATGGCTCATCCCCTAGCGTCGCTTTTTGGTTGGAAATTTCTCCAATTTCATTTCAGAAACTTTTATTACAAGCCGTTAGCATTTGTGTCCCAAGCTTTCTCTTTTGAAATTTTGGTGCATAATACCCCCACCCAACTACATGACTCCCACCGGTCAACTTGGCCGATTTTACTCATCTTCAAATTTAAGTCCCAACTTCATCTAACATGCATGCATGCAAAACTTGAACTCAATCGGTCCACCGCTTTTGCTAAAAATATAAAAGCACGGATCTACTTATGACATTAATTGATATTAATCAGTCGGAATTTTAGACAGTTTAATATTTAGAGTAAAAGTGGATTCTTGAGTAGAGCAAGATGATGGTGATGAGATGCATCACCGCCGCTGCCTCATCAAGCAAAGATTCATTATCAAAATGCTTTAAAATTGTTACGGGCTTTAAGCTTGGTAAATATTTCTCACATGCAACTCCTGCTACACGGCTCATTACCATGCACAACCACAACCGTACGTAGAATTCGTTCTCCTTTTTGGCAATAATTCAGCAACTTTTTTTACAAAAAAAACCGACTGATCGGATGATGACACATGTCAGTCATGTACATAATGACCAATTCTTGTGCGTATAAAATTATGGTGTTTCTTCTATTTTCTAAAAGTCACGCGAATAAGATTTGCACATATGGATTAAGTATGTATTTATGTACGTACGTACGTATGTATGTACGCTGAGCTATGCACAGGAGCCCTTTGAACAAGATGCAGTTATAATAAGTTGAACGCATTAATTACTTATTTAAGCAATACTGATTAAATAAACCACCAGAAAAACAAGTCGTCAAAAAATGCGATAATTATTATATTTCTCTATTTATCCGCCTAGAAAATTAAAGCTACTTTATTACTTATATAACGATAAGTGTATATTATGCAGTTTCGCTCTGCTGAGTTTTTAGGGACCTCCACGGTCCTCCTATTTATTGTTTCCTCTATTGTTGTTTATTATGCATTTAATCATTCACTTCCAACTTACTTACCACCAATCAACAACACTTTACAATACTGACAGAAAAAAACAAGAGTTGTCAGAAAATGAAATTGTATCAAGAGCAACTTTCTTGTTCTTGATGATAATAATAAAATAACAACGCTTATGGTTGATGAATGGATGCCATAATAATGCAGAGATACGTATGTACGTGTGTACAGCAGGAGAGTTGCCTATCCGTTTTTTTATTTTTCTTTGCAGCGACTACACATTTTGTAGCTTAGTTATTTATTTACGAGCTCCCACCAGCATCTCTTGAAAACTATTCGAGTGAGATATGTACAGCTAGATAATTGCAGTTGCAGTGCAGCAGCTATTAAAATTATTAGCCCATTAACTCACCAAAAAGTGGATATGTGAAAAGGATGAATTCTCTCTCATGCTGTGTGCCACTCTCTGCTGCACTCAGCCTCTTATCCTCCCCATTCTCTCCTCTCATGATAACAGCTCTAACAACTCCAATAAATGCCTCGAGTTTGAAAAGGGAACACAAAAAATAAGTCTCACAATTATTATTATTAAACAATCAGAATCATCTCAGTCAGAGTTTGAAAGTTTTATGGAAGCAGAATTCGAAAGATTTAAAACAATATTTGAGGTCTTTGCTGTTAAGTATTGTACAAAAATTTTGCAAACTACGACACGCCACTCAAGAGAATTAGATAGATTTTGACGATGATGATGACACTGTTGAATGAAGCAAAAGAAGGTGCCGTTAAGAGTGGCACTTATTTTTGCCCTACCGATTTTTTCCAATGCTTCATTGCGATTCTTTGATGGATAAGTCTGATGAAGGGGAACAAATAACGAGCAAAAAAGAAGCAGTAATAACGGGAGCCTTGCATTTTTATGTGGTATCCGAGGGTTTGTAAACCACCATCAAGTGAATTCCTATAATAATATATGCAGCAGGGCAGATTTTACGGTGGCGATATTTTTATAAAGATGAGGGAATAAAACTTTTAGCTGCACCGGGAGTGAGATCAGAAGTCGTCGTCGTTGTGGGATAACAATTCCCATCATTTATTTATGACGGTTAATTACGCGTCCTGATTTTTTGTGACTTCATGCAACCAACCAATGAGTCGAGGGGAGTGTGTCTATATTTCAGCTTATTCGAATTGTTTCCTATTGGCACACACACGCATCGATGACATCACCGTTGCACATGACAATCTGACGAAATTTTGTAATCCATGTGCAATTTGGTTCTCACACATCTGCTGCGACTTCATAATTTTAACTGCCCATGTTTAGCAGTCAACATTGCCAATTCCGTTTAGCGGAGAGAAAAATGTGATGATGATGATAACTCCCAAACAAAGCAAAGCAACCTAAACCATATCGTCAATATTTACAGCCGACAACAATAGCTTCGCTTATTTGTAGCTACCACCATCAGCAATCTGCAACAAGTGAGCATTTATTTACTCTACTGAATGCACGTCGTCGTCGTCGTCGTCGTCGTCACTGAGCATGATGCCAACTTTCACTGTAATTCTGTAATGTTCGTCCATATCCACCTCCACCACAACGCCACTCCTGAATTACAGAGTCACATTGTTGTTGCTTAATAGGAGAGAGAGGGAGATTAACTCGCTAACTAACTCACTCATGGCAAAGGAGCAAACAATCCCCAATTTGCGACAAGTGTGCATTTATGTGACCGTGATCGCGGTGTGGATAAACATTATTCAATCCATTCACAATTAAGAGTACAATTGTGGGCCATTCAGAGTTGGAGAGTTGGAGAATGAAGGAAAAATTTAGACGTGGTTTTGCAAATAGCTAATCAACAACAACAGTCGCATAACAAGAACGTACGACAATTCGAGCTTGATGAGCAGCAAAATAAATTCACGACAAGCGTTACGACAACGAAGTGATGATGAACTAACAAAATCACCTAAACCCTGCAGACTAGTACCATTCACATCAAAATGAGGAGAATGGTCACCACTTTATTTTAATACTGACTCAATACTCCTCGTTTCACTCGTCTCAATTTAATAATAATAAAAGCTATAAAAAATAGGAAAATCCAAAATCACGACTTTGCTGGGTCTGTATCAACAATTTGTGTGTGCGATCATCGAATTTGAAAATCGAATGACAAAGGGATGTGAAATTGACGACGACACTAATTGTGGGGACAAGAGGAGATTCTGTGATGCAACTCCGATTGTTGCGATCCTTGATACGCATTAGATTTGGCTGTATAATATGGATACGTGTACATGTTGTGCATATTATGAAAGGTAGGGTTTTACTCAAGATTACTGGGTGAGACACATTCATTGTTGCAGTGAGAAAAGGCCGTGGTGGAAGGATGGATCGCTCCCATATTGTCCTCACTACAAAAGCAGTCGAAACTTTTACTTGTACTCCAATTGTCACTTTGTGTCACTCACGATGTAACAAGCAACTAACTGCGTCACACACTTATGTATTTACTACGTACGTAGTACATATGTGCACATGAGTAGTAGACGAATTAAGGAGGAGGATAAGTACATACGTGAGGTCTGTGCTGTGGGTCGTTTGAGTTACGCAACGTACATAATCAAGTATTAAGGATCATGGATGACTGATCATGATAAGCTCAAGAATTTGGCGAGATGTGGCTTGTTGAATTGGAGGAATGCCTTAACTGCTAGCCCCTGCCCTGCCATCTTATCAATCAACGTCGTCATCATGAGTATGATGAAAGAGGGGGAAGGAGAGGGGAACAATTGGGGGTCAAGTGTCATCCACACTGCAGATACGCATCATTAGTCACGACGCGCGATGACAATGACTCGTTCCCTTTGCTAAATGTCATTGTTCCTCCAACAACGTAACTACATATCTGCACAGCTCATGCGCTCAGTGAAATGTGTGACAAAACAATAGCAATTTTGAAGATGACTTGATCACTTATCCCAAATTATCATCATTATTTCATATATTTCCTCCTTTCCCATTCTGCATAATGTGCATTTACATATGTGCACATCATTTGATTGGTGATAAATTGGTGAGATAAATCAGCGACATTTCTCAATAGCTACTTATCATACGTACCTGTGAACACTGGGATGACACAGACGCGACCACATCCCGTCGAACAGCAGAGCGACTCTCCTGAGGGGATAAAGTTAAGAGTTGGATACTTATTAGGATTACTTCCTCCTCGAAAGATTAGCAAAACTGCCCACATTTGGCCATCTGCATATAATTATAGATCTTGATTACCTGAACACTGCGCATCGTGAGTGCACTGATCGCCTCCCTCGGAACAAAGACGCTGGTCCATCTTCGCATCGGGACATCGTCCTCCCTTTGTCACACCTGCAAAGCACATTGTAATTATAATTAAGATGCAAACTAAATTACTGATTTAAAACTATAGATTGCGAAAAATTGGATTATGTATATGTCGTAGAATCAGGCCCTATTTCTTTCGTCGTAGACTTGAGCGGATCATCCGTCCATCCTCCCATTCTTCTTCCCTATAATCTCTCATTTCACTAATGACTGGTGACGAAATGATAACAATGGGCTGAATTAAGACCACAACTTCAAAACCACCATCATTACTCTTATATGCATGAGACGGGGACCGTGTCAGAAATAAACCACGGGACGTTAGGGCTCAAGAAAGAGAAGAGCAACCAATAATCCTATAATCAATCTTGGCGCAGGTGTAACGGGTCTCAGATGAAATCAAGACGGATGACTCAAAGCATACATAACCAGCCCCATTGTTGTCACTCGTACATATTTACAGCTGCTGCCACGTACAACCAACCACCAAGAAGCTAGAGTCTGCCAAGTAGATGTTATTCTGATTTTTAATATTTATCATGACGATGAGATAACAACCATCTTAATTTTTTTCTAACCATCTTAACGGGGAACAAAATGCTTCTTGCCAGCGCTATCATAATGCAGAAAAAGTGTGTCAATCTCAGAACAACTGAGAGTTTTGCTGCAGAAGAGTTGTGTCGAGAAGAAGATTGTGCAGGAGAATGAATTTGCATCTCAACTTACTTCGAACTAGGTGAGGTTATTGTGCGCCCCTCGCATGTCTTACCCACGATCAAGGAGTAAGTCGATCTTGAATATGAACCAACTCGGGATGTCAGAATGCATGGTTGGGCGTTTCATAATCCTAAAACTAAATAAATCCGGTTGTTGCAGTTGCAATCCTCAGAGTAAAAGAGTTTGATGCAGAAAAAGGCTGAGTGGGATTCGCAGTGAGTAATGGATGAAATGCACCACGTACGTAGTGCGAAGAGGAGAAGACGACGACGATCGTTGCACTTTTTATGCGACGAGAATGGTGTTGTAAACAGGTTATAAGGTCATCAATGGTACTCCATCATCATCATCATCGCCACAAACCACCACCACGATGAGGCGTCGTACTGGTTGAACAGCCATTCGAGGAGATCAACAACAGATCGACTTATTGGTCAACTGATCAGGACTTGCTAAAGAGCCTGAAAAGTTTCTCTTTATGTATTCATTTAGTAGGAATTTCCACAAGCAGTCACATTTGCATATCCCCCATCTTGCACACTCTCTTCTGCTCTTTCCCCTCCCGTAATTATTAAATGATGATGGTCCTGTCATTTGACTAGCAACAACAGTCAGTGGTCAGTGGTACCAGTGTGTCTTGTGGCTTTGTATCATAACTTTTATTTCCTGTGACGACTCTAACAAAACCAAAGGAAGAGTTTATGTCCCTCTGACCACGACGACAACGACACGGTTCTTCACTGTGGTCACCATACAAGTACCCGTGTCGTCAAACTCTCCGAATGATGCGTGCATGCTAAATAATAATTTGCAAGGTATTATAACGCATCCAAATTCAAATTTGCACAGCACATCACGAAGGATCTCATTTCGTCGAGGAGGTGCTGGTGATGGCGGTGAAGAAGAAGATTCGCAGAGATTTAGGATGACCCACATATCTCCTTCTTCATGAAGAAGATGAGAAATTAAGCTTGTTGTTATTATTATGACTTCTTATTGTGATGGGTGGGAGGAGGATCATAATGACAAGATTTGCACACGCACACATATTTTGATGTATGCACGTACATATCCACGCACACAGAGGACTTGCCATGTCAATCTAAGTAATGGCAATAATGGCAATTCTAATTACCATTATAGCTCGACACAACCAAACCTAATAATTTATTATTAGCAGAAGAAGAATGCAATTCAGAACCGTGAACGGAAAATCGTATGAATGGAATGAAGCCATTCGACGACGGTTGATTCATACACAGCCAGTGACACAATTGCTAATTTCTTAAATCTGACAACTGCATTTATATAGTCGACATCCATCCAAGCAGCCTTTATGTAGTGGCAGTAGCAGCAGTGGATCTGAATTAGAGTCGAATTCAACAGTGCAAGTTTGTGACCATGAAAGGAGATGATGAACAAATAATGCGGTCTGCCCTCCTCCTCCTTGATAATGACGACTTGGAATGAATCAGGCATTGTTTGTATGTACATTCTGGTTTTTTGGTCGTTAGGTTGTAGTACTCTGCTATATTCGTGGTGTAATAGGATCAGAGAGCTGTTTGATTGATTGACAATTGGAGGAGGGGAATTGCACCAGATCAGGTCCACTAAACAGCTCAAGGAAGGAGTCGTAATTGCAAATTAAGAACTGACGAGGAGATTCCAAAGACTGAAATTAGCTTCTTGGATAGAAATGTAAAGGCCACCGTGCCACCGCAATTTCAATTCCCTTTTGTGCCCATAATTGCACTAATAACTAATGAAAATGAGGTCGTAATAAATCTAGGAATTTTGATTACTAGATGTGAATTCTCTTACCCGATGAGGATGAGTTTGTGGTGGGGGTGGGTGTGTCCCTGTTGAGGGAGAGAGCAGTGGTGGGAGAGGCGAGGAGGGTGACTAGAAGGACGGCGGTGAGGGACCAAACTCCCACCACCATTGTTGCAAATCCATTCCTCCTGCAAATCAACGTGGACACATTTTAATCTCGCAGTTTTGACTGTGTTATTACGCAATAGCCAAATTAACGATAAATGTATTTTGCAAATAGCATCATCCCCCGCCGCTGCAGGTGACCTAGACCATTTTAATTTGAGGTACAAGAGGCAGAAGACAGATCGACACGCACAATAAAAGATAATAATAATGGGAGAGTGAAAGGGTTAAACTTGATGATCATTTAGCTTCACATTGATTCAATAATTCAATAACGACGACGACATCATGATTTATTTTATTTATTCAGTGTGCATTTGTGCATGCATATTCAGGTTCATCTATGTTTATACACTCACCAAGAAGACGATGTGGTTGAAATATGTACACGCTCTCAGTTTGCCCGTGAGAAAAAAATGCTACACTTCGATCGATGGACTGAGGAGCTGGCCTTTAATTGGACATTCCTATGTACTGAATTATCACCATCGTCCCATATCGTCCTCGTCGTCCACTACTCGTGGCCCTTTAATTTGATTTCTCATTTGGAACGCAATGTCACGATCCACACATAAAATGTACGTTCAGCAACAATGCAGTGACAAAACAACCAACAAACAGTAACAAAACCCTGCGATTCATGGCGTTGATTGGTGGTGGTGAATGTGTCCCTCGTGCAAATAACAATAATCCAAGATTTGTATGGTTAAATAGGAGGGTGAGGAATGGGCATTGGAGGTGAAATAGATTAAACGTGCATAATTATTCCCCCTGCTCGTGATTTGTTGTTCATCAACAGTGACAATTTAATTTAAAATTCGTCACTAATCAATCAGAACATGCAGAAACATTTACAATTGACAAAGACATGCATCAACGAACCAAGTGGACGGATAGAGGTCAAAATAATGGTCGACCGTCGTATTGAAATATAGAAAATAGTTGGTCGTCATCCCCAAGAAGAACAAATTTGCATATATGCTTCTCTTATCGTGATTACGCAAGTAGTGCAAAATGTGTATTAAATCCCCGTCGCATATAATACTCATAAAGAAATTGGTCCAATTTTTATTAGCCATCGTTTTTATGCAAGCTGTAAAACCGCACAGAGTAGCTTGAAAAATATCCACATTAAAATTATCAAGTGGCACGATTTAAATAATATTTTGAGATTTGACACCTGTCTCGAGTGTGAAATATTAAGCTCATTTTACGAGAGTGTGGTTTCACGAGGAGGAAGAGGCTCGTAAACGCAATGCAAAATTGATAGCATTGTTGCGTCACATGCGTACTTTGGAGGGTTTAAGAGATTATCTAGTTGGTATTATTATTAGCACGAGCAGGAACTCTCTCATGCACTTTGCACCATTATTGGTCGTCATAATTCTGATGTAAATTATATCTTCAAGAGTGTGGATGAGGACCATTAGTGCCGAAAGATTTACGATCTCATAATAACCACCACCACTCGGATCAGTCCACGTACATAGTATACCACAACTTAAATATTTCCTCCCTTTTCTCTCTACCTCAAATGCAAAGAGGGCTAAAAACTTGGGAAATAATTGGTCCTTTGGAGAGGATCGAGTTGTTGGAATATGTGGTCGAGTTGCATTGCTATCAAGAACTTTATGCAGTTTATTGCAGCAACACAGCAGGTGGGAATTATGTATAATCATGCAGCAGTCGTCATTGCGTAATCCCGTGGTATGAGAAACTACCTCTTGCACTTAAACCTCGTCGTCAGCAAGAGGGGTGTTATCTCTCTGTATGTCAACATATACAGTATGCTCCCCATCCGATTGGAATGTGAGTGTCGCAAGTGTGGAGGCATAACGAGAGTGAAATGCGTGGTCAAGTCCCTGACTACTCATAACTGAAAGGAGATGAGTTGGTAGGTTGACGTCTGGACTGAGGAGAGTGGGCTGGATTACCCAGTGACCCATATTTCACTCTCATTGTTGTCTTCATTAGCACAACAACAATGGCCAACTTTTAGCTGTCTGGTTCGTCACCATGCACGTCCACCTGCCATTCTGCTCCAATTTCCAGGTGGGCACACTCACACTCGTTCATCCAACAATTGACTCGACAGCACACGTTGTTAATCAAGAGAGCGGGGCAAAGATCTCGACAAGAATGTAACCTCTCTCTCTACCACGACTTCCTCCATTTTATTGGTGGTAGAAATTGTGACGATGGAAAAAATGGGATTGGATGGACTCCAATTGTCAGAGGATGACAACTCACGGACATCATGTGCAGCAATCAGTGGGAAGAGGAGTCCCCATTGTCTTGCCAAGATGATCCAGATCACCCTTCTTATTGTCTTCATACAATACGTAGATGTTTGCCTGCCTGCCTCCTAATTACCCCGTCTGCCTTGATTTGTTCTTGTAAACTATGACATGATGATTCGCTCATCTGTCCATCAAACCACACAACCCGTGCAAAAAGTACAATACACCATTGACAAGTCAATATATGAGATGCATCAAGGAACATTAACACCACGGCACATCCATTTTTTACAACAATTTCACATTTCCACCTGCACAAAACATTACGTACGTATGCACTTTTGCAGATCTAAATATCTAGTGCAGCACATTTTTCTATGGTCATCAGAGAAGAATAATTCTCCATTTAAATTTTGTTCGTCTTCCCCCTGGCTGAACCTTCTAAATCAGCTCTTCATGCAACCACTTGTTGAGTTGTTTTATTATGCTGAGTGATCCAGTTAAAAATCCAGTCAGTCAGAGCATATCCTATTCACTCCTGAATGCAAATAAGCAAACCAATCTTGGGCTTGGGGCTGGAGTACACGATTTTTCTGCTTGGCTCTCATTCTTACTCCACAAGTAATTACAGCCTTAAATATATTAGCCAACCGACCAGGTAGCTCTGCACTGCAACAAGTAACAATTACGACAACTAGATCATTTATTTTGCATAATCTGTGAGACGGATCAGCCCTTGACTTTTGGTCTTCCTACATATTTCGTCCCATTGTGCATGGTGTGTCATAAGTGAGGTGCTTGTTGTTGGGCATTTTTACTCTGGCATGGCAAATTCCAAGCCATGTTTGGAAGATTGAGTGAATTGGGTGAGGTACCACTGCATGGGTGTGGTCACTTATGTCTGCTCTCTCTCCTAAGCACAGGTCGTCGTTGATATCGATATTATTAGCGTGCTTTATTTACCACTACCAAGCAATGGACCAAAATATGCATGCACCTTCGTCGTCGTCGCCACCACCCCTCGTCCTACGACAAATAGCTGCATTCTCCCAACAAAAATCCTCCTCAGCTTCACCACAGAGATAGAAACGGGACTCCCAACGTGGCGTGTAAAACCAATGGCCAGGCATGAAATATATATTTATAAAAGTGTAAAATAATGGGAATCTGGTGCGTGCATGCAAATTGATTCCTTAAATAGGAGTTGAGCAAGGTGTGTAATTGAATCCCATCCACACAAAAAACGAGCTTCTACTCGAGCCAATATTTAAGAAGGCAGCGTAATCTGCATGTTTAAGCTTTCTCTCCAAAAAATCTCTGGCACGAAAATCAAAGAGAAAAAATATCGACTTCTTTATGAAATGAAAGTGTCCACTAGCAGCAGCAGCAGCAGTGCAATTAAGATGCTCGTTTTTTGTGGCGCTTTGTGGGAAGTGTGATTTTTACGGTAAACCCAAAATCACAAGCACAATCCGTTAATTGCATGCACTTTACAATTTTTATTTGTTATCAACATGTCATTTGGTTGGTTGGTTAGTTTGAGGATCTGCATACAGAACGCAGATGAATTTCACACTCGAAGCAAAATTACCGGCTCAAACAGGACTTTTGATCATTAATCAAAAGGTGTGTGTGCATAATGTAAAATGAGCGTCCACCAACAGCCGCTGCACATTGGCTGAGTGCACTTTGCTGCATCATCATAATCAACAATTTATGTCTCCTGATTGAAATTTAAACATGTTTTTAGTCGCACTAATTACTCATTGACCAAGTGAAGGAGACCAAAACACCTGCAAACCAAATAATAATTGAAGCCAACCCATGTTTGGTATTTTTTAGTGGAGAGTGAGTGGAGAATGAATGCCTTTGTACGTAATGGTGTTTGTTGTGCGTACGTACGTATGCAGCATATTGCATTCTGTTTTTTCTTGGCTAGAAGCAAATTGTCACCTCTGCCAGAGAAGGAAGATTGAGAAATGTTGCAAGATAAATATGCACATCTATGTAGAAAAAAAACGTGTGTGTATGCAACAACATTCCGGATGTTGGGTGGGATGGCTAATGAATGACGAGCTGAGTTTGGTGCATAAGACTACTAAATATTTGGCACTTTTCTATTTGACACAGGTACACACCACTGATCCCAATAATTATGCAGGTATGCGCACTCATGCAGATATTCAGAAATCGAATCCTAATATGTGCTCGACAAAATGGGAAGACAAAACTGAAATTTTGTCGTTCTGAGATGAAACTTGTTGCCTATCGTGCATCCCCCACGCCATGTCTTACTCTCTCCAATGCATTATGCCGTCTCAACTCATACTAAACGAAATGTTCTGCTTACACAGATTACATATTTCATTCAAGAGTTGGATATTTGCATTTCTGATGATGGCAAATGGATGTGAGACTTGTGATGAGAAAATGGAGTATGAAATGAAGGCCGGACGGAAGGAGCATGCTGAATTGGTGAGATAGACCGCTAAATAAAATAAATATGCATGCACATACATAGTTCAGCTCATAAGTCGTCATTATTTTTACCCCTTTGATTGTGGGACATTGCAATGGTGGCAATCGAGGAAAAAGTAAAACGCTGAGGAAAAGTAAGCCCATTTAATCTGCTACGGCACACACACACATAAAAGAAAAGTGCAAATATATTTATGAATATTGTGTGGCATACTTAGATAAGAAAACAAAAGTACGGAGCAGCACTACATAGACGACAATATGTAAGTTAGTGGTTTATTGTGCTGAGAAGATGAGCAGCAATAACGTGATGATGATTATGGTCATTATTTTATGCGTGGGGAAACTGAGAGTGAAATGACTGTGACCAACAAACAAGCACGAAGGAAATGCTCCCAACCCTGCCAACAATTCATAACATCCTCAACTTTTATATACATGGATTCATAGTCGGCCCAAGAATTAGGGCAAAATTACTCCACAGAATCTCAAATTATAATACTTGGTTCAGGAATAAGGACTTTACCTGGATTGCTGGATTCGCTCCATTTTTCCACTTTCGACTAAATATTTCCGATTAAAAACTTGTCTCGCACTCTAAAAAGTAAGAAAGTTGGGGCGAGACCAACATTGGGAACAATTCGCTCACGGAGCGTCCCTTTCTGTCCACTTTAGAATCACTTTTCTCCGTGCAACACTTCACTCCACTGAACGGAACTGATTCAAGCACTGGGATTTATTTTTGACCAGCTTTCTCCAGAAGTGTTCAAAGTATGATGATTTAGAGCCCTTTTAGAGATCCGTGTTTGCTGTTCAGATTGGATAAATGGATGGAAATTGGTCGACAAAATTTGGACTGAGGTGAGAGTGGAGTATTAAGTGGGGAACTCGGTCATGATGCTAGTGAGTAAGTGGTCCTTCTTAGGTCGGCGTGGGTCCTTCCCCACAAGCAGCCAGAGAGTAACTAAAAACAACTAAACCAGGCAAAGTGGAGTGAGCGAAATGAGACTACAGCAGCCTCACTGCCGCATGAGGTGAGAAAAAGAAGAAGGATGTTCCTAAGTTGGTTAGTAGTGACTGAGATACTGCTTTAGACGACGTCAACCCCTTCACTTTACGTTACCACCAAAGCAAATGCAATTATGATCAATGCAAGAAGAAGAAGAAGAGGTGAACAACATTTCATACTGCATCTCATCTTCCTCCTACATACTTCCCTACACACAGGTAAGTAAATATGCGTGTGCAGTAGTGTGCACTCATAGTTATGGATCAAATTAACTACAATGTATGCTTATGTGATGACTTTATTCGGCTAAGGACTCATCCTGTCATGTCATAAGTTCGAGTGTATATGTACATATAGCAATTTGCAAGGTTTTCGTTTATTATCACTTCTGGAAATTTGTTACAAATAATTGCTTATTTAAGCTATCAGTGTGCATGGTATCCTGGAGAAAGTTACAAGTTTCTTGGTTTATCAAAAATTACTTGAAGATGAATGAAATCAATCGTGATGATAATTGGCAATGGACACAATTACTTGACATAAAGTATCAAATAATCTTGAAGTCCGTCTCGCACCCTAATTTCTGATAACGCTGCTTCGTACGTCAAATAGTGTGATTGTATAAAGATGTCGTCAAATGGTGATGGTGGTGAAAGTGATAAAAGTTTCCTATACCGCCTTCTCCTCTGGCAGACGTTACGGATGAGGTAGAAATCAAAACGTTAAATCTTGAACGATGTAAATAACTCGCGCCTATAGCGTGCTTCCGGAGGATGCTAACTAATATTAAATATATTCAGAGATCGGGACCAGGCTGGGTGGCAAACAGGATGCGAACCTCGCTGTGTAGATAACTTGGAGGCTCCTCCCTCCCAGCCAGTCCCCCCTCGTCATCAGCAAACCTGCGCCTGTGGAGATCACCGCGACGACGATGCCGGCGCCAAAGAAAAAAGTGCTTCACGCCGCACCGACCGTGATGCAATTTTTTTTAGAGCGTTGCCATCATCTCAAGATCCGTCCAGAGATCTTTCCTCGGTCATCCTCTGGATTGGCTGCATCCTGGTCACTCTGGTCTCAATCTATGTTTCTTACGCTGCTTGTCAACCACTCTTAAAGTCGTGGGCGAGAATGAGTATACCCACAAGCACAAAAATCCCTACCAACCCTTGTGACGATGAAGTGTTGGATGGATTTACACTGTAATCAGGTCGCTTTTATGACAAAATTGTGAATAAATCTGTACTTTTGTGAAATATGTAGAACCCCAATTTTAACAACTTGACAACTATTCCAATTCAATACCCAAGTATTACGTAATCCATCCGTGGTGCATCTCTTCAGCCATTGTCACTTCTCGCCGCGGCCTTGATAGTGTTGGCCGCTTTCTTGACTCTGGGCCAGTTGAGTAAGAGCCATCTTCGCACGTCCTCCAGCCCATCGCCCGTCGTTGCGCTCACTTCCAGGAGCGACACGCGCCTACCACTCTGCGCCAGAATGGTGTCCAGCCTCATCATGAACTTGAGGTAGTTGAGGTTCTTCCGATTTGTGAGGTCCATTTTGGTAAGGAGGATGAGCACCTTGGCCCCCACTAGCTTCTCGTGCGACTGGAAGGTTAAATAATTATCAAGTTGGTCACAAGAACAAGCGAAATTCTTTGATACATACCAACAATTCCATGAGGAGAACGGTTGAAATGGACACTTGGAAAAGGTTGGAGGAGTCGATGACGTACATAATCTGCGACAGGATAGTCATTACTGCTCAATAGTTAATAATTACACAGGTAAGCTAATGTGTCATACGAGTTTGTCTGGAGCAAAATATGAGGGCCAGAGGGGGGCCATGGCGCCTCCAATTTCTTGGATGGAGAGAAAGTCCTTGTCCTCACCACCCCGAGAGGAGGAAGACGTCGCACCGGACCCCTCCGCCACGGGTTTTTTGGGGACACGGATGATGTTGGAGCCTACGGTTTCGACGGTGGAGGTCCCCTCGTTGACCGAGGTGGACTGCAGGCGCTTGAGGAGCAGGGTTTTCCCAGACCCGGTGGGTCCGAGGCAGAGGCAGGCCGCCATTTTACCTTTTGATTTAACCACACCCCCACCCGACTCGCAAACAAGATTCACAAAATGCAAGTGTTGTACAAGCTTAGGAGGAGATCGTTTGTGGTGGCAACGAGAACACGTTGCTGGGTTTGGGGGTTGGGTCGGATTGGGAAAGTTGAGAATTCGGTTAGTCCGGAGAATGCAGAAAATGAAACCCTACGAAATAATGTGAAGTGCATGATATGATTCAATTTGCATATTACACTTATCATAATTCTGCACTGACTACTCAAAAATTGCATTATTATACGAAAAGGAGTGTGTGGTGCGAAGGAGAGTGAAAGTGTGTAGCATAATTGGGCTCATCATCATCCAGGTGAAGGGAATCAGCTTGAGCAGGTGTTTGAGTTGTTCATTGTTCTACTTTACCACACTGTTAAAAATTAATACATTTTACTTATTTATTTTAATTCCAATTTAATTTATGTGCAATCAAGTTAATATTTAATTCCTTCATTAAATTGGTAATTTCAGCTCGAAATTCTTATTCGTATGCCACCAAGTAGAACAAGCGGGATCAGGTTACTTTGTCTTTATCCATTCCAAATTCTATTAATTGTGTCTAGTGCACACAAAATTCACAAAAATACCCAATTTATTTTATAAAAGTACAACGAAATTATAAAGTAATGAAGTGCGCAAAAACGTATTAAGAGATATTTTATTAGAATTACGAAGGAGGAACTACCAACTAACGTTCTCCATAATTTCAAATTAACAAGTACACTAGGCTGTATAACTTTTTGATTACAAATTAAATGGTGAGGATAGATAAAAGCGTATCCCAAACTTAAATTTTATCCTCTTGGTGGGGTGGACGATCTATTTGGAATGTCGTCATTTCCGTCAATCAGCTCCCAAGAGCCTCCCCCACTCGATTCAACATCGGAAGAGGAAGACAGCGAAGAATTTCGAACTCCAGCAGGCCTGAAATTAGACCTCTTGACCAGTGGTACCGTAACGACACAATATTCATTGAGTAAACTGTCCTTATAATTGTTGTTTGTACTGCAGGTGAGCCTTCACCGTTATCCACGCCGAGAAAATCTCCAAAAAAGAACAGGACAGAGTCCTCTTTGGCAGAGAGGTTTGAAGAAAATGGACATATAATAGGAGAGGACGACCACGACCTGGTCTCCACCAAGAACAGTATTTCGAATGGCCATGTCTACAGCAACGAGGGATCTGCTAATGAAAACGCAAGTGTCGATGACGACGACGACTTTGAAGATTGTCTAAACGAGGACGTGGTTAGTATTACCGCTAGTAAAATTGACCCGTCATCAGCACCACACACGGACGGAGTAATCACGAAATCTGAACAATTACAAAGTGCTGTGGGAGTTGGTGACAATTTTGAAGAGGAGGAGGAGGAACGCAATAGTAGTGGTAGTAGTAGCGACATACCATCGGCAGTTGAAGAACATATTGCAGATAAAGCTGCTAGTGATAACTCAAAGTGCAGTGAGAAGGACTCCAGCCGTGACGGAGACGTGTTTCAAGACTTTGCCGTATCAGGTGCTGGTATATCACTAGAAGAGCACATTGAGCCGAAAACATTATCACAACAAGAGGAGGAGGATGGAGGAGGATTTGACGATTTTGCAGCATTTCAAGCTTGTGACAATATGGAGTCCGCTTCAACTGTGGAGGAAGATAGTGGTATGTCGCCGTCTATGAAAACTTCCTACATTGGTTCCCACTCCCTTCAGGAAACAACAACGATGACGGCAGATGTCGAAGAAGAGGAAGGAGACGACGACGATTTTGGAGACTTTTCTAGCAACAGTTTCCAATCTAGTGAAGCTGCAACAATGGTGGCGGATAGTTCTTCACCTACAAAACCTTCCAACAACCATCACCCCCCAGACTCTGGAGTAATAAGGATGAGTAGTGTTGACTCGGAGGATTTTGCTAATTTCACAGACATGCCTTTCACAACGTCAGCAGCATACCATACCAACTTGATGAGTCCTCGGTCTTCTGCAGATTTCACTGCTGCATTAGAATCTAAGTTCGATGCCTTGATTAGAACCGTCATTCCAAAACCCAGCCCTGACGAAGAAGAAGAAGAAGTAGTAGAACAAGACGATGTTGATCGTACTAAACCCCCACAACCATCAAAAATGGAGCAACCCTTTATCCTGATTGAGAAAGAGCTGTCCGACACGAAGGACTACTGTTGGGGACACACTATTGATTTCGAAGATAGTCGATCCCTTCTGCATAAATGGGTCAACAGCTCTTGTCAACAGAAATTGTATGGCAGCCTTAAAATCGATACGAGCACAATCGTAAGTTTTAGCACCAATGCAAAACATCACCTACACGTGTACAAGTGTGTAAAAAATAAATATCTATGTATGATTTGTGTGTGTTTTTGATAGGTGTATACTGAGAAATGGGGTGCAATTGAAGTTCCCCGTTTTGCAGCTAGCATGGTGGAAACGCCACTCCTTCAGCCCCAAGTGGTCAAGATGACCGAGTCACCGGAACGAAGAAATTCCTCTTCGTCAAGAGAAGGTGAGAATTTGGACAATCAATAATTGTTACAATTTATTGTTGTATCATTATTATGGTCCAAGGGAAGAATGTGTTTTGTGAATGAATACTGGTTGAATTTTTACGGTAATTTCTGTGTGCATACATGCAGCACTTCTATGGGATGATTACTGCACTAGCATTTACACAAATTGTAAGAAAATGAATCGTATTTAATATTGTTGACGTTTCTTATTAAACAATAGTTGATAGTACAAAAGCAAGAGAACTATGCAAAATTGTATGCTCAATTTTACCTACATAGTTCTCCTGACTGTTGTGGTATTTAGTGCATGGCAGCATGAGTATTACTCAAAATGAATCAATTGTATCAATCAATTGTACTACTCACTCAACTCAAGTATAGTAATCCAATTTTTGCCTCTTTCCTTTCCAGACAATCCTGTGGTAGTTCCGAACGGCAAACCGCTCAGCATTGAAGCTCAACAAATTATCCAAAAGATTCCAGATATTTCCTACATGACGTCAAAAACGTTAGTGTTTCCGCAAGTAGCAGCCTCGTCGTCGTCCTCCTCCTCCAATTCCTTCTTATAGGTATATTATTATTTAAAGTAGATATGATACGTAAAGTTTGAATGACAGCAAATGGTAAATGTTTTATGTAGACGCGGGTCGACTAGTCATTTATCTATCATGAGTATCATGTTATCATTAGCTAACACGCGTTTGTTGAAGAACAGGTCAGAATGTGAAATAGAAAGAACCAATAGAACAAACAGAGTATACACATTCCCAAGTGACGCAATACTAATAATAACGAACGAACGAAAACTCATCAGTTCATTTTAAATAATACCCATACTTAATTTAAAACTAACCTGTTGTTAAAGGTTGTGATTGTGATAATGCCAAATAAATCTATACGCGAGTGATAATATTATAAAAGATCGAACTATGTATGCTGCGAGTAAGTGAATAAAGAAACGCAGCTCTTTATCTCTACACAAACAAACAGCCTTTCTCTCACAAATTTATTCACACACACCACACACACGAATCTCACACTAAGGTAAATAATAATATAATTATACAAACGGTTAACTTTCATACAATAATTTTGTTTTTCCTTTGGACTGTAAAATGCTTAGAAATTCAATATCCTTATTATCATGACAAAAGTACTCTTTGTTTTTGGGATAAATGCTGATTGATAAAGGTTACACACACATATATAAAAAACAGATTTTTCTATCAGGACAGCTGGACTTGGATTAATTGAGTAAAACGTCTTCACTCGATGAGCTTCTTCTGTTTGAAATACTGTCTGAGATAGAGCACCTGCCAAGTCGCCAAACCTAAGAGACAGAGCATGGAAAATATGGAAAAGTAGAGGACTCGAGAGTTGGTGGACTCGTTTGTATCACGCATCTCCTCCTCCCGAGCTTTCATATAGCCAAAATCCTCGACGATGGACTGCGACAAATCCTCCAAGCGTTTCAACTCCAGTTCCAATGGCTTCAACTTTGCGGCTTCGTCAAACTGGAAAGATACATTGAAATTTTATATTTCTCACATATCTTTAATCGAACAATTTATTATCAAAATTTTGTTCGAACCCCTTCGTAATTCTTTGCTTCAACTCCGTGTTTCGTGCTGAGATAAACCTCCTGTGGAAAACCGTGTTGGCCTGAAATAGAAAATTAACCTTCATGAAGGATGAAGTTCAAAATAATTGAAAAGATTTTGGTATGCACCATACCGTGTGGGACTTTGGAGATGAAACAAATCTCGTAAACTTCATACTCGTCTGTCGTGAAAGTAAATCTCCCTTTTTCGGCATGGTCTTTTTTCGCTGCAAACATTAATTCATACAATTTTATTTTTAATAAGGTTCCGCAAACGGACAAGGCCAAAATGTATCACGATAACACGTCTTGTTGAGATAAACTAAATATACGTAAGTAAATGTGAAAGTGTAAATGTGCTTGCCTAGAAATCCTCCTTTGGAGTCCACCACCTATAGTTGTACACCACATTGTTAATTGTAATCTAATGATATGGTGAACTATTACGAGCGGATATTACGTACATGAAGATCCACCACTTGTCCAGCCACTTCAGAAATCTCATAGTCTCCCGAGACCAACACGTCCTTGTGGACCTCCTCTCGCAAGCATTTTTGTGCATTTGGCTGGAGTTGGAACATGAGGGAGGATCCCGTGTAGGCGGATAAGGCCAACATCAGGCTCAAGTGAAGCCAAACTTCAGCACTACTCGACCACCGCGACTTCATTTTTTATAAGTATAGTAAAGAAGAACGCGGATATGTGAGCACAACTGGAATTTATAACAGACCAAACTCAATTACTCATATTTACTCAGTAATGCAGCGGGTAGCAATTATTTTTTTTGTAGAGTACAAAAAACAACCAGTAGAAAGTGAAAACCTGTAGCTGATTTTTAACAACAAAACCAGCTGGCATTCTTTTAACTATTTTTTAACTAGAGTCACACAAAAGTGGAGAGATAAAATAAGGATTAATTAGGGGATGATATCGACGATAAGTAAAATGATATGTTCTTACCGGGCGAGTTCCAGATTTGCGACGACAAGGATGAAACAAACTGGAACTGGGCGAACTGTGTGAATTGACGTGACCACGAAGATTTATTTCAGGATTGACGAGTTTGAAGTTGGGCCGTCAAGTTCCACATCACCACCAAAGACCAACTTCCCCCAGTCACGGGTCTCTCTTTTTCTTCGTGTTGGAATTGGAAAATGAGACGGGAATTTGAGACTACAAACTTTCTCCAATCCCAATCTTACCCCTGATCTGCAGCAATTTCATGCAACCTGACTCCCATACATATATAATTTCATACACAATTACAACATAATTTCTGAAATACTTATATCCACGCGCGAGGTTATCATGATACATACATTTCCGTCACTTTTGTTGCACCGATGCTAAATGGAAACTCTAGAGAGAACTCCAATTGTTTTAATCATTAAACAAATTATTCGTGATGTGTGGCGGAGGATCAATTATTTAGTCATCTTCCTTATCTCGTGTTGATTCAATTGGGTAATTGGGCGGGGGACAAACTAGGGGACATGGAATATTTCTATAAGTTGGGAATATGTACATATGGCAAGATAAGTGATTGACTCGAGGTTTTCGCAGTTCTACTTAATAATTTATGTTGATGTATTGTGAACAAGACTAATCCACTTCCATCTCCATCACGGGGCACGGAATCATGCAGGTGGTGGGCTAAGAAACAAGGAGAGAAAGAAAGTGTCAGGAGCAGCAGGGTTTTAGAACTTCGGATCAATATCATTAATCATTAGTATGTACATACGTGGCATTGCTCGGTGTGCATAATAGCTGCGTACATACGTACGTACGTAGCTCCAGAATACCCACCTAGCTCGCCTGTACAATACACGCGTCTCTGTTGTGTGTGCCATTTTGGTCACCACCACAAGTCCACATCCCCCATCAACATCAAATCCCCGATTTTAGTCCACTTCCGCCCATACCACACCACGTCGTCCGAGAAATGGGAGACAGGTGAGCCAGAGGAGTAACGTCGTGCTGCAGCTTTCTCCCTTTTCCACTCCAACTCTTCTTCGCGTAGTCATTCCTCACATTTCGTCCTTTTGTCGAATACAAAGTCCCAGCAGTAGCAGCAGTAGCAGCAGTAGGAGCATATGACCAAACGTCTCCAGATCCCGTACATTTCTCCTCAAAGTCGAGAGTGCCACATGCCACCCGCACCTCCCCCTCACTCTCTCTCCTACATAAAGTCAGTTCACTTTGGGTGGACGAAAGAGAGAGAAAGGAATTAAGAAGAGGGGGTTGTTGCTTGATCAATGGAGAAAGTGTTAAAACATATCCTATTGGGACGACAATTACCAGGTTTTTGTGTCCTCCCTTCACCCACCTCCAACACAACACCATTGTCTGTTTTGACGTTGTAAAAGGTTTCTAAAAGTTCCTAAAAGCTTTTCTTCAACTCCTTCCCACACACACACAAACGACAATCACTATTCACAATTCATCATACATTCAGTCAGTGAGGGGGAAAAGTAGACGCCAAGAATTTGGTCGATAATTACACATTCCACCTCTTTGTCAGACCTCGTAAGAGTAGAACGATCCTCATTAATCCTCTTTCAAGGAGCAGTAATGAGGGGATGGAACTGGTGAAAGTCGCCCGGAGTGAAAGTGAATCCGATTTGTGATGAATCGCAATGTGAGATTTTGCTCTTTCCTCGCTCTCAGTTTCCTTAGTTAAGAGAGAGACTTTTTAATCGTGTTAAGTGCTCTTGAATGAGCTGGACAATTATTTTTGACTAAAGTCTAGACTTGAAAACCTCATAACCCCTGGAGAAAAAAAACCCTATTCGAAACTATGAAGAAAGTAGACCGTGAGTTTCTCATCAAAATTACCAGTATTATTCATTAGTTAGTTAATATATGAGTAGGTGCAGTTAGATCGGTTGGGTGGCGATCAGTATGTTAATCTGAAATCTGTGACAGCATTCAGCGGGATCCCGGCCGTGCCCACCTCTTTGGCCGGACAGTGGTTGGCGTTCTCACACATGGCGTCCCACTACCGGAAGCTGCTCAACGTCAAGCCTCGCGTCAATTCCTCATCCAGACCTCCATACACGACGGCTGGAAGAAGCGCCCCACCAATTTCTTCCTACCTCAAGGTATATCAGCGAAACAGTGTAGCGTAAGATAGTTCATGTGGATAATTCCGACTCATTTCGGTTAATTATGTGTGTACAGGGAGCTCCGCCAAAATGGATGAGCACGCTAATGACACCACCATCACCATCGTACAAAGCCCCACCCTGCTGCTCCGCGTCCTGTCCCAACAACACGACCAAAAAGCCCAGCACGAGTGCCACCCTGTCGACGAAAACGAAGAAAGTGACCAAGAATAACAACAATCTCCACGCAGCAGATGTCATGATGAATGTCGCGAAGGATGCGTCACCAGCCAACGAAATCCAAATCCAGTCCAAGACGACGAAACCCAAACCACGATTCGGCGGAAGTGCTGTCAATAAATCAATCAAGAATAAAGCGAACTTGGAGACGTTGCTGTCAGATGATTCCCCACGCAATCACGCGTCCTCTTTACTGTACAACAATGCCAACTACCAAATGCTGTATGGACCTCGCAGCCTGAATAGCTATTCCACCGATGGTGGTACGTGTACGTGTGTAATCTAGAAAGATTTTTTATTATCGAGAGAGGATGAATTATTAAATCATAATGTATATTGAATTTATTCTTCTCCCAACAGCGCCAGTCTCAGACTGTGAGTCATCCAGCCAACCTGACGAACCGAGCGTGGAAACGATGGGAGTTGCGGAAAAAATAAAAGTGTTTTTGGACAATCTGCACCAATTTGAGACTAGCAACAACCAGTCGTCCAGTTCAAAAAAGAAGATGGCCAAAGAGCAGTCCACCTACGACTCGAGCTGTAGTCATTGCGGTTACTCGCCCAGCCTGATCAGAAAGTCGGAACCCCAACTTCCTGTGACCACGGCGAGAGAGTCACGTCACGCGAACTGCTTCATCCCAACCTCAACCTCGCCCACGGCTACGCCCAAGAAAACTGCTCCCCACAATCGGAACAGGGTGAACATGACCAAAAGCATATCCCTCTCCGAAGCCATCAAGGTCAGCAAGGGCGTAGCATTGAATAAGAGTCAAAAGAAGAGCGTTGTCGACGAGAACAGCAACAACATTGGGAGGCGTTCCATGGAGAAGAAGAAGCGTTACCCTAGTGGGGGCAGCACATGTTCCGTGGTAAGAGAAACGACAACCTATACTGCATAATAAACCACTGTTTTTACCCTTCTCTTAACAATGCCGGTCTCTTATTGTTCGTGTGCAGGGAACTATTCGTGGAAGCGAAGAGTTAGCCACGGATGTGATCATGATGATGCCTCCAACACATAAGCTCTCCCACCACTATGACCACCAGATACCGACCAAGGACAACAAGGCGTTTAGTCGGACGAGAACCCCATCCGCGGGATATTGCTCCCAATCTGCAAGTGGGAAGACGACCATGTCATCCACAAACACACACACCGTCAATAATATTAAACTGCCAAAGACGAATAAGGACTCGAGCCGTGATTCTGCTTATGGGTTTTCGAGTGGAGAGAGCCGGATCACGACGAGGGAGTCCACACCTGAGAAACTCTCCAACAAGTCTCACAAGCAGAGTAGTAATGCGGGCAATAAAACGGTCACGTCTTCCTCCAAGTTGAAGGGAAGGTCCTCGGCGAAACGGTCCTCTGCGGAGAGGGGGCGGCACAACTCTGCCCTCTCAACCGTCGCCTCATCCCTTAATGCCAATTTCGAACCTGGTGGTGGGAGAGTAGTCGAGTCGGAAATGAAGCATAAATCCCGAAAATCTAGGTGAGTCCTCAACCAAGCGGGCACACAAACGATCCAGGAAATCTGAAATATGTAATATCGTGAAATCTGGGTCGATTTTATTGCAGATTAACGACGGATGACAAGTATTTGAACTTCCTCACCGAAGTGACGGATGATATTGTCACCCGAGGGATTTACACAAACAAGGGACTAAAAATGTTGTTCAAGGTAATGAAAGGGGCTCAAAAGGTTTAGCCAATAAAAAAAGGGCTCAAAATATCTAATTGATTGTTGTTTAAGGACCATGCGGAGCGACACAGGGAACTCAACGTGGTACGAACTCTACATATTTTAAACTATCATATTCATACATAAATGCTTGCCAATCTGATTTCATTTTTTTCTATTGCAGGATCGCATGACAGGTGTGTACAGTTTTAAATATTTCAGTAGCTGTTCTTAAGTGAACGCTATCCGTTGCCAAATTACATGTACCTATTTCTATTTCTGGATACGTAGAGTTGCTAGACAAGCTTCGGATGGATTTGGGTATTCCCAAAGATGACAAGTTAAACAGACTGGAATTTGGTTACGGGTCAGCTAATTCCCACTCTCGAGGAAACTTCTCGTCCATGAGACCTACGCCAGGTGACCCACTCTTTTCCACTACCACTTCTTCAAAGTTTCCGACTAGGAAGCGGATTTCGGGGCTGGACGAAGGTACATACCTACCACGTTTGTTATTTTTATAAAATTAGTACAAATATCAAAGAATAATATTACAATTTCATTCAATTCAGCGTTCAGTGACGAATTCATGGCGCCACCTCAGCCACACTCGAGCTACAATCCTATGGAAGAGGTGGGAGGTGACTCCGAGAGTGGTGACGACATAGAGCTTCACAGTGTAAAGAGTGAAACGAGCTTGAGCGAGGCAGAGTTACAAAGGACGCTAAAAGAGGTGGGAGTCGACAGTCAAACGACCTTGGAGATTGTGGGAATGATCAGGAAGAACCGATCTCATCATCCTCGAATCGTCAGTAGTAATGTGGAAACGGACGAGGGGTCGGGTGGTGGGAGTAGCGATGACAATGTCACCCAAATCAGCGATAATAATAACAATCCCAGCAGAATCTTAGGTCAGCCCCCACCAACAACCCAATCGCGCCGAGTGCACATGTCACAAAGCTGTTCAACCCCGGCCAGTCATTGTTCCACGACATCCTCCTCATGAAAATTTCACCCCTTCATTATTTTTGCTATTCATGCTATATATTCATAATAATTCATGCCATACGTTAATAATACCAGTAACTAATAACGCAATCACTGCCTGTTGCAGCAATTTACTTATTTTGGGAAATATTCCATACATATAATTACACGTAATACCTCAAAAGTTGATGAAATTTTCAATCAAAAACAAATGTGTTTCAAATAAATGCTAAACGATTTATCATTAAAAGGTCATTTATTTAGTCGTATTTTCAGTTGGAACAGAATACACGAGTTATTGAGGATGGTTTTAAATGGATTAGTAAAATAGGGAATCACTACATAGTTGATACTTACGTGTAGAGGGACTCGTAAATACTCGGCGACAAATGGGGCGAGTAACAATCTAAAAAGTCAACAGTATAAACCCTAGTCTTAACCTTATAATTAGTAAGACACTTGATCATGTGAGCATTGCAGCATCATCGTCGTCGATTTGTTTGCAATATTTGAAGTCTTCTTCACCCACCCACGCTTCTGCTAACAATACAAGAGTTACAATATCCGAATAATTCGTCATAATAATTCATAATTATTTTAACGGTCAAAATTGTAATATTATTTAGTACATGGCCTAATAGCTAACTCTAATAATATCCCGTTACACATTGGAAGAATGATTACATATACACAAGATACAATGACTACACATACATCTGAGGAGCTGCTACAGTAAAATTAAAAAAGATCCTAATCATCCGAGTTAAAAAACCTTCAAATTTCCAACAGAAAGTTTCGTCAAATTATTATAGGAACTATGATACAATAGTGAAGTCGCTCTCCCCCCACTTATTCTCCATAGAAGAGAAAGTTAAGCTGAACTCGGGGGTGAGAGGCATTTTACTGGCAACGACAAAAATACTTACTTATCACATATGGTATCAATCTGGAGGACTACTATTCTACCTACGCTGTCATATTTAGCTAAATATGCATATTATACAAGATTGTTATTTTGTTTGTGACACCAATGCCACTTTTACAGTTTTAGTTGAGAGTATGTACTTGCTCGAGAGTGGGCAGGGCTATACCCAAAGAGGTTATTCCTTTGATACGACCACAAAGTTGGGTACGACAAATGTTATCTAAGTACCTATAGTAGATACGATAGGTATTGAAATATCACAAGTTGTTGAAGATAAGTAGGGGAGTGTGAGAACCCCTGCTTATTCATACTTGTACCTTGTTCGGGAACAGTCTGCATCATTTTTTCCTACCTCCTGCTAATCCCTACATTGACTCAGTACCTAGTCAGAAATCAAGAAAAACGCTTGTATGCATCTTACTTGACAATAGATAATTAGGTATGGCCAAAGACTGATTGTAATTCACGATTTCGAAACAAGATTATTTCGTAAATATAGAGTAGTGCTAGTACAACATCAAAATATACAGAGTTATTGCTGCTTATTACATTAGACGATCTATGTACATGGTGCAGTTGGATAAACATGTTAGATATATCTAATTACATTGTGACTGACTTGACCTGACTGGCTGGCAGACTAATTATGAGAAAATAGTACATGGGGAAAAATATATATATGCATATATTATAGTATAGTTCATCATGGATGATTTTACTTAACAACTAAAAGAAAAATCACTTCTTTTTGTGGATCCGTTGAGACGATGGATTGCTTGTCGCAATAATTGTATCAGTATATATACCACCATCTAAGGTAGCTCTTGTGTTTCTTTGTTTGTTTTTTGTTTGCACGAAGTAGGACTTATTTTTTATACAGAATTCATATCATTTCACGAGTTTGTTTGATTGGAGTTAGCAGAGGGAAAGGAAATCTCATCCATTGTCAGTCTTCATCCGCCTGAGCAGTAGAAGTTTTATTGGCAGATGCGGTAGAGGCAGCCGCCGCTGCTGAAGTTGATGCCACTGCTGGAGCTACTCGGCTGTTGCTGGTGGTCGTAGTGCCGTTGGGGAGTCCTTCGCTGGTCGATGGGGTTGCAGACGTTGTTGCTCCAGAAGAAGTCGAAGTCTTCTTGGCCCGGACGTTCTTTCCCGCTTTGTTCTTGTCCTTGCCACCCTGAAGAATTTGGACAAGCTCAGAAACATCTGGGATTGTGAAATCTGGGGGTGGGTTGAGAGGAGCAGTTCGTCCCTCGTCGTCACTGTTGGGCACCCAAACGGTGATGCCCAATTGAGCTTGAAATCCACCCGCAATGTCCGTCTCTAGTTTGTCCCCAATCATGAGACACTCGAAAGGCTCCACACCCAACATTTGGCACGCCCTAAGGAAGATTAAGGAAATCAACATAATTAGCATTCACTTCCCACTTTGTCCATCTGATTTACAATAACTGCAGTAATTAACTGCAGTTGACAATAAAATTTTATAAATAAATAAATATAATTACCTAAGGAAGATTTCGGGCTGGGGTTTCTCCCACTTCAAGTCCCCACTGACCACGATGACGTCAAAGTATTGTTGCAACTTCATCTCACGGATCTATAAACACATTACAAGAAAGGTCATGAGACGGGGTGGAAAAGAAGAAGGTGGAGATGATGATTATTATGGGGGTGATGATGGCGGCGGTGAGAATAAATTGATGAGGGCAATCAATCAATCAACAAGAGAGAAGCTCAACATGTACAATTATTCAATTTAGTAGGAAGAAAGAAAGAGTTCATCGACAATCATTAAGACCAATCAAGTCGGAATGTCCAGGTTCAAACGACTTACACGCAATTGAGCTGAAATAAATTTTCTTTTAACCAGCAGCCAATGAGGTAAAGTAGGTATTCCTGCACAACTATTAAAACATGACATGGGTCACACTAAAAAAATGACGACGACTGCTTTCGCCTTTCACTTACTTTTTCCCATTGACTATTCGAAGGTCCATTGGTCACTTTAAATAAAAATTACACTACATTTAGACCATGTCCAAAGCAATACCCATACTTCTGTCAAGTTCTGTCAAGTGATTAAATTTTACAACAATAGGAAAATACATACCTATGGCGAGTTGATACTCTTTGTGCAGTTGGCGAAGCATGTTTGCATTTGCTTCCGACAAAACCAGATTGCGATAGCGAAGTTTCTTAAATAAAAGGAAATGCAATACATAAAGCGGGTTCCAAATGGATTGAATTAAATAACATATTTCAATAGTGCTGGTTTCTTACCTTCCATCGTGGATAAATATCCTCTACAGGAACAAAGAAAGAGAAAATTAGTATCGTCAGGTATTAATTACAATTAAGTTGCAATGCATAAAGTTAAGTAATAAAATTTGAGAGATACGTCTCAATATCCGTCACCCACCAGCAAGTTCTTCATAATCGTCCCCTAATGCTTCCGACCATAGAGTGCATCTCCATTCGTCCAATGGAACTCTAATGTTTTCAGGACACCGGCGAAATCGGCGTAGAAAGGTGTCTGTGATCTTCTTTGCGGGGCCCGCAGGTACGTCCATCTCTCGGGTCATCAACTCCGCTATCTATGTCGTCAAAAAGAAAGAGAGAGTTTTAATAAGTACGTAGGACAGTATGCAATATCACAACCGTTTCATCATACATATCAACGTTGAACGTATATAATCATCAGACATTGATGATCACAACAACACTCTTTTTCCTTACTTAACGTAATGTGCAATAATAAATACGACTTTTATAATTAATAAGAAGGTAGGCACATGATGTCAACTTATCAATAAGTAAGGCATGTTACCTTTAATACCATCATTCGAAATTGTAAAGCGTGAAGTGGAGTACATAAGAGAGGAAGTGGGTGATCGCCTCGGTTCCGATTTGATCGATTGATTTAGATTCAACTTTTGTATGTTCTTTGTCTGCAAGCAGGACAAACATCAAACCCCTCAACATACTCAACCAACACATATCACATCCATTCAAAAAACAAATACATTGATACTCCAACAACTCGTTTACTAGTCATTACCCAGACAATTTGAACCATTGCACCATCATAAATGTGCATACCATCTTCATAGGATTAGTTGTATTGTCCTAATTTTCACCCAAAATCAGTCAACTTGCTGTCATTCTAGTTGGTTCATTAACATCATTATTCGTGAGTGCACGAAATTGAGACGGGTTATAAGTGGCAAGGTGGTCACCAGATGCGATCATGATGAATGGTGACAGCTATTTGGAACAACATAAGCTGATAACAACCTACTTACATTTGTCCCAAGATATCCTACTCTTCCCCAAAACCAGTCAATTCTTGACATGATACCAACAAAAACCATCATATTATTTTATCATTTCGCGTGCTGCATATGGACGAACACCATTAATTGAACACAGAGAAATGTAGGAAATCGGCGACAGAAACCAAAACTTGATAGGCCAACAAAAAGAGGGCACGGAGGAGTTTGAACTTTGCTAATGCACCCACTTTATTTACCACAAATCCAATATTCAGCCATACAGAACAACATCATAAATCAATAGTAAAGTAATAATAGTATGAATTTGTAATAGCTTTTAGTCATTCAAAAACACATCGTTTATCAACATTGTAAGACTAGAACTTAGTGTAAATGATAAACAATAATACTAGTAAGCTACTGGTACACCTCGTGTCTTCTTTTTCCTGAATATTTCCCATCAGAGAAAATAATTAAGAGAGAAAGTTTGCACACACATGGGCAACGAAGGCAATGTTTTGTCTGTACATATTGTCGTATCTTATCGGAGAAACGCGCATGCATGCAAATTTTAAGTATGGACTATGTGGTAATGTACAATGATATATGTTTAACAACCTGCATGAGTTCATTCCTAATAGTGGACCCTGTGCCATGTGTGGCCTTCCACAGTGTCAAACTCTAATAATTCGCATTATCATTAGTAAATATATGTATAGTGTAAAAAGGTCGCCAGATTTGTCCGTACTTATACAACTATTAATATATGATTATTATTGTATAATAACCTCATTTCAATTAAAAGCAAACAATGTAATCTTCGTCCCCCTCTATTAGTTGTGGCAGTATCAATCATATACCTACTGCATGGCCACCGACTGACAGCAGCAGAGTTCATAAGTCAAAACGTGAACAAAAACATGGATCTTATTCTGTGCAGAGTACATTGGACTTGTTGTTAGTTTATCAACAAAAAACATGAACATTTGCGTTGCAACTGATATTAAATACCAACAAATGATGCTGATTATATATGTAGTAACAAGCTATTGTTGACTTTAGAGTTGAGGCTGAGAGATTAATTACATAAAAAAACAAGCCGCGTGGAAATATGTAAGTGTGCTCACTTACTATAATTGAGTTTCATATTTAAAAAAAATCAAACACCAATCTAAAATACCCATCCATCTACATTCATTTATTGTTCATTGCCAATCTAACATTTTAATAACACGAGAATAGTCATAAAAATGCACTCGAGTCTCAAGTGTTTTATTTTTTGTCACTTTTCAAGTATTCGAAATTAATTAAAGATAAATGAATTGATAAGTTGAATGCAAAAAAACTAAACTGGTGTGTAGAGGAGGAGGATGTAGAAAGTAGAAAAAGATGTTTATGCAAATGAATAAGTATTAAATGGCTTATAGCTCGACCCCAACTTCCTTGAGCGCTTTGCCCAGTGCTCGCAAGTGGTGACTCTTTGCAAGAGCGGGCCCCTTACTCTTGAGCACCGACGCCGCCTTTTCAGAGTTTTTGCAAAGGGTGGCCTGGCAGAGAAAATCTTCGTACGCGGACATGGTTCCCTGCTCAATTCTGCTTTTGTAGGCGAGGGAAATGTTCTTAATGAGAGCCTCAAGGAAACCACTCTCGGCACAAAAATCTGCCAACCATGGGAGGATGTCAAGCAGTCCACCGACCGTTTGCAGACTTAGGAACCACATTTCCTTAATCTCATTCCACACGGATCTGTAGTTGGCCGTGATTTCCAGAGAGGGTGGACTTTGAACCTCGTCTGGAAGATGAGCGTCCCAGACGAAGCGAACCACAGCCTGTCCAAACCGGAAGGCAGTGTTATCGGAGCCAGAGATGAGTTGAGTGGTGATAAAGTCTTCCTCCGGAGAGATGGACTCTCCTCGTTGCTTCGCATCCAGCGTCTTCTTTGCAATGTTCATGAGGGAAAGCAGGCCCAGCGAGGCCACGTTGCCCATGAGGGGAAGGTCGTCCTCATTGTTGGTCAGGTGGGGCATAGCGTTGAATGCCCATCGCATCAGTTGTTGGAATACTGAAGAGGTCGCCACGACATCGGGATCCAAGACGGTGGTGTTGATGAAAATGTTGCACGTGTTTTGCATGGCTACTCTGAGTCGGATGAGAGTGGACTTGATCTCCTCTTGACTCATTTCTAACTCCTCCTCCCCAGGCGTCCCCTTCTTGCTTCCAGGCTTCTTGGGTCGCAGCTTTTTCTCGAGAACTTCTTTAAGATTTTTGTATACGGACCAGTTGTGGTTGAGGAAGCGCGAGAGGTGCTGCTCCCCCTCAGAGTCCATGATCATATGAACACCCCGCTCCTCCGCGGTGAAGTTGCAGAGTGCAGGGAGGAGGGTGACAAGTACTTCCGGCATCAAGGGTTCCATACATTTGCCCACCTCTGCCAACACCTGATTCTCTGGGCTGAGGCTGTCCTCATCATCCTGCAGGGTTTCGAATGCCAGGGCGAGCATGAAAGGCAGGATTTTATACACATCTTCCTTCATGGATGCAGCCTCGTCCGCCAACCAGGCAGCCAAACATCGGATGGACGCACATGTCAACAGCTTTTTTCTTGCATCCCAAAATTTTCGGGGATTTTTCATTGCCTCCTTTTGAATTTGATTGATGAAGCCCAAGACTGCCCAGTAAGCTCCCTTGAGTGAGTGGAACACCTGTTCCTTCTGCTTTTCATCCAAGTTCTCAAAGTGAGTCCCAGACATGAACCTCACAGTAGTTTCAATGATTGAGTAGCATGCCCCAATCAGGTCGTCGTTTGCCATCACCTTATCAAGGGAGCGATTTTCCAGTGCCATCCTCACCTCAATGCAACTCAGGTGGACGAGAAGAACGAGGAATTGATAAGCCTCGGGCCCTTGTTCCGTCTTCTTGATGATCCAGTCAACGCCCAGAGTGGAGAGCATGACGGAGGCGAGTCGCAGAGCTGGATTCCTCTGCTTCTCTGTGATCTTGCTCGAGAGAATATCCACGAGTCCTTTGAGGATGGCGGAGGGCCAGAACTTGGTGTAAAAGTCTTCCGTCGTAATGTTGCTGGTAGGGATGATGCCGGCCATGAGTCCACAAAGCTCAAACTTTTGATCTGACTGATCCGTCTCGAATTGGAGAGTGAGACGATCCATGATATCCACAAATGAGTCTGGAGATTGGGCCCAAGTCTTGTGTTTCAACTTTGTCCCCACCGTAGCAATTATTTCCAGAGCTTCGTCGCAATTAAAAGCTTGGTTTGCAAAGAGCTCACAAAGTCGTGGAATCGCTCCAGAGGAGACGAGCGCATCTTTCCCCATGCCCACGGAAGCGACGGACTTGAGACAATGGTACGACTCCCGCACGACCTGGAGCAATTGGTCATCCTCCTCGTCTCCCTCCTCATCAGCTTTCTCTATAATGTCCAAGAAAATCGGGACCGCATCCAACATGTCCTTGCTCTCCGCAATTTTGGGGTCCGAGCAGAAGGTGGTAAGAATGGTGAGGGCGACGGATTTGTACAACACGGCCGGACATTCTGGCGTGGATGGGGAGACGAGGAGGCGGAGGAGGAATTTAAATCCGATCGCTTCGAATAATGCATTTCGCCCATCCGCCGTCAACTTGCTGCCTTTTACAACTTTGGTGACGAGGAAAAGTGCAGCCATCTTTTCAGTGTCATTCTTAGCACCCTGCAGAGCTCCGATGCATTTCTGCACGGCGGGATCGATTTTTGCAGACATTATATTATTATTTGCAAGTAGTTCTATCTACCACTACCAGTTCTACTACTATTACTACGACGCACTGAAGGAAGGAAGGAGAGGAAGCGGCAAGGTTGTATCTGGCTGGAATTGATGGTGGCCGCTACCCGGATTTCAGTTCTTGGCTGGAAATATCGATCCCTTTTCCGCTTATTGTTGGATGGGAACGAAACCTGTTTTCCTCTCTTCTGCCTCTATGGAGCTTTCCAGAAGAAAAAGATGGGTGGCGGAGCAGTGGTGCTGGTCACGAGAAGGAACGGGGGATCGTCCCACCAGAGAGAAACGTACCGTATAATAACAAGTCTATCATGAATAGCAACGATAACACCACGACGGCTCTTTCTCCACTTCTCTCTCGCTCTCTCTACGCGTTGGCCACGAGATCAACTATGACCTTCAACTTGTCCTCGCCTTGCTGGTTGGCAGAAGAGGACTGACTGAATACGAGTTTCACTTTCTCGGAAGCTCCTGTGTGGAGGAAAACAACTTTATGTAATGCAGCCAAAGTGAAATGACTACTACTTTCCCCAACAAACCAAATACATTTGTACATACCTTGTCAACAATATAGACTTTTCTGTTTTGAATCTTCGACGGGGTTGGGAAATCACCTCGAGTCTGGCCGCCTGGATATGCTCTTTCAAAAACTGACAAACTAAAACCAACCAACCACCCGCAACCAATTACACTTTAGTCAAACGTCCACTTTACTCGAATTAGAGACGAGAGAGAATAAGCGGATTATTGGCGAGAAAGCGACTAATTGAATAATATTATATATTTCCTCTTCACTGACGTTATTAGCAGCCGTCGTCGTCGTACTCACAAGGAGAAACAGAGAAAGAAAGAAGCGGAGGAGGAAGGAGAACGGCAAGAAAATGCCGGATTGTAACTAAAACTAGTGTTGTAAAAGTGTCATGTCATCCGCCCTCTCCTCCCCAAGAACTAAGCTGCAAGGGAGGGAGGAGGACGACGAGGAAGAAGTAAGAGTGAGAACAACCCTATTTTTAGACAAATTTTAAACAAACTCCCGAATCTATTTTTATGCGAAATCATCGCCGAGAAAGAGTTCAGTCACCACACAGCGTGGAAAGCCCAACACATCCATAAGCAGGGTGGCAGATAAATGCTCATTTAAGTGCATGTACACCCAGTTTGGTCTTATGTACAGCAGAAGAAGATCCGCAATACTCAACTCCTATATAATACGCACATCCAGAACATGAATGGAGCACATTTGTTGTATGACATCTTTCTAGTTTTGAAGTTATTTACCAGATTTCCGGAGGAGCTATGTAACAGATTCGCAGAATATGAATACCCATCAACAACCGTCACAAAACACGATTACACGAGCCCAGATGTAAAACATGCCCTATCCATATCCTCCACAAGGAATTGCTAGATATACACTGCAGATATGACTTAACCAATTCCCCCGCTTGAAGTTCTATCTAAGCTCATGGTTTCATTGTTTCCCGAATTGATACTCTGATTACAAATTGATTGTCATGCAGCATATAACAGAGTTGATATTCCCTCATTGCCACCGAAAATCTTTTCGCCACACAACATTATGTTGTTTGTTTGCATTGTTTTGGACGAGTTACATGCGGAATGATAACATAATAACACTGTACTCTCATATCATATCAATCAGTCAACAATGGATTGCATGACTCATCTGTCCGTTTGCACTCTTATAACAGTGCACATTTGTGATTATATTTTGCACTGCTGTTGATTAACAGGACTAAATAAGGATTTTACTAACCAACCGGATCCCCCATTCTGCTTTACCATCTCAAAACGGCTGTTCAGAAGCTATGGAGAATTTCATTTCTGGGTCACACGTCACCGACATGCAACTGATGCAACCCTAGCTCAAAAAATTTAACAAAAATCTCATCTTGAGCCAACCATGAATACACTTAGGCATGCATTCAATTCCTGCCTTTCTGGACTATGACCTGCCTCATCGAAACTGACAATTAGCAGAGACTCGTGTGCACAGAATACATTCACTTATAGGTCGGTGAATAATGAACAGAGCCAGACTACTACCAAACCAAATATCAATTAAATCAGTCTTATGATAACAGGAAGGCCGAAGTATGTGTACAAGGAGCAGGCTATGCACTGCTCGAAATAAGGCTATTTGATTATCCAGCCAGCCATTCAAAAAACGTCGTTTATTTATTATTAGTACAGTTACGGCAGAGCTCCATATATAATTCAGTGGGTACATGTATTATTATCGCTTGGGTCTATTTTTATGATTGGATTAAATAAGACTCAACCGATACACATTTCCAATCCCATTTCTTTGATTACTTAGGAGTACGTAAGTATTCTTGGCTTTTGGCCTCGTTCAATCAAATCACCAACAGCAGAAAATCTGAGACTACGTAATATGAGATCGACGACGACGATGGTAATGATAACACTACGTATCACATGTTCAGTCCATTAATCCAGTCAAATAATGTTATTATTATCATGAACAAAATAATACTTTTACTCTATGGTTTTGTGTCCCCCAACAGACTCATAGAAGAAGGACAAAAGTGCTATAAAAGTTGCTCAACGATTTCCCTTACGTATACAATCCAAACTTTCACAACGGCACGCAAATAAGAAAATACGGTCTACTTTTGGACCTCCTACGACTGTTGAAGATGATGCTTATGAAGGTTTCAAAACATGTTATGTTATTCGGATTTGTATTTATACTTTGTGAAGACAACAGAAAAACAGGTGAGCTGCAGTTCAGAAATAAGATTGACCCACGAAAGAAATAAATCACTCATGGAATTATCAACTAATGTGTTATCCTAAATCAACACATATCACGAAACAATATGACACTATACACTATGCAAATGAAATATTATGCACGTAACACTGACAATGCGATGGTGTCAAGTACAACACTCCAATTTTGTGATTTAATTTGTAAGTCTACCATGTTTCTTATATTATACATAACCAAAACGGTAATACAAGGCAAGAGTGCAAAGGAAAGCAGTAAGCCGCAAACCAATAAGTTTAGAGAAAGTTAGAAATTCTGTATCAAACTAAAGAAACACTTTAATGTAAAACTCACCCCAACCAAACAAGTATTTCCGGCGTTTTGGGAAACAATTACGTGTCTTATAGTAGCTAAAAATATTAATAATGAACGAACCATTACTAAACTATTAAATTCGATCTGATCTGACGGAGCACATGAGTATCGTTCACCGCTGTTTCTCAGTTCAAAATCGTTCTCAGTATTTAACCCCGTGTGATTGATCATACCATGTTAATATTAGTTCCATGTAAATTCAAACATAACATAAAATCAATGTTGTTGATTTCATGCAAAAATTGCATAAAGATAATTTAATATTTCCATTAAATTAAATTATCGTTCAATCATTACTGATATTAAATAATACTCATTGAACTCATGTTTGCTTAAATAATGAATCAAGCTGATTCAATCAACCCAAACAGTTTGGGTACTAGCTACTAGTGGAATTTTTTTGCACAGATAACAGATTGATAATATTAATTTGACTTGACAAATTGCTTCATCACTAACTAGGGAACTTGCAAGACCAACCAAAGTGGCTGCCAATTTGTCTCCCCGATATTCAAACTAACTGCGAAGTTCAGGAGATTTTTTAGGGAGTGCTGGCTTTAATAAATGATTTTATTCATTTCTTCTTATTAATTATGTGTTATCAAACAAACATTTTGACATCAATTTTATGAGACAGCTGGATGGAAGGGAGAGACGAGCAATTGGCTCAACCAACTATATTTCATGTCTTGTCTCTTTGGTGAAAGGAATCAGCTGTCGTTCCATTACTTCCATTCTTGTCAAGCTTTCAATACATTTTTAACTCCAGACGAATGGTAAAATTTGCTCCCATTGAAACTACAGAACCACTAACCATCAAAGAGAAGCAGAGAATTGCAGACACAACACTTCATCGGACAAAATGAAACAATTGATTGAAATTACTTGTCAAATGCTACATACTTGAATGAAGGATATCATGCAATAAAGGCCACAAAATTATCCACCCAAGCAACTCAGAGTGTAAAAGTACCTAACGCAAAAAGCCGACATCGTTATTGCCAATAATTATTATATGACGTACGAAAATAAACGGGGAGAATGCATATTAAATATTATACGTGTACGTAACATCGTGATATTATGATATTGAAAGTACTTTCAACTTTTAATGTGATTTCTACCAATTTCTTCAGGAAATTATTACACCAATTATTTAGGTCACAGACGTATCCGTAAATTAAAAGAAATCCTAAACGCCATCAAAAAAGCAAAGCCGAATGGTGTGTGTACTTAAAGTACTATGCAATTAGGGCAAAAAGAGTTCTGTAGTCAGTCGCATTATGCATGATTTGAGCTCTGACTACATGTTGTCTTACCCAAGAATATTCACATATATCATTGAATTTCTTCTGTCAGCGACACTGGCGACGTTACACACATGATTACGAAGCATTGGACCAGAAACCGTGGGAGTTGTTGATCTGATGGTTGGTTTGGTGGCACGAAATGATGACATTACAAGCAAATTCTTGGCAAAGGAAATTATCCGTAGAGGAAACACAATGCGACCTTGGAGTCAAGTTGAGATATACACGAATGTAGGACGGAGATGATTAGACCAGATAAAGTCTACAATGCCTGCACAATTCATCCGAGAGAAGGAGAAATGATCACTATCTACCCGTCGCCATGCACCATGATATATCTTGAAACCTTCCATGGAATTCCGCTCAATTTCGTGTAGCTCATCTCGCTAAATATACTTTTTTTAAGGTTTCGACGACGGTGTGATGCTGCTGAGCACGAGCCAAGCATATCACGCTAGGACTAGGAGTCTGTTAACTAACCATACAGAAAATTAAGTGGGGATGGCACCACCTTGAACTAATAATCAAGTTATAGTTAGTTACAATACAGCAGAAGATAATAATAATACTCTGCAATCCTCTTCGTCGTCCTGAAGAAGACCCTTTGAGGTCGAAACGTTGACAAAAAAGGCCTAATCCGGACCCCTCCAAATACTACAAGTGAGCCCTTATCCTTTCACTTTTCCTAATAATAATACTCTGACTTGATATTTCCAGTCTTTTAGATGCGGACTCTGACCAGGCACGCAGAGATCGAGAGATGGAAAGAAACATGATGATGTGATGTAATGTAACATTTTTCTCCTCTCCAAATCAATCCAACGCAACGATGACCTACGTATCTAACTTATTACGAAATTCGATCCAATATTTCGCCAGCCAGCGTAATAAATCTGGATTCAATGTCAATGTTATATTTAGAACGGGCCAGATGAGCACATATAAACCGTCGTTGTTCTAAAATACATGAGAGAAGACAACAATGTCAGGGATGACACGAGCCTCTGATGATGATTAAGCACTTGAATTCAAAGTCAATGTCATTTGTGGAGGGAGGAGCAGAATGAGCTCAAGGAATTTGTCCGTCTGCCGACGATGGAAACTGCAGTGTCACCCACTTTCTTATCCTTTTAGATTCAACTATTAAAAGAAACTTGCCATCAGGCCATTGAGGAGAAACGATCAGACGATCAACAATTGTATAATAATTATTAGTTTGGTACATTCAAGACCCAGAAGAAATCTTTACAGTGTTGTACTTTGTTAGTGGTGCCATGCCGTGCATGACTAGAGCTAGTTGTTTGGCTAAGGCTAATGCATGACGTTAGAAGAAGTACTTCTTTGCTCTATACCTGCTACATTTTCTTGGAAACATTGCAAAGTGTAGAGAGGACTTGAACAAGTCGATGTATTTTACAGATAGCATAGAGGTACATGCATAATATTTATTGAAAAGACCAACAACGAAATGCTACTTTTCAGATAATGTAGACTTTTAATAATTAATTTAATTGGAGTCACAAGCACGATAATTGACATGCTACCATCGGAAAGTTTTATAACAAACAACAACCCAGAAAAAAGTGATATGGCGTCGGTTTAAAATAAGTTATGGTTTGTTGGAAAGTTACAAGATGGTTTCCAAGAATCAATTAATTGTACTTGTAAGTTGGCTCAAATTTCTCCCTTGGAGAAGAGAGACGTCGCGGATGCTAATCTCTTTCTCCAGCAAATCCAAGCGATATGTCTGAAATTTGATATTACGGTTGTGTTGTTATAAAATCATGCAAGCCGATTTACGAAGGAAAATGAGTCACGGCTGACTGCTTGGAAGGAAAACATTAACCGAAACTAATGCTGGTGAAGTGACTCGCAAAGTCGCAACTTGTTACACATCCTTCTCTTGTATGATTGAGAAAGTAGGTTTATTACCATTTTACAATACGACTTGCAATTACTAACAAGGAGGATGTATCAGGCAGGGATGTCGTCCATCACGGCAAAAATTATTACGAGTGGAAAATTACCAGCAACTTTTATTATTACTGCATTCAGAATTTGGTTACACACACAACACACAATTTAATTTAATTAACGATTGCAGAAAATAATGCTTCCGTCCATTATCTTGGATCATGTAACATCAACATCATTGTTGGAATTGAACCCAGCCAGCGAAATTCTAACCGAACTATTTTTTCAATGCAAAAAAAGACGACAACTGTGGCTGTCACGGGTTTCCAGCATGCTCAACCATAATATGGACTACCCGAAATTGACAAGCAATAATCTCCATACTTGAGTCTGAAGTATCATTATCATATCACAAATTGCTGCAGCTAAACTAAGAAGGAGGGGATTTTGGGAAAAGTAAAACAGAAATGCGATTATGGAATTGAATTGGAAAATGCGAGAAGGATGAGCAATCCTATTATCTTTTACTCTCAACTTGTGTCAGTCTGCCTGTCTTCTAAAGCTCTCAGGACTCAGGAGAGCAGCAAGGGTTAAATTTTGCAAATATAAACTGCAAGATGCCAGCTGGACTGGAGGAGAAAGGTCGGATCGATATTTATTTTTCTTGCAAAACATTTCCATCGTCATCCTTCCCCGAACGACACTCCAAAATAGCGAGACTTGTCCTAATAATTTCACTCAATTTCTCATTCCACTCCCGAGTAAGTACTTACCAACATGAAATCTTCTCAAATGCGTACACACACATATAATAATGAAACGAACGTGACTAAACTGAAATGAGAGCAAATATTGCATTTCATCAAAGAAGGAATAACTGATTTCTTTTTGTCGGTGCAATCAAAAAATGCATTTGTGTTTGAGTAGTTCAATCACAATCGTGTATGTATTCTTTTTGAAAACTTTGATTCATTTGTGTCCATCCGATAGGAGTGAGACCCAACAAAAGAACACGTTTTCAACACAATCACGCCATGATGCATGAGGATGCTCGCACGTCATTTTATGATTGAGACGATTTGCCTGAATCATATTATTGTTGCATCGCAATAATACTATCAGACCACCAGACTACGCCACACAAACACACTATCTTTTGCACTTTACAACGGAATTTTAATGATATCGTGTTGTGTTCCGCCGTCCTAATAGTAGTTTATGCAGAGAGAGAGATAAGCGTTATTGAGGAAGGGAAATTGGTGCAAAATTAAATTCACGCAAAGCCATTAAAGACGAATCATTAGCATTGCATCAGTTTATAAACGGGACCATGAATGTCAAACAAAACTCGCCAATTTGGACTGAATTGATTTCTCAACTCCACGCAGCAACCAATTGACTGACGTGGAATGATGATGACACATGAACTGTTTTTTATTGCCTGCGCAGCAAAATGAAATTCCTAAATCCTAAATTAATTAAGGATTGCATAAGTAATTGCTTTAATGCGTAATTCATAGTAGAGGAAACTCCTCAGTATGTATTACTGACAGCCACCATCATCAATCGCATGAATATAAACTTTCAAGTTCTTCAAGTTCGTCTGGCTGGATAAAAAAAATCCATCCTCCGTCATCATCCAACACTGTCATCACTACTTACGCAATTTAGCTTAGAAAACCACTAAACAGTGGCATAACAAAAAGCCCTTTCTCTTCTAAACGCATTATTACTTGTCTTAACTGAATTTTGCATGAGTCATAAAAACGTATATAGTTTCTGAACAATAAGCAATTCATAAATTCATTTCTTGACTGACTTTCAAATTGCAAGATATCTTATATTTATAAGCTTCTGCTTCTGAAATCTTTGGAATTTGAATGAATCCAACAAAGTTTGGAATGATAAATGTGGGTCAAGAGCATGCCAGTAAATAATGATCAGAGGGAAGAAGGAAAACTTTTGGTTTGCTTATGAACAACAGTATTACGGAGGATGCATTCATGTGATGATGATGATAGTTGTACCATTACCATGAAATGAAACTGTTATTTAGTTAAGTTGAGTCAAATCATTAACAAATTCAAGACGACGATGCAATGGTTGACTTGTTGACTGTCAACTACATACATATTAACTTATCCCGTTCTTTACTGGTTGAAGTATGAAGTATAATCCTTCTTATAATAACATTACAATAGTAATTTATTGTAATTATCTCAGAATTGATGTAACGTATGTTTCTCTCAGCGTCATGATGATAAGCAGAGAAGAATGATTTTTCAGTTGCTTACCTTTTGACAAGTTATGGTGTCAGCCTTCCTTGTTTCGATAAGCGTATTGTCCAGGTCGAAAAGGATGGCGGAGATGCGAGCTCTCGCAGTGCGCTTACGATTTTGTTCCATGATTTCCTTGTCGGGGGGAAGACGTGGCTGAGGAGTGGTAGTGATGGAGGGGGACTTGCTGTCGGTGGGGGGCGATGGCAGGAATGGGGACAACGTAAAATGACGACGAAATAGGCGTAGGGACGACAACGGTGGAGTCACAATGGTCGTTCCGTTGACAATTTTCTTGATTTCAGTAGTTGTAATGGTCAATTTGCAGCTTTTCCTTTGTTTTGTGAGTGGATCAACAAATGTTCTTGTTTCTTTTTTGAAGTTGGTATTAGGAGCAAGACGTTGACTATTGGGAGCACGTGTGAGTGTTGTTTCTCGTCCAAGAGTGGGGCTGAGAGTGGCAGGATTGCCCAGCCCGACTCGCCTTTTATCCTCCTCGCTGCGCCAGCCTGACGTTGTTGTTGTGGTCATAACTCGCAGTTGCACACAGGCAGCTCGCAACTGGGGGAGCGTCCATCTTGGCAATAATGGACCTCCTCCTCCACCCATGGTCACCTCCGCCACTTTCTCAGCACACCCACTCCTACTACTACTTTGGCTTCGATTGAACCCTTACATTTAATAATAATTAATCACCCCCTTGCACTTGTAAAATTAATGAGTTTTATCATCATTATTAAAATTGATTATCTAGATTTTATCGAGAAATAACCATGCAAAAAAAATTTTGTAATAAAACAATTTTTGTTCTGTAGAGCAAAAGATGATAAAAATCTCAGCAGGTTTTTGTGGACGACTCCTACAATTCAAACCCGCTCGTTTCTCAGCCCGCGAGTAAAGTCAGTCAGGTTGGATCTTGTTCATTTCGCTTACAGTCCCTTCGGTGTAGACTAGTTGTGCAGGGAGGAGAGAGCACAGTTGTGAAAGTAAAGGGTCAAGGGACACTCATTCTTCAAATCAGTTGGTTGTCAATAAGTCGTGTCCAACAATTGTTTTGATTGAAGGTGAGCTATTTGGTTCAATTTTGTTTATTTCAAGAATCTTACATCAAGAGTATTGTTTAAAGTAACTGACTGACATTGTTTATTTTCAGTTTTTTCAGTTCGGTTGACTATTTTGAATTCGGCAAAGAGATGGCCGCCATGGTAAGTGGAGCTACTTCCAACAACAGCAGAAGATCTTCGAGCAATAAAGAGAACCAAAAGGTGAAAGAGAAGGAGGCAGCTCCCCCAAAGGTCGCCCCCGCTCCGCCGGTCGCTACGCAAGATGACGATGTCGACGACGAAGGTGGACCGCAGCTGCTAAAAACTTTAGAGGTAGGACATTTTACAGTACAGTATGCTATGTATTTAATAGAGACTTAGAGATTTTTTGTATTTTTACTTGTACTGTACTGTGACTACAATACAATACAAAAATTAGTACAAAATTCAAAAGACCTAGAGAATTTCCATTATTTTGTACTCTGAAAAATTGTATTGTAGAACTCCGCGAAATAGATGCGTCAAAAATTGAGACAAATCAACTCATGATATACGAAATGAACCTCCTTCCACAAATTGTGTCTAAAATGTTCAAAACTTAAAATTCGATATTTTTGACATTTGACCTCGTTTACAACAATCACCAGGCTGATGTAATCCGAAACGATAGTGATTTTTGAACTCCTCGCCTCAAACTAAACACGTCTGCAACGGTCCAAATAAAAAATAAATATTTTTGACCTTTGACCTGGTCTACGTGGTCTCGGGGTCTTCGCACGTTAAAACTGTGTCAATTTCTGAAATTCGCGCCCAAACCCAAGTCTAAAACAGTCGACACTTCAATTTTGACCTTTGACCTCGTCCTCTCGATTATGGGTTGGTCGGAGGTCAAAAGTATTGACAACGATGAATTCTTCGTGAAATTTCCTTTAAAATGACACCGCATATGAAAATTAAGGTTGAATTTTGCGTTTACTTCACGCCAGGGTGACCTTGACCTTGACCACAGGGCGCCCATCTTCGAACTCGACCTAGGGTCAAAAATTAGAAGCAAAATGGCGCAAACAGCGTCTGATTATATTGAGGCGTTCTGGAGATATCATACTTGCCAACCCTTGATTTTTCCACAGTAGTACAAACTGAGCCCGTGTTTCAATTTGTGTACTGTAGACTGTAGAATTAGTACAAAAAGCTGATGACGTCATCATCTAGAGTCCACAGTACAGTCTACAGTCGAAGTACAAGGAATCTCTAACTCTCTAATAAGTATACCGTAAAACATTGCCATTGATTCTATTGACGATACACATTTTAAGGGTAACGGAATAACCTCCGGTGACATTAAAAAACTTCAAGAAGCTGGCTTTCACACGGTTGAGTCTGTGGCGTATGCCCCTAAGAAGGCACTTATTGCTGTCAAAGGGATCAGTGAGACGAAGGCTGATAAATTGCTGGTAAGTTCATCATGATATGTAAAAGCAAGGAACGTTTAACATTTTGAAGAGATTAATTTCATTGATTGCAGATTGAGTCCATAAAATTAGTGCCAATGGGATTTTCTACTGCGACGGCATTTCATCAGAAACGTGCAGATATTATCCAGTTAACCACGGGATCTAAAGAGTTGGACAAGTTGCTCGGAGGTGGAATTGAGACCGGATCCATCACGGAACTATTTGGCGAATTTCGCACAGGCAAAAGCCAGATCTGTCACACGCTCGCGGTTACATGCCAGGTATCTACTAATTTTAGTTCGAAAGTAGGCCAATTGCGAGATGGCGAATTATTTGTTTCTTGATACCTTCCGCTAGTTACCATTGGATCTGAATGGTGGAGAGGGAAAGTGTTTGTACATTGACACGGAAGGGACTTTTCGTCCTGAACGACTGCTAGCCTGTGCTGAACGATATGGCTTGACCGGGTCGGAAGTATTGGACAACGTGGCCTACGCCAGAGCTTACAACACGGACCACCAGACAAATCTCTTGCTCCAAGCTTCAGCTATGATGACGGAATCGCGGTGAGTTCAGATTGTACATGTTAATTTTTCAAGGATGGTTTATTTTTAACATCAATCCTCTCCCTTGCCTGCCCTTGTGCTTTATTTTATTTAAACTTAAAAGCCCCTTTCGTAGCTTAGCTCATAAATAAATAAATAACCTCGAGCATGTTGTTGTGCTGGCCAATGTCACGGATTCAAGTTATTTATGTGTACAGGTTTCATGCATATACAGAGTATGATGATCTTGTTTTTATGTTTGTTTGTTTGGTTGGAATACAGATACTGCTTGGTGATTGTGGACAGTGCAACGTCCTTGTATCGAACGGACTACTGCGGCCGCGGAGAGCTTTCCGCTCGACAAATGCATTTGGCTCAATTTTTGAGGAAACTTTTACGAATGGCGGACGAGGTTAGTAGTTAACTATTAAGTACTCTGATACCACAATATATTTTATCATCACGCGATTTATTGTGTAACAATCATTAGAAAGTACAAACAGCTTAATTTGATGTAGCTCGTAGATAAATTTAATGTAGATGTAATAATAATGACAAGGGTATGGAAACATGTCCTTATTAGAATCCCCAATTACAGAATCTGCAAAGAAATGAACAAGAGTTGTTTAGAATTAGTAAGATATTTATCCTGCTGTTTTCTTTAGTTTTATTTCAGTTATGTTTGGCCGGAAATTGAAAAAAAACAAATCCGGGTCTATTAATTACGGCCCAACTATAGTTTGATTCTTTATATGAAATTGCAGTTTGGAGTTGCTGTTGTCATTACAAATCAAGTCGTTGCTCAAGTTGATGGAGGTGCAATGTTTCAAGCTGACCCTAAAAAACCTATCGGAGGTCACATCATGGCACACGCTTCCACCACTAGGTACATCCTTCATACATACTTATTACGACTTTCAACGTAGCTATTTTTTTTCAATACTATCAACCGCAGATTGTCGCTTCGCAAAGGAAAGGGAGAAAATCGAGTGTGCAAAATTTATGACTCCCCCTGCCTACCAGAATCTGAGTGCACATTTTCCATCAATGCTGATGGAATTGGAGATGCTAAGGAGTAACTTCAGTCACGATATATATCTACATTCAACCAACCAGCTAGAAATTGCTCATGACTGAACCCCTTCAACATCCCTCCCTATCCAAATTCTTGTCATATTCCAAACTAACCTAATATGTAATTACTAAATATTTCTGATGAGTATGTTTCCTTTCAATTTGTTCAACCGAGAAGACCAAGAGTGGTGCTGTCGTCGTTCTTGCTTACAATATTTATTCATTTTAGAATTTAACCTTATATGGAAGTGAAGATATGTCGTTTTCTAATATTTTACACTGCCAGCCGACTAAAAGACCGTACGCATATTTTAAAATGTATATAATCTTTGTGCTTTCTTTTTGTTGTGAATATAATAAATTAAGCTCAACATAAACACTTACATACTTATTCTATTTTGATCACTTAAAAGTGGTGCTTGTCTTTGAGCCAATTGTAGTCGAGAGCTTTATAGACGGCCTTGCTGTCGGGGAAGCGTTCAATCCAGGACTACAAATAAGGAAAAAAATATACTGCAAAAGTTCACAGTAGATAATGAGCAAAAATTATTATCATCTTACCTGGATCATCCCCTCGGGCGTGGTCTCATAGTTTTTCAGACTCACAGTCTCACCCTCGGCGACAGTATTATGTTGAACAAAAAATTTTCTTGGCTGCTTCTTGTCCATCACAATTTCCCTCCAGCTAGCCCATGGGTATTTCCCCTCGTTATTAACCGCAGTTAACTTGCCAAACATTTCACGAGCTGAATAAATTAGTTTCAATAAAGGGTGAGATTTTGTAAAGTTCATGTGTACCTATGTTTGTTTTCACATGTTTTTTTGTGAATAAAATAAAGAAGGTAACAAAATCACCTGACTCGATATCGGCCGTAGCTTTGTACACCTACATAATTCCACCCATTTACTAGTTATTATTGAAATACAATCGACCGTGTGCTTCAAATCATGACACAACTAAAAATTTAGGGCGCACCTGGATTTTGAGGAGATAGTCGCTGATGGCCTTTCGACCTACGGTGTCAATTTTACTCCGATCCAAAGTGATGAGCAAGTCTGGTTTCCCATCTGAGCCCACCGTCTCCTCCACATGAACCAACCCCTCTCCAGCCTCGACGAGAACGCGCAGGATAGAAAATCTAGCTTGGGAATGAGCCTGCATCCACTGGCTTGTGTCCGGTTGATACATTTCCAGAGCTTTGGCACCCCCCGCATATATCATGGACAGCCAGTTAATGTAAATGATGTCATCCGCTTCCTCACCCTCATAGCCAAAGACCCTGCAGTGGCACAAAACAAACGTTCTTTAGCAGACCAAAATGGAAAATTCAAAATTTTAATTAGATTTACAATTTTAAAATTGTTTTATCCAACGATAGCAAAATCCCGACACATTCCGCTCGACATTCTTCGAATGCAGATCCCATGTCGCCAAAGATGGAGTCGTACGTATCGTTGTGGTCGTAACAGCGTTCAATCTGATTAAAAAACAATGCTCATGTGAAGTAACTTGTCGTATGCATGTGCAGATACATATATTGGTGTTTCATTATGACGAAATTGACTACCAGTTGCCCAGTCAGTGGATTCTTCAAGTCTGGAGAGTAGTTGAGAGTCCCGTCATCGTTCTTCTTGAGCAACTTCCCAGAACCATGGCCGAGGAGTTCGTGAAGAGCAACTTGGACCTTTATTATCAGACAATCCATTATAGTTTCATAAAAAATTGCTGGGAAATTATGCTTTTAGTATACAATTAAGTACCGAAAAGGAAGGAACTCTGTATCTGTGATTAAAAAAGTCACGCATTTAGTGATGTAATTATCAATTTGCCATCTCAATGATATATTTTTCTATCCACTAGGCCTAAACATTAGCATGGTATAGGCAAGAAAGACGCTTACTTTTCTAGCATCTCCTTATCCGCTGCGGATAAGAATGGGATCACACTATCCTTGTAACTGGCCGGGATAACATTGCCCAATGACACGTTCTTAAATCCCTCATTCTGGCGAATTTCATCATCTGAAATTGTGTAAGATCATATTTGGTTAGAGCACGAGATACATTTCTGGGAATAAACCTCACTCACAATTTGGGATATTAATCCCAGCGGGGATGCCGCTTCCAGCAAAGCTCAGAACGTCAAGAGAAGTAAAATCCGGTTTCATAAAGGTCTCACGCTCAAACTCTTTCGGCCAAGGGAGTAATTTTAAAAATTCAGAGGCATGGTCAACCAATTTGCCAAACTTTTTGGACGTCTCTCTATTCACCACGGCGACAAAGCCTTCAAATTCAGCACGAACTCCGGTCGGATCACGATACGTCTCAATGAATCCGATATATCTGTTGATAACATTCACAATACACATTGAGTTGTTTCTTCTTTTATGCAAGTTGTCGAGTTTCTTACGTCTCGATGACGGGTCCTTTGTCCTTAATCCAGAATCTGGACCCTTCCTTATGCATGTCCACCTTGCCCCCTTGAAAACTTTTGGCGTAGCACTCGAGCATGCTCTTTTCCGTGTCGTTGGATGCAAACTCCTTTGCTTTTTCCAAGTACTCGGCAGTGAGGGCCATAAGGGGAGCGTAGTCTCCTTTCGTCAGTCGGATATTAGCACCTTCAAATTCAAATATCTTTGGAGGACCTTCGTCGAGTTCAGAGGAAGCACTTCGAATCTGTAATGAAATTTAATAATTAAGGTTCATCACATCACACTGTAAATATCGTCTGATAGTCCTCAACGTACCTCATACAATGGGGACGCCCCGTCAACCATCTTAAAACACCTTGTATTCCAGGCTTCAAGTTTCTCCTTCTTCAAAAACCGCTGGACCAACTCAGAGTCTTCCTTGCTACAGTTGGCAGAAAAGTATGTGGTCACTCCCTACAATTTAATTTATTACTATTAAGCCTCCAATATGATAATATGCGAGTGAATAAGCTTTCGCCTGCCGATTATTATACCTTCTGTCCCAGGCCCAACTGCTTTTCTCGATCCCCCAATGTATACATCTTATCCTTGACGTACTCCCATTTAGCTTCAATATCTTTTCCTCCCATTCCAAGAAACTTTGCCTTGTTTAAGAGTACAGAAAGCTTATCACACGGAACCCCGGGGATGAACTTGGTATCACCAAACCCTGTACACCATCGTAATATTTTACTTAATAAAACGACTGAAATGAAATAAGAACACTAATGAAGGTGAAATAATGCAATACAGTACCTTTATAGTTCCCCATTGAAGCAAAAATGCCACTTGTGTAGACTGTGAGAGCCTGATGAAAAAAATAATAGGCAATTTAAAAATTTGCCATTACACTGTTGGCTTTATTTTTTATTTTTTCAAAAAAGACTCACCTTCCACTCATCCTCAGTAAAATTGCACTCCCCGATGGCCACGGACCTGAGTCCTTCCACCCCGTTGGACTTGAACAAGTCGTGCAACAAGGAAAAAATGACGGGAGACTCGGGCGAGGTCTAAAATTTGGGTGATTGAAAGAGATTTCCAAGTCGCCGACATTTTGTTAGTAAACAAATAAGACGCACCTGAACCAAGACGACGAGTCCTCCAATCCAGGCACCCTGGCTGAGATAGTGAGAATATAGCTTCTCTTTCTGCGAGAGACCCTCGAATGCCTCGCTGCAGTCGAGCGAGACGACGGGTTGGTCGAGAGGAAGAATGTAGTGCTTCATGACCTTGTCTACCATAATAGCAGTTTTAGAGGTCGCCTTGTCCTCCTGTTCTGCTTTGTTTCTCAAAGGTAGGGGTGAGATGAATGTGTTTGTGGGTGTAGCAGGATCAGGCTTTGGTCGCGCGAGTGGGACACTGCTATCGGAATTTGTAGTGTGACTGTAGTTTCTATAAATAAAACAATTTTAGAGAGATGCTTCGTCAACCAATTTCACGACGTCGTGAAATTGGTGAAATCGGACGTCGTGAAATCAGCGCTGATTATTACCTAAAGAATTGGAGAGTTGAGGAGCTGTGACGACGATTATTATGATACAAATAGCTTTGATTTGGATAGCTTGTCTGCCGGGTCTGCTGTTTCGCTACTTGAACTAAACTATTTCTAAGCAGGGACAACAAGCGACCTTGCATTTATAGTTTAGATTTTGTTCACCCTAAAATCGGACTAAACTAACTAATTGGGAATAAAGTTACCGGTGTTGTTTTGTTATTTGACAAGAAAGAAAGAAAAAAGTAGTGCGGATTGCAAATAAATTTGATTGAGTCAGTACCACGCCAAGAAAGTGGTGGTGGTGGCACGATGGCACGTCAGCACTTTATGGCCGGAGCAATATAGCAAATGCAATTGCAAATGATGCGCAAATTTCCACTGTATACAACGCTGTATATTCCACATTCCCGACACATCCGCAAATATAGATTAATGATTGATTATGTATGCCATAATATATATTATGCTGCAATAAACTCCATCATGAACTCAACTATTTTGTTTGTCCACTTTATACTGGGATAAAGGCAGATAAAGCCGATAAAACATCATAAACATACATAAAACCGAGCTAAGCAGCAGCCTGTTTGCTCCAATAATACTACACACATACATATAAATAACTTTGTATGTACTTAATTTCTTTATTATGTTGATATTAAATTACTTGTGCAGTACAAATAATAATTTTAAATTTTGATAATTTCGCCAATACAAAAGTCTGCAATTGATGTGAAGGGCTCATTTTCTGGAGGGGTTGATAGATCCACCTGGATCCGCGCAAATGTTCCACCACTCGAGCCCTTTGTGAGATGTTCGGGATTGACTACAATGGACCCGTCGACTTCTTTGATAAAATAACGAAGGTCGGAAGGAAGGATTAAGACGTGGGGACGAACCCTAAGTCGGCCAATCTGAGCGTGATGTTCAACATCGAATGGGACGCCAGCTTCGGGGGGTACAGTGGATAAAAATTTCGTTGAGTTAGCACGTGTCTAGCCAAACGCCCCATTCGGTCTCCGCCAACGGTGGAGCTATAAAATGAATTAGTTTTTATGTAGAGCTTTAAGCTATTAAAAGTATATACATATATTACATAAATGGCCTTACTTGGATAATTCATTCTTGCTCAAATGCATTAGAATATCAGTTGACGTCACACTAACAACCAAACCATTAATTGAGACTGTTCCTGGGTCCGGAAGAACCCATATTTTCTTCTCAGAACTACAAACATAGTAATTAAAGCAAAAAAAATCAAACAATAATTATTAGTGTCAATAATACTGAGCTTGTATATTCTCATTACTCTTTAATCCCATGAGTCGAGTATGGTGGTGTTGGATACACCATTTGACAGTTGACATCTTTATAACTAGGAACCAAAATTATTCTCGTACTTTTTGTGGAAAGTTTATCCAATAAAAGCTTCAATTGATGTTGGAACATTTGATCGAAAGTATGACCCGCATTGCCAACTTCATCAATTTTTGGATGCGAAGCTTCAAAAAATGGCCCAAGAAGAAAGCAGGCGTCCGGCTCATCTCTGGTCACCACGTTAATCAAGTCTTCCAGCGGGTCAAACTTCATCGAGTCAACTGGATTGAAGGGACCCACAGCAATTATTATATCCAGCGGTGCTCTCGTCCCTCTTCTCCCATTATTGGAAATACTTGGGAAGCGAATGAGTCTGGGCTCATGAATTTTGTTGACACGAAGACATTTCCCCATTTCAGTTTTCCCTTCGACAACTGCAATCTGTCCTGGAAATATGTGGTACTCCTCCAACGCCGACAAGTCCAAGGTAACCACATGACCATCCGAGTCTTCCATGGATCCCTCAAAGTATACACTTTCTGACGTCAATTTCCCGTCGCTTCGGATCCTGCCCACGTATCGATGTTGTTGAAATGCCATCTCGTCCAATGATGCTCGAGAATAGGAAACTCGCTCCTCAGTTTGGGATTCATTTGCACCATCAGCAGCAGCAGCAGTTTCGTCTTCTTTTTCCAATTGGTCACAAATTTCTGTTCCTACGGTTTGAACAATATTGTCCATTGTTAGCGACATTTCCTTCACCTTTTGAAACATGTACTTGAACTGGAATAGAAAAACCGCCATCAAGCAATTTAGTTAAGCTCAATCTGCAGTTGTCGTTATTAGAATAATGTATTAAATGTAACCAAAATTTCAATTGCATTGTACTCAACGAACATTATAGTCGTTACTACATTTTGACGTGGGTTCAATATTTGTAATTTCGCAAGCAGCCTTGTCCCGAGTCTTTTCCGCTTCCCATGCTCCTGAATCTTTGCATTTGTAGCGAAAAATGACATCCCCTTTGTTCTTTCGACTTCCATACTTTTCCGATGCTTTGACACTGCAAAAAGCGCGTCAACAAATAAATAAAGTATGCGGTGAGTAGTGGCATTGGCGATTCTTTATAATCGAGTAATACTTTGCTGGTGAAAGTCCGGTTGGGGTTTGACCAATTGCATTCCCAATTGGCGACTGGACCACATTTCTTACTCCAGAAATGAAAGGTTTCTTCTCAATCTTCCGCTTCTACAAAAAAAACAAGATGGCAAAATTCGACTGTATAAAAAGACGCCATGTTTTTTCTCATTTTTCATAAAAATTGTAGTCAAACACTGGCCAGAAGAATATGCAATAGTAAGCGGTACAAAAAAGAAGCAATAACAGGAGCGCATGTCACTCACACTCACTCATGAAAAATCTGTTTAAATCATCAAAATCTCTCAGTTCACAAGGAGGAAGTCAAAGTCGGAGTGAGTGAGTGAATCTCATCATGAGCCGTTGAACCTCGGACATCTTTAGATGAGTATGGATCTAGTCATGTTAATGGCTACAAGCACTAGAAACCTACCCACCTAGAGAAATCACCATCACTCACTCACTCGTGGACACAACTCTTTTCGTAGTGGTGTCATACACAAGAAGGGGACCTAACAAAAAATGAGAGCAGTATTAAGAGCTGCATCTTGATCTTGACCAGCCAGCAAATTCTTCTTCTTCGTCGTCGTCGTCTCCTTCGTCCATGATTTTGAATCCAATCTTTGATGAGTGTGGATCTAGTCACACGGTATAACAATGCACACTAGGTCCCCACCCACCAAAGAGCAAACTCGAACGATGCAAGCAGGTCACTGGACGAACACTTTCACCAACAGGTCTTTCTCGGTGTTACGGCATTTGATATGACGTAAGGTTGTTCTTGAAGCTGTCGTCGTCGTCCTTATCAACGTCGTGAAATAATGTAACGGATCAACATTCCTTACTAGTTGCTGGGCGCGTAAATGTTAAGAAATGTCTGTGCAGGAGTGGTGCCGGCGAGAGAATGGATGTGAGATAGGATGGATCGGCTTCTTCATCCCAGACTTGGTCAGGTACCCACGCCAAAAAAAGGAAGCGACCGAGCAGCGTGGCAGAGAAAGGGAAGGTTAGGTTTTAGGGAGAGGTAAGGAAGGAAGGTAAGAAAGGTAAGTCATAGAAGAAGAAGCAGCAGATGAAGGAAAGAGAGACCAGGTGCAAGCGACTCATTGTGTTCGAAGAAAACGGCCCCTTGTTCTTCCTACCTACCCAACATCATCATCATCATCTCCCAGTACCCATCGTCCGTGTTATTTCGTATACCCACAGAAAGAACGAGGAAGGAAGGAAGGCTCACTCTCTCAAACACCAATTATTACTGGGACGCGAAAGAACGTGGAAAGAGAGACAACGACGGTTAGCTTGAACACAACGTCACTCTTGTGCACTGAATTTATGAATCTCGGAAGGAAAAAGGGCCGTTAGGGATTAGAAGGGAGAGGGGATCCCTTCTTCCCAATAAATGGGTCCAGTCGTCCCAATAATACAATGCTAGAATATCTAGCTCTTTGATTTCCTACTCACCTGGCCATCAGAAGAAATGGTTCCCCTCCATCCATACCTGTCCCTCCCTCTCCCCGACCTTTCCTTTTACAAAAATGCCATCGTTCCTCGTAACGAACCCTGATTTTGGAGGGAATCTTTCACGCCGTCTTTCTCTTCTTCACTTTTTCAGAAAAATAGTGCTTAGCCATCCAGTAAAAATTTCCCAACCGTCATTTCCTCGCTTCTGAGAAGGGACAGTTTTGCAGAAAACGATCAAGTAATAAAGCCTCAGACTTGGGGTAGCTTACCAAAACCACCCTCTAAACTTAAAGCCATTACACTACATTCGTTATGCAATTATGCAGTCCATCGGCGAGGGAGAACTCTTTTCAACGAGCGATACGTATGTAAAGAAAATATGCAATGAAACCAGCTTAATAATTCCACACATGAACGTGGTTGTCTGTTTTTTGTAGGAATTTCAGTCGACGACCAAATGAGACGATGAACGATAGTATGCACCAGGATCTAACTACATATATTACACGATACATAGAGTCTAATAATGCAGGGTTAGCAGCAGCAGCAATGACTTGATGGCAAAAAAACGTAGAATTACGACAAGTTGAAAGAACGAAGCAAGGAGTGATGTTACGTGATGAGCAACCCTTTTTAATATCATTTCCATCCACTAACAACCAGCCAGTTTAATTCATTGAAGAATGGAAAATGAGACTCTCATCATCATCATCAGCCTAACTCTGGGTTGGCGTTGTTGGATGGACCGATGGAAGAGAGACAGAATAAATGCTGCTGCCATCCTATGCTATCCTGGTCCATCCATCCAGCAGAATTAACCAAACCCACGCCAAGTCAACCTTGAAGCCCGTTTTCATCCACGCCCCCAACGACATTAACACAATAGTAACTCCACATCTTCATGCTGCTCTTCTCTTGCTGGATACTCACCTCTCCCAACAACCACCACTACCTGTTGCACCCAGAGAGCGAGCGAGCAGTACCTTTGCTGTGGCGTCTTCATTGTGACCATGTCCATCCTTACCACCAAACGAATCGATAACATGATACCACGCGAAATACACATACTTCTTGGGCAAGCCGCAGGGCTACAGCCACGACAAGGAATATACGTATGCAAATGTTTTATTTGAATTGGCAAATACCTGGAAACTGAACCAAGAAATTCGCACACGAGCCTAGGAAGGAAATGTCTACAGCAACACCGTTACACCACTAGAAATTTATGTTGAGCCCCCTACTCTAATTTCACTCGGATACGACTACTGCCAAATGATGATCGTTTGATCAAACACAATGACTCGTTTTCAAACACAATAGGTATAGAAAATGCACATAAACTCAAACCAAACCGTCAGCAATGTAACTTTTTTTAGCCAAACCCTCAGAACAGCATTGCAGCAACAGCCCAACCAAATGGAAATGATGATGGTTAGTTTTGTTCCCTACTTGGTCTTCGTCTGCTTTGCTTCCTTGAAAAGGTTTGCAAATTATTATTGTCTTGAACACACATTTCGCTCAGGACTTGTGAAACATGAAAATAATTCCTAGAATCGTAGGGGGAGAGAAGCAGCAAACAAAGGAGCCGTGCATGTGTAGTGTAACAAAACAACTCACTCACTCGCTTATCGCGTTTAACAGCAGCAGCAGAAATACTCCACAAGTATAACCTTTGGATTTCTTGAATTTATTTACGAGAATCACAATGGGGACACGATGTGTTACATGGAATCGTTCACCCGACTGACTGACATTGGATATTCAGTTCGTGTTTGACGTCGCACCACTGTCACTGACCTAAAAATGTGTCCTATACTACGACATAACGTTGTAGTCTTAGGTGTTCCCCTGCTTTCTTTTCACACAAAAGATGCACAGTTTAGAATATTTCCCCCTTGGATGCACATTGCGAGAGAAAAGACAAGGATTTAGGAGGATGGCAAAACTGAACCTGCGAAGGAAGGTGACGATAACGCCAAAGATGATGACGACGACGACGACCAGGAGGACGATATGAGGCTCGTCGTCTGCTCGAGACGCGGATCACTTGAAGACTCTTGGTGGACGCTAGGTTGGAGGAAAGAAAGGAATTTTTTGCCATCACGGCTTGGTTACAATCCCCCTCCACGATACAGACCAAGACGTGTGTGTGAGAGAGAGAAGCTTCTTGGGTAAAAAGTTTTGTAAAATGTAGCCAACTGTTGGATTGGTTATAACAACAATTAAGCCGACCCCTCTCTCCCTCGTCGTCTTGCCTTAGCTAGTTACCTGAGAAGCCAAGATCTCTTTGTGCTGTATCGAGCTTATATAATGTTCTTATTCCCATTCCTCTCTCCAGCATGCATACTACAGATGCACTACAATGGACCGCAAGCAAGCAGGTATTCTATTTTTCGTGGGTACCTAGTCGTCGCTGATTCGCCCAACCACGCCACACACGGACGCAAGAAACAACAAAGCGCCCCAGGGCACCCAACTTGTCTGTAACCTAAAGTATATCGTCCCAACGAGTCCTCCCTTGCCCACAATTGCTTTTGTCCACAAGCGATGTACATGCACAAGAAATTCTCCACCATCGTCGTTGGTTCTTTTCCCACTATCACCTCATATTATCATCCCCTCAAACTCGTACTCTGCTTTACTTTACCTGGCCGGGCCTTCTCCTCCCATTGTTGTATATCTTGCCGTGTGAGCACAGGCAACAATGGGACACCCTTCTCGCCGACTCTTCTGGCTTGGTCGCTTGCTGTTTATCAGCACATAGCTCTCGTTCTTGCTCGCCTTACTCACGGACAAAACCTTTTCCAAGCCAAGAACCTCTTGAAATAATGCAGCAATAACCACTCCGTCTGGCACTGTAACACAACCTCTAAATTGCCTCCGCTTGGCCAATGGGAGGTGAGAGATTTGAATAAAGAAAAAATCCTGAGACATTATATTCTTCACTCTCTCTCGATCCGCAATTTCTTTCGTTCTTTCTTTTGCTCGTGTAGTGAGATGAATGTTCAGATGGACAGATGTTCATCCTTCTTGAACAAAACCACGCCGGTTCTTCCAATGCCGCTGCTCCTTACGAGGTCCGCATTTTGGCAATAACACGTCTTCACCACAATCAACAATGCTCAACCAACCGGTGAGAGAGATGCACCTAATGGGTGATGACCACAATGCAAAAATGCACACACAATCATGTTCTCACGGAATAAACGTCTGTTTTTTAGCCGTCTTAAGAAGGAAAAATCTCCATGCTCGACAGTGTCGCATCACAAACTGCAGTGAAACACGGAATATTAGTGCAAAGTCATCCAATCCAGATAATCCACAATCCGGAGGAGACGATGATAAAACAAGACGAAGACGCAACATATCACCATCACCCTGTTACGAAAGTAGCGTTTCCAAGCACTTGTGCACACAAAAATAATCCTCACTACTTGCTGTATCAAAATCAGAATATATGTATGTACTTATGTTGTGTGAAATGAACACGAACTGCTCTGGAAATGCAGAGTCGACTCTGAAATCGTTCAAGTGGTGGTAGGTACATACAGTTAACAAAGTTTTGGATGATGCTTAAATTTTCTCCCCTAAATCAACAGCCAATGAACCTCTCCTCAGCAGCCCCACAATAAACCAGCCGAGTGCTGACTGACTGACTGGATGGACGGACGACTGGACTTTGCTATAAGCATTTATATATTGCCACACAACAGCACATAATAATATCCGTTCGTCTCCAGTTCTCTTATCTTTACCACTTGCTTTGGGTCTCTCTCCCCTCATCTCACTCCTCTCAGGCTCAATTTTCTCTCAAATATCCTTAATTTCTTTAACTTACACTACTTACTACATTACTCACTCTGGCTGGAGAAGAAGGATGACTACTCTGATGACGATATGACAGCAGCATACTTACTGCAACATTATATGACGTGATCGTGATGAAGAGAGAACGGGAGATAACTACTTGTCTGGACTGATGCTGGAAGAGGAACTGGAACAATTTTACAACTCTAATAATAATCCACACGACCATTTTCCAAGTCTAAATAAACGTCTCGATGTACTAATAATTTGACACATCATCATTATATGACTTCCTCTTAATGCACATTAGCTTTGCTAACAGAAATTCTTCGAATGATGGAGATGGGCAACCTTACACCCGGCTGAGGTTTATAAAACCTAAAAAATCAACTGAAATAAGCAAAGCAGTAAAACAGTTTGATGAAAATCAGAAAATGCAAAAGTTATTTAACTAACGCACAAAAAAGCCAGGCATTACGTGTTTGCAGGTTTAAAAAGTATGAAAATGTGAGGAACCTTACGGGAATAACAGAGGATGGGGTTCTTGCATCCGCAGAGGCATATTTCGCCAATATATCCTCATCAGAGTCTGAACTTTCCAATTCCAATTCCATTTTATGCCTTGGTTCCCAGCAGCTACTTTTAGGCTTGATTTATGTTGCTAAACCTGTGTTCTTCGTCCAGTTGCAGTTCGCTTCAATGTAAATAAATCTGAAATCACAAGAAATTAATAGGAAATAGTCACTTGACAGCTTTACTGGAGGGGGGGGCAAAAAGAGTAGAAAGAAACCAACTTGGGAAACTTCAGCTTGGCAAAAAAATATGCTGAAAATATTTCCACTCTCTGGTGCACTCACCTTTTCACTATTTCTTTCCTCCTGGTCGCGATTTAGTTGGTTTTGGTGGGTTCTGTGGTTGATGGAGACAAAGAGACGGGAAGGGACCACGTGCCCGGGTATTCTATGAAGAAATCGGTCTGGAGAGAATCGGCGGAGGAGGAAGCTCTTCTGCCTGTTGCTTCCGGACTGGCAGAGCACAAAAGAAGAAGCCCTCGCTCCCTGCAGTCCGCAAAGGCGGGAGTGCAAACAGTTCAAACGAGGCGAAGGGGCGAGTTGGGATCGATCACACTTTTCCCAATAGTCTTATTTTCGACAATAGCGTTCGTTGACTATTCGACAAGCCGCAAAGGTATCGAGAGTCGAGATCATGTCGCGTCGCAAACTCCAAGCTCTAGAATATCCCAATTTGCCAAATATAGATGTGCAGGGTAAGTCTCGTCCGGCTGTGGATTAATCTAGCAAATAGAACTTACTTCATATTTTATTTCAATTTCAACTTCAACTTTAATAATATTAAATATAAGTATAAATTCAAATGCCTCTAAACTTTACTTATACATACATTTGCAGCCCTTGACCAGATCCAGTTTCGAAATATTGTCCTATGGTTGGAAGAACAAAAGATCCGTCAATATAATGAACTCGAAGGACGACAACCGCTCCGTGACACGAGAAATGATCAACAATGGCCATCAGCTTTGAATCAATATTTAAATGATCTCGACCTAGGGTGGGCAGTAGGAAGAAGTCAGGCAGAAATATTAGACCTGCTTCTTTCGATTGCGGTCACACTAGAATATGCGGAAGAAGGGAAAGGTGCAAGACCAATGCCAAATTCTCATTTTTGTAGTTTTACTATGTTATGCTTTGTTTACAGCGGAGAAGTTCATGGAAGCCTGTTCCATCAATGTTCACGCCAAGAAGGATCAAGCACCACAGATTATTGCAGCGAATCCTCTCGATGAGTTGGATTGTAAGCATATAATGTCTATAAATTTAGTTGGTTTATGATTTAATCGATTGTGGTGGTTGTAGTCAGTAGTCCAGAATTCGTCAAAGGAGTCAACGCTCTCGCGGACGTGCTGCGTGTGACGAAGCATCCCAACCACCTCCTGACACTGGAGGGGTGTGCCAAACTAGTGCAGACTCGATACTCTAAAGAAAATATGAAGAATGGAGAAAATGTGATAAAAAAGGTTGGTCCTTTTCTTTGTGAAATGAAGTGCGTCAATTTTTAACCTAATACCTAATCATCGCTCAATTTTTGCTGCGTAATTTTGGAAGGCATGTTTATTGTTTTCTTTAAAATAATTTAGGGGTCTGCCTTCCCATTTCAAGAAGTGGACAAAAGTTTTGAAAGTGGAGATGCTGTTCTTAATCATGCTGCCAAAGTACATATAATTTGACCACGATATTAAAATCATTCATATCCAATTGCTTTTGTTTATACTAATTTTAGTAATTTTGTGTTAATTTGATTTTTGTGCAGATTCTACGCCTCCTGTTCATTATGGATTTGAGGGATTTACAAACCAAAATAAATGAATGTATCGTCGCGGTCCAGTCTATCACGGCGAATCCAAAGACTGATACAAGATTAGGAAAAGTTGGCTACTAAATAAGAAGTTCTAAGAAACTACCCCAGTGCTTTAATACGATTTAATAGAATTCGCTTGTTCACACCATATAACCAATCGTAATTTAACCACGTTTTTACTAGCGTTTATTTTACTAGAGTTTCATAAAAATCCTTGTATGAAAAATAATCAAAATAATAGTAAAACAAAATTTATTTATTATAATAAAATGCTTATTAATGTCTATAATGTGTTTCATATTTTATTCTTATTAATGTGTTTCATATTTTATGAGCGTGTTGTTTAAATAAAATGAACGTACAAAATTGGGCGTTATTTGTAATGCTTATCTCTTCTTTTGTTTTATGAGAAAAAATTTATTTCTTTCTAAATAGAATTTGAACCTTCGAACTTGATTGTTGTCCAAAGGTCAAATGTCGTGACCGTGCGAACGCGGCGCCTTTGTGACACCTTGGCTTGATCTCCAAGTAACATTTTAAAACCATAACAACGACTCCAACTGGATACAAAAATTTGGTTTCAAGTCCAAGTAAAAATACAATAGTTTGCAAAATTCAGGAAACGATAATTCGACCCAACTTGCTGTCAAAATTTTTAACGATATAGATTTTAACCACCAACGAATTTTCACCAGGGTCCTCCCCCTCGCTGCACTCTGGCTGGGAACCACCCAACTCATCAATCCACCCAGAGCCGCAGCAAGTAATTAAGTTGTAAGTTCTAAATGACAAAAACATGCGATCCAACTCTTCTCTGAAGTACAGCATGATAAATTGTCATTGATAATAAACATTGCTAATAAAAAGATTGCAAATTACACTAAATATTTTATCCAATAAAACTTTTGTGGTTGAGTGTGATGTATTTTCCCTTAGAAACTTGAAAAACATCCAAAACGTATCAATCTATAAGGTGGACCCCTCTTCATCGACGTCGTTGCAGACATAAAAAGTCGCAATAAATTTTAGTCACCACGGCCGAGTCAAAATCATGTCGTCGAAGCCGTCAAATATCATGAGCCCAACCACCTCGGAAGTGAACGCTTTGGAGAAAAAGGGTTACGTCATTTCACGCAAGATTGGTCAGGGGTCGTACGCCACCGTCCATTTGGCCGAAGTAAATATATTATTCATACTTATCTTATCAAATATTATTACATTGTATTCCCTATATTATAGTACAGCGAAGGGGGGCGGAGGGTCAAACTTGCATGCAAGATTTTCGACAAGGAGCGAGCACCCAAGGACTTTCTGGAAAAGTTCTTCCCCAGGGAGTTGGACATTCTGACCCGCATTGAGAATCCTCACCTAATCCAAGTAGTTGACATCTATTTCGTATTTACGCAGCAGAACTAATCTACTTCCTTACTGCATCGCTCATCATTTAGGTCCACAGTATTTTGCAACGAGGTCCACGCGTGTTCATTTTCATGAGGTTTGCAGAGAATGGGGACATGTTGGATTTTATACGACAAAATGGCCTCGTTCCTGAACGTCAATCTAAGATTTGGTTTCGACAGCTAGTCCAAGGTCTGCAATACTTACACTCGCTCAACGTAGCGCATCGGGACTTGAAGTGCGAGAACATTCTCCTTTCTCGCCACTGGAACGTCAAAATTGCCGACTTTGGGTTCGCTCGTTTCTGCGTGGATAATGACGGTGATAGTTTTATGGATCATGGCAGAGATAACACTCTCCAAATAAATTGATAACCTTTTGTGTTATTGAACTCTTTAATTATTGTGATACAGGGAAGCGAGTCCTGAGTCAAACCTACTGCGGGTCGGCAGCTTACGCAGCTCCGGAGGTGGTGAGTGGGACGCCCTACAATCCAAAGTTGGCAGACGTGTGGTCCATGGGGATAATCCTCTACATCATGGTCAACGCCACCATGCCCTTTGACGATTCCAACCTCAAGAAGCTGCTCAAAGACCAGTTGGCCCGGAAGTGGGACTTTCGTTCTCGAGTGAAAGATGTTCTCACGCCCAGTCTGACCCAACTCGTCCGCTCGCTCCTCGAACCGGACATCACGCAGCGGATCACTCTTGACCGCGTCGCCACCCACGACTGGGTGCGGCGAGACGTGGACAACGGCTCCATTGCTGCTAGTGCCCTCAACTCTACCGCCAGCTGAGACCACCCACTGACCATGACCGCCACCTGACCGACCACGACCCACCCTCAACGGAAACCAAAATCAATCTCAAACTCTCTTCGGTAATCAAGCAAACTCACTTCAATGTTCAATACTTTGCTATTCTTGGACCCAAAGTATTTGAAATCATAAATACGACAGGTTGCACCGGAATCCCCTCCATCCATATATTCTCCCATTTCTGACCGGCTCACATCTATTCATCACAACCGATTTAGAGGAACGATAGCTTCTTCATTGGTGATGGAAGTATGGGCATTAATTTTCTCGTCAAAATAACCTGTGCAAAGTGCAACTTCAGTTCAAATTCTCTTTATTACCATCATGTACACAATTCACACAATCGAATAAATCACGCAAAATCTGTAGCCACATACAAACACAATTACTTTGATGATTAGATGTCTCATGTTTTAGTAAGAGTAGCGTCACCTCCATCCCCAAAGGGAGGCAAGTCCAGAAGTCTGGCCACTCCTGTGTAGATTAGTCCTAGAAAACCATAACGGGAACAACATGAAAAATATACATGCACTACTTATTCACCAAAATTGCATACCCCCAGCAAAAAGTGAGACTACGACTTTTCCCGGAAGGTTCTTTTGGCGAGAGACTTGTGACGCCACATAAATTCCTGCCCCCGACATCCCTGCACCTCCAACAAGGCGACACGGCATACAACTCTTGTCCTTTGTCGACTTATCCATTTTTCAGACCTCTCTAAGATTAGTATAATTAATCCCAAATTACAATGCAATCACTATCTCACAATGTCCCAAAGTCTGGCAAGTGCAGAGTCCTCACCTCTCTCAACTACACACGTGCTGACTGGGAATATTCTGCAAGTAAGCTCAACACACAATAATTTTGTTTTGTTTGGGTGTTCGATTAAAAAATCTACCTGGATTCAGTTGAAATGGTGGACGTATCCGAGATTGAGCAAGACTACGAGGTCAATTCTTCTTCAGATGAAGAGGAGGAGGAGGACGAGGAGGAACAATTGGGGAGCAGTGGCGACGACGAGGGAGACGAAGACTTGTCCAGCAGTGATGGCGACGAGGATGATGGAGAAAGTAAAAGCAGCGGCAACGATGAAGATCAAGTGGACGAAGGCGAGGAACCGGAAATTGATTCTTCCGCAGGGGAAGAAGAGGGTGACGATGACGACGACGACGATAAACCCTCCGCCGGCGACGAGCAAGCAGAGGTTTCAGGTTGGGCAGATTCCATTGCAAAGATTCTCAAAAGTACGAAGCCTAAAAACAAGAAGGAGTTGATGCTGTCAAGAGCGAGAAAAGATTATGAGGTTTGTTTTGTATTTCAATGCCTTAAATGCGTACATAGTTTTATATATGTGTAAAAAGTTAGTTTCATGTTGCCATTTTAAAGCCATGCGTACATAATTTTTTGCTACAGGTTAACAAAACCGTTGTTAAAGTACAAAAGAGGTTGGGTGCAAAAGTACGACCACTTAGAAAGGAAGACGACTTGGAAATTGTCCCTTCAGATAAACCAAAATCTGACGATGTTCTCAAGAGAGAGAAAGAGTCGGACGAGCCCACCTCCAAGACAAAAAAGGATGATAACATTTTATCCCTCAAAGTGCAGAGAAAGTTGGAACTCAAACAGAAAAAATTGGTGGGTAATATTGTTCACTTCCATGAATGTAACAATTTATATTGATTAATGCATAAACTGTGAACAGGAACTCGCCTGGGAAAATTTGGCAAGGATGAACGCAGAAAAAGCAGATCCAGAAATGGAAAGAGATTTAGTCAAAATGGCAACAAAGTAAGAAAATTTTTGCAGACCAGAATGCATAATTAATAGTAATAATTATGTGTGGGAGTGGAAACTCAATTTGTAAACATTGCACATTGTTCAATAACAGAGGCGTCGTTCAACTCTTTAACGCGATATCCATGCAGCAGAAAACAATCAAGACAAAGTTAAAGACGTCCGAAAAGTCTGAATTTAAAAAGGACAAAATCCTTAACCAAACCAAAGACATATTTGATAATGCCATGATCAAAAGTAAAAACAGACAACCTGGTAACTCGAGAAGCTCCAACAATAACGACAACGGGGACAAGGAGGCTGAAATAAAAGAGGAGGACATGTCCAGTGATGATGATGATGAAATGGTTGGCTTAGGTTCCGTATCTATCAAAATCAACAAGCGGCCATCGACTGACACGAAAAAAGGGCAAAAGAGTGTACCATCGAAAAAGAAGCCAGTTTGGAACGCATTACAAGATGATTTTATGCTAAATGCGAAACTGAAGGATTGGGACAAAGACAGTGATAGTGACTAAATCTTAAAGCATGCTTATCTTTTGTATCAATACTATGAATTGCTACTTTTTAAATCTTGATTGCAATAAATGCACTACGTTTATGCAAAAATTGTTAGTATTCCTTGTTAGCGTTATTATATTTGTATTTATTTTGTGCGATCGCATCTCCGTATGATACATCATATCGTTAAATAGTACATGTACTCGTAGTAGTAAGAAAATATCTACTTTGATTGTTTTTTACTGTCAATTTGTATTTGAGGAGCATTTATACAATTACGTTGTTGTCGTTGTTCTTGGTATCAGGAGGACTTTGGCCATCTCTTAAATGGAACTGGCATCGTGCCCTCGTCATTTATATGAAACTGTTTCGTCTGGGTAATTTTGGGCTTGGGAGAATCTCTCATCGTTTCTTCGATCCAGTTGTGCAGTATACTGAGCTGCGGTCGCGTGATCTCGTGGGACTGGCGTTGAAAGGTGAACAAGTGTCCGTTGATTCCGTACGTCTAAAAATTATTGCAAATGCCCCACGATTATAGCATCAGTTTGCGTAATGCAGACATAATCGCATACCCGCAGTTGGTCGAAAGTAGATTGTCCCCAACGATAGCGCACGAGAGGATCTTTTGTCCCCAGACTCATGAATAGTTTCGGCAGTTTTTTGGTAGCAGCCAAACTTGACGATTCGACCTTCCCCGTCTTACTCGTACTTCTTAAGTCTTCTCCACCTAACCTCAGCGGTTTTTCTTCCCCAGCCGGAGAAGGAGGGTTCTCCTTGACAAAGGCAGCCAGGTCCTTCAGAGCAGCATAAATTTGCAATACTTTCATTTCAAACTGTATGTACTGGGAGGAGCATGGTTTATTCATACGGAGAAGACGGCAGAGTCCGGGGGGAGGAAGGCAGAGAGGGCGAAGACTCCGGCCACATTGGGGTTGAGACGATAAGCGAGGTGAAGTGCCATGGAGCCGCCCATCGCGAAACCCCCCACGATGACCTTCGTCCCTTCTCGCTCCTGTTCAAGCCGGATCATTTTGGACAGCTGGTCACCCACCTGGTTGATGGAGCAAATGTCCTCAGGAAGGTTGGGACCGTGGCTGAGTCTGTCGTACCACACGGCAGCGTTCTTAACAGGACGTAAAGATTTGAGGTACACGTACACATGTCTCAGGAAGTTGCATCTCTCTCTATTGCTATTGTTTGTACTAGCAAAAATTGTAAGTACAGAGCAAATACGGCTTGATAACTCACCTGACCATTCATGAGGTGATAGGGTCTGATGGGGGCGGAAGGATAGAGGATGCGATAATCTTTGAACTGGAAACTTCCCCTGAGTACGCGAGCTACCCAATTTTTCAAACCTTGTCCCGAGTCACCTGTGCCCATTATTTTATTATTTTATTATTTTATTATACCTTACAAAACGATGAAGACGATTTTGCTAAGCTGCTGCGTATGTATTTACATGTGCCGTGAAGAAAGAAAATTGTGCCTTTTGACGCCCCATTGGTGGCGTAGGTCCACGCCGTTCGACCCAACTCGCTCCGACCCATGCTGTCTGTCCGCCCACCTAATGCAATGCCTCCAATTGTACTATTTCTACAGATTCCTTGTGTTAATAAAATTTATTAACACAAGGAATCTGTGTTAAATATATATTAAAATATATTTAATATATTTTACTTTGTAATATTGACGCCGAAAGTATGTCTCTAAATTATTTATGCGCACGGCTATGGAAATCTTTAATGTTGTGAAATGTAGTGAGACAAAAATCTTGTAAGGGGCCGAATGGTGATCTCGGGCATTTATATTTTTCAATGTGTTTGGTTTTTAATAAAGTAAATCATTTTACTTTTAAAAATATGATTTTTGCAAAAAGCTACAAAATTATTATGAGACAATAAATAATTATTTGAATATAATAATGCCATAATAATGAACAGTACCGATATATATTTCATTAACTTTATTAATAAATTCAAAAACATTTAAAATATTCACACAAATTTTACAACATGGAATGGAACTGAGAAGCAGGAAGAGCCGATACGCGATGACAGTACGGAACGCCTGCAGAATTAAAAAAACTGCGCAGCGTCGAATTATGACACTGGATCGACTGCTTCCAAACAAATTGTAACGCTAAATGTTACGTTCTAATTGAACTTGTCTAGTTGGACGAGATCAAGGGCCACCGTTATTTAAATACCAGTACTAAATATTATTTAACTATAACTCCTAGCATACATATTTCATATTTCTTATAGTTTATACACAGCAATTGACTAGATTGCACTCTCGAAACCTACACTGAAGCTGGTTCGTTTTCGTTCTAACCTACTTATTGACTACAAGCAATATTAATTGGGACTTAGCATTATATGACTTTGGATAAATGTAAAAGTTAAGTGAATTAAGTAAAAACTACGAAGCATGCTCAGCCAATGACTATTGTAAATACATATAAACCCTGTGTTTACATATGTAAATGTATGACTTGACCGGGTCACGCTCATTATTACACCAGTGTCCGTTGCCTCTTGTGCCGTAATACTTAGATAACTATGGCCAGTTCGTATACACTTATCCTAATTGTTGGTGGGTGGGTGGGTGCCTTATCTTAATCCAGCCAAGACATTAATTGCCTAGCTGAGGCCTTACATAATCGACTACTTACTTAAGTACGTGCTACAAATTGTGGTAACACTTACATACATACATGAACAATGTACAAGGTCCGGCCGGAAACCAATGATACAGTTTAGTAGTAAAATTAAATTAAAAAACACGGTGAATAACATTCTAAAAACAACAATTACATATGCACATAAATCATACCTGGACCTGACCTGACTCCAGCAGCATGCCGAGTAAGACGAGATGATGACCTACCTATCTTCCTGCCTGCCTGCCTAACTGCCGACTTCCTCAGAATGAGAAAATTGTTATGAAAATGATGAAATTGGTGAAAGTGTTATGAAATGAACGAGATGAATGAGAAAGCCTCGGGTGAAATAAAGTGGGATGAAATGACGTGGAAAACAATGACAAGATCAAACAAACTGATCTCCACCTGACTAGATTGTACCACACTCTTTGTAAATATACTGACTCGAACTGACGAGACTAATGATAAGCGTATCTTGCATATTAATTCAAAAACTTGCAAATAATATTAGCACAAAGTTCCCGACCATCAAATCTCGACTGACTATATTTTCTGACTATATTCTCTGACTACACGTTTTCTGACTACGTTTTCTGACTATATTTTATTTATGACTATGTTTTCTGACTACCTAATCAATTAATCGACTGACTGGTTTGGTTTCATTCCTGAATGATTGTATGACTTTTATGGTTGACATGGCCTACATGCTAGTGACTTATTAACATAATGACTTGATTGCAGGTACGTATGTATGAAATTCGACTAAAGGATAACCGCTAAACTGCCTCCTGACTAGTTCAGTGGTGGCGAGGGGCGAGGACGGGTGAGTATTCTTTCAAAGGGAGCCGTGGGAGCTGCCGTGAGAGGAGGAGGAGGCGGAGGAGAGAGGGGACATTTGTGGGGTGCCGGTGCTGTGGGACGCAGAGTTGGTCGTCCAGGGTCTCAGGGGACCAAGGTCTGCAGCGAAGGGGAGCGAGTGCTTTTCGGGGATGAGGTGAGACGCCAGGTGGATTTGGAAGTCCTTGTAGTCGCGGAACGTTTTTCGACAAATGACGCAGTTGTAGTCAAACTCCAACTGTCGCGACGACGATTTTGTAGCTGCCACCATGTCATCCTGATCTTCAGACGTGACTGATTCGACTGCAACACAAAGACGTAGTAGTTAGCACATAAATCTACATACATATACATGAGAAAGAATAGTACGAGAAATGCATGACAGTTTGGACTGGGGAAATGCCCACCGTGATATTTCCCCCTAGATCAGGGAAAAGTCAAAGTATGCATACTCTGAATCAATTAGCCGGGTTCTTTCCAACGACACCCAAGCACAGTGACCTTTGACCTCCCTACCTTTACACCCAAGTGGATTTTGACTTTAAACTTGTGTTCTACTAGTAAATATGTGCAACATATCAAAGATTAGGGAAAATATCACGGTGGGACAATTGCGAGTGCCGTGTCTTGAGACAATCTCAAATTCCCCCCATGTGATGATTTTGTTATTACCTTTGGACAACGAGACTGGCTTCATGTCTTGATTGCGTTGATGGTGGTGGTAGTCGACCTCTGTCACATTCTCGTCTTCCTCCTCGCCCCCTAACTGGAACTTACTCGCAGCGGACGCGCCGCCCTTGGAGGATGCTCCTTTGCTGGATGTTTTACCCGTTTTTGAGGACGTGGTTCCACTTCCACGGGGTCGATGCCACCTTCGATGTGAGGCAAGGTTGGCGGGGCAGCTGAAGACCTTGTCACACTCGGGACAGCGGTACTCGACGTGGACGATGCAGGCGCAGCGATGTCTGGCCAGCTCGAAGGCGTCCTCGTACTCCTCTTGACACAGGCGGCACAAGTACGCACCGATCTTGTTCTCTATTTGGGACAACTCCTCCCGCGCTTCATCCGTCACCTCCACCGTGTTGAAGGCAGGGTCAATATCCCCCCGACGAGTGACCTGCACAGGTCAACAAGATAACGCAAATTTATTACATGTTCACCAACAGTCGAGTGAGTGAAGTTAAAGAAATGTGCGCCTTATTTATTTTGGTTCATTACCTGAATGCCCAGCGCTGTCGTTTCCTCATATTTTTCATCCTCTTTGAGGAGCAGGAGCTGGTTCCGCTCGTCCCTCACGGACCCAATGTCGCGGATGATGGTCCCCGAGACGGGTGACGACTTATCCTCGTCAAACTGCAAGCGTCGCACGGCTTTTGTCTTTTTAGAAGGACTTGCACCTCCGCCCTGCTTTCCCCGCTTCCCAGGCGTCATGCTGTTGGAGGACGAGGGCGGCGACTCGACCCCGTTCCTTGCGACCACCTGTTATCACATTATCATCTTACTTGTCAGTCACGCGTATCATGCAGTCATGTGAAATGGAGGTGAAATTATGCAAACAGAGAGAAGAGACAGCGAGAGAAAGTTTTAAGAACTGGTTGCCCACTCACCGATGATGACGACTGCTTCGTGGCCCGAATGGAGGCAGAGGTCCCCGTCTTCCTAGCCGACTCTGGCGTGTGGTGGTGTTGCTGTTGTCTCTTTTTGAGAAGGAGCAGTTCGGCTGGCGGCTGGGGTGTCGACGAGGAATGCCGCTTCAGAGTTAGGTCCAGTCCAACCTCGTCGCTATCGTCGAAATTTGTGTCCTCCTCGTGACCATCATGGCCGTTGTTGTGGTGGATGGTTCTTGGGCTCGTCAATTGCTGCTGCTGTGGGTGGTGGAATGTGGAAAGGGGGAGAAGGCGTGGCGAAAGGAGAAGTTGCTCCGACGCCCGTGGAGACGAGAGCGGTATCGCTCTTTGTCGCTGGTTGGGCGATGGGTGGACAGGCGAGAAGGCGGAGGTCTTGGCCATCTTTCTGGGTGGACTGAGGAGGTTGAGGCCATTGTGGAGCAGTGGGGGGAGTGGCGACGAGGAGGACGACGTTGGACTGCTCACCAACAGCTTATTTCCACTGGGGACTTGGTGTTGCTGGATTTGGTGTTGGTGTTCCGTCCAGAGTTTCGCCCAGTGGAGGAGGGCTGCTGGGTGGAGGGAGGCGGCTGCAGCGGCCAGATTGGGCGACACGGTGGGGGTGTGGTGGTGGTGACTTGCAAAGTCGCCCAGGTATCGGGGTGGGAGGAACAGCTCACTTAGAGACGACTTGTCCATCGCCGCCGTGTACATTAGTTGACTTTGGAGGTGAGATGGCTAGAAAATTGACTAGGTGATGGGATCTGGGTGACTCATTTGTGTTCTGACTATGTGACTGACTATGTGAGGTGATGATGACTAAGAATCTACCTCAGCTATGCAAATGGGACGACTAGACCTTGCAGAAGACCAGACGGATGACTAGTTGACGACGATCCTTCACTCGACTTGATCCTTGACTATGAGATTGAGCCAGCCATCAAGGTTTGACTGTTTGTGGACTTGCTTTGTTCCCTCAAGGACTAGATCGCATTCCTATTTACCTACGACGTGGTATTATTGCTGACTGAGATGGTTGACTAATTGGGGATGGATGACTAGGTGACGGAGGCAAGTTGAGACTAGATGGGATTTTCTTATTTCTATCGGGAGGTGAGACTTACGAACGACGTATTGACTGACTCGGTCTTCGGTCTTTCTCCTCTGATGACTAGTTGTCACTTTCTGTTACTACTTTCACTAGAGTTCACACACTGGACTAGCTGCACTCCAAGTTGACTTAGTTTTTCTTGACTATGCTGCACAGGGACTAGGGACTCGTGGTGCTGGGGGCAGGGTGAGAATTTCTCATTCTCTGACTAGATTGCTTCTGACTTGACGAGATGACTGGAATCTCTCTTCTTTGTAGTTTTTAAGTGTATTAGAAGTGTACTTTATTAGATAATTTAGAAGTAGCTGTTGTGATGAAGGGGAGATTGAGATTTTGTGAGTGGAGAGACCAAGAGTGAGAGAGAGTTGGAGAGGGAGAGAGAGAGAGGGGAGAAAGTTGGTTAGTTGGTGGTGTCTGGAGGAGAGTTGAGGTATGACTGGATTTCTGGAGATGAGCGACACGGCTTTAGTTTTGGTGGTGGATTGGAGCACCGTTTTTTGTTGGCGTTCTCCAGGACCAGCATTCTCCAGCACGGAATATCTCCTCCTCCCGCCATAGCTCCTCCCCATCCAGCGCCCAACCACGTCCGCAGCTCCGAATTGCTTCACATCCCTCTGCCCGACCCCCACCAACCACCAGCCAAATTTCCACGCAGCCACAAATTCCTTCAGACCACGAGCCCTCAGGAAATCTCACTTTCACTTTGTCAACGACATAGCCACGCATCGAGGTACCCTTGGCGTATGGGGATGATTTGCTTACCGTTACTACTTTGTAATTAAGGGACCAGAAGACATGGGATATCCAAATGTTAATGTAATAAGAAATGCGATAGGAATACGTGAAATTTCGGCCTATTTCAACCCATGGTGGACGTCTTTCGCTTTTCGTGCAACCAATTTAACAAAGCTGAGGCCAATTTCCCCATTGGTTTGGGTTAATATTGCTCAAATAGTGACCTTATGTATATCATTGTCTTGAAGTAACGAACAAATTGGATGGTCAAACCTCCAAGTCTCATCCTACCCCAAATCTGCCTGTCCCCTTCCCCCTTTCACTCTAATTACATTCAATATTTGAGCAGCGTTATTACCCTCATACCGTTAGTTTCATATTTGTGAGGACAAGCCATTCTGGGTGGATTATTAATATGTAGAGTACATCATCCCGCTCTGGCTGGCAGGTATCCAGTCACTGTGTCAACAATTCCTTCTCATATCGCCATCCATCCAAAACCCCGACCAACCGTTGCACAATTGTGGAGAAATGATAACCGGTAGAAAATCAATAACTCCGAATTCTCCTGTTGGTTGTAACGTAATCCGGACTATGGACGCTGGTGGTCCAGCATTTTTCATCGTCGTCGTCATCATCGTCGTCCACCATTCTCTCCCCGAACATGTCAGTCAGCTTCCCCGACAGCCAAATATTTTCCTCTCCTCGCTCTGTGCACAGGCCAAACGAGAGAGACCCGTTGAAAATCGATGGATGATGAGCTTCCCCCTTGAATGGCTTACAAAAAGTAATACGTAATAAGTTATGGAATCCTTCTCTACCTGCAAAATTGAGGACAATTCCAAGTTTTTCGTCCTGCTGCACTTTACCCTTCCGCGTGTGCATGCTTGTCGGAGACAACAAGACACAATGTGCATCGTAAAATAACAATGGAATATGAAATGCAGCCAGATTGCGTGATTCGAAGAATTAGGTCATCCAATAACTAGCAAAACAATCTCTGGCCTTCTTGTCTCGCATCTTCTCCGCATAATTCCTTTGTCTGCTCGGTAGGAAATCTGGGTGCGCAGTTACTCGGTGAGAGTGAAAAGTAGGTGGTTAATCCATCCATGACACAACAACAGGCCCATTGTCGTGGCAAGACGAAAGAGTTGAGCAGATGCAGTCGGATGATAATGTGAGCGAGTAGGAATATGCAGATGTGTCGGTAACAATAAATTCGACAGTGTATGCACACGCATCGCGGCTGCTGCTGGTTGTTCCGCAGTGACAATGACAGTGATCTTAAAGGGCAAACGATTGTGTTTTACCATTGATTTCGGATTTCAAGGAAAACAATGAATACCCAAACCAGCAGAGTCACTGATATTCCAACACAATAATTATTACAATAATGACACTCATAATGTAGCAAGCTGCATAGATACAGAACATACATATCACACTAGTTCTCACGTGGGGAAATTGAGACTATAGAAGTTAACAAATGCTGCTATTTCTGACATGCCCGCATATCCGTGTGTGTACTTTTGTATGATACAGTAGTTTGTGAGCAGAGGTAAAGAAGATATGTGGGCGCTCATCAATTAGACAATAAATAATATGAAAAGTAATGTGGATAGAAAAATATAGAAATAAAAAACGCTCTCTCGTAATGTATTCTTGGCCACGTTTCGACCAATGGCACCTCAACTCCCATCAAACACCAGGATGATTTTTGTCCATCCATGGGTTTTGAGAAGAAGGCCGAGAGATAGTCCTTGATCTGGAGGAGAGAACTATACGTACTCACGAGTGGCTACACCACATCTTTTCTGATCATAAGTATATTGGGCTTATTGCTATTATTGGGACTGTTCTGCAGATTATGTGTCATCATGCCCAGTTGAACGTGATGGGTGGGAGTTGAGCATTGCAACTAATCGTCGGGATGAGCTAAATAAAACACCTTGTTTCCAATAAAGGGAAGACGAAGGTGAGAGGCAGATGGAGACGATCTCAAATAAATGATCCCAAACAATGCGCACCAGAGAATGTCAGAATTACCGACCAACTACACTAATTCATCCTGTTCTACTACACAATCTTTTATTTTTAGCCAGCTGCCCGAACACCGAGCTTCACAACATTATGGCAATTGTGCATAGGTATACATACGTAAGGCAGCATCACAAAAGTAGGCATTAAATATTTAGAGGCTGAACAGCAAAAGTCAAACGCTCATTGTTTGCAGGCCATCATCAGAGATTGGATTTCTTCAGAGGAAATCTACACGTAAAAATGGTTCTACTCTGCAATCGTGTAATTATGTATTTAGGCATTTGAGGAGAAGGTTGCTTTGTGTGCCCTGCTTCAAATAATAATGAATGAGCAGTAAAAGTGGGAAGGAATTAGTAATTGTTGTTAACGAACATAAGTGAGCAATAAATTAGTGGACACACAATGCAAGCCACCTAAGAAAGAAAGAAAGAGGGAGCGATCTCAATTTTCACTTTGCAACAAACAACTGATCTCTTTAAAGGCGTCTTCCCCAGGGTCAAGTCAAACCAACGGAACAATAAGTTGACAAATTGGTCAGTGGGAGCTAAACACGATACGATTCATTCATTCTTTTGTCCGGCTTGCCAACCAACCATCCAGGAAAACGTGCATCCTCCAAGTAGAAATTTATTTATCGCTTTTTGAGCACAATTTCAAAGGCGCGACGAGTGAAATGGAGCGAGATGGAGATGAAGAGAAAGGTGCAGTCCAAAATCCAACGAGATGATCCAGACTCTTGTTTTCTTATCCATCTATTGACGAGAAGGAACTTATTCTCTCCTTGGAATCAATTAGTCCTTTTCATTCATCAACACTTTCCTTCTCATCTCTCCTCCACCTCCTCCTCCTCCGTCGTCAGAGCGTCGTAATTAAGTCGCAGTATTACTTGTTGACATGCTCATCATCATCACGACAAACTTTATTGCTTCACAACTGACTGATTGGAATCCTTTTGTTCGCCCACCGGTGAATAAATAGCTCACAAATTGCTCTAATTACTTGACAAAGTTGTTTATTAATTATTCTACTCGTCCTCCTCCTCCTCTGGATTCACTCCTTCTTCCACTTTATCCAGATACGGAATACGCGACGACGTTCGCTCAACTTATGAATATTGATTAAATAAATGTCCACGTGACAAATTGTCAGGCTGCTCAATTTTTCTCTCCATTTTCGCAGTTCCCTCAGAATGTGGATTTGCTCAGATTTGAAATGATAATTGCTTCGTAATCAGTTTTCATGGTGCATGGAAAGTCAGGATTGGGAAGCCGAACTAATTTTCAGCCTGAGATCAGCGATATCGAATATCGTATTATGTGCCCTCAGAAATGCATGTTGAGTTGGCCACATGAACCAACTTGAGAGTTGATTACCCTCCAAGTACGTAAGAGACATGGCGTCATTATCAGCAGTATTATTACTCGAGACAAAGAAAAACCGGAACCATTTACTAGATTTAGGATTATTATCACACCACACGACCCGCATACCAGGACCATAAAGACGGAACTTGTGCTGCTGCAGTACAAATACATGGAAAAGTGTGTGCCCATGTAGATCTTAATCCTCCTCGAAAGGGATTTATTTGTAAAGGCAGTTTCCTTAATGTGTGAGCAGTTAGAGTTGTCTTTCTCCAGCACGCGCTCCAGCCATAACTCAGCTTTAAAGTTTAAAGTTCTTCTTCCAGTTCTTCTTCCAGTTCGTCAGTCAGAGAGACAAAAGAATTGGAGTAAAACAAAGCATTTTTACGTGTCTTGCTCCCCAGAGAGAGAGAGGTTGGATTAATGCATTATTCCGAGGAGGCCGATAAGTGGTGGACGGATGGGGAGGAAAGTGAGCAAGGTAGAGCACCAGCGAGTCCACAAACATCTGCCTCTCTATTTGTGACCCTTTATTGTTATCATCATCAGGGTGAGGGACGCCTTGGTTGGGTTGGTATGGGCCCTTCTTGTCTGGCACACCTGCACATTTCCATATACCTTTCTCCCCCAGCCCCAGATGTGCTCCTTCCACACTTTCAAATGCAAATGCTCCACACACGAACTCTAATCTTGCCGAGGTGAGTATTTAATATGTGGTGCAGCGTCGTTGTTTGGATGGAGGGGATCACCAGCAGTCAGACCAAACCAGGTACACAGAACCAATCATTTTTATTACGACCACAGCACATTTTTCTGAAGTGATTCATCCCCCAAAAAAATGCTGAAAACAACTGCACCAGCAAAACTATGTAGCAGACAAGAGTCCCATATTTTGCCGGCGGTGTATGCTGTTTAGTATCTGTTGGCATTATTAAGGAATTGCTGCTCGTTGTGCATATGCCCTTCGAAACATGAATCCAATAAATACCTTTGGACCTGGAGAACAATGTCCCCAATTGAAGCTGACGCGACGCGGTAGTGGACACCTTGTCGCGCGTCCCTTCAACAAAACAAAGCTGCTCCACGAGTAAATATGTTGGACTCTGTGCTGGGCAAAAAGTCTGCTCGATACTTTTGCACCTTTTCAGTTCAGATACGTACATTACATTCATGAGCATTTAGGAAGAATTTATTTTTATTTTCGCTTAAAGGAAAGTAAAAGGTATCAACATTTACCCATGATCAAATATGAATAAAGTGCACATTGTAACGAAGGGTATGGGAGCAAGGAAACAATCATTGAGGGATTTCACGTCAAGTTCGTAACCTAC